AGGACCTCTTCAGCCTAGATTAACCTCTTCAGGAAGTTTTCGTCTTGGCTTCGCTATCATCTGCTTATGCCTGTTCTCAGCTAGTGACGAGCTGGACCAAAGGCCAGGATCACCCACGATAAAGGTGGAGCGTATTAGGCTATATAAGCGTGAATAAACCCCTCGTCTGCCGTGGAAAGGGTATCTTGTTCCCGTGCCCCGTATCCTCATGCTAAGGCACCTCTGAGAGGAGTGGCTGGTGACCCCTTTTCAACCTTGCCGGATGCGACTCTCCGGCTAGCCGGCTCCTAACGGGCCTTCCGATTAGCCCAGGTCAACATTTCTGAGACGTCGTATACTTCTTTACAACCATCTGCAGAAAGGGTCTTACCGCCGGAGAACCCGTGAGGCTGATGTTGACCCGCTCTTGACGATCTTGACGAAATGGAATCAGATGTGGCTCCAGACTATCGTATGATGTTTCGCTGGTATTGCCATTTTGAGATGGTCAAGGATTAGAAGGAGTCGCAGACGTGGCAGATGGTCATATACCGCCTTCTTGAGAGCTATAACCTATTTTGGAAGTCAAACACGTCAGGCTTATCTCGGCAACCCCGGGTAGATGATAATAATCAGGCATTGCTACTAACAAGTGTTGAGAGCTGGGTTTCATGGCAGGGTGTAAAGTATATAAGTCGTCTTTCTTTAATCACTTGTTGAGAAAGTGTTCTAACTCAGACTTGCTTTATCTTGTCCAAATGTCTATTTTGAAATTTAAGGCATGGCAGCCACCGAAGCCAGAGCCGAAGCCAAAGCCGAAGCGAACAACTGCTGCTCCTATATCAACAACAAACCCTTAGCAGCATATGAACTTCCTCCAGATGCCTTCAATCCACCGCAATCTTGTCCCTCGAGTCGACAATGAGGCACTCAACCGGCATTAGACCCAGAGTGTCCAGCGGTCCCTTAGGGAAGGTTTCACTGTTCAACCCCCATTAGAACAGGACACTGGAGCTTTCAGTCACAGAAAACCATCCAATGACGACCCGGCAAGCATTGTAAGCCAGCCCAGCGCAATCCTTGGAAATGCTGGTGGTGCAGACTTGAACAACAGTACTATCAGCCTTTGCCAAGCTGCTGCTTCTACGGAACAACCATCAGCCTGCCATGACATTAATCACACTATAGATATGTGTAAGTATTATACTTATTACGAGAAAGCTTAGACTGATCTTGTCACCTTGTAGCAGGTATTGAAGACTATAACCAGAATTATAGCAGCTCGGATTATGCCAACCCCGACGACTTTACCTGTTCCCAAGCCACACCTGCGTCGAGCCTAAACTGCATAAACGACCTTGAAGTTGCTGAAGCCTGTTCTCCAGCGGCCAACCTAACTGCTGTCAGATTTGAGCCAATCGTGAGGTTGAAGTGTGTGTGTGTATTCTGTGTGTCTGGAGTGTCCTTGTGTGACCGTGGCAGTTTTGTGCCAGAGGGGGCTGGATCGGGACGGAACAACTAGGTTCCAGTGTCTACCTATCAAGGTGCCCTCTGTGCTCACCTTTAATCCAACACACCCCCTCAGCCAGGCAGGCAACGGCTCTGGCTGAACTAGTCTATAGAGTAAACTACCTCAGGGTCTTGACTCAGAATCTCTTCTCTCTTCTCAATGGCTCCCTCCTGTGACCTTAAATCAAGCTGCCTCGCCTGAGTGTCTACCAATCCCAACTGATCCAGAAATCCTGCCCACCGTTGAGCCGGCAAGGCCTTGGTCAATCCATCCACTTTCATCTGTGCTGAAGGCGTATATTCGATGCTGACGGTTCCTTATTCCACTTCTTGTTGAAGCCAATGGTTGTGTATGTCCACATGCCGCAACTTGGTTTTTAAAAGGGCGATTTCGGCTATCACTAGCTTAATTGTCTGTGTATTGTCGCATTCCACTTTGATCTTCTCGTGTTCGAGTTGTACACCAAGTTCCGTAACCAGCCGGCTGATGTACAGAGTCTCTTTGACTGCCTGAGCCAGTGCGAGTAGTTCCGCTTCTGTAGTAGATGTAGTGATCGTGTCTTGCTTGTTGGCCCTCCAGCCGATCAATCCTCCGAAAAGAGTCATGGTGAAAGCCTGAGAGCTCTTTCTGTCAAGAGAATTATCGGCAAAGGAAGCATCACTGGCCACCATTAAATCGTCTCCTCCTCCAAACTGGAGAGAGTGGTGTCTTGTTCTGTATAGATATTGGATGACTCGGTCGGCGGCATTCTGATGGATCTGACTTGGGTTTGTGAGGAATCTCGCGAGGCGTGATGTTGCGAAGGTTATGTCTTGTCGTGTGGAAACGGAGGCAAATAGAATGGAACCAATCTTGCGTTGGTATTTCTGGATCTTGTGAGGGGCGGCGTGATCTTACCGGAGCAGTAGTTCTTCTGTACCCATTGGGACCTCAGGGAGTCTGTTAGTCAGGTTGATTAGCTTGGTTACTTTCTTAATATAGGAGGTCTGGGATAGCCAAATCTTTTGCTGGGGCCGGTCCCGAATGATTTCCATTCCAAGGAACCATTGAATGTGCTCGCCTCCAGTGATCTTGTATCTTCGTTGAAGCTGCTGAACCATGTCTTGAACATTTCTTGTGCGTGTTTTCTATATGCGACGATCACGTCGTCCACCTAAAAGAATATCATGATTCCTTTTCTTGTATAACAGCACGGCTCATATAGAACCGGGTTGAATCACAAGCTGGCCAGAGTCTTTGAGAACTCCTTCTGTCATAGCAATGGAGAAACCCTCAGCCCATAGAGTGCCTTGTTCAACTGAAGAATTATACCTTTCTTGCGATAGCCGTGTGGCATCCGCATGAAGATCTTCTCATTGATAGGGGCATGCACAAAGGCATTAACAACATTGTACTGGATCATCTCAAGGTCAAACTTGGCCGTCAGGGCTATCAAGGTTCTGAACGATCTTCTAGCAAGAGTAGCTGCATACGTTTGCTCTGAATACAGCCCCTTCTGTTGATCTCCTCTGACCACAAGACGTGCCTTGCACTTGATGAACCTCTCATACTTATCAAACTTATAGACATACACCCACATGCAGTCCAAGATTTGATGCCCTCGTATAAATGGGTCTTTCTTTCGGATCTCAGTCTATGATCTCATGCCGTCATGACTTTTTAGGTGATCCTTTTCGGCCATTTCGAACAAGTGCCCCATTGAATTGGTTGCTAGTTTGTCGCGCCACTGTGGCACTTCTTCCAGGAGTCGCCTGTGCAGCTTGAATCCTTTTCGCAAAGCTCTCCCAATGCTTGCCCGATCTAGGGTGTTTTTACCCGATCGTTCTATGGGCGAAGTCTTGAGGCCTGCTAGAAACGCCGCTTTCCAAGGCTCGAGCTCTTTTCGTCCTGGGTCTTGGAGAGGATTTTTGGGTTCCTCATTCCCCTTTTGAATACTATGACATAGCAGGGCGGACAGAGGACTAGGCAGTGGTGAAGGTAATAGGGCAAACTTTGCCGTGGTGTATGGGTGTTCATTCCCAATACCCATATCTATTTCCTCTTCGTCCTCTTGGACTTGTATCCCCGTCGGGACCACCGGGCCTCCCGTACTTCCATCCTTTATCCCTGTCGAGGGAGGATGTTGGTCTGCTTGCAGTTCATCAGGATTTTCTTCCTCGTCCTGGATATAGTCGTCGGACTCGGATAGAGCGTACTTGTTGACCATGGCCTGTATCTCTTTAACAGTCGCCGTCTTCAAGTCATCTCGGAACCGCTCTTTATTTCCATCAAATACCTCGTTCTTATTGAAAGCGACATCTCTCGTACTTATCACCTTGTTCAGGTGAGGCACCCACACACGGTAGATATTGGAGGACCGATATCCAACCAAGTATCCAATCCATGCTTTGGGATTGAGTCTGTCTAGCCTTCGGCGACCCAACTTCATGTCGGTTGTCATTGCGTAGGCTTTGCAACCATACACCCAGAGATGTGTCTGGTCGGGGCGCTTGTCTGGGGCCATTGGTCGACCTGTCTTCCTCATGACTGCTTCAAAGAAGACATTGAAAGGGGTTTTCTACCCACTCTTCCTTCTTGGTGTCCGATTGTAGAGATATGTAGCCGCTTTGAGTATTTCTGGCCATAGGAAGGTCGGCAATCTAGCACCGATTCGCATTGCGCGCGCTTTCGTTTTCAGTACACCCCCTGGGCGCTCGGCACCTCCGTTCTGGGCTTGTGTATTGGGAGCCGAGGGCTCTACCTTGATCGCGCGGGCTTCTAGCTATCTTCCTATATCTGGCTTGTTGTCACGGAACAGCTGGCAGCTCAGGACGAAGATGCCCATCTATTACTCCAGATGAATAAAAATCTACTGGTGAGGAGGGAAGAAGGATCAGAACCACCAGCCAATTCTGGTGGGGGATTAGATCTTCAATCCCGCTCCACAATTATCTATAGTGAGTGCAGCGGGGCAACGCGTCCACCCCACCAGATCACCTGATGAGCGCACGTACCACCGTGAATGGATGGATGGATGTCAGATCCATCACATAGATAGCTTTTCTTGAAGGACCAGATGGATGACCCCAAGGTCATACCGCCGCAACAACGGGGATGGGCCCGTGAGCGGGACTGACTGTACTTATTATCTTGAGACCTCCACAACCCTGCGATACAGAGGCTCTGGGAGGCGTGGTTTGCACTACTGAGGAGCTACCCCCCACGTTAAATACAATCAATCAATCAATCAATCAATCCACTCACACTTAACACTGCAATGATGCTATCTTCATTTTCTTTGCATGAAGCTCATAAATTGGATTTGAATCAACCAGAGAATTCTACACATTAAATCTTAGTTTACAAGTGACCTCGATTGTTCCAAGTCATCCATGATGTCCACCAAGAAAACCACCAAGAGAACCACCAAGAGAACCACCAAGAGAACCACCAAGAGAATAGGACTGCTCGCGCCTTCAGTCAAGACCGCTTAAGCGTGGTTACGTGAAACGCTAGGCCATCCCTTCCTCTCTCAGATGTAGAACATCGTTTCTCGCAGTCTCCGTTGAATCTCAACGCCCTCCTCACTGGCTCCAACCACAGGTTGAGCGCCAGTAGCGCTGCCCGCTACCGAGGGATCAGGCGAGGCATTGACAGACGAGGCATCGAAGAGACCGCTGAGGTAACACCGCGCTCGCTCACATGCTATGTCGGCGTAGTATGCTGGAGTGCAGATACTGACCGCCTTCGTGGCGCGACCAAAGACATAGCAAAGACTCTGGGTCATGTCCTCTAGCGCATCTGCCGCATTGCGGCAACCTTGCGGGAGCTGGTTAGCCCTACCACGACCACTGTATCGTGCTGACATGGCTTCGTCGAGGACAACAACGTAGTGAGCCGGACGCGCTGTGCCCTGGATGGCTGCATGTGCCTGCAGGAAGAAGTCCCAAATGCGAGGCTCGGTCACCCCACGGTCGACAACCGTGCCCGGTAGCGTGTTTCCTGAGCGACCATCCGACTCTTTTTCCTGGGTTGGATAGAAGCGAGTGTGGTGACGCTTTCCGACAATGATGACAGTGAGCCGTGGGAGGCCCTTGGCAGTGTCGGCAGGCGGATAGGTCTCCTTGCAAGCCCCGCGTAGCAGCGGCAGCTCTTTGTCAAGAACGATCTGATACTGGCCCTCTGAGACGCCGTCACGATAGATGATGATGTTCTCGGGCAGAGCGGTATGCTTGCCCTTCGTCTTCCAAAGGCGTAGATGCGATTTTAGCATGCCTTTGAGACTGTCAACCAGCTCCTGTCGCGCGGTTTGGATGCTGAGCGTAGCGGGCCATTGGCCCAGTTGACTGTCGACACTCGCAACCATGGCCGCAACACTGGGTGCCGTCTTCAGGGACCCGGGAGATGGATGGGTAACATCGATTCCCACAAGCATGGTCTTGTCTTCAGCGATAAGACCGAGGCGCGAGCGGTCCACGCTTTGGTTGTTGCCACCCAATTTCAGGTTGAACTTGAGCGCAACGTTCGACATGCTGGTAGCAAATTAGAGTCAGTAATGACTCCTTTTCGACGAGAAATAAAGAGTCGGAATGCGTATCTCGGGAGCAAGGACTCATGACAAAGGCCAGAAGAGGAAATTCGCCCCCGAGACACGGCTAGAAGGGGCAATAAGAGACTCGAAAATGTACATACTACTGATCCTGGCCCTTCTCCTTTTTTAGCTTATGTCCAACCGTGCAAATGGTGTGGATGCCGAATTTGACATCGCCGAGTTGTTTGATACGGTTGTATATCGGGACCAGTCTCTCCGGGAGGATGATCAGTAGTAGATCCAGGGCTTGCGCCGCAACCTCCAGGTTCTTGTCCAATACCGGATCGTCCTGGCTTTCGAGAACCCATCTCCGTCCGGCGACTGCGAGAAGTTTGAGTCAGCAATTGCCATTCAAAAAGACAATGGGAGAGGTCTCGGGACCAATCTAAGGGTGTCTGAAAGGGGTGGGGGAAAACCGGAAAAGTTGCTTACTGGGCTCTGTTGTCTGCATTCCGACGTTTCTTAATACCTGTACAAACTTCTTTACCACTTCAACCAGACTGCTACTGTTGGTGAAAGCATCCTTATACTCGGGGAGCGATGGGAGCGATATGAGCACATATGACCACTTGGGCATGACCCCGCACTTGTTGAACTGGATTTTTTCCATGTTCCAAGTGCCATTGCGAGTCTGGGCGGGCTTGCCCCTGTAAGTCACCTTCGGGGCGTCGAGCTGCCGTCCCGGGACCGTGATGAGACGCGGGTTGACAGAGACATGAAATTTGTTCTGTGTGAGTTAGCCGGGAGCAGGAACCAGTCAGCTATTGGAAATGTGTACATACCAGGATCGGGTTTGTCTGCGTCGAGAGACCAACCGTGCGAATGCCGTCCTTGACGATTGATCCCATGTTTTCCATCGGTCTGCGAACTGCAAACTGGATCATCTGCTCCGTCTGACTGGGCTCCAGCGCCGAGGCATTCTGGCCCTCGCAGACCATGCAAACCTCAGTAGGCAGATAGATCGGATTCTCTCTCGTGTGGACATTGACAACCGGCAGGTCGGGATCAGCGATCCTGCGGCCGTATGCTGCAGTAGACGGTGTCAATGACTCCGATCGCTTCGAAGATAGGGCGAAACTTACTCCTCAGAAAGAAGTCGTACACGCTAATATATCCACCAGCGGTTGGCGGACCGGCAACGGGCTGCTTGCTTGACTTGGGCCCTTTCTTCTTGGACGAACTCAGACTTGCTTGCGGGGGACCTGAGTTTCTCTGGCCTGAAGCAGAGGCCTCCAGCCAGAATTTGACGGCCTTGGCTCCCGCACCGTATTCCGGGACGATTGGCGGGTGCTCTGGAGGGGGTTTCCCTGTGCGGCCATCTTCGAGGGTTGCCAAGCCAAGAACGGTCTTGATGCGAGGGATTTCTTCGCTTTTCTTATTCTTTTTTCCCTTCAGATGCGTAGTTCTAACGCGGAGCTTCCACAAGAAGCTGTTCAACTTGCGCTTCTTCCTGCCGCATTTAGCAATCAGTTGGTCCAGGGCCCGAGCATCGTAGAAAGCACCATGGCTGACATTGACATTGACCAGTACGCGGTTGGCGGCGACACGGACGCTGGCAAAAAAGCCACGAACGGCAGTCAGGCTTTTACCAAGATGAAAGGTTTTGGCGTCAGTTTCAAGCGAGAATGTCTTGCTAGACCCAATGGTGGCGAGATTGCCCGCAGACTTGGAATAGTGGTTCAGGAAAATGTTGAAGGCCTGAATCATGTCCAGTTTGCTGTCATAAGCAGCTGACCAATCTGTAGAAGTCAAATATTCGGCAAGCTCACGAACACTGAGCGTGTTTGTGAATTTCAAAGTGACCTCGTACGTTGTGGCCTGGGCCAGGGGCTCGTCCTCGCCCTCAAAGCGGTAGGTAACAGGGATGACCACATCGTCGCTGGGAGGGATAACCACCTTGCCGCCGGGAGGGATAACCACCTCGTCGCGGGGAATCTTTGTTCGCGAGAACAGGGTTGACTTGAAGTCAGTGACAATGTCCTCGTGCATCGGGGCCAGCTTCGAGGTCTCGAGAAGGAGTCGGACGATCTGGGTTCGCTTTTTGCCACCAGCATCGTCAGGTTTCATGGTGATCGCATAGCGATAGAGGGTAAGTTGCGGTGCCACAAGTATCTCGACGTAATTGGCCCACAGCGTGATGACCTTGCCCCGAGTGCCGTAGCCGGGTCGCGCGGGAAACTGGTCATTAAGCTTGACTGAAGCGAGGGACAGGGCATTCTTGTTGGAGGCTTGTAAAGCATCCTCTAGCTTGTGAGCCAAAGTGTTCGGGGGTGGCGCAGGTCCAGGCCTGTTCATGGAGATCAGTGGGTGGATTCTTCCTTTGCGTTTCAAGTGGAAGAGAGGTAGAGGAGCGGTGAACTCACGAGAACGGCGGTTCACGCGGTACACTAGGTCCACCACCGCGGCCGCCGCCACCAAAGCCGGATCCGCCGCTGTTGCCTCCAGCAGGAACACGCCGGCCGCCTTTGCCGCCTTGGAAAGCCATGGGGATATCAGGAGTTGTCAGCACTAAGTGTCTTGGTTGAGGGGCATGACAAGCAAGCTGAGTTGTGTTTGAGGAAGGTCGGTTTCAAAGGTCGGTTTGAAGAAGGACGTTGACCTTGATGTTGTTGTCGTTGTTGCTGTTGTTCAGAGAGGCGGCGTGAAGAACATTGAAGGCAGAGGACGGTAAGACCTGGGGCGACGAGATGAAGAAGTGGGGGCGGTACGTAGGTACCTAGCGCGCTTGCCCTGTGAGTGAGCCCGAAAAAGGAAAGGCAATAATTTCTGTCGAGTACGACCCAGTGCGACTGGACCGTGAAGGAAGCTGCCTGTCAATACGCTTCGGGTTCACGGCTCACGGCTGCGTGAAGTTGGAGGGATGGAGGCCTGTGATGTTATTGAGCAACTTCCAATGGAGGTCCGAGGTTGCCTTTACTTGGAAGGAATCAAGTCAGACTCAGACTCAGACTCGGACTCGGACTCGGACTCGGGCTTTCTACGACAACCTGAAGCACAAACGGAAAGAACGCTGCCCATTGGCGCAGCTGCCTCACGCTAGAGCCTAGGTTCTTTCTGCAGCGGCCTTGAGACTTGACAAGACTGCAACTGCAAGATACTGCAGGTGCAAAAGCGACATGGAGTTACCCCAACCTCGATGGGGAATCGGTGTGTTGCCATAGGGTACTTGCATGTAACTTTTTATATCTAGGTACCCGGGCGGTCTCGCGTGTTTACTTGCCACTACCGAATCCTACCTAAGTTATGAAAACATCTCTGTGGACGCGGTAACTTTTCAAGATGAAATCACCCAGATAAGCATCTTGATATCCGCTTTGCGCTCTTGCTTCTGCTACTTATAGATAGACATGGTACGGTGGAAGGTGGTAAGTACATCGGTATGGTTTACTGTTTGCTAGATGGTTTATTCGTATGTGAGCTTGGGTGGCGCCTGCCCAGAACTGGGACTATTGGCCATCCATAGCCATCTATCGCCTTGTGACCTTCCAGTTTCGTTGCCCTGTCCTGCTGCTGCTGCTGCTGTAGCTGCTGGGCTGGCTGGGTATCAACCCCTCACTACGATGTTGGGCAGTAATAAGCCCGTGGAAGGCAAGAAAGGCGGAAACCCTGTACATAAGGTAGGTAGGTATCACCATGTAACAGCTGGGAGCAGCTGCCGTCTAGGACAGCGACGGTGGCCCTGTGCATACCCTCAACCATGGGCCCCTACGCGGTAGCCCGACTTCGATGGCAAGAGGTATCAACAAAAGCAAGGCCTTAGTCAGGTGCCGCGAGAGAATAATCTCGGAGGTGCATGACAAAGTTGCTGTAGCGGAAGGCCTGGATCCCACCCAGCCCCCAGATCAAGCATCGAGCATCATTCCTTCCGTCTAGCCTACCTCCACCTGCAAACCATCAGAAGTACGTCATGCAAGAGATGAACTTCTCCATTCAGACACATCCTGATTGAGGATTGGATTACGTACTCGTTCAAGCCGATGGAGCCAAGAGTACCAGGGGGTATTGTGACTGTAGGTTTGTGGTCATCCTAGACTTTGCTCGACTCAGCACACCGTCAACATGAAGTGCTATCATCATTAACCATACAATTGATCGTATGTAGAAAGAAAGGAATCTAGAAGACTCCAGGGGCAACGCGGACTAACAAAACCTCATTATATGATCTTGGCCGCGCGCAAGGTCATGTCATGGTCCTCCATGCTGGCGTCACCAATGTGAACGGATTGACCAACCTTGAGTTTCTACATACAACCGTCTGTTTAACAGACCGCTTGGATGTCCCCCGGACGGGAAGACTCACTGTTCGGATTGCTGGTGACTCCAGACTGACCTTGGTTCCAGATTGTACGCGAAGAAGAGAACAAACTATGAAGCTACCGTAGCTAGAAGACATGGACAGGTATAAATAGTGGTCAGCCCCTGTAGGGCTACCTAGTGCCGTACCAAAAAGCTTGCACAAAGGCCGCCAAGGCGGTATGATGTGATCAACAGTGTATACCTGCTGATCCTAGCGCGGCGAAAATACGGGTATATAGGAGCGCTTCACCGCTAGCAGCTGATCTAGTCTCGACACTAATGCTTGAATGGGGAAGCTTGAAGCCGTATTCGGGTGCTAGTGAACTCTATTTACACCACCCACTGTCGGTTTGGGGTCTCGGAAGATATTTATAGGGATGTTGCGGGAAGACTAAAGGTGGTGGCGTGTTCAAGTTTAGAGTCAATTTGGAGATAACATCCTTGCCTCGGAGGGGAAGACAATTATAAAACAGGTCACACCTGGGTGGACATTGCAGCAGACTCCAGCTTAGTCCTTTCTGGCTGCTTGGATTCATGTTGTGTGAGACGTATTAGAATGCCTTTGCTGCAGTAACGTCGGGGGCATACCATGATGGACGAGTTTCTGTGCCTGGTAAAGTATCGGAGTCAGCCAAGTCGCCCAACAAGTCGTCAAGGTACGAAAACTAACCTCCGCAGCTTTGGGAGGCACTGCTGGCGTAGAAAGATTACCCTCTGCGTTGGTCAATATGCAAGCCTTACAGTTCCACCAGCTACTGGCCAGGGCTACTACGATCATTGGAAAACTTACAATATACTATAGACATGAGGATTAACGGAAGTAGATATTGGTCAAGCTTGGCTACAACAGCGACAGTCCACGAAGTTCTTCAATAAGTACACATAGCTCAGGTTTGAGAGCCCTTGCTGTGGAATACTCTCTTTCCAAAATGTCTCGCGCGGCAGCGCAAGCGTGACCTAAACTCAGCTCATATGTACCAGTTGCGCACAGCCACACGTTGCCTTCCGAGAATCTCTGTTCGCTATGATTACCTCTATAGCATCAGGGTCCTGACGTTTACGATGGATCCCTCCGAACAAGACTGAAATCGCGTTGGGACTGCTACAGCGCGCCAAATCGTGTTCACACTGCATCTTTGTCGGCTGAGCAAAATCCATGATTGGGTGTCTTGGAGTGCTGCCCGCTCCATCTAAACTGTCAGGCCAAGCACCACCTGCCCTGCAATGCCTTTTAGTGTATGGGGTGACAAGTCCACGCCTAGCTGGGACCTGTGCGGTTGAATCCGTTACTTTCGTAAGCAAGAGCAGAAGCGGCTGTAGGGAACGGCTCTCACGTGTTCAGGGTAGGTAGTCGCGATATTCTGTGTCGCTCAAAGGATCTCGAAGGCGACTGCGAAAAGATGCGCATGTCTCAGTCACAGGTACGCGTAGATCAAGACTGAGTGAACAGGCATCGGAGCTGATGCACGATACTACTGCCTTGTTCAAGGGAAGAAGTTCAATATTCTGGACACTATGGGCAGTTATCTTTCTCTAGCCTTTATTGACCTAGGGAGAGGGGGCTGCACTGAATGTGCTATGATCTGAAGCCATCCGATAGTTCGACTTCAGCCAGCCGGCAATGGATATGGTAGTCGCCATGACACATAGTCCGAGTTTTTGACGAGACTATCGTGACTATGTGGTTACTTGCTAGATGGATGGGAGTGAACTGCATCCCTTCTATTCTCCTCACTGGCAGAATATTTGTGTGCATGATGCCACCGCCAAGCCTGGGAGATCGTTATTTCTGAGTGTATGTTACGCATGTAAGACTTTTTGGCGTCTGCCACTCTTCATACAGCACCAACAGCGGCATGAAACTCGGTCCCATAGTTCAAGGTGCGACAAGCTTAGGAATACAATCAGAAAGCCATCAATGTCGATGTGCTGACCTGAGTAGAGCGATATCTTTCTCCTTCGTTACAAGGTGCCAAGCCAAGATAGCAGTACTCACGTTGCAAGTCTCTGGCGAACTCCTTGAATGAGTAAAGCCGTTAGCGGCGACGGCCGACTTGCCTTATCCGAGTCCATACCTCTTATTGCCATGCAAGGCGCCTCCAAGCACCCAACCAGTCCGAACGTCTGAACTACAGTGAAGGCACAGCGCGGGAAGTCAACACACCCGATCGAGTCCCCAGCATTGCCTTCTCGCGAGTCAATCCACTCTGCAGCAACTCGGATCGTGAACTAGACATTGACAATCCAGCCCCTTACCTGACGTGGCCAAAGACATGAAACTGACACGTCGCAGCGGACCAAAAGTCGACTCGCTATATCTGCCCCAGTTAAGCCACCGCGATGGACGCCCACCTCGTGCCGACGTATTAGCCACCGAGTCGAAGCGTCTGGTTCGGCTTACCAGCAACGCCCGAATTGCCGGAGGAGATGCGTCGCGGGAGCCGGTCGTGATGCTACTGTGACAGGGAGGTCTTTCTTTGGGTTGGACCCCTCCATCTTGTCAAAATCTGGGGTTGGCCCACGGCATTGACGTCTCTTGGCGTTCAGGCAGAGAAACCATCACGAGCCATCACGACTGATGTCGGTGGGGAGTTGAACACCATCTCGGTGGTTCCTCGCTAGTTATTGCATGAGTGTGTAAGCGAGGCCACATGGCCTTGGGACGGCATTGCGTATGTCGGTGAGCGGCACAGTTGCAGCGCCGTGACGCAGGCCAACCAACGAGGCATTTGCGACTTTTCCCGGCTTTTCAGCCACGTTCACCAAAACCTGGGGTATCCGGGGTAGTCATCGCCTATGCTCGTGCAGGACCTGGACTACCGGTTGGTATCAAGCAGGCAGGTGGCAGTCTGAGCTGGGGTGGTGTCATACCGTCCCGTCGCGCGCGAATCCGCGCTACTCGCCATCGTCAGACGGCGGTCCTCCCGTCAGCCTGAGACACACGGCTCGTGGCTCAACCAAGAAGGTAGCGCGATCGCGTTGTGGGGTTTGCGGACTGATTTCCCGACGAGCCTGACCAAACTGTACTGAAAGCTACTTGTACCACTGTGATGTGGCTAAGCAGGACATCTTATACCATACCTAGAACTTAACATGATTCTCACAGGAATAGTCAACGTGAACGGGTACCTATATCATATATTCCAGCAGTGAAGCATCGACGGGTGACAACATGTGCAGCATAGCACAGCATTGCACAACATCCGTGATGATATGTTTGACGCGCGGTGACAGCGGATAGGGACTGAGAAGCGCCAGCCACCTGCGGATAGCAGCATGTATAGGACGCCACAGGGAGGCGTTCAGCCTGTCAGCCCAGTGCAGGTCCCCGGACGCCACAACATGTCAGATCAGACCTGGGATGATCGGCTCGCTGCGGTTTCACACGGGCGGGCGCCTGCAGCCCTCTCTGGTTTCAACGTCGCGTCCTCGCACTGCCGTTGCGTCTCGAGCAGCACCGCAGCACCAGCACCGCAGCCGGCAGATGCCCAGTGACACCCCGGCGACTCCAGTCGTGCGACGCGAGGGCACTCATCACTCGGATCGGATGAAGGAAGTCACAAGCAAAAACAACAATAGAACGAATATCTGACCTTGCCTATAGGTAAGGTACCCTTACCCCGCAAAACCCCAGATTTGCTTCTGCCATCTGGTCCCTGTTCCCCAGTCCGCTTGGTCTATACTCGATGCGTATTATACCGTAGTCCTCGACGGCAGAAGCGAGACCCCTCGAGGCTCGCCGCTTGAGCGATCATCCCGTCTGCTGACCGCCAGGACCCATTCGCTTCTTCCTGTCACTTCTCAGATTTCCTCTCGCCGCCGCGTCCCCAGCTTTTCCCCGCACGGGGTGATGACCCACCGCCTCTACTACTGTGCCAGGGTCAACGGCGCGTACCTAGCGGTACTTACTACTTCTTGGGTCACATCGTGACACAGCTGGTCGGGAAGGCTTACCGGACGCAACGAACACATGGTATCAGCAGATCAGGTACGCAGGGCAGAGACATTTTCGCTACGGGCCGCAAGTCCATATTGCGCCCATACGCCCATCCGGTCCCATCCAATCGCAACCTGCCAGACGCTTCCCCAGTCCTCGCTGTCCGTCCCAGGGGTTGCCCTTGCACCCACATGCAAGACATTCTGAGGCGCCTCTCCAGCATTCTTAATTGCCTCGACTTCTCCGCCAATGGTATTTCGAGGGACCCGCGATTTTCTGGGGAATTCTCAGGAAAGGCGTTTCATCCACAGCCAAACCTAACCCTCGGTCTAGAACAGGGCCGGAAAATCCACAAAGAGTGGATGGCAAGACCTGACGGGAAGGGTGGGCGGCCGCTTCTACTTCTGAAAAGTTAATCCCCCATTCGGAAAAATCCTGGGCCCCAGACGCCCCCTATCAAGATCCGCCCCCACACAGCGCATCCATTCCGCTTGCTTGAACGCATCGTGGGTCAACGCTCCCTTCATTTTCCGGAGGACATGATCTCCAGTCCAAGTCGATCGTCCTCCAGTCTGGCCTGACGTCCTTACACCCTCACCATCGTAGGATCATCGCCGTAGCCGACACTATCCACCTACATATCCAGGAACCGAGAGTGACGAGGGGCATCCCATTGGTCTGTAGGCTGCCTGCCAGTGACGCCCAGCCACCCGAACCCCAGATTCTCGGTCATCCCGTCTGCAGTCTGGAGAACAGATGATGACGAGACCCACCCTTTCGGATCTGAGGTCCTTCGAAGCCTTGGAAGGAGGCTTACTATAATAATAGTCATCCGGCCCAAGAGAGGAAGACAAGGGCCAACAACAGAGCCTCTGATTCGTCACGAGCTGGGGATTACTTCCAGAATAGGTCCAGTAAGGCCGTCTGTTCATGCGTTGTATATGCCAGCAACTTGCGAATATGCTATGTATGTGCAAGTGCTATGTAGGTATGTGCAAGCCAAGTCCTCATACTATTTACTTTTTCCTCGTCTCAGTCGTTCGTCACTGCGTCAGGCAGGTACACCGCCATGATCTGACGTAGTATGATATCCGTTCATTCATTCGTTCATTTGTCCGTTATGTTTTTTGCCCAGTACCACCGTACCCCAGACCCCATCATCAAAGAGAAAAGGGTCCACGCTGCCGCCGGCCCGCTTCCTGCAAGCAACCCCACCCCCCCCTTTTTCCCCTGGTTCCCCTTCCACCCCAAGAAAGACTGACCCCACCATGCATTCAAGGCAGAGAGGTATCATCGCTGAAACAACAACAGCAAGACGAATCAACCTTGAAAAAAATCATAACTTTCGTCCCGTCAACCCCGTAGGCCCTGTCCCTGTCTGACAGTTGGCCATGGAACCCCTGACTGACTCGGCAGCTCGACCGAGAAGAAAGAAAGCTCATGTGATCGGCTCTGTTCGCCACATACACACGTAAACCCGCATACGCCTCGTAACACTCGTAATAGGTACACACCCCATCCGTAGTTATGTACACATGAATCGTCACCAGTGACCAGTGAAAGATCAGCACTTAATGCCCAAAAGAAAAAGCCGAGCCATCCAAGCCGGTAGTAGCAGCAGAAGCAGGCGAAGTAGCCGCTCCCAACTGCAGTCCACCATCGCCACCACCACCAACGCCAGCAAAGGAGACCCCGCCGTCGTGCAGGTTGCCGAACTGCTGCTGCGCCCACTCCATCTCCTCAGGCACGCCGCCCCCCCACATCATGCCGTCGAGGTCCCACAGGCCCCCGTGCTGGTCGGGCACGCCGCCCCAGAGCAGGCCGAAGCCCTCGGGCTCGAGCCCGATGGGCGACATGTGCAGCTGTTCTGCGGCTGCGGCCATTGCCGCTTCGAGCCCGCCCACGCCGCCGTGGTCGGTGATGACCTGCAGGCGCTGCTGCTGCCGGGGCGGCGAGGAGGCGCTGTTGTCGTTGTTGGTTCCATTGTTGCGGTGAGCACGCATCCCGGGCTCCAGCTGGCGCGAAGCCTCGTACATGTGCCAGACGACCTCGCGCGAGCGGCGCGCGGCGAGCGACCAGTCCTGCATGGCGTCGAGCAGATCCAGGATGGTCTCGACCTGCTTGCGCCAGCCGTCGACGCGCGGGCTGTCCCACTGCCAGAAGACGGACACGAGCGGGATCATGGCGGCCTGGTACAGGAACCAGACGGCGTTCCACCCGCTCATCTGGTTGCGCGTCCACTCGCGCGAGATGTCCTCGATGGTCTGCGCCGCTAGGTCGCGGCACGCCTCGATGGCCGCGATGTCGTGCTCGGCCGCGTGCGACGCGCCGCTGCTGGCCAGGTTGAGCAGCACGGGCCGGTGCAACAGCATCCGCAGGTTCTGGTACCGCCACTTCATGATGCAGCGCGCGATGTAGAGCGGCTCGGCGCAGGGGTCGCTCGTCCGCAGCAGCCACGGCAGGCTGCTGTACCAGTTGACGAGCTGCCCGTCCAGGTTGCAGCGGTCCTCGGTGCGCAGCAGGGGCGAGATGGCCAGCATGTCCTGGATCGTCGTGGCAATCTTGCAGAATTTGATGTTCTCGATCAGCGGCAGGATGCCTGCGTGTTGGGCCGAGTCCCTGCCGGAGCTGACGCCGGTCTCGGCGGGACGGATGTTGATGGCTGGGCCCCACCGTCCGAACGAGGGCCGGCCCATGGTAGTCGTGGCCCAGGTATCGAGACAGAACAAGCTCCACCACGTGCGTCTTCGAGTCTCCGCGGCGGCGATTTCATTGCTGGTACCAGACGGCCCATGGGCTAGGCTTTCGCGGTGAAGTCCAAGGGCGCTCGCCATCCGTATGGCAGCTCCGACTACGGCGTTCGCCATGTTCGGTCTGTTGATGTAGTGTAAGTAGTAGCCTCCTACCAATGCCAAGGCCTGGACGATCTCGATGTGGCTGCTGCCAAAAGAGTCCACTGGCAGATATTCCATAGCCCGGCTGTAGTAGTTGATGTGATTGTAGTCGTCCGATTTCATCGCCACGATGCTGCCCATGGCAAAAACCATGTTCAGAAGCGCAAGCCACGGGGCGTCGAACCTCTGGCCTTCCAGATAGTCTGCGCGAAACGATGCCTCGTCTAGCATGGGGATGAAGACGTGAATCCGCTTGAAGTATGCATCAATCAAGGTCTGACCCTTCCAGGACCACGGTACCCGTTGCGGCTCTTTCGAGTTCGTGACCTTCTGCCGCATGGTGGGCAGGTTGTGTGCCATCTCGACGCTGTTGAGCGGTGGTGTGAGGGAGCTTCGCAGGCCTGGCTGCACTTTGAGCATTACCATGAGTGCAGCCTTGATGGACGAAGCCCCGAGGTAGGACGCTTGGCGGTCGACCGAAAGGGACAGGGCGTTCACATCGTCCGCCTCGACGGGGATTGGGTCTCGTCCGCGGCGTTCCTCGTCCCATTCCATGTCCCGAGACGGTAGTTGCTCCAGCGAAGAGAGGCTAGAGAGGCCATGGTCGGATCCTGACAGGGTCGGAGATCCCATGTCACCGGAGAAGGGCGAGGTATTCAGTGGCGGCGATGGGAGTGCGGTAATGGAGTCATTGATGGGACGATCGAGAAGGTTGAGCAGCTCCTGCCGAGGCAATGGTAGTAAAGACTGCATTTCGTGGTGGGGAAACAAGCGCTTGAGTATCGACCGGCATTCCTCTAGGGATTGAGACAAGGCCTCGAGAGTTCTACATAGGGTTAGATGGTATCGTGGCCATTACAGTCCAGGCAACCTACTTTCTGGATGGGATCACCCGCTGACGATGCTTGTCGTAGAAGCATCTTTTAGGGGCTCGACTTGAGAGGCATTGCCCACATGGTTGCTGCCCATCGCAGCGACTGTAGTCCTGTCAGTTGACTCGGCTTCTTCTGGAATGTCGCACAAGCCCTACATCTTTCTTCGCTTGCATTCAGCGCATGCATGAGGTGTAGTAATTCGCTTGGCTGCGCTTGTACTACTTGACTTGGCGCTTTCTGTAGAGTCTGCTGAGTGCTTCCGAGGAGTAACTCCTTGGACTGAGTCTGGTGTCAACGGCACTTCTTTCTCGGTCTTCTGAAGGGGTGGTCAAACTTACAGGTGTGGAACATGCCGCCTTGCGTGGGGATAGGGATACTCGGTGCCATCTTGGCTCAAGCCGTCCCTGGTAGACGGAATCTGATGGAGGAAGTCGACGAGTAATGTTGACCTGCACGAGACTCGATGTAATATAGAGTCATATATAAAGTTGCCGAAGCTGGTATCGACAGTTCCTGGGGTTATGGGGAGGATGGGCTCAACCGATGACGGACAGGGTGGGAGACGATGAAGACTTATATAAGACATGGCCATGCAACCCTCTGGCTGTGGGGGACGTGGAGGATCTGGACAATCTGGAGATGAAGGGGTCGGCAGCAGATCCCTTGGTGTGGGGAAGGCAGCCCGCGTTGCGTTAGCTTGGTCAGGAACAGGAGGACTATATCACATGGGCTATACCCTAGGTACAGAATACTACATGACAGGCAGACAGGTCAAGCCGGGAGAAAACAAGGTACGGAACCCAAGAATGCGGGTGTTGTGTACCAGAGCAACTTAAGCTGCTACGGACGGGTGGAGGGAGCATTCGCAGTGGAGGTCAAAGGTCAAAAGGTCAATGGTCAATGCCGTGTCGTCGAGCCGTCGAGTCTTTACTAAGACGTCCACGTTACCGCCACATTCCAGCCAGCCAACCATACAGCTGGATTACGCCTCGCCTAAATCGACACTGTCTTCTGTAAGATTCTACCTGGTAAGTGCACTTAAACGAGGTTTGTATAGATTGATACGTGATTTCTTGATGCACATTCCCGTCCAAAAGAACATATTCTTAACTGACGTCGTTCATTGCGGGATTGATCATTTCAGAGTCGTATTTGTGCGCCGTGTGTGCTGCTGTGGTGCCGTGTCTAGAAGAATAGGTATGTAGGAAATCCAGCTGGAGACAGCTGGACTTGGTTTGCGCGCAGTGCAGAGGGAAGCTTCGAAGAAGCTGGTAAATGAGATGTTCGCCACGAGAAACGAGAGTTGGTTGATAGTCTGCGGCGTGAGTGAGGGTACGGGAGACAGTGGGGGGCGACGTGTTGGATCTGACCCCGTTCGGTTTGGAGTAAGGTAAGAATTATCTCAGGAGCCAAGCGAGCGGTCTCGGGCACCCGTTGATCAGAGCATTATCAAGCTCATCTTAACATCGGCTTCGTAAACCTTGGGTAATGAGGATGAGAATCGTGGATGCGAATGGGCGACAGGAGATGAGAGCAGGAATGGCGTTTCACTTTTAGCTCATCAACGCCTGACTGCTCAGGGCAAGGCTTTCCGTGCGGTTCGGCGAGTCATGTTATGCGCCCCTGTCTCCGGCAGTAAGCAGCATATGCAAAGAAGCAAGTTGAAGCAACAACTGGCGGGCCCTGAGCTGCGAGCAGGCGTCGGACGTCGGTTGTGAAAATGGACATGCTGCCCGTCCCGTGGGGAAGGGGACTGGGGTAAAGGCCCATACAGTATTGGGCAGGATGGCAGCACGGCAAATGGGCATTCGCCAAATGGACTTCTGTACCTTTCCATGCGCACTTCCCACACATGACCTGCGCGTCTCCGGGGTATCTGCCCGCTTGAATGCTTCGAGAGAACAACCCAGCGTCACGACAGTCGAACGCACAACCCTTCTATCGGCGTCGTTCCTCGCACGAAACCAGCCACAGCACCCACACTCGTGGCATACTGTATTACTATTCTGGCGGTGACAAGGACCGATTTGGAGAAGCCACCTCGGCAACTCGGCCGCACTTGGTTCTCCAGATCTTACTGGCCAGGCTGTGGGTCTCCCGGAGAAACCCCTGCTGCCATGGGTTTTATGATCATCAACGATTTCCCCCGCGATCCCTTTCTCCTTCTCAGATCCTCGAGGGGTGATCGGCCGGCGGAGATTCGCAAGTTAGCCGTCAAAGGGTTGCAACGAGACAGCGTGAGAGCGCCGGCCAGATGACCTAGCGCTTGTCGTGAGCACAGGCGACGGCGGTGTATCTTGGTGTGTGCAGGGGTACCGCAGTCTGCCAGTCGCGACTCGCCGGCCATGTGGTAAACTTCGGCCAGAGAGCCGTGTGATTTCTTTTCTTTCGACTTCTGGGGTAGCCGGGGGCCCGAAAAGATGAGAGTGGATGATGGTGCATGGACGTGCGGAAGTATGATGAGCCAGATGCCGCTCGAGTCCACATGACCGGGGTTTAATATATAGAACGTCGCAAAGCGCAGACTTAGCGCTCATTGTCAGGCACATATACCGCGTAACTCATACCAAACCCATGTTTCGTGCCGCGAATAGCACGAACTGCACCATGACTTTCAACCGCTCCGGGTCAGATAGAGTAGCGTGCCGGCGGGAATCCTGGAATGAAGTTCTGAGTGACATTCTGCCCAAGGACGTGGTCCGTCGGATTGCCTCAGTCAAGTGCACTTGTCTCGAGCTGAGCTGATCACCTTTCACGCGTGCTGGAATGGTATCAAAGCGAAACGAATGGCATTCCTAATGCGCCGTGAAGTACCGTACTATGCCTGCGTGCCGGAGTACTACTCATCTAAGCCACCCCAGGTCTTCGGTTTGCCTGCCTCGGGTTGTCGGTACGCGGTTACAAATTGTCGTCTTGGTAGGTCACAAGGTGCAGTGTGGTCCTTTTCCTGCCTGCAAGCCTGCGAGATACAGGGTGTATCTGTATGCAACCATCGCGCTCGGCCGATCTCTACGTACCAATCAGTCATGATGACGAGAAGGGAGAGGGTGGACCAAGCTGGTAGGCCAACGGCCATGCGTCTCTACCAAATCAAGATGGACTTCTGTCGCATATGTAGCAAGCTTGGGCGAGTTCGGGTCCCTGAGCGTTCTGCTCCGGATCAGCCGTGAGCCCTGGCTGCTGGCTGGCTGCTGGCTGCTCGTTCCTTGGTCCGAATGTCCAGTTCCTGCGCATCCCACAAACTCACCCGTCCAGTCATCAGCCGGCCAGCATACCCCACACTGCCTCGGTTAGATGGCTGCACCTCAGATGGTCGTACATAATGTGGAGTGCATTGCGCATTCGACGCAGCAGCTGACACGGCAAAACTGTATAAAGGCAATGTGTACGCCCTTCGCTTAAGCACCATGATGCGTGCAGCGAAAGAGACACCGAGGAAAAGCGACGGCGGCTCTGGGGCTTGACGGCTTGGCAGGACCTCTCGCAAGCAGAGTCTCTGCTGCAAGCGGCCATTGGCATATTGAGCCTGTCTATTTCTGTCCCCACATACCCAGAGTCAGATCCTGCTGGGTCCATATATGAGATATGGGGCACTCGGCCTCTCGAGAGGAGGGCGCATCCGCCCTGGCCGACGTGTTCTGTCATGAGAGAGTATCGCGTAGGTCCACCATTGCCTCCGGGCAGCTGAGTACCAGCCAGCCTCTGTAGGTGTGCTGTCGATATAGGACTATAGTCGATGGTAGTGAACAATAGTTCGCGTAGTTGCAGATGGAGGCGGTGGCTAGACGCGGCTCTGGGCGTGTAGTTCATCTATATGCTCTGATTTCGATATTGGGTTATGAGGTCGCCAGTGGCAGGACTGTGTTCATGACGGCTTAATCATCCGTCGTTGGAAGAGCTCTCTGGCCAATGAGTATCTGCAAGCCACTTCGTGCTGACAGCGGTTGACGTATGCAACCTTGAGCGAGGTAGTCCGTTTCCGACCAACACCACGTGCCTCACGGTCCAGATCGAGTCATGTACCCTATTCCCCTTGAAGGTGCCAGCAAAGCTGGACTAGGCCGTGAAAGGGCAGATGTACATCTGTCGTGTGTAGTTGGTATACTCGAAGTTTGGCCGAGCATCTGCTGCGCCATACATAAGTAAGTCGGTGTCCAATTAGAGGTCGTGGAGTCAAGGGCTACATTGTCCTGTAGATTAAATTTGCCCTCCAATTTAAAAATCATGGAAACACACAAGAAACCTGGAGAAGCGTCGCATCGCCACTTGCGCATCCATACCATTTTCAAATGCCAGAAACACCCAGAGGGTCCTATCACTCAAAGTCCAAGCAGTCTCCAAGGCCGCGTTCGAGAAGTTTCGTGTACCACACTGGTCAGCAAGATCCATACATGCAATGGCGTAGAAAATATGACGCACCTGACCAGATTAATATGTGTGTAATAAGCCATAGGATGAGCTGACGGAACTGACCTGACGGCCTGGGTGGCTCTAACCAGAGCCGCAGGATTGACCCGCTGTCATGTAGCTGTTGCTGTCTCTGTGGTGCGTTAATACATACCAAGACATCGTCCCCAATACATTGAAGATGATTCAACTGGGTGACTTGGTGTGATTGGGGTACTTGGGGTAAGGTAAGAAGGTATAAAGTCTTTCCAAGAAGCATATATGTCTCTGAACGGGGGACCGCTACTGCAGGGCAACACAGATTGCATGTTGGATTGTCAGCCAACCGCAGCGATGCCCAAAGTGGGAACGACCACTGCCCAACAGGAAGAAACTGGATAGAGCCTCGAGAGCGGATTCACGGAAACAGTACGGCAACGAGAAGACCTATCGCGCTCTTGTGCCTGACGTTGATCCGTTCGACCTTGAACACCCGAGGCCGAATTCTGGTTGCACACGTAGTAGACGGCAAACTGACGTATCCAAGTTCTTACTTGGTGTCAATGTGATTATTCTGGGTCCTGTTGCTTGCAAGTGGTAGTATCGACGTCACTCATCTCATTCAGCCGAGCGGACAGCACTTTTCCTCTCCAGGGAAAGCCGACAAGACTCTGAAACTTCGACCCTGAAGGCGTCTGATGGTGGCTACACGCAGACCATGAGGTTACCTACTGCAAAGGGCCTGCGGTCCGAGGTCTGTCCCCACTCTGGCGCTCAGAGAGCAGGATGGTGTGAACATGTAGGGTAGTATCGTCATGCCTGCCAATGGAAGCTTCCAGGCTCTCCAGATCTCCACAATCTCCAACTTCCCCATGATTACAGCCGGATCTACAAGGCGAACTCCGGACGAGCCGCCTATGAGAACGCCGCTTCCAATTGCTGGTAGCCCACATCTTACAGGCGAAGTACCTGGCACCGGCTGCTGATGCCGTCGAATATGCACGTATCGTCGATAGGGATGTACTGCTTGGTGATGATTTTTATCATCTCCTGTGCCACCATACCGCCAGTGATTGCGGAAATGTTGTGGAGTTCCCCTCCTCCGGCGCGTGCAACTTCCTGAGCAACTTGCCAAAGCCTTTCATGTCCCGCTGCTTCAGGTACAGCGTTGGTGATGGTACTCACAATCTCTTCAGCAGTAGCTGCTGGATTGTGAGCGGTCGCCGTGAGTGCCAGGTAGATGAAGAAGTTGGACGCCGGTAGACTAAAAGCACCACAAGTTGCAACTTTCATAGCCTCCGCCTCCTCGTCGCTTGCCTTCTCGGTATCTGCAAGGTGTCAGTACATCTACAAGTAAGGTATCTCCTTACAGTGTTGTACTTACCGAATACCTGACTGAGGTTTAGCTGCCTTGGCTTTGCATTAATGAGCTTCACGAAGCGAGCGTTCTTGCAAAAAAGGTCCACCTCGGTGGGATCGACGTCTTTGCCACCTGGACTTGCTCTAACCGTCTCCAGCACCTCCTGTGCATCTTTTCGAGCTTTTGCCTTGTATATACTCTGCAGCTTGACGTAGACGCTCGACTGTGCCTTCATGTCGGGTAACGCTCCAGGCAAGGGAAGGCAGCCATGCTTGTGGTAGAACTGTTTGATGGCTCTGGCGATCACCCAGAACATGGATTCGAGTTCGGCCTAGCGATGTTAGCCGACGATACTTCAAGCATACCCTAAGATAATTACCTCATCGGATACTTGATGATTAAACACCTCCTCCACCCCCGCCTCCAACTCCGGTGCCTTGATGTTCTTGTTGATAGCGGCAACAGCTTCTTGGAAATTCTCTTCGCCACCCTCGGGGTTGTTAGTCCTCGCGCCCCTTGTCACCAATTTGCCGAACTCTGTCTTATCTTTAAAGCCATTGGGATTCTCTCCACTGTGCGACTGTCGCCACTGCTCCAGGTAGTGAAGTAGGATGACAACATATGGTACGTGGCCATGTTCATGATCGTCTAGTGCATCGATGTTTCTGGTCATTTCTTTCGCGAACTCCACAAGCTCTGGCCAAGGGTTGAGAAGGCGGAGATCTGCCGTTTTCTCCACCTCCGGATGGGTGTCGACAATCGGGAAGGTACCAGGTAAGGCTATACGGAAATAAGAGTAGAACCCCGCGGAGTGAATGGAGATGACTGGTGTCCTGTGCTGACTGCTATATGCCTCGATCGTCGCGAGATCCTCCTTTCGGATAGGATTGGTGTATATGATCAGCGTAAAGATGGGTGAGGTCTCTAAAACGTTGGCAAGGTCAAGGGGGCCCTAGCATACGGGTTAGCTCCTTGCCCAAGCGACTTGAGGAGTCTCAAATACCTTCTCCTTGGGGAACCAGTCCCCTTGAACCTCTGGGTTCAGCTCCTGGAGGAGCTTGGTGCAGCATTCGGATCGCAGTCTCCCCAAAGAGCTCTCGTCAAGGAAGAAATTCACACCTAGGTCCGCTTCGTTCACGAGGGCATCATCTGCTATGGTGAATTTTCCAATACCTGCGACCTCGTTAGTCTCACCGGGTGTAGAGAGCTCATATCTCGGAGGTTGCCTACCTGGCAGGACGAGATTCTTGAGGGTTTCCACGCCGACGGTGCCTGCGCCAGAGTTGACTAGCAGGATATTGGCGGACTCCAAAGCTGCTTGACCGCTGGCAGCCCACAGTCTGAGCTGTCGGTCATACTTTTTCTCCTTCTCTGTGGGCCCGTGCAGCATCGGCGGCGTTTGGCTCACCACAATCTCAGTCATCTTCTGTCGGCGCGGGATGCCCGCTGTTTAACTCGGATTTTCGCCGTACTGGAACCGTCCGCCTTGCCTGGCTGGTCTGAAAATGGCGCGAGATGTCTTGATAAGTTCAAGACCAACGAAATATTGTCGTTGCTTGGGGTGCTGGCGCGAGAATTGGCTGATTTTGAAGGTTGGGCGTCGAAGGCAAACAGCAACTGAGAGCTCTGAGGTGTGACGTTGGGATGTGGGCCAGGTGGCTTGGCCCTTACTTCCTCTAGCCACAAGCCACACTTGCGTCTCCTCTCGTCTCCAGCTGGCAGCAGCTGACAGGACTGGCAGACTCGTGGCACCTCCTCTCTGCATCCGCTTGCTTAGATTCGCAACGTCTACAGGTAAGTCCGATAAGAGTGGGATGTTTGGGACAATCGTAGCCTGACTACGCCTGATAGTTCAGGATAATGTCCCGATTGCGTGACCAGGGACGATCCTGGCATTTCTGCTTCTGCTTTCGTATCCACGCTGTGGCTACTGTCACGGCACTAAGTAGCAGCCCCACAGCTCCAGGGGTCCAACCCCTATATATACCAGATCCTATCACCTAGCTAGCTTCATAGTTTCTTTCCTTCTTCACGTACATCAACAAAGTCATTTTTACAGTCACTTGCAGCGGAACCGTGACAGCTACATTCCCTAGATTACGTGAGGCTGTTCTTATGTGTTGAAACTCAAGGACCTGTTGCTGACATATACTTTGACGAAATAAGGTGTAAAAATTTGAGTCTTTTGGTTCAGAGTTCCTACTCCAGAGACACTGACTCTCGAATCGGCCCAAATCTCTATATCGATCTAAGTGACGAATGCAAGCCAGGGGTTGTGCCTGTTTGTTACACCCTTCCATGACTAGCCCTTTCGGATGGCATGCATCCAGTGCTTGCGCACCATCATACAGTCTCCAAGTGAACTTGATACTCGGGGCGAATCGCACTTCAATCAATCCCTTCCGAGGTTGTTAGCAACTAGCCGCTGCTGAGATGGTCTTTCTAAGTAAGATGACCAGACCAGGATGCTCTGTTTCAAGAACCACGTTCTATACCCTTAAAAAAGGCAGAGGGACCTAGCTGATGTACCATGGTTCAGTTCGTTGACTGCAATAAGTTTATGCCGCATAGCATTCCACATGTAGAATAAGCAACCTAGGAAAGGTCGGGGTGTTGGGGAGGCTCTGTGATGATTTGCAGGCTTCGGTCTTGATAAGTCTGAAGACCCGCATACTTCTACTCAGGACGCCAAACCCCGACGTCGTGATCAAGAACGCCAGCGTGAGAGCTGACGCATGGCCCCGTGGGTACAGTTGTATTTCTGACACATGCTGCTGACCAGGCCCCCAGGTCTTGCCTATCTGTCAAACGATGGTGGCTTGAAAATGCACCAAGAACCGCAACAATGCTAGGCGCTTACCAGCACTCATCCGTGCTCATCACTATGATCTTCCAGCCTCAAGATGACCCGATTAAGCACAGGAAGAGCAGGAAGCCGTCGCAGAAGCCTACAGCAACTGACCAGTCGATATGATCGTTCATGGCAATGCCTCTCTTCGTATGTCTTGGAACTTGTGGTAGAGACGTCGCAGACGTTGACAGAAGACCGTAACAATACCAGATACTGAACTTGGATGGGCGGAGTCGCTGGCGTCAGCGCTTCAGGGGGTTGAGCTGCAGACTGCAGTCGCAGCTCACTCTCTCGCAATTGGAAGACCATGCCTTAAAGTATGCAGAGCTGCCGCCTCAAGGTATGATCCCATGCAGCCACCGCAGTACACCTGCTTGGTGGGGGAAGAGCCTCTCTTGGGGGTCAGAAATGCCAAGATAGGCATTCAGTGCCGATAACTTTCGATCCTTGTATAAGGTACGTCCGATGACGAAGATTCGGCTTAGGGGCCGTGTCTGCTTCACGGGCTGAGCTCGGTCGGTACTTGCGGAGTAACCTGCATTAAATTGATTTACTGTAGCTTACTGTACTGATTAGAGCTTATGAGTAGAAGTCCCGAAGACAGCCAACCTCTGTTACCAGCGGCCATTCGACCCCCTGAAGAGCGCAAGGAAACGTCGGGTCACCTTATCCGGTGTTGAGCCAAGCCTCAAGGGGCTAGAATATCTTGGCTCCTGGAACGGGGACGTTGTGATGACTACGGACGATCTCGGCACCCAAGCTATCTGCTAGAGGAGAATGGCCCTCGTAGCGCCCTGATCTATTCTAGTAGGTCCAAAGTGGCCGATCGAGAGGCTCTCGAGATCCGGTCGGATTTGGTAATGCGGTGTTGTCTTACCCGGTCCTGGCACGGTAGCCAACGACTTTGAACTTCGAATGACAGTAGCTGGCGAACTTCTTCGTGAGTATTTGTACTAATTGGCAGGAAGTGGCACCGGCCTCTTGCGTCTGCTTCTCTATATAATTTGTCGACGGTGAGTCCTAGCAGAGACCATTCAAGGCTCTGGTCATACGCGAGTGCTCATAATCGTGGAACAATTAGCGTAGCAGGTTATGTGCAAAGAGTATGGTGCTGCTGTATCATGTAGCTTAAACCAATACGAAAAAGAAAGGGAAAAAAGTTCGGGTGCGGAGGGCCAAAAAGGAAAAGAAGAAGAAAAAGAACATGTTAGCCGCTAGGGGAATCGAACCGCTGTGCCTAAGGATATAGAATAAGAATACTCCGCTATTCGCTAGGCCGCACCAACCCGGCTACCAGTCAAACCTGATAAACTCGTATATATATCTTGTACCGTTGTGGGTGGAATAGGGGGGCTGGGCTATAAGCTTTGCAAGGGCAGCCACGTTTTTTATCTTCCCATTGCGGTAGATGGCGTACTTCCTGTCGCCAAAGCCAAATTCCACGGCGCACCAGACGAAGCCCTTCGCACAGCAAGACCCTTGGCAAAGACCAAGTCACCTGCTTTGAAGTACGAAGAAGTTGTGCCGATGCTCTTGGGGGAGGATAGGTAGTCCGACATGTACGATATAACATCGATGCTGAAAGTGCCGTCGGAAACTAATGTAGACTGACAGGCGTTGTTGTCCGAGGCCTCCCGGCCCTGCCGGCCAGGACGCTTGCAATGAGCGACATACCGTTCTTTCTCAGCCCTGGACTGGGGGATATAAGGCGGCCAGCTAGAATGGTACCCAACCTACACATGGTGGATCCTCACATGTCCCCAGCAATGTGTCCACATACTCGGGTTCCCACGCAAGAAGAATAACGGCCCAGGAACCATGACCATGGCCAGACAGGAAGCACACAGAATGAAGGCCTCACGTGGTTCGGCCGCATCCAAGCCATCGAAACAGACCAGAGCCTCGCGTTGACTCTTCTCAAAGAGGAAGAACAACCTTCCGCTCTCACGCCCCTTTTCAGTTCTCACTGTTATGCGCGCTACTTCCAGCACCGACAGGCCCAAGGCAAGGCAGACACACAATGTCAGCCGAGGTGGACCTGGTTGAAGTTATCCAGCGTAGATGACCAAAAATTAACTGTGTTAGGTTCAGGCCCTGGCTTGAGCTTTGCCGGAAACCCATCCGTGCTCAAGCCCATTGAAATCCCCGCAGCGGTGGAGATGGTGATGTGCATAATGATAAGGTAATCACCTAGACTCAGGAGTCAGCCATTGTCCTAGGGGTGACGGACGGGAATAACCCACCAACTGTTGCTAGGTATTCGTATATAACGAAGTTCGTCGACGACCGGACTGCTTGAGGATCCTGAGCTTTCTTTGGTTTGGGAGTGACTAGTGTCGGACAGGACGTTCGGACGTACAGCTTCCCAAAGCCCAGAGCTCTTGTTAAACGCCCGTGCTACTGGTATCTGGCGATGACATCCTCTCTCGAGTTAGGGTGAAGTTCAGAACGGTCTTTGAGGAACGGGGTTATCGTATGCGAACTGTATCGTACAAGCGTCTAGAGACTGAACGTTGGCATTGTCTCCGGGAGGAGGTTGCGTAACGGTGCTCGTGAGATTGTCGTTGCTGTGAAACAACTGCAAATCTGCTATCTTCAAGAATGGCACGTGTGCACACCCCTGTGACATCAATGACTGCCTGGCCTCCGGTAGCCTAAGTTAGGTAGGTATCAAGGGAACCGTTATGGATTACGTGACCAGGTTGTGAGGTGACCCCTGACGAACCGGTCCCCAGAGTGGGCCTAATAAGCGAATGCGAAGTAGGATGGAAGCGATGCGAATGGCCTGCATTTGGTTGGCTCAGTACGGTACTGACCGTCAAATCGGGAATGACGCCAAGAGATATACCGATTTAGTCATTTCCTACGCCAATGGAAGGATCAGCAGACAGGTTGCCTACATGTGATGGCTGTGTTCTACATTGGCCGGACGAAAGGCCGGGCTGAGGTCTAGGTTGAGTTTGGTGCCATTGTTGTGAAGGAAGACAATGTGGCTTCGCATCGCATTCATCTTTACTCGACTGCCGCTTGCCTCGGGCGGTGTGACGCTGCCACAATGGTTGATGGTTGCCACGGCTCCATCAATTAGCCCGCCACAGTGCCGTCTGGTGTTTGACACCACTCTTCCAACCGGCCCTATTCTCACAAACATCCCTCGAGGTACATAATAGAGGGAGGGTTTCACAGAAAACGTTGCTCGGGAATTTGCCATCTGACCATTTCGATCGCGTGGCACAACACTGTCACATGCCATCCGAAACTAGCAAAACATTCGACTTTGCCGCTTAACACCAAAAACGACCACGGCCACGGCCACGGCCACGGCCACGGCCCAGCTCACCAGCAGCATGACGGAGACATCAGCTAAGATGTTGGATGCGGAAACGAAAGAGGAGGAGCAGCGTGCAACTCCTCTTTTCAGCAATCCGGCGGCAGCAGCCAACCCCCCGGATCGTGCAGAGCTGCCGCCGTTGCGCCTGGCCCTGCTAAGTTTTGGGTATGTCAACCAAATTAGAGACATGTTGACAAACTGAAACTAACCGGTGGATAGTCTCTCGGTTGGACTCTTCCTGAGCTTCCTCGACACTTCTATCGTTGCTACCAGTCTCTATACCATCGGGGTCGAGTTCGATGACCTCGAAACCGTGAACTGGGTAGCGCTCGCCTACACCTTGTCGTACCTCGGATGCGCGGTCTTCTTGGCTCGCATGTCTGATGTCATAGGCCGACGCGGTGCTTTCCTGGTATCCTACATCATCTTCATTGCTTTCTCTATCGCTTGTGGCTTCGCGGAGAGCCTAGGACAGCTCATTGCATGTCGTGCACTCCAAGGAATTGGAGGCTCAGGTACGCGACAATATGAAGCCTGCACAAGGTGTAGTTGCTGACAATCCCTTCAAGGCCTTTACTCCATATCGATGGTCATCTTCCCCGAAGTCTCCCCACCTAGACTGCAGCAGCTTCTAGGAGGGGTGATTGGAATGATCATCGCCATGTCTAGCGTACTGGGTCCGATACTGGGTGGCGTATTCACCCACTATGCAACGTGGAGATGGATCTTTTGGATCAAGTACGTCCTCTTGACTTGACTGACCGACCGTGTTAGCAAGTATACGGTGCTGACCTATCATTCAGTGCTCCGATTGGCGCAGTGTCGATAGCCCTATTCTACTTTACCTGGCCGAAACCCCAATACCTGCCAGACCAAGAGCGGAGAGGCTGGAGGGAACTTGACTATCTCGGCTCGGTCCTTTTGATTGCCTCGGCGGTGTCAGTAGTGTTTGCTTTCCAGAGCGCTGCAGGTAACCAGGAACACTGGACGCAAGCAATCTTCCTGGCGCCACTAATCGTTGGTCTGTTTGGTTCGGTCAGCTTGCTCGTATGGTCGATGTTTGTAGAGCGGCACTGGGGCGATACAATGGCTGCGGCGATCCCTATACGCCTCCTACATAATCGGGCCTATGCCTCGGCCGTTCTCAACACCATGTTTCTTGGGTTCCCCTATCTCCTCACTGTCTATGCATTCCCGCTAAGACTGCAGGTGGTCAACGGTAAGGGTGCCCTCATGGCGGGGGTGATGCTTCTCCCCATGTTGGGATCAAGTGCTGTAGGCTCCTTCTTGGCTGGCATGGTGAACGGGAAGAAGGACAGAAACTTCGAGACGTTGATCGTGGGCACATGCTTGATGGTCTCGGGCTGCGGACTTATGTCGACACTTTCAGATTCGTTTGATCTCGAGGCGAAGGCCTTGGGTTTCCTGGTCTTCGTCGGCCTTGGCTTCGGAATGACGATCTCAACTGCAACCATGCTCACGTCGTTACATTCTTCCATCAGAGATCATGGTCAGTTCCCGCCCATGCAGACACAACGATTTGGATGCTAACAGGAAAATAGCTCCGGCGCAGGGCATAGTGGCGCAAGTTCGAGTCTTAGGTGGCAGTATCGGTATTGCAGCTTCGTCGGCTATCCTGGGTGTGACACTCCGGAAGCAGTTTGGGGAAACCGTCTCACCTGAAGAACTGTCGTCACTCAAGGGAAGCGGTAGTGGCCTGACTCCGAATCAAGCTGCTCTAGTCAGACAGGCATACTCGGATGCCTTCAACGAGGAGATGCGGGTGTGTGCAGTCGTTGCCGCCGTGGCCGTACTCTTCACCTTCGGCATCTTCAGTCGAAAACGCGTTACGCCAGATGAACACAGACAGCAGCAGATCCGGGACGAGGTTCAACGAAGGAGAAATGCGGCTGTCGTGGATAGGCCACGATCGTTTGAGATGCAGGTCCTATGAGGCTGGCGAAAAATGACGAATAAGCCAACAGTCTGCTTTTGCCTAGACTAGATTATGGCTGCATAGATAGTTAGATACCCACCTACCTAGCATGCTAGACATTTAATGCAGAGGGGGGACGTTCCTGTCTGCATCTGCTTTGTATTCCAGAGTTGAGACTGAGCTCGAACTCTGGCTTTATTCTCTGTCATGTAATAGCAATCTGCGTGTCGTTCGACGCGGTTCGAAGAGAAACACGCCCAGCAACCATGCTGATCTTGGTCACAACTCGAAAGCACATTTTGAGAATCATCAGGGTGCATATGTATGAGTCGCTTGATTAGCCGTAAAGGCTGCTGCTGATGTTGTTGGTGGATCAAGATCTTCTAGAAAAGCCAGACGGCGAGATCTTCAGTTAGTCGTTGTAGCTCGGGTTGGCTGACTGGTGCAGTTGGCAGATGGAGGAGCTCGGCAGGAGCCGCAATTGATCTGAGGCTGGACAGTGGGGACATTGGATCGAATTCAGCTGCTAAACTGACCCCCGGCCCCCTTGCCCCTTGCCCGGCCCCTGCCACCAAGGTCGCGCTACAGCTACAGCCACTGCTGGGCCCGGGCGCATCTTGCGTGCGGGCGTGCACCGTAATTTGTCGATACGGTGTCAAGGGTGTCTTAGCGCACCAGCAGCATCGCTAGCCGTCCAAGGTGCCAAGGTTCCATTGATGAATTCGACACCTCTTTTTATCTCCAGCTCCCCCATTGTACCACAACCAGCAGCTGTATGAACAAGGACCACGACATCCCACTACGGACCCGGGCTCTATCTCTATGGGTGCTTCACCGTTAACATTGAAGCTCTTACCAATGACATCGTGAACACATCTGGGGCCTCCTTTGCGCTTGCGACCTCGCGCCGCGCCCTTTGCGATCAAGGTCGCCCGTCACGAGCCCTTGATTTTGAACTCGACCGCGAATACCCCCTTGCGCGCTTTTGTCGGCGGTCAGCTGGCACACTCCGAATGCTGCCTTCATATGCATCTGCGACAAACTCCAAGATGATGGCCCGCCATCATCCCGGGGTTTCCAATGGATACCCGCGCGGGAATACCTTCGACCTCTCTCCCCACAGGTTGCCAACCCCTTCAACACCAACGCCCTCTCTTCACCCCAACCAGGAACAGCTGTTCACTAATACAATCCTCGTACACTAGATTCCAGCCTCGAGCCTCGACACCGGCGAATCGTCGACGGAGGAACCTCTTGATACGGCTTGGCATGGGTGCTGTTCTGCTAATACTATTCGGCCTTTTCGTTTGGCCAGGGAGCGCTTCACTTACGTCGCTTTTTTCATTTGGCCTCATCAGTTCGAATGGCGATGTTTTGATGGATACCGTGCGTTATTATGATCTATCCAACGTCCAAGGGACTGCTCGTGGATGGGAGAGAGAAGAACGGATCCTACTCTGCGTACCTTTGAGAGACGCCGAGGCGCATCTCCCAATGATGTTCTCACATCTCCACAACTTCACATACCCCCATCACCTTGTCGATCTCGCCTTCCTCGTTTCCGATTCGAAAGACAGAACGCTGGACATGCTGGTAGAGAAGCTCGAGGAGCTGCAGGATCACGAGGATCCGAAGCAGCCGTATGGGGAGATATCCATCATTGAGAAAGATTTCGGTCAAAAAGTCAACCAGGACGTTGAGAGTCGTCACGGATTTGCTGCTCAGGCAAGTCGCAGGAAGCTCATGGCACAGGCGAGGAATTGGCTGCTGAGCGCTACACTCCGTCCCTACCATTCGTGGGTATATTGGAGGGATGTCGACGTAGAGACGGCGCCATTCACCATCCTGGAGGACTTGATGCGCCATAACAAGGATGTCATCGTGCCAAGTAAGCCCATGCTGATTATAGGACCTGTCTGACGTGGCATCTAACGCACTCATAGATGTCTGGCGACCTTTACCTGACTGGCTTGGTGGCGAACAGCCGTACGACTTGAACTCCTGGCAAGAATCGGAGACGGCGCTAGCACTTGCGGACACTCTGGACGAGGATGCCGTGATTGTGGAGGGCTATGCTGAATATGCTACCTGGCGTCCTCACTTGGCCTACCTGCGTGATCCTTACGGAGACCCAGATATGGAGATGGAGATCGACGGAGTGGGCGGTGTCAGCATATTAGCCAAGGCTCGCGTGTTCCGATCAGGCGTCCATTTTCCTGCGTTCAGTTTCGAGAAGCACGCCGAGACAGAGGGCTTTGGGAAGGTATGGGTTCGTCATATACTTTTCATGGCACATGCTTACATGTTTCGCAGATGGCAAAGCGGATGCAATATTCGGTTGTTGGTCTTCCTCACTATACCATCTGGCATCTATATGAGCCTAGTGTGGACGATATCCACCACATGGAGGTAAGTTATCCATACCAGAGATTTATAAGTTTCTAGACTGACCCCGACTGCAGGAGATGGAACAAGAGCGCCTTGCTAAAGAGGCGGAAGAGAAGGCCAAGGAAGAACGAGAGAAGAAGGCCAAGGAGCAGTTCAGTGACCCCAACAGCCAATGGGAGAAGGACCAGTCGGAGATGCAGGATATCGCGAAACAAGCGTCAAAGGAGCAGAAAGAGAAGCCGGACACGAAGGGTTCGAAACTGCTCTCCGAGCAGGAATCAAAAGCAGACCCCAAAGAGGATACCAAATCGCAACCCAAGAAGGATACGAACGCGCAATCCAAGGACGCAAATGCTCAACCCAAGAAGGATACGGATGCTCAACCTAAGAAGGACACGAATGCGCAACCCAAGAAGGGAGCTGACGAAGGAGCTGGCCAAGCTGCAGACAAGCCGCGGAAGGTCAACCAGGCCAAGGCAGAGTCCTAGCCTACCTATCACGAACTCGATGACAATCACAAACCTCGGAGCGTACCCAGCGCACTTTGAAGCACTTGCTAGCCTTGATGGCTGGGGCACTATGTTCAGGTGTGACTGCGACTGACTTACCGCGTATACATGAAGATGAAGGAGTCAATTCTTGAGACCACACGGTCCGTTTGCATGGGAGGGAGCATGTGGAAGAACAACAGCGGTGTTCGCTTGTAACAATCTAAGGATCCATGGACGGATCATTGGCTATGGCGTTTGGGTGCTTATTAGTGTTGAGGCATGATCATGAAGCATGCGCAGGTTTCAAGCGCGGCAATGGGATTGATTTTACCACTGTATAGACCGGCTTTGAGGCTATATCGGCATAGATCTGTAATCGGACTCTGGTCTACCAGACCACACCCCCTGTAGATGTATCTCGACCTTCCTAGCGTTATTCATTGGGAACTGAATCGTGACAACATGTGGAGAAAAGTTTGTTCTTTAATTTACTTATACATGTGTCCTTACCTCACGACATTAAGCACATTGAATTATAATAGAGGTGGGCGGTACTGAAATGGAGGTGTATTGAAGTACACACTTTTAGTAGACCACGTGGTGCTTCCACCGGTCTATTGTAGCTAAGACTTCCGATTGGAGATATTATGGCGACAATTTCGCAAGAGAATCGGTAACAGCTACAAAAAGACTGTCAACAAAACCCAAACCCAAAATCCAAACTTTGCTGTAAAATATTCAGGGGCGAGGGAGTTCAGCCTTGGAGAAGCCAGGTCGTCTTAACTCCGGTCATTGCCGCCACGCTGGCTTAATTGGAATCGGATTACTTAACAGCCGCCTCCGATACAGCTCGCCCAGTTGAGCCATCCAGCCATCAAGGCACCCTGCACATAATATTTCCAAGCTCCAGACACCAGACACGAACGCGACACACCTCGACCACGGCCACCGCTTGAAGCATCGCATCGCATCGCATTGCCTGTGTATGCGCCGAACCAAGCCCGCAATTACCCCGGTTCACCATTCGGATTCTCGTCCGCGCCGTTCCGCCCAGTCGCCAACTCCACCGACCTCGATCCTCGAAAGTACTCGGCGGACAGAACTGATTCCGTCCCGTGGGAGGCTGCCGTCGTGTAGGCGAGGATGAGTCGAGATGCGAAAGGAAAGGCCCCGGCGGACCCAGAGATTGCGACCGGCCGGGACAGCTTGGAAATGCGACCACGCCCAAGCACGTCCGCAGTTCCGACCATGAGCAGCGCCACCCAGCCGCTCAATATGCAGTACCGGAGTCGGTCCGTCGCCGTCGCTGTGGACCCTGTCTCTCTCGTGATTTCGGAATGCATCTCAGTCACATCGGTCATGCGGAAGCATGCGCGGTGGGCAGGCTCGTCGGTCTCGTCCATCCTGGGCGGCAACCCCAACCCCGTCCAGCTCGGGCCCCCAAGTCCCCTTCTGCGCCCTGGAAGCAGAGCCTCTACGACCAGCATGGGAGCCGATGGCGTGCAGGACTTTGGTCTCGCGAACCGGTGGGGCCTGCGCGGGAAGAAGGGGAAGAGCATGCAAGATAATCCGCTGATGGCAGGCTTTGGCCGTTTGCGCCATGAGCTGTCCAGCTGTAAAGGTAGGGTGCCATTCAATACCCTTGGCGTTGAGATGACCGTCATGACAGCTAACAAAGGTCTAGATATACACGAGTTCGACGCACCTACACTCCTAAACCCATTCCTCCAAGTAATACAAGCTTCCTCGACATCCGCCCCTATAACCATCCTTGCGCTCAAGGCGATCCGAAAATTCCTCTCCTATGGCTTCATCAGCCCCGATTCCCCCCGCTTCCCTCTTGCCATGCAATCCTTGTCGACAGCGGTCACGCACTGCAGGTTCGAAGCCAGCGACTCCGCGCAGGACGAAGTTGTGCTGCTCATGATCTTGCATCTGATGGAAGATATGTTGTCAGGTCCAGGCGGTGCGCTACTGAGTGATGAAAGTGTGTGCGAGTTGATGGAGACTGGCTTGACCATGTGCTGCCAGTCACGACTGTCTGAGCTTCTCAGAAGAACAGCCGAGGCGGCTATGGTCCGCATGACCCAGATCATCTTCGAACATCTCAAACATCTAGAGGTGGAGGCTGGCGATGACCTGGAAGCACTCGATCAGCAGGCGAACGGCGACATGGCGGTGGTTAGGATGGTGCCGTCTACGAATGGTAATAATGTAATAGCCTCGACCGACGCGCCTGTGGACGAACCAAGAACGTCTTCAAGTCTGGAGAACACGGTCAACGGGATGGAAGAAAGCTCCGTGACGGAAGTTTCGGAGGTTGAGGAAGAATTGCTTGAGATCAAACCCTACTCGCTACCATCGATGAAGGAACTCTTCAGGGTTCTCGTTGACCTCTTGGACCCCCATGAAAAACAGCAAGGGGACACGATGAGGGTGATGGCTCTACGTATAATACACGTAGCCCTCGAAGTCGCCGGCCCTTCGATAGCCAGGCACCCAGCGCTGGCTGTGGTTGCTGAGGACCGCCTCTGCCGTCATCTCTTTCAGCTTGTTCGCTCTGACAACATGGCTATCCTGCAAGAATCTCTCATTGTTGCCGGGACGTTGCTCGAAACCTGCCGAGGGGTGTTGAAACTGCAACAAGAGCTCTTCATATCTTACCTCGTTACATGCTTACACCCTCCCGTCGAGATACCGCGGGAACCGAATATCGACCCGTCACTCTACGATGGGATCCCTCAGCGGCCAACGGTGGCCAAACCTGCAGCTTCCCAACCAGGCAGTGGGAGAGCCACACCAGTCCCGGTTAGGGACCGGCAAAGGCTGGGTCTGGAGGGTGGCGCACGGAAGCCCGATGCTCGCCAGGCAATGGTTGAGAGCGTAGGTGCTCTGACTCGTATGCCATCGTTCTTGGTCGAGCTTTTCGTCAACTACGATTGTGATGCGAACCGCGGCAACCTATGTCAAGATATGATCGGGCTGTTGTCGAGAAGCGCTCTGCCCGATTCGGCCACATGGAGCACCACGAGCGTTCCTCCGCTTTGTCTCGATGCGCTGCTTGGCTATATCCAATTCATCACAGATCGTCTGGACGATGAACCAGTCACGGACGGGTTGCCGGATCAAGACAAACTCAGAGCACAACGGCGCAGGAAGAACGTGATAATTAAAGGTGCAATCAAGTTCAATGAGAAGCCGAAAGATGGCCTCGGATACCTCAAGGAACAGGGCATTCTCGGCGGAGACCCAGTGTCAGCTGCTGCCTTCCTCCGAGGCACTTCCCGTGTTTCCAAAGCAGTCATTGGTGAGTTTCTCTCCAAGAAGGGCAACGATGAGTATCTTGAGGCATTCATGAATCTCTTCGATTTTGCCGGCAAGCGCGTCGACGAAGCACTACGGCAGTTGTTGGAGAATTTCCGTCTTCCTGGAGAATCGCCACTCATCGAGCGAATCGTAACGGCCTTCGCGAAGAAATACTTTACCACTTCAACTGGTATAGAGAACGAGGACGCCATCTTCGTTCTTACATATGCCATCATCATGCTCAACGTCGACCAACACAGTCCAAAGCTGAGAAATCAGAAGCGTATGGAGCTTGTCGACTTTGAACGACAGTTACGTGGCGTTAACGGCGATAAAAACTTCGATCCCGAGTTCGTCCAGGCCACCTTTGAGGCAATCCGCACGAATGAGATCATTCTTCCCGATGAGCATGATAACAAACACGCGTTCGATTACGCTTGGCGGGAGCTCCTCCTGAAGACGGAATCCGCCGGACCGTTGATACCCTGCCATACGAACATTTACGATGCTGACATGTTCGCAACAACCTGGAAGCCGATCGTTTCTACCTTGTCATATGTCTTCATGTCGGCAACGGACGATGCAGTCTTCTCCCGTGTAGTTACCGGATTCGACCAATGTGCCCGGATTGCCTCCAAATATCAGACCATGGAAGCATTGGATCGCATCATTAAAAATCTTAGCTACATGACGACTCTCGACACGGATAGTCTCTTCAATACCTCACTCAACACGGAGGTCAAGGTTTCAGATGATGGCGATAGCGTCATGGTCAGCGAACTCGCCGTTAAGCTCGGCCGGGATTTCAAGGCCCAGCTCGCTACTCTGGTACTGTTCCGTGTGGTGAAAGGAAGCGAGCATATGATTCACCATGGATGGGAGCACGTAAGTTTTGTGTCAAGTGTTCAATATTCCAAGCTGACCCTGTTAGATTGTCCGGATATGGCTCAAGCTATTCGTCAACTCTCTGATTCCTTCGTTCTTCAGCAATGATCAGGAAGGGCTGAAGTTGCCAAAGATTCCTCTTCATACGCCGTCCCAAGTTATAGATCGAGCTGCGAAGACTGTCGACACTGGCTTGTTCTCTGCCCTTTCCTCATACATCTCCAGTTATGCTGCTGACGACCCACCCGAACCGTCGGCTGAGGAGATTGAAAGCTCGCTAAGTACCGCTGACTGCATCAAAGCTTGCGATCTAGAGAGTGTGTTTGCGAACATCACGTAAGTCTCTTGAGTGAAGCCTCTCATGTTAACCTTAAGACTAACACAATGCAGGAGTATCCCTGTCAACTCACTCACACCACTTGTCGAGGCTCTGTTGAATGAGCTGCCGGATGACGAAAGCTCAACTGTACCAGTGATTACTGTGAAGCCTGAGGGCATTCCATCTTCGCCTGGGAGCGGGACGTCAAAACCCTCTTCAAAGAAGCCTACATACGATCCTTCTATCGTTTACATACTAGAGTTCTGCAACGTGCTTGCGTTAAGGGACAGGCAAGCGACAGAGCTTCTTGGCAAGACAGTTGCGGAAGCTCTCCAAGCCGTTTTGCGTGATTCTTCACGTTACCACCCTGTTCTTGTGTCCCGCGCCGCCTACTACCAGTTCAATATGCTCAAAGCCAGCTATGTAAGTTGTATCCGATGTTTCTGTTTTCTACCAATGTCGCTGACGATTCAGGATCATGATTTTGTACGGGCGCCCGTTCTGTTGCATACGATATCCAACTTCACTAAGGAGACAGTCGCCAAGACGTCGCAACTTGTTTTGCAGGGTCTGAAGCTCTGTATTGAGCAACCCGGACCTCTCCGAAGCGAGATCATGACCTCGCCCGACTTCTGGCTCATACTGCGCACGCTCGCTGGCAACCCCAACTCATCACCAACTGTCTTCGAGATCCTGGAAGGAGGTGTCTCAGGCTCACCCTCGGCGATCATTGCGGATAACTACGAGGCCGCGATCGCTCTGCTGAACGAATTTGCCACAGCTGCTAAAGTTGGGGCGGTCGTTGAGCAGAAGGGTGAGAGACGGCAGAGGAATACTCGGCCGCCAAAGAAGGATACACCCAGGTACGTGATGGCAGATCATTTGGTTGGCGCATCACTAATTAGTCTCAGTGAAAATGCAGTGGTCTCGCGGGGTGTCAAAGCTATCAATCTGATTTCTAGCATGACAGCGCGTATCCCTCACTTGATGAATCAATCGCATCTGGCGAGTAGTGAAGGTTGGGTGATCATCCCCTTACCTCATCTCACGGTCTCTAACAGCTTGACAGCCTGGTCTGCATATTGGCTACCAATCTTCCAAGCCCTGACGACGCAATGCACCAATCCTTGCCGCGAAGTACGCCACTTGGCATTCTCGTCGCTTCAAAGGTCACTACTGTCACCAGAATTGACCTGCAGCGACCACGAAGAATGGACCGCAATTTTCGGCGAGGTGTTATTCCCTCTTATTCTGAGGCTGCTGAAGCCCGAGGTTTACTCGTCTGATCGTGATGGTATGAGCGAGACGAGGGTACAAGCTGCTTCCCTGCTCTGCAAGACGTTCCTCCAGTACCTTGTACTGCTCTCTAAGTGGGACGGCATGTTGGATCTATGGTTGCAGATTATCGACATCATGGACAGGCTCATGAACAGTGGGCAAGGCGATAGCCTGGTAAGCATCTCGCTGAATTCACAACTATGACCAGATGATTAACGTGTTTTTTAGGAGGAAGCTGTTCCCGAAAACTTAAAGAACGTCTTACTCTTCATGGCGAGTAGTGGATACCTTGTGCCCCCGAGCAAGGACTCGTCGCAAGAGAGCCTCTGGGTGGAAACGTGGAAGCGGATAGACCGCTTCCTACCAGATTTGCGCAACGAACTAGCGCTGGAAGAACCCGAGACACTAGGCGAGGCGCGGTCACAGCCGGAAACAGAGTGGGTGCCAGCAGAATCGCAACTGGCGCCCGAGTCAAAGCCAGTGGAAGAACCCCACGTTGAAGGGGAGGAACAACAGACGAAGCAAGAGCACGAGGCAGAGAAGGAGCCAATCGCTGCGGCCTAGGTGCTTGGAGGTCGCCTGAGTTCCGTGCATAGTTCGTGATGGGTGGTTTTAGAAACGGGTCGGCGTTGCCTCTGTTCGGAATGCCGCTGTATCCTCTACTTTTATTACCATAGCACCGTCACCTGCTTGTATATTAACATGACTCTCGAACGGTGGGCTTGGGACGAAGATAATTCTTTGCCTCTTTACGTCGTTCGTGCACAATGTCTTGTCTTGACTTTCATGTAAAGCGAGTTTTTAGGAAGACTTCCTTGTTTCTCCTTTTGCCGCCGAAGCGAGGCAGATTGGCCAACGTGTAAAATCCTATAACGACAACAATTTCCGTCATTCCTTTTCGACCTTGTATGCCGAATGCAAGTGAATGTCGTTTCTTATCCTCCTATCGAGATTACCTCTTTACCGCATATGCATTGATTAAAACCCTTGTGCTTTCGTAGTAGCGGCAGTAAAACGTTAATTAGTTATAAGTCTAGTTGTAACTAGTTTGTATTTTAATAGGTGCTTAACTAAGTTCGCATAAAAAAGACCTTGTTTAAAATATATTTAAATACTTAAATTATAATAAGGTGGTTGTTGGAACAGGCTTGAACGATCAATCATAATACTCGAGTATTGGGTCAAGGTCATGATGTTGCTGATGGTTGGATTGGGAAGTTGTTGGATTGAAGGTGAGCACAGAGGGCACCTTGATAGGTAGACACTGGAACCTAGTTGTTCCGTCCCGATCCAGTCCCCTCTGGCACAAAACAGCCACGGTCGCACAAGGACACCCAAGACACACAGAATACACACATACACTTCAACCTCACGATTGGCTCAAATCTGACAGAAGTCTAGCTGGACCTGCAGGTCTGGCTAAGTGACCTCACAACCCAGTATTTAATCTCTTATCTAATCATACATGTGGGTTCTATATGGATGGTTTGACTGTGAAATCACATGGATCTAACAATAATGTTATAAAAACGTTAAAGATATATTATAATATAGTAAAAATAAGGTTAAATAAAAAACGCCGGATAAAAAGGCATATTAACGCGTTTATAAAATAAAATAAACTACTTTTTAAAAAAACATAAACGCGAAAATAGCGTAAAAAATATTACCAGATTCACAATTTACTTATAAATATCGTTATTTATACCTTTACAATAACGGTATTAAAACGTTAATTAATTATAAGTTTAATTATAACTAGTTTATATTTTAATAAATCTTTAATTAAACTTATATATAACGAGATTATATTTAAAATATATTTAAATACTTAAATTATAATAAGGTGGTACCTATTACCTAGGGCTCTGCCTTCTGGCAGGGGCCCAGAATACCATGTTACGATGACTAGTATTCTGGATTTCTACTTGCTGTCTAGAAGGATGGGAGCTTTTCCCATCCGAAAGGTCTCTTTAGTCTAGATACAGTGCAAACGGTACCTTGTCCCTTGGGCAACAATCCGGCCCAACCGACAAGACACCTGACAGCTGGAATCAGCTGGATCCACAGGGCAGCCATCCTAGTAACCTTATTGTATCTATCCTTAAAGGACAATAGACATGATAAGCTACTAGTGGCTGATCCAGTGGCTGGGATCCACACCCTTGCTCCGTGGGGAATAGGCAGACCCCATGCATGGGTGCTGCGCATTGACCACATTGAGGCTGAATGCTCTCCATTTGACTTGATCCAAACCGCAACAACCAAATTCTTGACCAAACACAGGCAAGGTCATATCAAGAGATTAAGCACGTTCACTGCGTCGCAACCGAGATCCTAAACTGCATCATGGCTTCCAATCCGCCCATCGCCACGTATGTGTCATTGCACTCCGACACATACAGCCCTGGCTTTGTCGTTGGTCCCGCCGCAGCCGATAGGTACCTAGCTAACCCGTCGCGCGCGAAAAAAACAGTGTATACGTGCGCAACCTCGAGGAGCGCGTCAAGCCCGAGCCGCTGAAGGAGTCGCTGCGCGCCATTTTCTCCGAGTACGGCACCATCCTCGACATCGTGCACAAGACGAACCTTAAGGCCAAGGGCCAGGCATTCGTCGTCTTCGACAAGCCCGAGTCCGCCGTCCAGGCCATCGAGGACGTCCAGGGCTTCGAGCTCTTCGACAAGCCCATGCAGCTCGCCCTTGCGAAAACACGGAGTGATGCTACTGTCGCTACTACCGGAAGCAAGGACGAGTTCGAGCTGCACCAGCGGAGAAGACTAGCTGAGAAGGGTGCGTCTATACGAATCGACCTACCCTACCCTACCCTACTCTCTTGCGTTTGGTCTTGCGCGCAGCCAGCTAATCCTGCCCCTCCCAACAGACAAGAAGAAAGCCGCGGAAGCAGCCGAAGAGCAAAAGCGGCTCCAGCGACCGGGCGCCGTCCCACCCACCGAAGCCAAGAAGACGACGCGCGGCGCGGCGCCGGGGGGGCTCAAGGCGACGGGCCCGGCGGTCAACGCGGTCGTGCCGGACGAGTACCTGCCGCCGAACAAAATCCTGTTCGTGCAGAATCTGCCGGACGACTACGACATCGAGGGCCTCACGGCCGTCTTCGGCCGCTTCGAGGGCTTCCGCGAGGTGCGCCTCGTGCCGGGCCGCAAGGGCATCGCATTCATCGAGTACGAGGCCGAGGCGGGCGCCATCACGGCCAAGGAGAACACGGCGGGCATGGCGCTGGGCGAGGCCGGCAAGCTTATCAAGGTCACTTACCAGCGCCAGTAGGTGGTTGGTGTTGGTGTGGGTGTTACCGGTTTCTACGCTATACCCTGCTCTGTAGATACGGCGCTATGAATAGATCATCTGGTTCAAGACAGCTGAATGTTGGAATGAGATATCACAGATTATGCCGGGTTTGCCTAACCTCATGCTTCATTCGCCGATTCCTAGTATATGTACATTTTACACATGCGATACTAGGTACAATACAGTCAGTATAAAAGCTCCAATCCACAATTCCCAAGCCGGAACCTCGAGCGAAGCCCCTCGTTAGCTAACAGATCCGCCTCGCGATTCTGAGCCCGCGGCACCAGCCACCAGTCGACGGCGACCTCGGTCCGCTTGGCCGTGAGCCAGCCGTTGGTCGCCCACTTTTCGACCCAGCTCGTCATGCCTTCGACCAGGTACGAGGAGTCGGACTTGACGACCACGTGCTGCACGGGGCACAGCTTGTCGCAGGACTCCGGTATATTGCAGGGGAACTGGCCGCCGCGCACCGTATTCCCTCACAAATTGGAGTCAGTAATTACTCCTTTTATATGTTTTGCCGGAAAACAGGGAGTCGTAATGCACGTCTCGGGAGCAAGTGCTCTTCTTGACACAGGCTAGAAGAGGAAATCCGCCCCTGAGACACGGCCGGAAGGGGCAATAGGAGACTCTAAAATGTACCTACACGGCTGCACGGCCGTCAACGCGCCGATGGCCGCCGTCAGCTCGGCGCGCTGGCTCGTGTGCGGCGTCCCGGCCGGCGGCACGACGCGAAATGACAGTTTCCCTGCGTCATGTCCGTTGCGCTGTCATACAGCTCATCGTCGCACTGCTCGTCGTTGCCAAAATACACGCCGCACGCAGATGTGGTCGCGCCGGCGGTGCCATTGCCGGGGCAGGCGCCGTCCACGGCTACGATCAGCGAGTCTAGGTGGTAGCCGTAACGGCCACACTGCGATATCTGTGATTAGTGATTGCCTCCGTGATGAGATTCGTCTTGTCTGGTAAAAGTAGGTTCTCACGGGACATGTCCCCGGTGCGGAGCTGGCGCACCGCACGTGGACGAAGCCGCTGTTGCCGATTACTTCGAGGTTATTTGCGTGTCGCGGCCCGTGCTTGAGGTAGGAGGGGAAGGGGAAGCGGTTGGGGTCGAGCCAGGGAAGCCGCCCTTGTGATGCGAGTGCGTGTAGGTCTCTTCGCCGTCGGAATCGGCCATGTCGGTGTCGGCCATGATGGACGGGTGTGAGTGACAGACTTGATGTGAATGAGACAGGGATCAGGTGGCGATGGGTATGAGTGACAGACTTGATGTTGATGAGACGGGGCCAAATGTGGCGATGGCTGTTCTGTCGCCTGTCGTTTGAGTTCACGCGATTCCTGAACGGTACTGTACGTCTACCCGTTTGCACATGTCATCCTTTGTCCCGAGCCTGTGGTCTTTCCGTTTGGTGTTTTGATTACCCCAACTGCCCTGCAACCTACCTCGCTCTAGACTCTAGCAATTGCCGGCGTCTTTGCCTTTGTTGTGTGGGGCTGGCGAGGCTCTTTTCTGCACGCAAGCCACTCGCGCTGGACAGGTGAACCTGGGATGAATCTGCACAGATCTACGGTATGTATTTGATGTCTCATTTATGTGCCACGAAATGATTACCACGCTGTTATTACTTCCTGGTGTCTTCTCTCCATTAGCAATAAACGATAACAATATGAAGAGAGAAGATGAGCAAGATGGGAAGTGCCGAGTAGGCGAGACCGAAAGCGAGAGAATAAACTTTTCCCCTGGCCTCCATGTGCGAAGGTCTTAAATAACATGATGTGGGTCCCGTCTATACATACAGCGTCGCCAGCAACTCCAGCCCCTATATCAATAACACGAAGTTGTGGTCGGATCGTGAGCTGCAGTCAGCGCGCTATGGCCTAGAGCAAGGGCTTTGTCGAAGAAGCAGGCGTACGTCAACCAGGCACACTCCATCCTTCACTAGTATTACGAGAACCGGCTGCTACGTTGTTGGGCCAAAATCACGACTTCTAGGAGATGGCTGAGCTACTTGGTGTACAAGTCGATCATGCCGCCCAGGCTTCAAAACTCATGCCTTTTCGCGCTCTATGATACATGGCAATTGCTTAGGCAGACATCCGAAATAGGTCCTGCTTGCCTTGATGGAACCGGGAGGCCATCGCTGGTCTATATCTGCTTCGATGGCAACGAAGACATGGTGCGACTGAAAATGGCAGACCATCTTTCAGGAGTTCCTGTATTCGGCGTACTAATTTCCAGTGGCATGGTACTGGGACAGAACATCGGTTACGAAGGCTCTGCTTCGGCGTTCGAAGCTTGACGGGCCTCAACAGCATTCTACAACATGACGGGAACGACACCACCCCGACGCTAACCGAGCTCGAGACCGGGTTTCACGACGTTCATTTGCCAAGAGCGCACTCTTCTCGATATATCGTTCCCGGTCCTACATTTCATTCCCACAACATATATCTCTTCGATAACCTACATAGGTTTCCAGCTCGTCACACAACATCTAGTAGCCCTCTTCGAAGATAGGTATCTCACACTTCAATAGTTTCGCTGGGCTTCATCTTTGGCAAATCACTCTCCTATCAACTCGCCACCAGACCACCGTCCAGCAACTGGGCCAACCACAGCCATGGCCCAAAGACGCCTACCCCCCCTCCGCCTCGGCATCGAAGCCGTCAAGACCGACGACGTCTCGCTCATGTCCGCAGTCATCGCCCAAGCCTCGGAACCCGACTCCCGCCAAAAAGCCGCAGAAGTCATGCAGCGCAGCCTCGCCCGCGCCTGCTCTCGCCATGCCCTTAAAGTCCTCCGCTACCTCCTGGACGAGCAAGGCGCCGACGTCCACACCATCCACCCTAGAAACCTCTTCCATGCCGAAGGCACGGGCCCTTCGACCGAAGTCCTAAAGATTCTGCTGCAGCATGGTTGGGATATCAATAGCCGGCAAGATCGCACCGATGCCCCCTTGCTCTGGCGCGTGACGGGTGATTATGAGTTGACGAAATGGTGTCTCGACCACGGCGCCAGCGTGCATGTTCCCGGCGACACGCCGTCGCCGCCGAGCGGTAGTGGTGCCGGTCCCGTGCCGCGGACGCCGCTGCTGGAGTGCGCGGCGCGAAGCGGCAACGTGCAGACTTTCGAGCTCCTACGTTCCGCAGGTGCGAAAATGACGCCCGCGGTGTTGTGTCGGGCGTGCGACGCAGCGGCGCTGTACGTCCCTTCCCCGGCTAACACGACGAGCATCGACATGGACCTCCACAACTCCGCTCGCGAGGAAAGGATGGCTGTGGTCCGATACTTGGTCTCCACCCTGCACCTCGACGTGAATGCCGAGGGTCGTTGGGCGGGCTCCAGTTGCACGACTCCTTTGTGCCATGTCGCGGACAGGAGCAACCGCGGCGACAAGGACGCCAGGGAGCTGATCTGGTTCCTTATGGATTCCGGGGCGGATCCGAAGTTGAAAGGTTCGAAGGCGGAGCTGGGGGATGGGCTGGGCTTGAGCGCCGTGGAGTGCGCGGAAATGATGGGGAATGAGGGCTTTCTGGCAGCGGTCAGGGAGTGGGAGGAGAGAAAGAAGGGCGGGAGTGAGGGTGCCCCGTTAAATAGAGCCGTGACATGTATATCCACAGATCTTTACGTTTGCAAGCGATACTCATGCCTTTCTCCGAATAGCACCAGTAGTGAGAATGATGATAATGACGTTAGGGGGGTTGAAGGGCTTGTTACTGTCCTGTTGCATGGCGGCTCGATACGACTCAGTGAACTGTTGTCAAAAGTATAATTTATGCAAGCCGTGAAGCGCAAAATATCATAGTGACTTGTTCGACACCGAGCCAAACGTCAACACGTGAAACACGAACGCCTGCATGCATGAGAACCTAAGTATACACAGACCACCCTGCCCTATGCCTCACCCCCACGCACCACGTGCGCTCGATGAGGTATCGAACTTCGACCCCGACTCTAGAATATGACATCTTCTTCCTCGCCAGTAGCCAACATGTCAGCTGGCCCTGAGTCATCATCCGGCTGAACGTTCTCCTGATCTGCCTTTGCCGCGGCTTCCTTCTTGGCCTTCATCTCAGCGTCTGCAGCAGCAACGTCGCGCTGTTTCTTGCCGGCAACTTTCTTCAATCTGTAGAACTCTTCTCGGTCCAGCTCGTCGAGTTCGGAGTTGATGTCTTTACCTATATTAGTACGGGCCAAGAAATAGTGGAGCGGGTCAGCGTACACTTGATGGTGTTCTCTGTTCTGGGTATAATGACGTGCTCACTGCCGACAATATTAGCTGGAGCCCTTCAGGCAGCACTGGAGACTATTACATGGCATTGACTGTCAAGAAGGTTAGCTTAGAAGACCACAGAGACTGGCACTCGTAGCTTACCTCTTCGGTTGACAACCTTGATCACCTCATCCAAGATGACAAAGGCAGTCTGCAGACTCGCAAGTTCGACCAGCGTCTCTACAGCGCGGGCGTATGTCTCTCTGCATCTCTGTACTTGTTGACCACCCTTGCCAAGACCCGTCAGGCCGAAATCGTTATTTCCCTCCGTCAGGTAGCTCTCGAAGGCGGGCAGGAAGACACCAGAAACGTTCTCCTGCTTCGTGCGTAACCGAAACCGTGCTGATCGCGCAGACTCCTGTACTTGATAGCCTATGTCTCCTCCCACGGCGTACGATACTTCTGCCAGGGAAAACGCAGCGATCTGCATGACCCGTCCCATCTTGCGCTTCGCCTCGTCGATTCGCCGCGTGATGTCTATACTATCGTCAATACCGGATCGAGGATGGCGGTTCACATCGTTTCAAGGTACCTCGGAATCGCCTATCGAAGATGTTAGTGAATAGACTATATCAAGGCGGGTGTGGTTGGGCTGGACGTACTTGGTAAGTGCCTCACTCTTGCGCTTCAGCAGGCTGTGGCCGGTCTCAGCTCCCTTTAACTTTGCCTTCATGAGACCCAACGACTGTCTCGTCGGGAAGACCGCCTCTCGGTCCTGTAGGTCGTGTCAGTGTCAAGCGCAGCTACGGGGACAGCTTGCGCTTGCGACGTACTGCAGCTCCAGACATGTTTGATAGCTATGTTCCGGCGCGTTTTAGGGGTGGTTCGGTGAGGGCGTTGGTACAGGGACTCGGGAGACCAGGCGGTATAGGAGACAAAATTCCAGATGGCAATACGAGGTCGTGGTGAAGGAGATCGGCTCGGGCTGAGCTCGAGGTTGTTCCAGGTTCCTGGCGTTGAATTGAAGCTACTCACCCACATGCTCATGATGGGGTCCATACAGTACACATCTACAGTGTAAACAATTTCGGACGGTGTGGAGGAAATAGCTCACCATGACCAATCAGCCTGAGGCCAAAAATAAGAAAGTCGCGGTCCAAACTTCAAGATCATTCGTTCCTCTCACCACCTGCATTTGGGCGCCGACCTGACCCTCCCTTCTTAACGATGCGCTGATGCCGACGCCTGTTCCTTCGATCCGCAGCATCCAACGACTGCGATACCTCGCGCGCGGCGACCATTGTCGGTAACAAGACTGGCAGCGATGCCTCCGAATGGGGTGACCAACGGCTCCCGTACCGCCCGACAGCCAGATCTTCACCTTGTCGTAAGTCTCAACCTGGTCGGCGCAAACTCCCGACAGTCTGCTGATGACTGAATGCAGGCAGACGAAGATGCCGTCTACGAACAGGACATCCTACGAGACCCGGGTAGCACCAAGCCATGGCTAGCATACATACAATTCAAGTTCCAGCATGGCACAGTCCAAGAGCAAGCCTTCGTCCTTGAGCGAGCTTGCCAACAGCTGCCGAGGTCGTACAAGCTTTGGAAAATGGTGAGCAGCCATTCCACAGGTCTCATCCCGCGACGGACAAGTGTGCTGACACTCGCCTAGTATTTGCGATTCCGAACGAAGCATGTCTCAAAGCTAAACGCCGCCGTCTTCGTCTCCGAGTACCGAAAAGTCAATGCGCTGTTCGAGCGAGCCCTGATCCTACTGAACAAAATGCCGCGCATATGGGAGATGTACCTCAAGTTCTTGCTCCAGCAGCCCCTCGTCACTCTGACGCGACGTGCGTTCGATCGAGCTCTACGAGCCCTCCCTATAACTCAACACAACAGGATATGGTCGCTGTATCGACCCTTCGCAAACTCTGCTGCGGGAGAGACTGCGGTGAAGATCTGGCGACGGTACATGCAAGTCCACCCGGAAGACGCGGAAGACTTCATCGAGCTCCTGACACAGGTTGGGCTATATACCGAGGCTGTAAAGAAGTACATCGATATCCTGAACAATCCGCGATTCAACAGCAAACAGGGCAAGGGGCATTACGAACTATGGAGCGAGATGGTTGATATACTGGTGGAACACGCCAACGAGATCGAGACAGGTCACGAGTCCGGCATCAACGTTGAACTGATAATACGCAGCGGGATTGATAGGTTTGCGGACCAGAGAGGGAAGCTCTGGTGTGGTTTGGCTACATACTGGGCTAGGAGAGGGAGCTTTGAGCGGGCAAGAGATATCTTTGAAGAGGGCATAACGACTGTCATGACCGTACGCGATTTCACCCTCATATTCGACACATACGCAGAGTTCGAGGAATCCATCATCGGCGCGCTGATGGAGCTTGCATCAAAGCGAGCAGAAGAAGGCAAACTCGACGAAGACGCGGATTTCGACTTGGACATACGGATGATGCGCTTCGAGCAATTGATGGACCGGAGGCCTTTCCTGCTGAATGATGTTCTGCTCCGACAGAATCCCAACAATGTCGGGGAATGGGAGAAGCGGGTGGCGTTATGGGGGGCCAACAACGTCGAGGTCGTGCAAACATACACCGATGCCATTGCTGCGATCCAGCCAAAGAAGGCCGTTGGACCGTTCCACCAATTATGGGCAAACTACGCCAAATTCTACGAGAAGGGAGGGGATATCCGCAATGCGAGGATTATCATGGAGAAGGCCGTCAAGGTACCCTTCAAGTCGGTTACCGAACTTGCTGATATGTGGATCGAATGGGCCGAGATGGAACTACGGAACGAGAACTTCGACGACGCTGTCAAGATTATGGCCAAGGCCGTGCAGGCTCCAAAAAGGTCAACGGTCGACTATTTTGACGAGACTCTTTCACCGCAACAAAGGGTACATAAGAGTTGGAAGCTATGGAGCTTCTACGTCGACCTTGTCGAAAGTGTCAGCTCTCTCGATGAGACAAAGAAGGTATATGAGCGAATATTCGAACTTCGGATCGCCACCCCGCAAACAGTCGTCAACTACGCCAACCTGATGGAGGAACACAAGTACTACGAGGAGTCGTTCAAGATATTCGAGCGGGGACTCGACCTCTTCAGTTACCCGGTCGCCTTCGAGCTATGGAATCTCTACCTGACGAAAGCTGTGGACCGAAAGATTGGGATCGAACGATTGCGAGATCTCTTTGAACAAGCTGTGGAGGACTGCCCGCCAAAGTTCGCCAAGGTGCTGTATCTCATGTATGGTAACCTTGAAGAGGAAAGGGGACTGGCAAGGCACGCCATGCGCATCTACGAGCGAGCTACAAGGGCTGTGTCGGACGAGGACCGCGCTGACATGTTCAACTTTTACATCACCAAGTCGGCATCGAACTTTGGGTTACCATCTACAAGACCGATATACGAAAGAGCTATAGCAGCCCTCCCCGACGAAGAGGCCCGGGACATGTGTCTCAAGTTTGCCGACATGGAGAAGCGCCTTGGCGAGATCGACCGCGCTCGCGCTATTTACGGTCACGCATCACAATTCTGCGACCCTCGGACGAACCCGGCCTTCTGGACGAAATGGGAACAGTTCGAGGTGCAGCATGGCAACGAGGATACCTACAAGGAGATGCTTCGGATCAAGCGCAGCGTGCAAGCGCAGTACAACACCGATGTCAACTTCATCGCATCGCAAGCCCTCGCACGCAGCCAACAAGCAAGAGGCGCGGAAACGAACGGAGACTCGGAGGTTGCGGATGCCATGGAGAAGCTGGAACGGCACACCCGAGCCCCGGCAGGATTCGTGGCATCGAGTACTGGGATTTCGGGGTCGATAAAAAACGAGCCGGTGGTGGCTTCGAATCCGGATGCCATCGATATCGATGGCATGGATGATGATTGAATGACTGATCTGTAACTTGGCATAGTAAAAGGGGGCAGCTGGCTAGTATTCCATAAGTACATGCGCCTCTGGGTTTTGTGCAGAGGCTCATGGAGGCGCAGGTTTCTCATCTATTCATGTGAAATTTCAGTGTATACCATATCATTCACCATCCGCCTTTTGGTTCTGTTCACCCAATCCGACAGGTACTTCTGTGCTGACAGGTGCTCTCTTGCGCGCTGTCCTTCGATGAGATTTTGAGCTGACTATTTTCTTGCGTGAGCTACGCCGATTTGTAGGGAGTAAGACTGGATGATGAGGCCTCGCATATAGCTCGCTTCTAGAATACCGACGCGTTCTTCACGACGAAATCAATTTGAAGATCCAGGAGCCTTGCCACTGTGCATATGAAATGGAAGACAGAGTCATGCCCTTTTATGCCTGTCTGTAAGGTATGTATGCTCCAATGCCTTACTTGTTCCGACGAACTCACCAACCCAGCCACAGTCCGCAATCCTATACAGTATACGTGCCCCTATCCTGTCACCAAACGCCTTCAATCATTCTCGAGGTAGCATTTCAGCCATCATCCCCTAAGCCATTCATTCCCCAGCAGCAATCTCCATCCAGGACGACTCTACTCTCCCCCAGCAAGCAAGCAGAGCAGAGCGCTCCTCACTCAAACCCCAGACAAAAACTCATATTAAAAGACTCAAGGGCTCAAGGGCTCAAGGGCTCAAAGCAGACAACCGCGCCCCGTCGGCGCGCATCTCCTAGACGTTCGACTTCCGTCTAGACTGGCCGCCGCTGCCCTGCTCGCTCTGGCTCTGCTGTCGCTGTCCTTTTTCCGGAGACTGCTGTTCGGCCGACGCGTTGCTGCTGCCCTTGCTGCTGATGGACCAGCGCTTGCTGTGCGCCTTGTGGAACTCCTCGACCGCGTCGCGGTTGCGCTCCACGTGGCCGTCGCGGCTGGAAGGTGTGGCGTAGATGGAGCCCTTGCGCTTCTGGAAGCGGGAGGGGAGGGTCTTGGATGCGTCTGCGGGGGGCAGGTTAGCTTGTCGATATGAGGTGCGTAGGGGAGCATTGGGAAATGGGTGTTCGTTGGGGGTGGAGTGCTTGTCAGTGTATGGAGTTGAAGGCAGCATCCAGCACAACGGCGTCCAGGGGTTGATGTGAAAGTGTTCTTTCACGATATAGGGACAGAAGTAGAGACTCACCCCATTCGGCCGTGTCCGAGTAGTCCCGCGAGCCAGCCCGCTCTTTCGCAGGTTCCTCGAAGGTGTCTGCGTTGGCGAATTGGGATGTCTCGACGTTGGACATGGTCTTGCTTTGTTTGCGGATTTGGTGGTTGCTCTGTTTGCGTGGTTGGTGGTTGACTGTGGTATTATAGCATGGTCAGTCTTCGTGTGTCACCTGGGGCAGTGCATTATGGAGACAGAGGGGGAATGATAAGAGCAGAGCAGATGCAGAGGTAGAGCGCGTGGTGTTGGTGCCGCACATGGGCCAAACGAACCAGTGTTTGGTCCTGTCGTGTCGATCATGCTGCTTGCAGTCTTGGTAGACATTCTATTGCTAGAGAAACGGAGAGCGTGGTAGATAGGTACCTTAGGGGGAGTGTATGTATGTGATGGTTTAGGTAGGTAGATATAGTTGCGGATGTTGCTTACGGTAGGTTGTTGAGTCAAGGTCGGATATGTCACAGGAATATGAGAGGTGGACAGCGAGGTTGATTTGGTGTTGCACTTTCCGTGATTTCTGTCTGGATGTCTGACTCGTTCTTGCTAAGACGAAGGGGAGGAAGGAAGGAAGGGTTGAGGTGGACTGCCACTTCCTGGATATATACACAAAGCACTGACGTCTGGCGTGTAGGTTTGTACCTGCCCACAGCTAGCACCCCTCCATCATCACCACCTCCACCATATCCTCCTTTCACCATCCCATGTTCTCGCTTCCATCATCAGCCCAATACCATGCCTCTACACAAGGTCCTAAGCCGTCGGAGCATTGTCCATCCAGAGAGACACCCAGACAGCTCTAGCTGGCGGACCCTTGCGGCACATGGGCGGCCTCCCGAGGATTGTGTGATATGAATGGCTGCCGCTGTCCCTATGTCCTCCCATGCTGTAGCCAAGACCGTCCACGGGTGTGACGGCGAGTGTCGATATGTGATATCTCTTGGCATTACGATGTCCCACCCCAGAGATACACCACTGTACCTTACACGACTTCCAATTACCCCATCGTTTAACCTCACAGTAGCTTTGGCGCCATCCCTAGGGTACAACTCCTATCATCCCCGGGATTGACTCCTGCGAGGTCGCTAACAACATTGAAGGTGTCATGCCCCTCCCCCGCTTTCTTGAGACTCACCGGACCAACGCCCAGTCCTTCTATCAACGACTCCGTAAGCTGGCTGGCTGGCTGCTAACGTTACTGGTAGCTTGGCGGGTGGACTAACAAGCACAAGTCCCTGCTGCAGTGGCTGTGCCGTCATCCGTTTTCGAAGCCATCACGAACCGCAAGACCTGAATATGCGTGACGATGCCGATCCGGTCATGTACAAGCTTGTGGTCTCAGCTTGGGTGGCCGGAAGATCTCGCCCATGACGTCGGTCAATACCCGACCCCAGGTTACCGCGTTACATACCGGCCGTTTCCGTGGTATTACTCCACGGCGATCAATCTGAACAGCTGCGAGGTGGTGTGGAGGGGCTGGCAGCAGCACCAATCAGTCACGACGTGGGCTTGATTCATGAACATGTTGATTGACAGTTTGGATGAAAAAGGCAGCAGAGAACCCCCTTCCCCGCGATATGCTCGTCCATAGATTGACGAGCTGCCCTACTTCATCATACGTCCCCTTGATTGGACGGAGCCGTCTTCGCGGCCATCTCATTGGAACGGCCGGATTGGACGACGGCGAAGGATCATTCAATGGGGGTCATCGCATCGTCCGTTGCCCTCTCGATCGGCAGTCGAACACCCCATGTTGGGTCTACTGTAGACTCTGGACCCCCTGGCCATCGAGGCTATGCTGTCTCGCGCTTGCAGAGTCGCATCAGCAGGTGCATTTCGCAGCTTGGCGAGCAGAACTCGGGGGCGATCTGCAGAAAGCTCTTGGTGCTTCAGAGATGAGCTCCGGGAGCTTGCCATGTCGCGTAACCAACCACCTGTCACCTGTATGCGCGTGTGTGCTACGCTACGCCTGTGTCTCTATGACCCTTTCCCTGCCTGCGACAAGCTTTGGTCGTTCCCTCTTGGCTACAGTGCCGAGCGTTTGACTCGGGTGGCATAGATGTGAGACATGTCATTATCGCCTTCCTCTCTCTCGTCGGCACTCGGGAGCTGTCCAATATTGAGTGGACGGCTAGAAGGCAGGCTCGGGACGTGGCGGAAAAGATGACACGAGAACACGAAAGTGGTACATAGCCGTACTCGAACGAGGTGTTCACGGGCTTATCTGTTCCCAGGGTCCTGTTCCGATTCTGCGTTGGATATGGATCTTGTAGTGATGCTAGGTCACACCAGATGTTGGCCTTGAGCCCACAAGCAGGACTCAATCCTCGCCAGATTCAACTCCAGTTTGACTATTCTCGAAGCTGGTAATTGGCTGAGAGTTGCAGCGGTTGACCATCAAGACGTACATCTTGCTTGGGGCGCTGTCGTCTAGACCAAAGTCTAGGCCACGAGTCGGCTGTGGTTTCGGGGGCTGCCGTCGGAGGGTCTTACAACGCCTAGAAAAGGGCTGGAACGAATCATGGCTCCCATTGGCGAAAATCGATCCGGAGTGCGAGAGTGCACGATTTGACTCTATTATGCGTTTGTCCATTCTCGGGCCGGCTTCAACTCATGCCTGGTTGGTAAGTAAGCCTCCACCTCAATGCGCCGAACGCCCGCAGAGGACTGGGTACATAATGGGGCATGTTGAGGACAGCGAGACTGACAGGTGTCTATAGAAGACATCGTTGAAAACCTTTGATCTAGTACTTGTCAACGGTGTATGCTTCCTGGGGTGTATAGGCTGCGATACCAAAAATAGGGGGCACGGACTACTCCTATAAGTTAGCAGGACGCTGAAAATGAATTCTCGTTTTGTTAACAAGATCTCTATCACGACGCACCTAATAAACAGTTATCCAATCATCTGTATCATTCCAAGAAACCTTTTCCTCCATACAATATCAATGCTGATAATCTGACGACGGCGGCGGCAGCTCGACTATCTCGCTTGCTTGTATAGACTCTTTTGCAATAAGAACCTCCATTCTGGCTGTATTTATGATCGTAGACTACTGAAAAGCTCCAGGTCAACGTGACGACCCGGAACTTGGTCTACAGCCAACACTCTAGTTGCGATTCCATTTCCTGCTGCAGACCTGCATGTCTAGGTGTCATCGGGCTCGTTCTTTCTACGTAGAATGGAATATACAAAGGGGTCGGAGTGAGAAGGCTCGCTTTCTACTCCGATGTCCAAGCAAAGCGGATGGCAGACGATCACTACACTCCCCCAATTGCGATTGTCCATCACTAGTTACGCATCCACCGGCGCCGAAAATCAATACTGCAGACTCCGGGGTGTCTGCGACAGTTCGTAGACATGCGCAACGATGGTAGGGTACTAGACAAACGATCAGCAGACAACCTAACGGCCGTGAGGTGCGGTTTGATTCTTACTCGCAATGGTTCCAATGGTGAGCAGATTCCAAGGCCACAGAGGCCGCAATGCTTCAGGCCAAGTCGAAATTCGGGAAGATCAAGGCCCAACTAGTAAAAGATCCAACAACGAGACGGACAGAAGCATCACGAGAACATCGCTGCTTCCAAGCTATAGCTGAAGCTCACTGGGATCGCCGGCCTCATCGCCGCCTTCCGCAGCCTTGCTGCTAAGCCCGGACTCCCCTTTGGTATTAATCGTACTGGTTTTCTTCTCCTTCTTCTTCTTCTTCTTCTTCTTCTTCTTCTTCTTCTTCTTCTTCGCCGTCTTTGAATGCGGAATATCGGTATTATCAGTCTGCTTCGCCTGCTCGTCTGCTTCTAGGAGCTTATCTAGCTCTTCGCATCCAGCGACAAGGAAGAACCCGTCTGGCACGTTGTTCATGGGCAGGTGGCCCGACATATTCCCCATCACGTACTACGTGATGTTTCTTGTCTCGAGACCCATTTCCATGTAGTATGGATTTCCCAGGGACCGTACTTCGGCGTCGGTCACGTCCTTGAGTTGAGAAAAGCACCGCCAGCACGTTCTGTGCAATTGTAGATAGTCGACAGCTAGGGCTTCGCCCTCTGAGGACAGAGTTATCAGCATCTGCTCACAGAAGCTCGGAATGTCTCTGGTATGTCTCCGACTCTCCTCTCCTAGCAACAGGCTCAGCGCTTTTTGAGATATCCCCTGTTCATTGTTGGCCTTCCCAACGAGATTGCTAAGAGCTATTGTGAGTTTAGCGGAATGACGTAGCTTTTTGGCTTTGTTCTCGTCCACCCGGCTTCTTCGGTTGGGGTCGGGTCGTCTGTTCTTTCCGAACACTGCTGCGGAGCAACCCAAGGCCATCTGGAAGTACGCGAAGTACTGCTTCTCAGATTCCACATGGGAGTCTCCCACAAAGAGTGCACCACGCCCTTGCCTCTTTGTGACCGTATCCATACGGGGCCATGTACCTGGGCTTAAGTGTTTGAGTTGATGTCCTGCTTCATACACGTGGGCGGCACGGATTACTCCACCCCATGCGTTTACCAGATCGATGGACACAAGATGCGTCCGTACTTGCAGATCGCATAGGAAGGTACCGCTCAAAAGCGGGTGAATTCTTAGCAGCTGGAACTGCTCGATGTTTGTGGTCACCTTATTCGCAGCTTTGGCGACGGGATCTTTTGCAATCCATGCTTGGATGACCTGATTGATTTCTCGCAACTGGTTGTCGTTCTTCTCTGCCCAATTTCCAACGTCCAGAGCTTCATGGTACTTCAGTGTTTCTGAAATGGAAGTAGAGATTGCGCGCGCTCTCACGGACAGGTCCTCGTATGGTTCGGTGAGCTGTGCATCCATTATGGCATGGATGTTGGCGACAACATCAGTCGCGAAGCATATCCATGCCGATGGAGGTCCACCATTCAACAGGCCAGACCATCCTACCATAGTCTCGTCCAGGGCAGGGAGTTCAATTTGTCGCTCCTTGATGACTAACATGAGAACAATGATCGTCTTGATATTGCCCGTATCTAGAGCGAAGAATTCCAGCAGGCTTGACCTGATCACTGCCAGCTTGTCTGCGAGGCTGACAGAGTGTTGCCTCAATATCGGACATGTTTCAAAGAATCCGCGAATAGAGTCAAGAACACTTCGAAAGTGTAAAGCGAAGTCTGAAATGGTGTCGGGTTCGTCGGTGGCGGGCGCTGTACTGCGTTGGTCCTCGCATAGCTTGCGTAGCACGGTTTCGTAGCCACCATGCTGGTTCATGAGGTCTTGCATGTCTGACTCTGCACCTCGCGCGACCCGAATGCTGATGTTCGTCGTCAAAGCTGCAATCTCAAGGGCAATTGCACCACTCTTGTATAGTCGCCAGGCCGTGTTGATATGCTCCCTGAGTGAAGCGAGTGTGTCGAAGAAGTGTGAAAGCGCTAGGTAACCCTCTTGAATGGTCGCTGGTGGCAAAAGTTGGTAACCGCCAGTGGTCTGCCTTCTTGACGTTGAAGGTGTCATTTACTCGAAGGGCTGATCTACAGTCATCTCTAAGCTCAAGGCGAAGAACGGGTTTCTGGACGGTGCTGTCGTTGTTGCATCATTTCTGTTTGCGGGATGCTTCTCGACTCGATCCTCTAGTAGGAGCTTGATGTCAAGCAGTCTGCAAGTGAAATGCACATGCTCATCGTCCCCTTTGATCTTGAGTTTCGTCTCAAGTTGCGGGGTGAATTCCTCGCGGCCCTGAATAGCTCTGTCGAGTGATCTGATAAAATCGATGGGGACTTCAACAGGAGGCTTGTCCAGTGTGGCCAGGAAGACGGCGAGGTTGCATAAAGTGTTTACCGTAAGTTTTTCCTGATTGATAAGATCAACTGTTAGCATGAAATTTCGGTACGAGAGTATGCGCCGCATGATGCATAGATTGCTTGTTACCTCGAGTGTCTCGCGTGGATACCCATATCTGACTGCCGTTGTCGCCAGCCAGGTGACCATATGGTCAGTATGGGCTTTATACCGCAGAAGGCGGCTGGTCATGCCCGGGGGCAGATGCATGGTACCGCAATGTGCTACTTGTGCGTGTAGGTGAGGCTTGCGATATTGAAAGATGGAAAGAACGTCTGATCAAAGAGATCAGTATGGGCAGACCTATGGCCGACGGACCAAACCGTATGCTTGCCAGCAGATGGGATAAGCTGATCAAGCGGACTGGTCTCAACGGAGTGGAAGCAATTGATACGGGAACGAGAGACGTAGAGTTGGTGAAGATCTTTCGGACTATGGGATGAGATAGTATCCTCTGTGCAGACAGGTGAAATTTTGAGCTGGAGGTATCTACCTCCAAGTACTAATTCTAAACCTGAGGCATACACAAGAATTAGAGCCCAGCAAGAACCGATGCTCTAGCGGCTAGAAATCTACCCGCATAACCATCATGCGGACGGGAAGGGATTAGTCCTGAGGCTGCAAATTTTCGAAATAAGTTGGATGTAAGGACGTTGCACGATATGCTCGCTAACCTGTCTAAGCTGATGGCTTAATAAAGAAGTTGATGCTTCTATAAATTATTTCTCCATTATTACACACAAATGCCAGTATGCCACCAGGCCTCGTGTTATTCCTTTATATGTAGACTTCACTAACAGTGTGGATTTCCATATCGCATGAGTTAAGATCGCAGTCCCCTTTCAATACGAAACTTGTCTGTCATAATCATGAGGAGTGTCACACCCACGACTGTTTGCACCATATCTTGTCCACGGTATGTGGTGTTTGTGGCGGAGACTTATGTTGGTCTGGTTAAGCTGCTGCATGGGGCGGAGGGTTATATGGCAAAACAAAACAAAAACTGTCAGCAGATGAGGCGGATGCTGATGGGGTGCGAACTTGCTCAATAATTCAGACATCTACATATGGGGCGGGCGCATTGGAGACGTAGGCTTCGTCCGAACTCCTTTTATACTCGGTGTAGGGTTTGATTCTCGATGAAAACCCCCCTTTTTTCTCCCCTGCTCAGACCAAACCGAGAAACAGCACAATATCAGCCCAGCCGTGGCTGAATGTAGTTCATCGAGATTTAGAATATAGGTTTGCAGTAGTTTTAAGGTAAATATAGTCATCGCTTGACACCAACTAGAACCACTTACTGCAAGGCCGACGATGTGACGTTCAACAACATCTAGCCGCAGACCACTGTACAATGAGCCGCCGACTAAAGTGTCGAACATGCCGGGACCGTCAACTTCATATGATGGTGAGAAGACGGCGGTTCCCTGTATGTGGGAATGATGTACGGTGGTGGTGGGTGTCTATTCACGGCGATAGTGTCATATGAGGGGATTGGCGGAAGTGGTAGTAAGGAATGTTGTACATTAAGCTCTTGGGCGTTCGGGCGTAACCATGTAACAAAAAAGTCTTTCCTTCCGTTAATGGGAGCGGTGCAACTTGTCCCCTTTCTCTACTGTGTGTTGCAGTCGACGTTGTTCCTAGACCCGTCTCCGAACTCGACAGTACGCCAAATCTTCCCCGCCACGCCCGCCCGGGCAACCGAGTCAGAGCACTTGAAGCATTTGCATCCGCTGCGCCGAACTTGAAGGACTGCAGAGCAACACATATATCGCTGATCTGCTACCACAGCCTCCAAGATGCCTTTAACGTCAGATCTTACGCTCGATGCGAGCAAGTGCGTATTGCCTAGCTCTCGTCAAATAAGCCATAGCCGGTTGTTGACCAGTCATCGCAGGTTCGACCCAAAAGCGATAGCGAAAGAGACGACCGAGCTCAATGACAAGCTCATGAAGAAGATGGAAGGTCAGCCTAGGTGTACGCAGCCGCCCCGTGCATTGACGACAAAGCAGCTCATAGCTGATGGAGGCATCTAGGGTGGGAAGTTGGCGCAGAGAAGTACAGGCAGATGAGATGGAATGGCGAGACGCCGCTGCCTAAGCCTGGTATGTCTATCTGCTAAGTTACAGGTCCAGCTTTTTTGACTGAAATACACTTCAATCGATACTCATTCTCATCTCACAGTCGTCCTCGACTCCGGGAAGAACATCGAGCTCTCCTCCCGCGACCAAGGCCGCAAGATTCCATGCCGAGTCTTCCACCCCGAGAACGGCAAACCCAAAGGCGTGAGTATGTTCATCCACGGTGGCGGCTGGGTTTGCAAAGCGAGCATTTCAACGACCTTCAGAATACGAACCTCGCGAATGACTGCCAGCTTGTCGTGATCTCGGTCGGATATCGACTTGCTCCTGAGAACCCGTACCCAGCGCCAAACAAAGACTGCTACGACGTTGGCGAGTACCTGGTCGACAACGCCGAGAAAGACTACGGCGCACCATTACTGTTCATGACTGGCGGCTCAGCTGGTGCACACCTGAGTGTGGTCACTTGCTACCATCTCCTCAAAGCGCGGCCCGACTTTGCCTTCAAAGGCTTGATCTTGAACTTCGGAGCCTACGACCTCAGCGGTTTCCTCCCGCAAGCGCACCACTTCGATCTCCCTCTGGTCTTCGACGTAGACTCAATGCACCATTTCATTGAAGCCCACCTCTCCAACACCACTCCTGAACAGCGACGGGATCCCATGATGAGTCCCTTCTTCGCCGACCTGACGGAGATGAAGCTGCCCTCTGCGCTGTTCACTGTCGGCACGCTCGACTGCCTGATGGACGACAGTGTGTTCATGAGCGCTAAGTGGAGCATGGCGGGTGCGGAGAGCATACTGAAAGTTTACCCAGGTAAGTCGCAATGGTGAGCCGTACCCGAAGATAGTTGTGCTGATGGAGATTCAGGCGCACCGTACGGCTTCGTCTTCTTCCCTCCCAAGGACAGCTCGCCAGAAATACAGGAGTCTCTCGACGATATCCATACGTACATCAAGGAGCGCATGTAAGGCGGTGGGCGTCGCTGCGTCAGGCATATTGAGCGCTGTCGTAGTGAAGGGAAGCCCGGCTTCGATTCGCAGTAAGACATTGGGGATGGTTCACGTAGTCATCATCCCACGACCAATGGCCCAGATCACGTCATATAGGAGAATCAGAAATCAGACACAAAGTTGTATTCACAAGCAAGCGCCCTGGAACCTTCGGCGAGATTGATTACCGATTCTCGCACCAGTACCATTGGGCTCGTCGATCATAGCCTCTCCATGTCCTTTAGTTCTGCTGCGCGATTGGTGAGCAACCCAAAGGCATGTTAGACGGTTCCCTCACGCCACGTTGGGCTCTCCCGATATCCGTTCGACAAGAACTCCCAGGCCATGGAGTTCGGGAGCTCATCGGTCGCGCTGGTGTCAAGCTTGCTTGAGGTGGAGTTCTGAGCACGCGGCTCGGTGAGGCTCGACTGGATCTTGTTCCATGGAAACTTGCGGATTACGGGCTCGGTTAGTGATGACTCTATCCCCGAGTCCCAACGCCTCTTCACTGCGCCCGGCCCGCAGTCGCCTAAGCCGCATTGCCTTTCGCGGAAGAACGACGGTGGCGGCCATTTGGTTGCGAATGTTTGCCATTTTCAGTCCAATGGCGGCCGGAAGTTGCCCAGCTGGTGATATGCCATGACAGTGACATTCGTAATCTCATTCTTCTGATCACCATCGGCAATTTGGTCCTGCCTCTCGATGGTCGTCGTGAAATCAGTGAGGCAGACTGCGCAGGAAGCAGGGGCACTTCGCTGCTCTTTCAAGTAGTCATAAGAGCCGATGGTTCCGAAACGGTCAGGGCCGGTAGCTGCTTATTTTGGCGGTCCTTGAAAGCCCAACGAGCAGGTTCGTGTGTCGCCACTTGATGGCAGACGAAATGCCGGCAACGACGTACGATTGCCTGGCGACTGTCCTGACGCGTTCCCTCCAACGCCAGCGTGTGGCGGACCAGGAGGTACAGTTGACCCTGAATGATCCTTGCATGCGAATGAATTCCCCAGGCCCTGTTGCCACGAGACCACGGAGTGATGGTGCATTCGAGCCGGCTCACGTCTAATCCCCGCCCAGGTCCGAGGTAATAAGCGTTCATCACGATCCGAGCGTGATGGAGCCCTATGCGAAGCTTCCCGGAACTCTCACACCTTGGCTTACGGGGCAGCTTCACGTGATGGTCGGAAGTATCGCCCAGGCGCCAGGTAGGCTGGAAGCGGTGCAGCCGCCCACATGAGTAGCAGTAGAAGAATTCGCGACTGAGGTCCCTCTCCAAGAGCAGGAGGAAATTCACTGCGCCGGAGTTGTGCAGAATGCCGCCTTGCAGGACAGCGACAATGCTACGGCTGACTCTGGGGGTAGTATCTCCAAGACCATGCAAAGCAGTTCCAATGGTAGGTTGAGGAGGATGGATCCTCTTTGGTCGTTCTCTTCCACCAGAGGCCGGTGAGATAAGCGGAGAGAACGCCGCAAGGCTTGGATTGAGGATGTAAGTCTCGGCCACGTCATAAGTACATACACGACACGACGTTGGCGCTGGGAACTCGCTAGGAACTAGTGTATAATGGGTGTTCGTAAGGATGATTTACTGGTACAAGGATGATTAGAGAAGCTGGTGGTGGCATGATCGAGAGGAGCTTGGTAGGTTGACAGTTGATTATCTTGTTGCCAGTAGAGATCGCAATCTGTCCTTACGATGAATATGTGGCTGCCCCTTAGGTTAGCAAGCTTCACGATGGCGTTAACCGTCGGGCGAACCTTGATGGCAGGAAAGCAGCCATGGCCACTAGATGGTTCTCCAATGAAGCCACATCGGTGAGATGCTCCCCCGCCCACATGCTTACTTTATGTAGATTTACTCACCTATGTACGAAGCACGGTAACGTTTCCTCCTTGCCTCGCAACGATTAGTCATAGAGCTGGGCGTCGATTGCTTCCACAGTCCCCATTGCGTGATCAAGACGATTGAAGGAGGTTGTAACATCAGTCTCGTTATTGCATGCCCACAGCGTCGAGATTCTCGCCAGAGTACAACAGTGTCTCCTGGATTCCTCCCAATCCCGCCGCAAAAGGAGCATAACCGCCTTCCCGTTCCGCAAAGGGAGCATAATAGCGTACATGCCCCTTGTTGATAGCCTCCCGTCTCTCGTTCACGTCCGCAAGGATCTGCTGGTCGAAGAAGGTCCGTGCTCTGCTCCAGTCGCCAGTCTTATGAGCCTCCTGTACCAGATCTCGGGAGCGGAGCATGAATTGGACTCTATTCGGTACTCTTCGGTCACCGAACCAATAGTCAGAGAAATCGCCGTACCGTGTGAACTTCTCTACCCATGTTTGGAACGATGGAGTCGGGTAGTGCAATAGCACCGGTTCATCGCCATTGCCGGATGGCGCAAGTCGCTCGCCCTTGAAGCCCGAGAAGTCGTGCGGACCTTGGGGAATAACGCCGCGAGTGAGTCGCACGGCGCTTTTGCCGTTGCCGTAGGCCATGTAGTGAGGTCGCTGTTCGACAGTGTTGAGCCGGAACCAAACACAGTCTTCGAATGGGTTGTCGGTGTGGTGAGAAAGGGGCAGAGCTTCATGGTTCGTGAAGTGCACAGAACCTACTTCCGGCTTCTCACTCCAGCTGGCGGCAGCAGCGGAAGGTTCATAGAGCAGTTCATCAATGTCGATATGGAGAAGCCAGTCATACCCATGCTTAAATAGATGACTGATGGCATGTTTCATGTTCTGCTCTTGACGTAGAATTAATCGGCTTTCGGGGGACATTTTCTGCTCAATCTGTGAGCCACCCAGCAGCGTCACTGGCCTATCGGCGCAAAGCTGTGAGAAGAGCAGGCGCTCGGAAGGGTCGTCCATATATATCAAGACGTGCTGTACGCCGACCTGATGAAGGTGGTAGTCCATCCATTGGACAATTTGAGGCCCTGGATTTAAAATCGTGGTTGCGATGGCAATGGATGCCTTGCGCGTGGGACCCGACGCTTTCCCTCCATCCTCGTCATAGGTGGCGATCTTTCCAACCCTAAGGTCTGCATCATGAGAATGTGCAAAGGTGTTGGCGACCAAGGCCAGGGTGGCAGAGAGCCGGAGGAGCATCCCGAGGACCCGATCAGTACGCTCGGCTCGGAAGCGAGGGAGGTGAGAGCATATGACCCACCTAATGCTATACGGTTAAATATATATAGAGTATAAGCAGTAGAAAATACTAAGGAAGAAAAATCAAATAGCAAATAGACATAGAACAGGTCATCTTTTAAATACTTAGGCCCAAGGTAAAGAGACATGAATTCAGCCTGGAGCTGAAGACATGAAGTTAATAGCGACGCTTTACTATGTTTAGCCTAGCGTAGCATTGCACGTGATGTTAGCCATGAGACAAGGGTACCGCCTTTTCCAGACAAATTGGCCAGTGCACCAACCACTTTAAGACGTATACAACCTATCCTCATTGGCTGCAGAGCCCCGGGAGGCCTGTCGTACGTAGATCTGTCGTTAGCACAATACATGGGTGTAAATTGCCTGACTTGGCGGAACAGGTGGCAGGTGCACATTCGTCAGTCTGCTTAGAAAAGACGGTATTAGGCTACCTTACCTAGGTACCAAGCTTCACTCCTGCAATACATCGCTCCTGCCAGGCCTCCTCCTGCCCGGCCCTCTCCTGTCCGGCCCTCTACTACCAGGCCCTCTACTACCAAAATGCAGCCATCCCCCATGCTTCTGGCTCTGCCAAATGAGTTGCTTGTCGCCATTTACGACTTCTGTATACCAGTGGACCGCTGCGATGAGATGCATCGGGAGATTCATGCGTTGAGACTGACGTGCAAGACGCTGGAGAGAGCCGTGTTCCAAGAATTCGGCAGATTCTTCATCCACAAGGTGTTCATGCTTACAGAGCACAGCCTTGACGTGTCCGTTAACATTTCGAAGTCACGCTTCGCCCAGTTCCTCAGCCATGCCTCCATCGCCATCAGCCACTTTACCCAAAAGGCCCAGCCCCTCGAAGACGTCGGGTTCTCCAAAGACTTCGACTTCCACACACGACGCAGTCGTCGCCAGAAGGTGTGCGACGCCCAGGCCGAGCTGCTGGAATCCGGCCTGGACGTTGTTCTATTGGCCAAAGCATTCGCCAACCTAGGCTACCTGAAGGTCGTAAGCGTCACTGACCGCGGGCTTTGCTGGGTATCGGCATCGGAAACGTCATGAAACAGATGCAAATCCGCCGTGAGGAATGGGTGCCGCTGGCGGATAACAAAGACAGCAAGTTTGCGGCTTGCTGCTTTACGAAGGTCCTTGCAGCCCTGAAGTTGGCCGAAGCATGCCCCAAGACACTGGAGCTCCAGGTCCGCCGCATTTCTGACCTTGCTTTCGAGACATCGTCAGAGCCGGAGCCGGTCCTTTCGGCTATCGGTGACTTTCTCCTTGAAGTGGAGAGTTGTCATTCGCAATATGGTGTAGAGGCCCTCGAGGGGAGCGCCAAGTCTCCCGATGAGACACGACGTACGCCTTCAGACGCTTTTTGCACAAGTTCCAAAACCTCGAATATCTGGGCCTCGACAATGCGTTCAGCGAAGGTCATGCGGCAAGAAGCGACGACTTGAGTTTTGAAGGGTTATTTAACCTCGGACCGAGGTTGCTACTCCAGCAGCCACCCTTCTTCAAGTGGCTGGCTGCGCCCGTGTCGACACGGCAGAGTGAGGCTCATGGGCCACCATCCCCCGTCGAATTTCGGCACCTTCATCAGCTGAATGTTGGAGACATCACGGGTTCAAGTGGGTGGGCGGTCTCCACTGCCGTACGACCAGAAGACTTGCTATCGCTCATTTCCGAGCACCAGTCGACATTGCGTGTTCTCAACCTCTCCGTCTCTCTGTACAATTTCGAGAACGAAAAGTTTGAGGATCAGATGCCGAACATGTGGCAGCCCTTTCTGCGAGATCTGGTCTCTGTTCCCATGCGTTTGGAGTCCATCACCATATTTGAGCCGCGTCAGCTTGTTCATAACCACTACTTCGATGGCAGGGTCTTCCTTGGGCAGGCGCAAGAAGCCACTGCGGCCGTGATACAAGGCGGTTATACGGTGGCCCACGATGGCACCGACACTATGGACTTCATCCAGGCCTTGGCCGATCAAGCAGTAGTGGTCAAGAGGGGGGATGTTTATGATAGCAACGATAACGAGTTTGATACTTTCTGAATACGTCGGAACAGTTACACTTCTTGACAAAAGCACAAAGCGTGGACTGAAGGGGGACATCACGGACCGAATTGCTGTTAAACAAAGGAGAAGGGAGATATCAAGAGATGTACACCTTCAACCTAGTGAGCACTACAGCTCGAGCAGAGGGTACATAAGCCCTCGTGAAATGATGAGCCCTGCATTAAGGGTCTCTTAAGAATATGTGATGGACGAGGACTTGCAAGTAACCCAAATTGCTAATGTCCTCCATGCCAGATGCCGCCAACCTGCTCGGGGCAGCAGTTCCTGTCTAAGCAACCGAAAGCCTAAGTCGCCTAGGATATCGTCTAGCAGCAAACAACCCGAATCGCTGCTGAAAGGCTTCGTCCCCCCAGCCGGCACACGGTCCCTACTCTACATCAGGCATGATAACAACCAGGTCAGCATACGCTTCCACAAGGTCGCCTTCAGCAACCCTGGTCTTGACGCAAACGCCATCGACAGGAGTTGTGATCTCGACTTCCATCTTGCTAGATTCAAGGTACACCTACATGGGAGGGAGTAGTTAGCATTTTAGCATCATGTCTTCAATGGACGGGGTCCCCACTCACCACCGCGGAACCCTTGCTCACACGCTGGCCCTCCTTAACCACGAGTTTCCAGCATCGCCCTGGCACGTAAGCCTGGATATTGACGAAAGTATCGTCTCCGTGCTCAGGTCTGTCGTCGTCGGCTCCGGGCCGGTTGGAGGCGCTGGTTTGGATGGGCTCATGTGGTTTCAGAAGCTCGTAGAGGAACGGAGCCCTCGCGATAGCCTGGGCCTGTCGCTCAGCCGTCGCCGCGATATCGTGGCGGTTCGCGTGCAGCATTGCCTCATGCTCCGCGAGATCCAGTACACCGTCTGATATACGCACGAGCTTCTCAGCTGGCACGGAGTCAAGTTCTTCCTCGATGACGGGGAAGAAAGTGATGCGGTCGAAGAGTCGGAACATGCAGGGGTTGTCGCTATCCTTGCCCGAGTCAGCACCAATGGAGAGCAGATCCCTATTACCTCCCGCGCCGTCTGTCAGCGTCGCGAGCGCAGCCGGGTTCCAGATCGGCACTGTTCTTCCTACGAGCTGATAGCCACCAGGTGATTCTGTGGCGTATATGCATAGGTACTGCCCGCCTATACCGACACATCCCCTCGGCGTGAACGACCTCGAAGGGTTATATTTGGTCCCGAGCAGGCGATCGCGAGGGTCCTTCGGTATAGCGCATGGCGAACCCAAGAACACGTCTCCGAGGCCTAATACGAGAAACTCGGAGCGCTGAAGGATGCACTGGATGTCGTCAATACCGTTCAAGCTGGCGAGAAAGTCTATGTTGCTCGGCAGCCAGGGGGCCTCGGCACGGATGGTGTCACCGTAGCGCTGGATGGCTGCTTGCGTTTCCTCGTCGTTGAAGGCGACCGGTAGACGAATGTGGCGAGATGGCATCTGCGTTGGGCGGGTGTAGGACTTGATATGCTCTGTGATACGAGTCAAGATAATATCGGGATGGAGTCCGAAATTGTACTTGAGGTGAAGTGTGCGGACCCCCGGTGTGAGCTCATCGATCCCACCAATCGGCCGTTTTCGGTGCTCGTCAATGAACGTCGCTATCTCGAAGCTTTGACGGAGACTGAAGTCGTCAGTATCCCCAAACTCCAACAGTAAGTAGGAATCGCCTGCTTGTCTAGCGGTGACCTTACGCCCATCATGGTGCATTTCGTTCACCGTGCAGCGCTCCTCAGCTGGCGTGTCACTTGACAGCCCACCGTACGCCGCCAATGGCGCGAGATTCTCGATGCCATGAGATAGCACCTTATTCAACTCCAATGATTGCTTAATCGTAGTGGGTTGGAAATGGACCATGTCTCCCGGCCTCAACTGGCCAAGCTTCCATAGCTCTGGCGACACCACCACGCAGAAGACCACGAAACCACCGAGACTCGGTCCATCGCAAGTCAGCACGACGGCTTCATCGCCCGTGAAGCTTACGCTGCCGATAGAGTAAGGGCTATCGTGGATATTTGAAGGGTGGAGTCCGGCCTTGCCACTCGTCTCTCTCGCCCATTGCGGCCGCGGCCCCTTTAGACGGATGCCCAGGCGATTGCTGTTGTAATGCACAATCCACTCTCCGAAGAAAAGCGCACCGATGCTGTCGGACGTGAAGAAGTCGGGAGCGCCGTGGGGCCCGGGGACCACTCCTATTGTCCACTTGGCCTTTGGCTGTGCTGAAATGGGCAATGCCGACGCCTGAAGCAGGGCGATATCACCTCCGTCGAGCTTCTCACCGATTGGCACTATGTCTCCCGGCTGAAGCTTGCGCCCATTCCAGCCGCCCATCTTTGCGAGCTCGAAGGTGGACCTACTGCCCATAACCAGAGGGACGTCGACACCACCTCGAATCGCAACATAGACACGGTATCCATGCTGGGCCACCCCAATCCTGAGCGTCTGACCGGCCTTGATGTGCAGAGTTTTGTGCATGGCCATAGCTTCGTTATCAAGATATGCAGGTGCGCTGCCCCCAGTCACAGCCACAACAGCTTCGCAGTGGAACTTGAGCGACGGACCCTTGAGAGTGCACTCAAGTGCTGCGAGACCTTCTCCATTGTCCACTAGACGATTTGCAAGTCTGAAAGACGCACTGTCCATGGGACCGGAGGGAGGAATGCCCACGTTCCAAACCCCCATCCTGCCCAAAAAGTCTTGGACAGTACAGCTTCCCCCTGAGTCGAGGATCTCGAAAGAATTGGAGGTGTACTGGAAAGAATCCAGAGAACTCGTTGTGTAAGAGCAGGACTGCAACATGGACGAAGCAGTCAGCTGCCGCAAGAAATCCAGGTTTGTCTGGAGACCGCTGATTTCAGTGGCCGCCAGACCCTCGACAAGTCGCTCGACAGCCTCCTGACGGGTGTGTCCCGTTGCTATTATCTTGGCGAGTAAAGGGTCGTATGCAGTAGATATCTCCGTGCCGACCTGAATTCATGTGTCTACCCGCAGATTGGGAGGGAAGTGCAGGCCGAGGACTCGACCACCACAGGGGCTGAAGTCTCGAAGAGGGTTTTCGGCGTATAGCCTGGCTTCGATGGAAACACCCGAAACTAGAAAGCCTCCGCAATTATCGTCGAAGAGCTCGCCGGCGTCACTTCCGGCAATCTTCACCATACACTCAACTAGATCCAAGCCAGTCACGGCCTCGGTGATGGGGTGCTCGACTTGCAGTCTCGTGTTCACCTCGAGAAAGTAGACTTCGTCCGTGTCGGTATCATAAAGGAATTCCACCGTTCCGACGTTGCGGTAGCTGACAGTCGACGCGATTTGCACAGCATAGGCACCCATCTTCGCCCTGATGTCAGCCGATACCATAAGAGCAGGACTCTCCTCGATGACCTTCTGGTGCCGCCGTTGTAAGGAGCAGTCGCGGTCTCCGGCGGTAATGACGCGCCCAGTCCCATCGCCGAGGATCTGTACCTCCACATGCCGCGCATTCTCGATCAGTCGCTCGAGGTATACCCCGTGGTCGTCGAAGTTGGCAGCAGCAATGCGTTTCACGCTTTCGAATGCATCCCGGAGATCTCCCTCGTTATCGCAGCGTTGAAGCCCGATCCCACCACCTCCACCCGTGCTCTTGAGCATCAGCGGATACCCGATGGTTCCGCCAGCCTCGAGTGCATTATCAATCGACTGCAGCAGCCCATTGCTCCCAGGGACCACCGGTACACCGACTTTGGCAGCGATCGCGCGAGCCCGGTGCTTCAGGCCCAGCTCCGTCATCTGCTCAGGGGTAGGGCCAATCCAGACCATGCCGGCTTGCTCGACCGCCCGGGCGAAACCTGCGTTCTCGGCCAGAAACCCGTAGCCTGGGATCACGGCATCGACACGGGCGGATAGTGCTATCTGTACAATCTTTGCGGCGTTAAGGTATGTGTCGCCAATGGTGTCACCCTCGAGATGGAGCGCCGTGTCGGCGGCTACGACGTGGCTGGCTTGGGCGTCTGCGTCGGAGTCGATCACCACGGCCCGCAGGCTCATCTTGTGGAGTGTTCGAATGATACGCAAGGTGATCTCGCCCCGGTTGGCTATGAGCACGGTCTGGATGCTTCTGTTGGGCGCCATCTTGCTGTCGACCAGAAGTTCATGCGGTGGCGAGGCGGCGGGGATTGATAAGCCATCAGAGCCAGATGCCGTGTCGGTGTATTCAGTGTGCAAAGTCGTCATCGTGGGTGGTAGTTGAGGTAGTTGTGGTAGTTGCCGGATATGGTTGTCAACTAAGGAGTACCGGAGAGCTCGACGTGAACAGAAGAAATACCAAATGCGATTGAGCTGTTCGGTTGAGCTTCTCAATGACACAATGGGGTTCGATGTGCAGCCGTCTATGGTGGGTGTTGCTCCGCCCTTGTTGGGTATTGCACCATTGTTGGTATTGCGCCATTGTCGGGTATTGCACTCATACTGTGAATGGAACATATCCTTCGTGTCTCGACAAGTCAGGCAAACAATACTGGAAGCTACACGTGCTCAATACAAAACTCACCGGCCTTCATGTGATTGGGGGCACTTTGGACGGCCAGCTCAGATCCAGGCACAGATCATCATGTACTTACCTAAAAGTTTCGACATGATCAGCGAATGACAAACTTCTGAAGCCATCCGTTTTTCCCGAAGGAAGCGGTCAAGCGAGTGTCACGTCCTTGGTGGTAAGATGTAACGAAGCAAGGGGTGGCAGTATAGAGTAGGTCCTTGCAACTTTCCGGAGTTTGGACGCCTGCTGATAGACATGAGAAGACGGCAGCGTCACATGCCGTGTGGACTTTCCACGTGTGCATTGGCGATCTTCGTAGGTGCTCTCGTGCTGATCCCTCTTGACCAATCCTGATGAGATCTAGCTAATGTCCAAGAGTGCATTTGGTGATCTGGCGCAAGAATCATGGATGGGATGGCCCTTGCATGGTTGGCGAATCGGGATGGGGCACAGCCTCGTTTGGGGGCATGATACAAAGCTTCCAACAAGCTGTAGATCAACGCACACCTGAGCGTCAATGATCATGTGTCTTTGAGTTATGTCACTACGAACTCGTCGTACCACAGTCAGAGTGTCATATTTACGTTCTTAAAGCAATCACAATACGACGTATTTGAGTAGGAAAAACGACGCATAGTTCCGGGCACATGATATATCACAATTTATGACAATACGATCATCAAGGTAGCAAGTCCTCCATCATTCCACTCTTCTGCCTTCTGCCACGGGAGATGGTGTCCTCGTTCCATTGTGCTTCCTCTATGTTGGTGTGGTTTCCGACGATTTTCTAAACCAGAAAGATCGGCAGTGATGCTTTGCTGGCGCCCGAAAAACTGTGCAAATGCCCAGAGAAGCGGTGTATATGGCAGGTCCCATGTTCGCACGAGCCTGGGTTCGCGGCTCCCCTAAGCAGCATTTGACGACAGTGAATGCTCACGTGTTTCTTCAGTAGTCCTGATACACTTTCGCCAAGTAGAATAGCCATCTATTTGACTAGCAGGATCTTAAGGCTCGTCATCAAAAGGTAGACGGCTATCTTGTTAAGCGTCTGCGTAATGTGATAGTCCGGCTCGTGGATAAAATGTTGTGTCAAGCTACTGCTTGGGTAACTTATCCCCTCTCTGGGGCGGCAATTGGAGGTCGCAGGTCAAGCCGGTGCTCGGGATTACCTGGTGTCAGTGATGGTCTTAAACTGTCATGTAGAAGCAGTCTTAGCATTCCCACTGTCGTTGGCCGTTTGACATTCACTCGAGATCCCAGATTCGAACCAAGATGAATACATCAAGCAGTATGCTCAAGCGCAGAGGCGGTCATGTTTCGTGGCAAGGCTCCCTAGTCGACAGACCTTGGTAGAATACATAAATACTGCCGGGACCCCCGACACCGTCAACGGGGTCAACGATAGCGTTGTTTCCAGCAGCCAGCTGCGCGGAGGCAACGAGCCCAAGGGCAACAGAATCTGACGGAATATATTGCTGCGAAGTAAAAATGAGCAAACGTGGTTGCAAATGATTGATAAGCACCTGTCCAGCAGGAATCAGCTCACCAGCCACAGGAATTGGTGACCAGTTGTTCGCTTAAGCGAATTTAAGAGCCATAATTGATTTGACGTATTGCGATCAAGAAACGGCAAACACAAGTCCCAGGACCGTATATCCGTATCGCTAGTTCCCCTACGAACTGCTACGGTTCATGAATGACGTCGCGTGTGACTCCCAATTAATGCTGGATCTTTCCTGATAGCGTCTTGTGAAGAGGAGTTCAGGCGGTTGTTGATGTGTTCGAAGAAGAGCAGGAGGCTGCAAGTTATCAGGGGAAAGGGGGCAAAGGGTGTGGAAAGGAGCTCCCATCAATATAGTGGACCGCAGGCGGCCAGCAGGTGGCCAGCGCCAGCACCTGCCCGGCAGCTGGTTTCCCTGCACCAATATTTTGGGAGCACGGAGCACGGACCACTGCCCTCTTTCACCGGTCATCTTCACTGAAATTTCCACGATTCGCTGTGGAAAACACCAACAAACAAGACGACAACACGAAGTAAGGGAAAGCAGCCTTTCCAATTGAATGTTTCCCTGGGAGAGAAAGCGACCGTCTCACCTAACATCACTTCCAGGCCCAAGCTAACCTCAATGCGCCGCCTTGGACATGAGTTACATGCGAACGGCATTCCCCGTTGACTCATCCCGACTTCGATGCGCCCACTGCCATTGTCACATACCCTGAGGAGAGCCTGCACAACACCAAGGACTTTCTACCACTCGCCTTCACACTGCCTCATGAGCAAGAGGAGATCAAAGGCTCTGGGTGACACTTCTGATACCCAGCGACCGTCTCAGATCAGGAGGATGGCGACGCAACCTGCGACAACGGCCATTGAACTGAACGCAAAGGAAACCCAACTCAGGGATCTTCTGCTCGATACCGCTAAATATGTCGATCGGTCAAAGACAACAGCTGAGCCTGTGGTGCTACGCTGGGCCGGAGGTTGGGTTCGCGACAAGCTCCTGGGCATCGAGTCCCATGACATTGACACTGCCATCAATGTCATGACCGGTGAGGCTTTCACGTCCAAGATATGCGAGCTATGTGAGCAGCCTGAGACTGTTGAAAAACACAGAATCACAGACACGGACATTGGGAATCTTCACAAGATTGCGAGGAATCCGGACAAGTCGAAGCATCTCGAGACTACTACTATCAAGCTGTTCGGCTATGACGTGGATTTCGTGAACCTGCGCAAGGAGACCTACACCGAGGACAGCCGCAATCCTCAAATGGAGTTCGGTACAGCCGAGGAAGATGCATTGAGAAGAGATGCAACTGTCAATGCCTTATTCTACAATCTCAACACCGGCAAGGTGGAGGACTTCACTACTGGCCTGACCGACATGCAATCCAAGTTAATCAGGACTCCGCTGGAACCCTTTCAGACCTTCATGGACGATCCTCTGCGCGTCCTGAGGCTGGTAAGGTTTGCTAGTCGACTCGAGTTCGCGATCGACCCTGCAGCAGAGAACGTCATGGGCGACAGCAACGTGCTAGATGCGCTACGGCTAAAAATCAGTCGGGAAAGAGTCGGTGTTGAAATAGAGAAGATGCTAAAGGGTACGTCGGCAATCTCCAGGACGTCTAGCCTTCTACTCACACGCTTGCAGGTAATCACCCGCGCAGGGCATTGCAATACATCAACGACCTTGGACTATACCACACCATCTTCACGGACCCCTCCCAGCCGGGGATACCCAAGCCGGACATCTCTCGTTGGAAGTTGGCCTACTCGTGTTACGAGTCCCTCCGTGTCAACAAAACTCCAGGGTCCATACATGATGTCCTCGTGCGGTCAGAAGAGGCATCTTATTATGCCTGGGTTCTCGCAGCTCTGGCTCCTTGGGAATACGTCGAACAGCCAGCGCGTACGGGTGGAGGTAAACCCCCACCTCCTCTTGGAACCTTGGCTGCTCGAGACGGGATTAAAGCGCCGAACAAGCTGTGTGATGTCGCCACAGCCGCCCATAACAACCGAGCGGAAATCATGTCTCTGAAGGACGCAGTTCTTCAAAAAGCAGCGCACATCGGCGAGCGCGATCGCTTTGGCATGGCGATTAGGCGTTGGGACTCCCGAGGTGGTCACTGGCGACTTCAGGTACTGTCTGCGCTCCTTGTCGAGTCAATGCAGGCTTTGGGCGCGGAGTCAGACGCTTCAGGTGAGTCACGATCAATCATCAGTACCCTGCCACAGGCTAACGTCTTCGCAGACACCAACGGAGATTTTCTACGTAGCTGGCAGCTATTCCTGGATCACCTAGAAGAACTCGACGTCATGGAGGCTCCATCGCTGAAGCGCGTAATCGATGGTACCCAACTGGCGAAGACTCTAGGGATCAGACCAGGGAAATGGATGGCACCGGCCCTGGAGGTGTGTGTGGCATGGCAGCTGCGCAACCCAGAGGCCACGGACCCGGCAGGGGCGGTCGAGGAGGTGAAAAGCAAAAGAACCGAGCTTGGTATTCCGGCTAAGTAGGATAACGAATGTGAATTCGAGATGATACCCGGACCCATAATGGTAACCGTTGGGCATATCTGCGTTTCCGGGTGAAGTACCAACTACTCCTGAACTTCCTCTACCGCTTCTCCCTCATATTTGACCACCATCCTCTCCTGGTTTAAGACCTTTAAAGCTTCCTCCTCTTCAGAGTCTTCGAAGTAATTGGCCCATCAAGGAAACTCGCTTGAGTCATGTTCTGGCTTCACCTTCGATTCCCCATCTATTTTGATCTATTAAGCGTTAATTCTAGATGACTACACAGGGGTGGTTGGCTTAGTAGTCGGCATACCTTGCAGTTTACCGGGCACCAGTATTCCAGCCCGTAGCGTTCTTCTTTCGTTACAAACTTCACAGCAACCATTGCTTTACCCAGTTGTTTCCACTTATTGAAGTCTTCCGCTGCCGCATTGATGGCTGCTCCCACTGCCGAATCGATGACCTTGTCATGTGCTGGGTCGCGAATATCGAGTCGGTAAGTTGCCTCGGGCTCCATCGAGTATAGCAAAAGCATTGATTTGCTTCCCGAAGGGTATGAGGCCAAGGCCGAGAGACGGCGGACGGCGTTGGGCCCCTCCTTGTATGGGGCTAGAATGATGTATTCGTAGTAGCGCAGCAAACCGTCCACGAAGTTTCGGGCCTGTGCTTGATTTTTGTTGAGTTCGTGGGCGCAATGGGTGTCGTACCACGACATGGCAAAAAAAAAAGGGGGTGGGGGGTGGTTACAAGTGATACGGATGGCGCTCATACAAGGGTAGATCGATGCGCCATTGCACCGAGTGCACCGATTTCCGCGAGACTTTATAGACGTGAGCAGCACTGCTTTGTTGCCTGTCCCCCCCCCCAGGACGGCCATCTCCAACAGTCACAAGCTGCCTGGATCCTCTGTCCTGTTGGTATGAAGGACACGCGAAAGCAACCAGTCACAGTAAAGAGACTTCGGGCTGTTGGTGGTAGTTGTTTCGCTACGAGTCACACGCACTGAGAACAAAGAGCCATGTGAACGGTAAGACTCGAAAATCACCAACTTCATCGGGCCCAGCGGGGCACACAGCTGTTACATCAAGAAGACAAAGAAATGCATGCGAGTAACAGACTTACATCGGACTCGTCTGTAATCCAGGGAATCCTCCTGTCTCGGCATGCAACAGCCATACTAACTTAGGTGCATAGGCGCTGTTAACTTCTCATGGCCCCGTGGAGCGTGCTGAGCGACATTGCTCGGCGCCACCGACCATACTCAGATGCTCTCATCATTCAAGCCATCTTATGCCATATACGACTTCGCCACTCGCACCCACATATTCTCATCGATAAACTGGCTGAAACTCCGGCAATCCCAAGGCTTCATCGGGTCCGCAAGCTGGAAGTCGAATGCCCGCATCAGCTAGTACGAAGGCGTACATCAGTACCCGCAGCGACTCGATCACCAAATTCACGCCTGGACGCCGATCAACCTACCTCGAAGAACACCTTGTTCAACTCCATGAACGCCACCGGCTTCCCGGCACACATCCAACGTCCGTATCCGAAGACTAGCTCGACATTTCGCTCCATCTCGGCCCGCGTGGCCTCGTCGGCTTCCAAGAACCGTTCGGGGCGGAAGAGGTCGGCGTCCTCGCCGAAGAGCTCTGTTGATCGCACCAGGGCTGCCGTGTTCATGCCGATTGCCGTCCCACCGGGTATGAACTTGCCGTGGATCATGTCGCCCTCTGGTGGTACCGATTTGGGGTATAGGCCTGGGGCTGGAGGACGCATGCGGAGTCCCTCGAAAATGAGGGCCTGGTTTGCTCCGTGGTCAATACAGCGGACTGATCTCTTGCTCCATGATACTGCTGAAGGAATAACGCATCCCTCCAAGCACATGGCTCTGGAAGCCTCGTGGAAACAAAGGGTACATGTCCTCCATAACCATTAGAGCTTCACTCACCTGTAGGTAAGGGATCTTCTTCGCCTCTTCATACGTGATAGGGCTGGATGCGTTGCCACTGCGCACCGTCTCCCTGACCACTTCCTTGAACCGCTGATACACACCCGGCGAGCCCATTAAATACAGCATCGTCGTGCGAATGACGGTTGAAGTGTTCTCAAAACCTGCGATGATCATGAAGAGAGCCTCAGTCGCGCATTCTTGCCGACTGAGGCCATGGGAGATGAACGACCCCTGCGTCCAGCAAGACCGTGTCAACGATGCATCGTACTGGGATGCAGAGCCAGAAAACTTACGAGCATATCCTGCTGCTTCTCAGCATCAGTCGCAAAGCGCTTCGTGACAACCTCTTCGGCGACCCTGGAAGATCTCAGCACAGCAAACTCCCATACTCCAACGGGATACCCACCCCATCAGCTTCCCCAACCCGCCAGTATCCGTTGTCTTCGGGCCAAGATACCGCAAGTACGTCTTGGAGAACAAGACCTTGCGCATCCACGGCAGATCGAGGGCAACCGCCAGTCCAGGCCAAGTCTCCCTCACGCCGGCCAGGAACCCATAGATATCAGAGTCCGTCTTGAGGTATCCGAACTCCTCACCAAACGCCGAGCGGGTAATAACATCCATAGAGAAGTACGACGCCAGCTCCGCAAACTCCACCAGCCGCTGCTTCCCCGGCCCTACGTCACCCGCATACTTCCGCGCCAGCAGATTCACCAGCGCGCGAATCTGGTCATCAATCCCGGTCTCCAGCACGGGGGTCTCGCGGCCCCCATAGGCGCCCGCGATGCGCGCCTTGAAGCGGTCGTGCGGCGCCGCCTCGAGCAGCGTGAACACGTTGTCGTGGTACGGGTCGAAGCGCGCGGCGAGGTACCACGGGTCGCGGGCGTAGGCGCTGCGCGCGCCCGACATGTGCCGGATGACGTCCGGGTCCGACGTCGACAGCTCGTTCGGCCCCACGCGGATCAGGTGGCGCGGCCCGTAGCGCTCGGCCATGGCGCGGTAGGTCCAGAACTGGCGGCCGCTGCGCGCGACGCGCGCTAGCCAGAGGTAGGAGATCGAGGCGAGGAAGGGGCCGGGAATCTGCCGGAGGCGGTGCCATGAGCGGACGGTCGAGATGAGGTAGGCGAGGATGAGGAGGGCGCTCGCGCTTGCGAGGAGCCACGCCGTGCTGGGCTGCCAGTCGGCGTTGAAGAAGGCCATGCTGGGAGGTCAGTCTGATGGTTTGATGATGTTCACCAATGATTCCTACGCTGCCTTGGTGCAAAGGAGAGATTGCAGGTCAGACCGGGAAAGTACCAGATGCGCAAAAGCGTAAGCGTCTTGCGAAAATGGAGTCGGGGTCTGGATGGTCTTATTAGTTATATATTCGTGAACTTTGGGGTACGAATGCTACGCTGCAACGTGAACCTCCTCCCTTACCCCTCTCACTCGCAGTAATCGCCATTGCGAACCTTCCAAACCTCGTGAGGGATATGCGAGACTGATAAGACCTCGCGTGCTCTTGAAGCGCCATCGAGCGGGTCATGTGAGTACCGAAGCAATGCGCCATACCATGCAGTGGCACCTTGCATCAGACGTCGAATGGGGAAACAGAGTATAGATTGTTGCGGATCAGTATTCCAATCAGTCATGGCATTGAGGTAGGGTTTAACCGGACCGTCTGCTGATGATGTTGGTCTAGATTCTCGGTATCCAACTGTAGCTTGGTTGGGTCAAGTTGAAGAGTGGGAAGATTCGGCTGGTCCTTCCAGCATCGAATCGCTGTGGTCCGACCAGGGAGCTTCATCGGAAGTCATCACGAGATACAGATGGGCTGGTAGACAGGTTTTGACTGCCCGTGCTCATCCAAATCTTCCAAGTTCTGCTTGTCTTTCATCTCTGTCAACAATAGTGATCAAGTGGCAGGTATTATCATCCTGCGCCTGCGTGTGGGATAGATCCGGGCATCCATCTAGTGAGAGAGATGCGGCCCAACCAAATATCCGCAGAGCGGCCAACTTAGTGGCGACCTGAAGTGACGGACGAAGCATGCTGAGCAATGCATCGGACAAGAATGACCCACGCTACCGTTTAGAAAGGCCGGGAACAAAGCACTGGATGAATTTCGTCGATTGGTGATGCATCAACCCATTCATCGCGAATCTCCGGAACACGGCACGCGATACGATGTCATGGCTCCAACATGAATAGGGCATAACAATGGAAGCGTGCCGAGTGCGCAAACATATGGGCCACTCCAGAGGTACTAGAACGAACAGGATGTCGAGGGTGGAAGCGACACATAATGAGTGCGTTTTGGTTGATTCGACTTCGAGGTTGTTCTGTTCGAAACAAAACTGGCTGGCCCCTCAGACCCTGCGCTCCTCCGGCTTTGTCCGCCTGTCAGTGGACTCAGTGCGGTGGCTGTCCGCCCAGATGCCCCACCTAAACGGGAGACTCGGTGCATGTCAGCCAATCAACATGGCGACGTAGGCCCACCCTTAGTCTCAGGTACGCGCTTTGTCGTCCAATCAAGCAATAGGGGTCACATAGGGGTCACTTAGCAGCCACAAAGGGCAGAGAGCGTCTGGCTCACCCAGCTGTTATATGTGACCAATGAAGAGCCTCAATGAGGATGATTGAGCATCTCTTTCACACAAACAGCTTCCTCGGGTGTTTCTTCCACGACCCTTGTCCAGGTCAACTACCGCCTCACATGGGTCAAAGAAGCCTTGTGCCGAGTTCGCATTGTTTCTACGTGACAATCCATTGGCATCTGTCCACCGTTGTCATGGCTCTTTCTACCCATGACAATGACCAACCCTCTTTTTCGTGCCTTGCCAGGCACGTCCAAGTGTATAAGAGGACCCTTGCTCAACCTCGCAAGGTCTCTCTCTTCTCTCATCATCCTCATTCACATTCTCACCACCAACCAGAAGCGATAAGCCTCCTTCTCAACAACTTGTAATCACATAACAGAGTCCGGTACTCTCTATCATTCAACATTCACTCCTCCTTCAGGCTCAGATCTCACCAACCCAACACAATGCAGACTCGCAAGCAGATCGTCGCCGCGGCCTTGGTGGCTTTCCTCGGTGCCGCCGACGCTCACATGATCATGAAGAATCCCAAGCCTTTCGGAAACCCCGACAACTCGCCCCTGACGACTTCCAACTACCCCTGCAAGTTGAGCGGCGACCCGGCTACCTTCTACAACAAGGCGGGCATCGACAACACCATGGCGATAGGGGAGAAACAGACGCTCGAGTTCACCGGCTCGGCTGTCCACGGAGGAGGGTCTTGCCAGCTTGCCATCACTACCGACAAGGCGCCTTCTGTAAGCACCTCGTGGCAAGTCATACTCTCCATCGAAGGCGGATGTCCCGCCAAGGACGGCACTTCGCCCTCGACCTACGACTTTGAGATTCCGAGCAGTGTTGCTGCTGGCGATTACATTTTCGCGTGGACATGGATGAGTAAACTTGCTGGCCAACCGGAATACTACATGAACTGCGCCCCCATCACCCTCACGGGTGGTACCGCCAAGCGATCTGCCAACGAGACCATGGATCTGTTCCCGCGAGACGGTGACCTGCCTGAGCTGTTCGTCGCCAACCTCGCCCAGATTAACGACTGCAAGACTGCCCAATCATCCGATACTGAGTTCCCGAACCCAGGTTCAGTCGTCCAGAAGCCTAACGCCGCCGCCAAGTTCGCTCCCGTCACTGGTTCCAACTGCGTGCCGAAGGGCGCTAAGGAGGCTGCTCCCGCTAGCGGAGGCTCAGACTCTGGCTCATCAGCTTCATCCACCAGCAGCGCCACGCAAGCCGCGAGCTCGACTACCACCGCCACGCAAGCCGCCACCGGATTCGTCACCAGCACCACATCCGCGGCGACCACCAGTGTCGCAGATGCGACTTCCGCCACCTCCGCCACCGAGGTCCCATCGCAGACCGCAAGCACTCCGGCCAGCGGGTCCAGCAGCGCTCCGGCTTCGGGACTGACGGGCGGCATGTCGGGCGCGTGCACGAGCGAGGGCATGTTCAACTGCGTCGGCGGCAGCACCTACCAGCAGTGCGCGAGCGGCAGCTGGACCGCGCTCCAGGCCATGCCGGCGACCACGAAGTGCCAGGAGGGCCAGACGATGACGCTCTGGGGCCGTGACGAGACGCCCCGCCGCAGCTTCCGCCTCCGCCGTTGATGCTGAATAAGGGGGGACGACGAGAGAAGGAAGGGTGCTGAGGGTTGCATCGTCTTGTACATAGTCTAATAGAAAGAGCGCCTGGCTGGTCTAGGGCTCGACAATTTGTACATACCTACCACATTGTCTTCTACTAAATCAGGGCCATTGCTACTGTTGCTTACTAAGGAGTTATGAAGTAGCGCACAAATATCCCGGATGGTGGCCAGTAGCGCGCTACATACCCCCAGTGACATAGGTATAAACACACCCAACATAGCGAGATATACGCATGGAAATCTATTTTTATCATCGTCGTCGCAGCTACCGGCATCCTTACGGGCTGTGCATATTGTAGTACTGCCGATCTGGGCAGCTATCTGCATGCGTTCGCATCCACCGATCCTTTGCCGAATAGTTCCAAGGTAGGAACAATCGGCCTGGGCAGCTATTCTGCGTGCATTCGCATCCACCGATCCTTTGCCGAATAGTTCCAAGGTAGGAACAATCGGCCTGGGCAGCTATTCTGCGTGCATTCGCATCCACCGATCCTTTGCCGAATAGTTCCAAGGTAGGAACAATCGGCCTGGGCAGCTATTCTGCGTGCATTCGCATCCACCGATCCTTTGCCGAATAGTTCCAAGGTAGGAACAATCGGCCTGGGCAGCTATTCTGCGTGCATTCTACGCATCTACTAAATCCTCCGCCGAATAGCCACGAGGTGGGACAGTCGGGCCGAGCAGCTATATGCATGTGTCAAGGAAGCCTTGCTTGGGCAAGGCCCTGAATCCCTTGAGCTGCTAGCTCCTCCCATTCTTCGGTCTAACCTTGTCAATATCATTCAGCCCTACGTAACTTCAAAGTTCCAGATCCGAGAAGGAGTGAGTGAGTGTTGCACCGTATAAAAGTGGACCTAGACTCTAGGTTCGATTCCTACCAGCGCTATATCGACACTAGAACTTTTCCATTCCTATCGCCGCTGACTTATGTCGAGGAACTTCTTAGTATGAACAAGGCCTCTGGTTTTTGGCCCATGCACCTCACACGTTCAGTGGCACAGCAGTTCTATCGCCATAATACCTCTGGTCCTTCGGAATCCGCCGCCGCAGCGAAAAGATGGATGGCAGCTTCAGTGCTACCGGTGGCTGTTGTCACTCTGCAAAGAACCAATGAAGTCATATCCTACAACGGGAACATACAGGTCGCCAGGATAGAAAGTAGTAGCGCAAGCCCTAGGCTGGGGGCCCTGGATTAGTATTTTCCCTATTGATTTCTGTGTGAAGATACCTCTGTCGCATAGAAGCATAACATATTTATGAAACGGGACCGTGATCAACAGTATATTCGCACCACATCTGGCAGAAATTTTACGTCCCCTCTACATGGCGCCGCGCCACTACTTTCCATGCTGGCGACCTATAGATAGACGGACTCGGGCATGGCGTCATTGTCAACGGTGCAACACCAGGTAGGTTGGATATGAATCATACCGATGGTCGACACCTATAAGAGTCTTGACTTTCTCCCATCGACTCATCCAATACCTCACAGACAAACCACCAACACAACAAGCCTCAATCAAGCACTCGTCACAGACACACCAGTATCTTGCCACATATACATATTGTACACATCTTCACTCCTCAGCTTCCCCAAGAAACATCAACAGAAGCCATGTCTTTCAAGCAGTTCGCCCTCGCCGCTCTCCTCGCTGCCACCACTCTCGGAGCGCCTTCAGCCCCAAACAAGCTTGACGTGTCTCTGCCAAAGCGCGACGACGCCTCCAGTGATTACGTTCATGGATGGTGCGGCCTCCACTTCCACCGAGACGCGTCCAACAAGGGAGCTACTGGCAAAGCTATCACGGACAAATTCGAGATCAAGGTCTACGAGGGAGGGGACGCCTCCTACAAGAAGGAGATTGGCTCTTTCCCACAGACCGACCTGAACGGAAACTTCTCGGACCAAACAGTGACCGGCGTCTTTACCTTTCCGTTCACTTTCCACAACAGCGGGAAGTGGATGATCAATTTCAACGTCAACAACCAGAAATTCTTGGCCGACGCAGGAAAGCAAAACGCTAACTGCAAGTCCGGCAAAGTCGAGAGCCCTGACATTGGCGACGGTTGGCGCTACCAGGAGGACGGGGACTGCGGTTTCACTTGCTAGATCAGATCTGCACTCCATTGATGCGTCTTCGTCGACGCCCTGGAGGCTGGGGCGGTTAGCACATGGATGATGGAAATGTGACGCGGCTGCTGGAGTCGCTGGTACGGTTCTTCGTTGACTCATTGCGGGTTAGCTGGTCACCCGCCACATGGAAGGATTGTTTTCTTTGGGAGGTGTAGCCCTTTCACCTGTATTTCTACCTCTAATTCCCCCTTGCTGTACGGTACTTATCTTGGTGTTTTGGATTCAATTTACTCTCATGGTTGTCTTTACATACCGTGTCTCGATCTCAAGTGACCCATTTATCGTAAACCTACGTGACAACTCTGTTCCAATCCCGATACTCCTTTGGCTTGAGCTCATCGGCATCCGCATCTTGGTAGACAAGTGCGCTGAACCACGCTAAGATCCGGGACAATATCCAGCAGCCGCTCGAAGACCACCTGGGCGACAACGACGGTAGCAAGCAACACGTAGAACCGGCCGCGCACGGGAGGTGAGGCGGCAAATGTCAATGGGGAGTCCGAGGAACAGCGCAATTGAGTACGTTCACTATAGGATTAGGGTTAAGTACGACTGGACGCAATTGGTCAGGGGAACCAACTGGAACAACCATCCAAATCCGAATCGCTGCTCATTCCACAGCCAGCAAATGATAGCTAACTATGTTCCGGCCTGCCGCCTAACATCTTTCGAATTTTCGGGATGGCAGCTGCATGGTCAGCCCTATGTCAAACAGAGCGTGGGGGCTTTTAGATGAGTGAAAACGTATATTCTGGTGTTGATTGATTGATTGATTGTATTTAACGTGGGGGGTAGCTCCTCAGTAGTGCAAACCACGCCTCCCAGAGCCTCTGTATCGCAGGGTTGTGGAGGTCTCAAGATAATAAGTACAGTCAGTCCCGCTCACGGGCCCATCCCCGTTGTTGCGGCGGTATGACCTTGGGGTCATCCATCTGGTCCTTTAAGAAAAGTTATCTATCAGAGGCAGATTATTGAAAAGAACTTGCTCTTCTCCACGAATTTTGCCCATTCTGTGCTCCTCTCCCCTAAGTATTGTAAACAAGCTGTCCTAGGCGAGTACCTAGGCAGCAGCCGGTTTTTCCCCAGCCTCTTACAAAAGAAAATGTGTTGTGGTGTTTTTTTCTCACCATAGCTGCAGTGATCATTCGAGTCTGTATGCCCAAAGCGTTCATGGTATCTGGCAAAGTCGCCATGTCCAGATCTGGCCGCTAGAAGTCTGTGTAAAGTACTTCTCTTAAAAGATATAAGGTCTCTTTCAGTTACTGCATATAAGTATACTTCTTGATACCTAGGTTCTGATTGGTTTTTCTATCATTAGTTGAACTCTTTCTTGCCCTTTCTTTTGAGATCTCTTTTGACCTAAGAGATTGTAAGAAGGTTTATTATGTCTGTTTTTAGCATGGCACCCTCTTTTGTTAGTGTGTTGGCAGCTTCGTTGCTATCAATGTCTCTGTGTCCAGGAATCCACTTGACGGTCACTCCAGGAGTGTGTGCTGTGGCAAGTTCTTGAAATCATAGAAAAATGTTCTGTGATGTCTCGGGTGGAGTCCCATTGAGCCCATCTACCACTGACGTGTTGTCCAAGTAGACATATAGCTGTTTTCTGTGTCTAATTGCCCTGGCTGCTGCAAGACCTTGGAGAGCACCATGGACTTTAGCATCTACTACTTCTGTTTGGAGAAGTCTGCCCTTTCCCCGGTATACTTCTTGTGTAGTGCCGCCTTTCCTGATGGTATAACCCCATCCAGTGCGGGTTGTGCCTTGGTCGTCCAATTATGATCCATCTGAATAGATAACAAGGTCAGTGTTCACGTTTCTCTCCTGTAGCCATTGCTTGAAGAGCTCTATTTCTTTGTTTTTGTCTTTACAGATTGGGGGCTTCTTGAATAATGGCCTGGTAAGTGTTGGTCTCTGGAAGTCAGGGACTAGCTGGAAGCTCCTTTGTAGCCTTGTTGGATTCTTGTGAGCTTGTATTTGGAGCCTGCTAACAAGAGGGTGTCTCTGGTCTATTCGTCCTAGTCGGAGGCCGTGACGTCGTCTTATTGACTCTGTAAGAACTCCTGCTGGGGGAATCTGCGATTCAAAGTATAGGATATGTCCAGGGTGTGTTTTCCAGACTGGCAAGATAGCCCTGATCGCTGTTCGTAGTACGGTATCTATTGTTCCAAGAAGCCCCTTAATACGACATGCTGATGTCCCACCTAAGCTCCCAACTTTCTTGATTCCTGGGTACCAGGTCTCCAGGCCGTGTGTAAGAATAGGAATAACACAAGCTTTCATAGCCCTCTTGGTTGACTTTACTGGAAGTCCTTTGACTATGTTGCATAGTCCTTGAAGGTGATTTGCTACCTTATTAGCTTTCTTGGCCCAGTAGGAAACATGATTTTTGAAGTTTAGTTTTCTATCTAGGAAGACACCCAGGCATCGCATGGAGTCCTTTGCTGTTTTGTTCATTGTCCCGTGGCGGACTGGAGGATTGTCTGAGTTCTTTTTCCTTAAGAAGTGCATGATCTCAGTTTTGTCAGGGTCAAATTCAATAGCGTTATTATGTCCCTATTGACTGAGCAAGTAAAGATTTTCAGAAGTCTCTGTAGCTGTTTCCTTAAGGTTCTTTCCAATACAGAGAGTCGCTAGGTCGTCTGCATATCCTAAGCGTCTCTTTTTCATACCAAGTCGGGCACAGATTGGCTCGTATATTCTGGTGTAATCCGTGTTGTTGTTGTATCTCTTTAAAAATCCTTCTGTGGGCTAAGTGGCCCAAAAATGCCCTATTGGCCTTGTTGGTGCACTGCCACCTCCCTGCACGCCACGGTGGCTTGCGCGCCATTCAACACCCTACGACGCCACTAGGATGGCCATAACGCGTTCCCGGGTTTAGTATTACAGGTCACCAGGATTGGAAGTAGTAGCGCGGCGACATGTGGAAGGGAGGTATATTTTCCGCCATTTTCCATGGGAGTATACTGTTAATCATGCTGCTCTATTTAGCAGAAGTGTTATGCCCGACGCTCCGAGAGGTATCTTTGCATAAAAAACTCCGAGAGATATATACCGTCAGGGCCCCTGGCCTAGCGCTTGCGCTACTACTTCCGATCCTAGTGACCTGTAGACGAGCTGAAACAACAAGAATCTATTCTATTTTTGGAGCTGTCAGACAACTTGCCGTATTCTACCTAGTGGGCGGACTGGTGGCCAGTCACACATCGCCCGTCACTCTTTGAGGTGTCGGTACGGGGCGGTGTGGGGGGGCTGAGCGACCATCGTGCATTTTGGCGAGTGCGAGAGTGCGAGAAGAAAGCGACGGCCAAGGTGCCAACAGCACAGCCGGAGTCCACACCCATGGGTATAAGGACGCCAAGAAGGGCCTCATCCCTCTTCCTCAGACGATAGATCCCCTTCCCTCTTGGCCCTTGGCTCTTGGCTCCTGGTTCCTGGCTCATTCCCATGTATTCCTGTGTCGCGTGCAATTCGATAATTAGCCGCACGACAGCCCGCAGACATGGGCTTCCTAGTCAGAGCCGTGGGTTCCGGCATTGGGTTGGCGTCCGAGGCCATCCACGACTACCGCGCCCGCTCGCGAGGAGACGGCTCCGCCTCGCCCAACCCCGAGACCGTCAGCGCCTCCTCTCAGGCCTCGTCCAGCGCCCAGGCCTGGGCCCCCGGCACTGCCGCTCAAGAGCTGGGCCTAAGCCCGCCCTACAGTGAGAAGCCCTACAGTGAGAAGTCCAAGGCGGCTGAGGCGGGCTACGACGACGAGCACGACGACTCCTCCAGCGACAGCGAGGACGACGTCGGCGGTGCCGCCCGCGCGGCTGACGAAGCCGCGTGGGAGCTCGACGACATGGCCGAGCAGGTCGCGCCGCCCTCGTACGACGAGTCCACGACTGGTGCCAGGTACGAAGTGACGCCCGGAGACTCCGACGAGGTCAAGATCGCCAAGGAGGACCAGATGGTCCGCGACATGGTCCGCATGGCGGGGCCCGCGCCGCAGCCCGTGCGACGTATCCCTTGCCCGGTCATCATACCGCAACGACGGCCGCGTAACAAGGACCGTGGATTCGTGCATGCCTATGCGCCTTTGATGCAGGGGTGCGGAATTGGCCAAGAGGTGTTCTCCAAGTTTCTGAAGGACTGGCTGAGTGTTAGCAAAGTAGGTCGCCTACCAGATGCCGACACTATTCTCGCTGAAGAGCTTGCTGACCAGGGCACTGCAGGCTGATCCCTGGATCGACGTCGTCTTCGTCGCTGCCGGCGTCGTGGGTCTTATCCCGGAAGTAGCATCTCAAGTAGTTGGTACCGTCGTACAGGTATTTGCGCCCACTTCTGAGATAGAGAAGAGAAATTAAATGTATAGGTCATCGCGGGAACCGCCAAAGAGCTACAGTCGCGATACCGCCGAAACACATTTCTCGACAGGGTGAACCAAGACCTGTTCATGCCGCGTGGTCTGTACGCTATGGTAATGGCCTTTAAGGACGTAGTGCCCGGGCAACAGCCGCGCGGGCCACTGAGCAGGCTCGCGGGGACGCTGGGCAAGCAGCTCTTCGCCGCCGAGCGCCTAGACATCAACCAGACAGCGGCGAAGTACAGCAACCCCGACGTGATGTCCAACACACGGAGGAAGCTCAAGGACATCCGACTGACCAGCGGGAAAACGGTGGGAGAGGTCGAGTTGCCAGAGGCCGCGCCCTTGGTTTATCCCGACCTCGACCGCGCCGCCGAGCAGGATTTGCAGGAGCAGGGGAACGGAAAAGGGAAGGAGAAGGAAGGGATCAAGCAGAAATGGAAGGGCGCTGGGGAATGGGTTGGAGACTACCTTGACCGACGCGCACAAGCTACCTATGTGAGTCGCCCTCCTGGCACGAACCGTGACAATCTCAACTTGATCTAACGGCACCTCACTCTACAGGAAGGACAACAGTACCACCCCTCCTCGCTAGCGGTGCCATCCTCAGCCCGCGCGGGCTTCTCTTCGCGCTACTCGGACCCCAACCACGCCGCCAACAGCGGCTCGTTGGTCTCGCTCCTGACTGGAGGCGCCGTCAACCCGAAGGCCCACCGCCAGGAGAGGCGCGCCGCCAAACGAGAGCGCAAGGGCATGAGGCGCGAGTACAAGGACGAGCGGCGGATGATGAAGGGACGAGAGCCCCGTGGTCCGCGACGCGCAAGGGCGCCTCGCGGTCAGCGTCAGGGAATCATCAAGAAGATCATGCAGCAGGATGTCATGTACCTGCTCATCGTCAACCTGCCGACCGAGGAGGAGGTCCAGAAGTCGGTTGCGGATCTAGAGAGGATGGTCGCTGCGGAGGGCGTGCAGGAGATGGCATGAGAATATGATGGTTCTCTGTTTTCTGTGTTGACCGAGACCTGTGTTGAGGTGTTGGTGGTGACGCTGCAGTGTGGTCCTGGGACTTATGACTAGAGTTTCTTTCTTACCCCAACACAGAGGTGTGCCTTATTGAATTCCCTTGCCAAGTAGAACTCCGTGGCGTAGCATGTACCAAACGGTATAATGTATGCCTTTACACATGACCTTTACATCGCCTTGCGATAGGTTTACAGAATAAACATTAAAGATCTACGGAACAAGCATGATATATATACTCTTCAGAATTAACACGCAAGACAGAAGAATGAAGCCCATACAATATTTAAAATCAGAAAGACACCGGCGCTATCAAACCCCTTTTGCAGTTCTCGTCGGCACAGTCTTCGAGATCGTCCTGTGCCGCTTCGTCGTTCTTGCTCTTGATCTTCTTCGCCGCACCGAAATCAAAGAAGTAAGCCTTGTCGTCGCCCGTAATGATGGAATTACGCACATGGGCATCCCCATGTGCCCAGCCCTTATTATGCAGTGCCTTCAAAGTGTCACGGCAGGCGGCCCTATCCTGGGGATCCGATACGAAGGGCATACTCCCCACAAGTCTGAGGTCCTCGAGGATGAGGCCTACGATGGAGCCAGTGTGGTCATCTTCGATGAGGGCGAAGACTTCAGGAGCAATTCCGCTCCCTTCAATCTTCTTGTAGACCCTGAATTCCGTCGGAGTCCAGTACGGTATTATATTGACGTGCACTGTAGCGGCTGAGGTGGCAGATTTTGCCTCATCGGTCTCAGGCCTGATGCGCTTCGTGTCTCCGGGTGAAAGGCCTGGGGCTATCTTGCCCGTCTCGATCCTGCGCTTTTCGTCCCATTTGAACGGGCCATCGGAGTCGCTGTCAGAGTCCCTGACGTCTAGCGGAGCTTCAAACCTGGTCACGCTCCGACCCTGTGGCAACTAATTCAGGCTTTGTGATCGGAGTGTATGCTTGCTTCGGGGTCTTCTCCAACACTTACATAGACTAAGCTCAGGGCTGCAGTAGTTGCTAACCCTAAAAGTTCGATGACCAATGCTTTGAAGAGTTGCATAGCTTACGGGGCCCAAAATGTGTTCTAAGTTGGAGTAGTATATTGAGCTTGGAGGTTCGTTGAGCTCCGAAGATGTATTATGGTAGGTTCGATCCAAGCTCTATGACCTTCCTGGCAGCGGAAAACCTTCATGTACCCTTCCCCAGTTGCTCTGAATCAACTCGGGTTGGTCATACTTTAGCTATTTTGGCCACCTGAAGAAATCGAACAATTTGGACCTCACGGTTTCGTCGTCTCTGGAATACTCTACCTTTTCTTTCCGGATTACCCTCGGGACGGGCCTCCGGTCCCTCCGCCACCTCCGGGCACCACTTTCTCGTGAGATCAAATATGATTTGCCAGATAAATCTATGAAATCCAACGACGAAAACCCGAACGATGCCTTGTACACCAGCACACCATCAGGGTTGACCCGCCAAGAAGAAGCATGCGACTTTGGCTTCTTGATTGGCTGGTGGTTCAACATTTGCACGGAGTAGAGCAATATCGCCACGCCGCGACTCTCCCAAAGGATTAAGATGCTTGTGGATGTGGTCCAGGGTAGACGGTCTAGACCGAAGACGATCTCGACGGCAAAAGATCTATAAATAAACCTTCCACGTCCCTTGGCAGATTTCGTGCCGATCGTCTGCATCATCATTAATTCTCATTCATTTCGCAGAAGAGCGCCTCGAGGCCGTGACTTCTCGTCGAAGGGCTTTTTGGCGCGAGAATCTGATCTGTGTGCATGTCGTCCTGCCCCTTGCGCGCTTTCGGTATTATTATAGTACACGGCGCAACCGCCGCTGGGATCCTCCCCGAGCCCTGGTATGGCGGCGACCCGCGCCCCACCACCCTCCAGATCATTAAGGACGAGGGCCCGGGCGGCCGTCTGCATATCATCGTCCGGCCTTGGCTTCATCAGCGTCGATCTTAATGCTGTGAGAAAATACAAGCCTGAGAAGGATGATTGCGTTAATGATGGCGACGCAGCAGCTGCAGTTGCTGAAGCATCATACGGCGCGGGATGATCCGGATCGCGGACCAGATCTAGGGCGTGTACAGCAAGGAGAGCGGACGAGCGGGCAGGCGGCTCCACGCGAGCAGCTTGGTGCCCGGCGGCTGTCAGAGCGGCTTCCAAGAGCACGCACATCCTACTGGGTACAGGCATACAGCTTTAGCGTCCAATAAGGAGGGGAGAGAGAAGCTGTGGGAGGTTAGTAAGGGGCTCATTGTTGCTTGGTGTAGAGCGATCAGAGTGCGGGACCCCTGACGAGATCGACCTCTGGCAAATGCACCGTGAAGGGAACCGAAACCTCATTCTTATTTAACCAAAGCTGAAGAGAATAGTATCTCGTATCTCCCTCGTCTCATGCTCGCAGGTCATCACATGCATCACAGGGCCCGGTACGAACCTTCCTCAAGTGCTCCTTCAGCGTCTGAGCTGAGCGGCAGACCGTTCCTCTCTGTAGATTGGAGCCATTGAACTGGTACTGTGCCGCGGAGCCTCAAGTCTTTCCCTGGAAAAGTACTCAGCTATGATGCTGGTGACTTCAAGGCACCAAACTGGTGATCGGTTTGACTCCGTTTCCGACAAGAATTGCCTTGTCTTACGGTACAGTCTGAAAGACAGGCCTCAACACTGTCTATACCACCGCCCTTTTGCATGGTAAACATCACAAGCCCACTGGCAGTCATGGTAATCATGACTTCGCGACATGCTTGGTAATTCCGATCCACTCAACATTTAGACAGATCAACCACACCCCACCCCTAAGCCTATCCAAGTGCAGCCTCGAGTATATCACCAAGACCCTCAATAACATCCCCAGCAGTCCCCAAAGCCACATCCAGACCATCGTAATTCCTCCGCATGCCCTCCTCCCCGAGCGCCTCCTCCCGCGCCCTCGCCTGCTCCTCCGAGGCGGCGAGCAGCTCGATCGGGCCCGCGTATTCGAGCTCGCGCTCCTCCCCGCCGCATATCAGGTGCAGCTTCAGGCTGAGTCGGTACGAGAGCGCGATGTTGTACGTCGCGAACGACGGGTAGATCTTCTCCTCGCCGGCTGTTGTCGCGGCGCGTCGAGACCCCTGCTTTGACATTCCCCCATGCGAGACGCGGATGCTGAGGGCCTGCCCAGGTCCAGCGCGGTTGGGGGTGGTTGAGATGCCGCGGCGCTGCTGGTGGGAGTGTTGTCGTGCGTAGTCGGAACGATCATGTGGTCAGCGGCGCTCGGGTCGGCGCCGAAGTTTACGCTGCCGACCGCGTGCTTTGAGTCCGCCGATGCTTCGTGGTCTGTGAGCGTACCAGGGGCTCGCACTTCGCACGTGCTCTTGAGACTGGCGTGCACAGTCCTCAGCGTCACCGGCGGCAGCGCTGCCAGATTACCGTTGTATATCGTAATACTCTTCTCGTTCAGAATTGGGTTGAGCCATAATTTCAGCGGCAGCGGTTCCGGGTGCTCGAGCTGGTAGGTCCGCGGGACGCTCAGCATCACTCGGAAGGTATACTTGGGCACCTTGCCCGGTGTGAAGAAGCGTCGACTTTTCTGTCGGAACGTGAGCTCGGTACCGGCATGTTCCGACTGTAGCCTCTGCGAGACGAGGCTGACGTGGTATCTCTTGGTCAAGAAGTTGAAATCTTGCGTCGGCTTCTCCGCGGACCGTGGGCGCACGAAGAGCGGGTACGTCGCTGGGTGGCTAACCAAGGAGCTGTGAGCTTCAAGCCAGTACTCGATATACGCCTCCTGTTTGACGCCGGCCCAGAAGCTGCGGCTGGAGCCCAAGTAGAAGATGCCTGGCAGTTCTTCCTGCGGTGAACCCTTGTTTGAGCGGAAATCACCAGATCGGTCGAACACGTCGCTGCCGGGACACTTTGCTGGGACTGCTGGTATATCGACACTGAAAGATGCGCAGGTATTGCCCTCAGAGTCGAGATTACGGCTATCAACAGCCACAGCCTCGCTTGTTTGCAAAAAGAACGCTCTTGATCGGTAGATTCTTCTAGAGTTTGAGTCGTGTTTATCGATCTTGACCTTGGCCCGGCAGCATAGCTTCAGGGCCAGGTTTGTCACTGGCTTCTCCTTGGCCCCCTGCTTGATCGTGACCATCCCAAGGATAGTGTCACCCGGCTGATAGACCTTGTGATTTATCAGTTGAATGGACATAGGGCCCTTTTTGTTTGCCCCATGGCGCGGCATCTTGAGTGGGATACTTTGAGGGTGCTCGGCGCTCGAATCAAGAACTATTAGGTTTCGGCGGTGGCAAATAATAAGAGCGCGGATTGCAAGTGTCCTATACTGTTGCCTCTTCAGTGGCGACGCCTTTTGAATAAAAACCACCCCATGGTACCGGGTGAGCAAGCCGCGGGGAGGTTGTCTCATCGCAGAGGAGCAGTCAAGGAAGGATTTTGATCCTTACCCTCAGCTTCTTCAGCTTAGACGCGCCAAGGTGGTGTAAGACCTAGGTATCTATCCGACTTATCGCAATATGGAGTATTGGTCTATGGAATGGATGTATGACAATACCTCGCGGTCCACACTCTTGGCATTATTATTATAAGTTAGCCTTGGTCGACAATCCACCGGCCGCTGTCGACGCCGGCCCACGTCAAGAGCTTCGCATGCGAGGCTCTGAAGCGCCGCTGGAACTCAGGTGTACCCGGCAGGGGATCTTCGGCGAACTCCAGTGTATTGTCATGCCAGCTCCTGATTGCGCGAGCATAACACGTGTCTAGGCCGTAAACACTCTCCGCCAACAGGCACAGCTCATGTAAGTATCCGTGAAAGAGATCCCACAGCTCAGCGCTTCTTGGAAATGTCATGTCCTCGAAGGCCGGGCTGTCCGTCTGGAGGACTACGACGCGCGTGAAGACCTGTATCAACTCGAAGAGATCGTCGCACCATCTTGGCCCGAGCCGATACGTGGCATTTCCGCTGCCTCTCAGACTGCTCTTGATGCCTTCCAAGGGTTGGCCTTGAGCTTGCCAGATTCTCCCGAGGGTCTTCAGCAGTGACGGCATCGGCTCCAAGTCGTCAGGCCACTGGCCTTCCTGAAAAGCTGCATCGGCGAGACTACGCGCTGCTGTCAGCTGCGAACCGACGTCAACAGAGCCCAGCGAGGCGCTGGCTTCGACCACGACATTATTCATCAGTGTGAACAGCTCATCCTGTTTCTTCCGAATTTCCTCCAAACTGTCATTGTCGTCAGAGGTCCTTAGTCGATGGGTTTCGAGTTCCTGGCAGCATCTCTGACCTGTTTCAGAACCGTCAGCGATCTGTATCCGGCTTGTGACTCAAGGTAGACCAACAGGAGCAGACGAAGAAGTAGTCTTCTTCGAGCCGCCGCTGCCTGAGGAGAACGTCACATTGCACATCTGTATAGCAGTGCATAATCTCTTCCCCAGGCTCGATCGTCCTCAACGACCTGACTCGCAGCTCTTTGCCCTCGAAAAAGAGGCAAACGTTCGGGTTGCAAGAATGGTTCATGACCGACCCGACCACATCCAGAGCAGTGCCCAGGGCGACGCTCTGGCCAGGTTGGTTGATTGAGATACGGTTCGTGAGAAGCTGTTCCGTCAGTCAATTCGGCCCAGTCAATAAGGTAACGGCCAAGAAAGTTGCTTACCACGCAGTATAACCTCTCAATATCTATTTTTTCAAGGTTAGAGCCAGTGCATGTCCTGGCATCACTAGCTATCTGTGAGATAATGTTCGATTGCGGCCCCTCGCGATGACCTGTGCGGTGAGACATGAGCTTCAATAGAGCTGCCCACTGCTGTCTAGGTATAAGTCCGTGCTTCTTCAGAATTAACAGCCGGTATAGCGCTCTGGTCTTGAGATTCAAGTTCGGACTTCCTGCTAGTATTTTGCACTCGTGGCAGTGATGCTCCTCCCACGCCCTTGTCCGGCAAGACTGTCTCATAGTCAGTAATGCAACTATGGTCCTTTCATCCCATGGCATATACGAACCTCGGAGCAGTATCTATTGACTTGGCAGCCTTCGCATATTGCGGGCGGCAATAACTGGTCCTTTGACGTGACAAATCGGTCATCTGGATGGATCCTGCTGGCACTGTTTGCGAAGCAAAAGTCGCACACACTCTCCAGGTCATTCTGAACACAAGTGACCGTCGGAGTTCTATGAAATACATAGTCCCCTTTGGCAATGCCGGTCGTCGTGTATAGCCCTGCTCCAGCGCCCGGGACGCTAGATTCTCGGATGGCTAAGGAGTGCGTTGTGATGATGCCGCTGAGAAGGAAATCGCATATTTCAGGGTCGGCGTGCAGCGGTAGGGCCGCTTTGCCTGCGTCTATGTCTGGTTCTCGGACCATCAGGCGGATGTTTCGGGGCAATAGACTATGTTGAACGATGTCTACGGAATATATGGGCAGATGATGACAGAGGTAAGGATTGGAAATGCCCTGTCCCTATGGTCCCCGATGACGTAGGTGTAAGTGTGGAGCCAAGGACTGCAGACAAGACCCAGACCTTGCCTGATCTTTCAGTGTTCACACGTGATGCATCACATACCGTCCAGGAGGCGGCGATGGCACCAATCGTAGGTAGGTGAGTATGTATGTATAGACGCCACCTTCCCTCTTGGTCGCCAGGAGGCGACACTCTGTACTCCTGCCCCAGAGGAGTAAAAGAGACTCAGGGCCATCCACAATGGCGGAGTTGAAGAACCGCCCAATCGGCGTGTCAACGGGTTGTGCCCACGAAGCGACCTACCGAGGCGCAGAACATGAAGTTTTCCGTCAAAAGCCCCAGACACTCGGGAAAGAGCCTGCTGGAGGCGACGATGCGCACTGCTCGATGTTTGGACGACACATCAACCTGGCCTGGTCCCAAAAAGCCGCCCAGGTTATATGAGCTTCTTTTCTAAACTATTCACGTACAGTTGGAAATGCAGTACAGCAATTGTTCGGAATCCTCGAGGTGCAGAGAATCGGGTTTCTACCCGCTCCAGATCCAGGTGTCCTCTTCACCGTGTGGTTCTGATCTCGGCCGTTTCGAGTACTGTCATTTGAGGCAGGTCTCACAGATTGCTCTGTCCTCTGGGTCCAAAATTGGGATCCCTACTTTGAAACGCTCTCATCACCGCCATGGCGACCTGAGGATAGGCCATGGTCCTGTCGTGTATGCCGTACCGCGGCACCTCTTGCCTGATGAGCCCCTTTGGAGTTGGCCATTCCACGTACCAACCCCCTTGGCCCATATCGACCTTTCTCTCGTTCTTCTGTATCCTAAGCTCGTCCTGGGTCATCTTTTCACTACTCTGCGCATTTACTGCGTGCTCAAACAACACGTTGCTGAGGTGCCAAGGCACAATAGGGTCGTCCTAGGCATGAAAGATCTAGATGTGATAACGAGGGCTCTGTTGCACAATATCCACCAGACGGTCCCTATTTGGCCACTTATTGCGCATAGCCTTTGCTACCAAAGCAAGCAGGCTGGGGAACCGGGCGAAGGGCCCAAGGACCCGTAGGCCGAAGATAGTACGGTACTCGGCGAGCATCGTTGGTACATCGGGGAAGGATCCTGAGATCACCAGCCCTGCAACCGACGCCTCTTGGAGCGCTAGTTCACGAACTAGAGACAGGGCGACACCCAACCCCATAGACTGGCCGAACACGACGATCCGCTCTGGAGGTATGCCGACCACTTCGGTGGCCCGTTGGAAGACGGCTTGGGCGTTCTTTATGAGCAGGCCTTCCTCGGTCGGACTCCCGTTCAACAGACCGAAGCCGCCGTAGTCAAAAGCAACCTCCGCGTGAATCTTGCTGGACGCCAGTGACGAGAGGGACCGGTCGGCGGTAGCAGTCAGCCCGGCAATAGGCGATCGCGATCAGAGTCCCAGACGAGCCGTGCTTGTGTATGACACATGAGCAAGGATGAAGGCGCTGCTGCATCAGGTGGCTTAAACTCCATATGAAAAGAGAAGGGAAGGGAGAGCTGGTAAGGAGGGCTAGAAAAAAACATTTCTCTTGCTAGAGGAATCGAACCGCTGTGCCTAAGGATATAGAATAAGAATACTCCGCTATTCGCTAGGCCGTACCAACCCGGCTACCAAACTAACATGATAAAATACCTTGTATACCTTGCACGGCTGTCCATGTGTCAGCGATAGGGGCTGGGTTAAGGTTTGCAGTGTGGCTGCTTCGTCGTAGTTAAAGTCTTGCATATTTTGCTCCAGGGTCTGGCCCCAGGATCCTTCCTCAACAGCCGGAAGTTCAGCGTCGCCGTCGCGGTGAAATCGTCACCCGGACTTTGGCCGCGTTCGTCTCTGATGATCTCCGCGGCGTAGAGGAATGATGCGACGCTGATCCTGCCTAGTACAGCTAGGGGTATCACCGCGAGCGATGGTTCATTGGGGCAGTAGAAGGAGACTGTTTTCTCTACTTTCGGGAAGAGACCCTTATAACGGACTCGTGCAGGGGCGGAGGCTTCGCTGGCGGAAAATGTGATACTCTGGTCTTGTTCATGGCAGATCAGGTTGCTTCATCCAACCGTGTGAAGCATCGTTCTCCCCGTTGCATCATCAAGAACAACTTCTTCCTAGTTTGTGAAGCTCGCGGCTGTCTGGTATCAACCACAGGGGAACTCCCTCCACTTGTGCGAGACAGTGGGAGGCCGAGAGGGTTGGCTCATTATGATTGATTGATTGATTGTATTTATCGTGGGTGCAGTCCCTCCATAGGGCAAACCACGCCTCCCAGAGCCATTGCATCGCAAGGTTATAGAGGTGTCAGTCTAGATACATTCAGATCCGCGCACGAGCCTATCCTCGCTGTAGCGGTACCAACCTGGAGTGTCCAGATGGTTTTTTTTTTAGTCAATACCCAAACACGATTCTGTCAAAAAAACCTCCTGTCCAGTGACTAAGCGACCCAGTGAACCTCAGTCCTCTGGTGTACACATCGTTCCAGTAGCCGTTCGATATATGTCGCATTGGTGGGTGAAATAGGTATTTATTATCTGCTGGCGAGGGAAACCACAAGGGGAAAAACCTCGCAGGAATGGGTATTATAGAGACAAGCTGTTTGGCTATCGGGCTCTGTGATAAGGGGCCTCTCCACTGTCGTGTGCTGGTTGTCGACTCGCACAAGCCGGGTCAGAAGGGGGCCATAGCAGGATTCGAACCCACCTGTTCTCGTCGCCCACGGCTCATTATGCATATTCGTATGCTACATAGACGCATATCCTCCCCTATTCGACCAAGATCTTACGTGCCTTTCGTTGTACAATCAACCCGTGGTTTACGGATTTACCATCAGCTATAATGCTGACACGATTAAGTTCAACTGGACCACGAGAACTTCGAGGCGGGGATATAAATCCAATAACATGAGCTGATACGTGTACAACTTAGTAGGATATCTTGGTATAATGCCGTCTGATCTTGTTTGGGGCACCCTCCTACAAGTCCGCAAGCCTTTCAGTCTTCGGATAAGCATCATCTAAGTACACACACATTTGTACTAATATTGCACGAGGCCATGGCCATTCTCTTCCTTCCTGTCAGGGGGTAGTCCACGGAAGTCGGGTACGCACGTTGCACCGTCACACGCTGGCAGACCATTAAGAGGCCACCCAGTGGGTGACCGCGGTGGTCATCTGACTACAGAGCAAACACGGGTAGTATCGACTCTTTCTCATGCAAACAGGTCTCGAGAAGGCCACCGTTACCTCGTATATGCACGCTTACTGGGTAATCAGGATCGTTGTTCGAAACCACTAACCGGCAGGAAAACATGGCCATGGGGGACATTCAAGCCAGTGAGCCCGGGGCGAAAGAGCATACACACGATCGTCTGGACTTGTGGCATACTATGAAATGTACACTCAGTTGCCCGGTTTGACTTGGTGCTCGAAGCACTTTGGCTGATGCGACTCCGCCACCGAGTCGCCTTTTCCTGTTAACGTTATGGCGTTCACTCCTGCGCATGAAGGGGAGGATACCTTAGGCTCCTCACAATGTTAAATCTACCCGCCGGAATCAGACAGATTGACGCAGGTGATTGCGGTTGCCGGTTCTGTATTTGACCATATGCGACACCGTGGCCTCCGTGTCACAACTATGCGGTAGCACGGAATAGCAATCTGCGAGATTCGACCGAGGTGCTGCAACCCGAGATGGGCCATTACAGCCAGCAACCACTAGGTAGGCAAGGGAAGCGCAGAGAGGTTCAGGATATATGAGATAGGGCCAAATAGATGATCCCCGTTCGTCACAACATGAATTACATATAAGGTACTATACTGTGTGTTAGTAACTAGCTAGGTACCTAGGGAATTAGGTAGTCGGCGACGTGACTGCGTACCAGCTGTTGTTGGTCGAGGCTCCTCGCACGGCAGTCACCGTCGCGCCTTCCCCTGATGCGAAACAGCCCGACCTCCATCTCAACCCGACTGCCCAGGTGCTTCCTTCCCATCTTACCGTCTGCAGCAATCGAATTCGGGCAGGCACTAGGATCGGCAAGCACCAATGCCATGCTTTGCCGCCTTTTCTGCAATCTCTTCACGTCTCTGCTTCCTCTCTTCCTCTCTTCCACCCACACTTCACAACGAGTCTTCGCCACCTCGCAGCACTCACTCTCTTGTGCTGGACACCACACCGATACTCATTCACGTCCTCCAGCTTCTTGTCCGAGTATTTCTTCTTCCTTCTCTTCCACCGCTTTGATTGTGTCAGCTGGAGTCATTCACCATGCAGAACATCGCAGGGATGCTCTTCGCCTTCATCCTGGCCCTGTCGGGTGGCCTTGCTACCGCCGCCGGCGTTCCGGACCGCGGTCCTCTTGTCTTCTTCGGTGAATCCACGGCACCTAAGCACCTTACCGTCAAGCCTGCCTATGGGTTCATACAGACCCCATCGACCTGGACCACTGTCTACACGAACGAGCATGTGAAGCCTACTACTCTCCCCGTCGTCTCCCCCGACGAGGCTACCGAGAGAGCCGCTTCGTTTGACAAGCAGGCCATGCCGCCTGGTGCCTATGGTGGCGAAGAACCTCCCAGCGGCCCAAGCGGTGCGTACGGTCAACCCCAATCACCCCCACCCAGCCCCGTCGGCCAGCCAGCCATCGTTCCTTCCGCTGTTCTGCAGACATCCATCGTTATCCAGACCCTCTTTGAGACTGTCACGGTGAGCCTTGGATTGCAGACGTCCAGTTGCGAGACTACCCCTACTGCTGTGACGACACCTACTGCCGTGATCACCCCTTCGGAGCCCAGCACTATCACCGGCATCGAGACAATCCCCGGCACGCCTGCTACGGAGGTATCGACGCCATGCAGCTCTACCACGGTCACGGATCACGAGTCCACACTGAGCACCTCCCCAACTCGGCCTCCGACATCGTCTGGCACGGCTCCAAGAGCCAGCAGCACGCACACACCAAGCTCGGCATGGTCTTTCTCGACAACCCCGACCTCCGGCAAGCCGTCCGTGACTCCCATCGTCGACACTAACGCTGGCATTATCACTGCGTCGAACTTGCGCCTACTCTGCGGCATGTCAGCCCTGGTGGCCTTGACCAATGTTGCTGGACTCCTATGACAAGGTGTAAGTCAACATTCTCACTGTCGTGGTATAAACAAGGGGTCACTGCCTATGGCGAACATTTTCGTTTGTATCAGAAATGATGATCATGCTTCTACCGTTCCCTTGAATCATGGGCTGACTTGCAATATCCCTCCAGCGTACGGTGATCTCGAGCACGGCCGTGTTCAACGGCTATACTCTTGATGGAATTTGAGGATTGAAGATTGGTCTCAGACATGGCTAATAGCTAGCAAGACGAAAATGGTGGAGGTAATACGGGAGGAAAGATGGACGGCCAAGCGCGATCAAATTTTGGAAGTCGAGCACATGTACTGCAGACAGCATGAGAACTGCTGCATAATACGTTGTACACTTGCTGGTAGATGAGCGAGATGATTCCTCCGAGCTGCAGCCAATCTGTTAGTCTGCTATAGATATCAACGAAATGACCCCATATTTGCCACGCAGCAAAACACTGGACTTTGGTATTGACAGTGATCTTGGCTTGGGAGGTTTTTGACATGCTCATCGCCTGATCTGCTTAACATAGTCGATGCATCAGCTTCCAATTCTCAAAACGTTCATGTACTCTATACCGATCAAGGCTCAGTCGAGTCATGATACACGTCTCTCTACAGGAGCAACAAATCCCCGTTGCTGCCCACACCCTGTGCCGGCTGTATGACCTGCTGCGGCGCATATTGGTTTACCACATAGCCCGTCTCATTGCCGCCGCCACTGAACGAATCATCTCCCCCGTGATCGTGGATGCCCATCGCCGCCATCTGCTGGCTGCCGATACCAGCAAAATAGGCGTCGGCATCACTGACCGCACTCGCCATGCCCATGACGCCACCCGCGGAGGCAGCAGCCGCCGCCCCAGCCGCGGTATCGATCGCGTTCCCCCCACCACCAGGCCGGACGACGGCGGGCGGGTTCCCGACGCCGAACTGGGACAGGCTCTTGTTGGCATCGAAACCGGGCAGGTTGGCAGCAGTGGGCAGGGCGTGCTTTTGCAGGGCGGGCGAGTCGATGAGCCGCTTGGGCCGGGCGCTGCGGAAGACGGTCTGCACGGGCTTGAGGTAGATGGTGGCCAGGGTGCCGACGTTGAGGCACATCTCCTCGAGGGTCTGGGGGTCGAGCTTCTCGGACTCGGCGGTGATGGGCGGCTTCTCGCCCATGACGATGGTGCGCGCGGCGGCCACGTCGGTGCTGAGGAGGCGCCAGTACATGTAGGCGCGGTCGCGCAGGTCGGGGTTGTCGGTCTCTTCCGTGGCCCACTTCAGCACGCGCGGGACGAGGTCCTGTCCCTTGGTCGGCCGCTGGATGAAGAGCTTGACGGTTGCGGTGAGGAGGGCGAGTTGCACTTCGACCGGCTCCTCGGCGAACGAGTATAGGAAGTCCTCGAGAAGGGCGTCGCTGTTCTCGATGCGGTCTGCGTACTGCCCGATGACCCACACCATGGCGGCCTTGGCCTCGGGCTCGTCCAGGGAGTCCAGGTGCTCGCAGAGCGTGCCGATGATGGACTCGTATTGGTTGGGGTATTTCCGGAAAATGTTGCGGATCACCACCGTGGCCTCCTGGACGATGTACGGCACCTTGGTGGCGACCAACTCGAGCAGTAGGTTTATGCACCGTCGGGCTGCTGGCTCAATCTTAATGGCCAGCTTCCCGATGGCGCGCACGGCCTTCCGGACAAAATGTACGTCGACTTCGGTTGCGTACTCGCGTAACTCCGTCAGTACCTCGTCAATGTTCTTCTCGTTCGCCAACATGAATATCAGCTCGAGCTTCGTCACCTTGACGTAGATAGGGTCGTTGTATTTGCAGAAAAACACGCGGATATCGTTGCGCAGGACATCCGGCCGCCGTTGAAGGATAAGCAGCGCATTTCTCAATGCAAGATATTGTACCTCGGGGCCCTTTGCTAGTAATGTGACGAGTGGTGGTGACAGCTTCCGACATAGCGCTGATATTTGCTTTTCGTCGCCGATGTAGTTCATGAGATACAGTATCACTCGTATACACGTCAAGACGACGGCGGAGTTGGAGTGCGAAAGGCGAGGCGCTATACGCTCCGCAAGCAGAGTCGCTTCCCCTGATTCTTGAGGCACATAGGACATAAGAGCCTCGAGGATGTACGTTTGGCCCCACCTGCGTCTCGTCAGCAATGTGATAGTAACACACTTCGGGGTATACGCACTCGGAGCAGTCAGGCAGGATAGCCACCATCTTGGAGGCATTACTGTAGTCTATTGTGAGTTTGATAGAATCACTACGCTCCCAAATATCCATTAGACCAGCCAGTGCGCTTGCCACGACCGTTGGGTTGTCGTCCCTCAACAGTGAATTCAGCCTGTCTATCAAGTCGGACTTTTCTACCATGACCTTATCATGGTCGTATAGCTTCGCGACGCAGTAGGCAGCTGTTTTACGTACGTAGGGATCCGAGTCTCGTAGTAGTCGTTTGACAATCGGAACAGTGGCTTCGACGAATTCGCGGACATGGACGTAGGACATGGTTCGAAGAGCTAGAGCTCTGACCAGCGGGTTTGAATCTTGCATATCCTATGCGAGCATTAGCTTCACCATATTACCCACGGCTGTGGCATCTCTAGAGTGAAACTGACCTGCTCCAACACTGGGATCGCCTTTATCGCTATCTCAGGTCTCATCCTTGAGTAGTTCACCAAGAACAAGAAGCACCTGTGCCAACCCCTGTCAGTATCCCTCTCATGTGTGTTGTCTCAATCTCCGCGCAAGACGTGGCTTACATCTTCTTGATCTCCAAGCTCTGGATGTGCATGCAGCTCACTATATCGGGGAAGAGGGAAACCATCTCGTTGTTGCTCATGGTCATATTGGCGACGATCTTCTTGAGGGCAATCTTCTTCTGGGTGAAGTTCTTATCCTTCTTGCTGCCGCTGTTCAGCTCAAGTCGCAGCTCGGCGACTTTGCCCTGCATAGTCATTCGTCGTAAGCCATAGTCCGGAGGTATATATGCAAGAAACATGGCCATGATGTTCGCGCTGCAGGAAGGGTCGCATCATAGTGTATACAGCTAGATACGGCCAAGACATCATTTCTCGACAACAAGCTTGCCCTTTCACATGATCGTCTCGAAGCAGAGGTTTGTCGGATCTAGGAGTGTTGGCGCTGAGGCTTGACTAGATCGTTCGAGTGCGGAGAAATGGTGGGATTTTAATCGGACAGCGACATGATATTGGGAAAACGAAGAAGAGCATGTACGATTGTAGGGGGTTGTTCGTAATAGCTACTATCAATGGCCTCGAAGAGAGGATTATAGAAATAGTGATGTGCTTACCCGAGCAAACAGCTTCGAGTCCCCTTGGCCTTGAGCACTCGACATGATGAACGTCTGGTGTTGGCCGGGCTGACCACTCTAGGATAATCCGTCGTAGGGGGCTCGACGTCTCGGTCGGGCCGCGCAGTGTGATCTCGATGTGACAGTCCGTCAATGGCAGCAAGGCTCGACGGTCAGCGCCTCGCAGGACGAAACCTGGTAGACTACCTGGGAACCCAGCTCGAGAAAGATGTCGCATGCGCCAGCGTGTATAGCTATCCAATGACAGGAGACGGCAACGGGTTGCGCAGCTGTAGTGGAGGGGCGGTTGTAAACCGTCACATGCAAGCCCCCGCTTTGCCCTATTCGCTGACTTATTGTGCGATATCGTTTGCGTTCTAATTCGTTGAAGGTTGAAGTCGTCGTTCGATGCGGTCAGATGGGAGGAACGAATGCGATGGTTGCCAGTCGAGTGATCGGAGATTGAGGCTATGGGGAATTGCAATGCGCGCTGGATTGAATGGATATGCAAACGTATGTACAGGTCGGGACTGTTGAAGCTGAAGATCTATCAGAGATGAAGCAGAAAGTCGCCCGTTGATGCCGAATCGAATCCCCCATCCTATGACCCCTGAAGGCGGAGAGTTGAGGTCGGCATTAAGCATTTGCCATGTGGGATGTCTTATCGCCGAGCGCTATCCAGATCGACATCGGTTGGGGTCCTAGCGCACGGCTCAGGTCTTGGCCAGCGCTGGAATCTGTCAGACTGCCACTGTCCAGCAGGTCCCACTATCGCGGATCGCCGCGTAGCTCGCTGACTTCAATGTGACTGACTACCTTGACCAACTTCAACAACCCTACCTACCTCTTCGAATCATAGTCTTCTACCACCTACAGCTACGAGAAGACACTTGTATCTAGGCTGTACACATTGCCGCACCTTGGAACTGTGTGCTTCCCAAAGAGACCGCGATGGCATCAATCTTGTCCACGGTACCTAAATGGGTCGCTGACCTGCAATCGCCCCCAACACCTAGATCGAAGAATGGGAGCATACCCGACCCCCCAGGATATCCTGCTCAGTCAACAGCACTGTCCAAGGTGCGTCAGGCTACGAGACGACACCGTGGATCCTTGACTGACAAATGACAAACGCAGAAACAAGCATCCAAAGAGCTCAAGTCCCAGCCCCGAAAGCAGCCGAGCCCCGAAGAGATGGACACCTTGAAGCTGAAGAAGGCATGGGAGGTCGCACTGGCGCCAGTCAAAAGTCTGCCCATGACAGCCATCATGATGTACATGTCCGGAAACTCGTTGCAGATCTTCAGCATCATGATGGTCTACATGGCCTTCAAGAACCCCATCATGGGTCTTGTCGGAACAAACCAGGCATTCGAGAGGTTCGAGAGCGACAGCAACAAGGCCAAGATCATACAAGTCAAGTTGGCATACATAGTGATGCAGTGCGTGGCGCTCGGCGTGGGAATATGGAAAGTGAATGCTATGGGACTGCTACCGTGAGCCCTTCCCACCTCCAACACACTGGGGACACGAACATACTGACAATGAACAGAACAACAAGGTCGGACTGGCTTGCATGGGAAGCGCAGAGGGAACCATTGGAACATGCCGTCTTCGCGCTATGAACGCGCCCATAATCCCATGGCCATATCACAGATGCCCTCGAGGATTTGGTCGCTGCTATTCATGTGTTATTCTTCGGACTCGACTTTGTCATGCACTCGCTGTGATCCAGCTGTCGCGCCAGCAGCGCTTCTTTCCTCCCTCTCTCCGGCTGGTTGGTTCGTGATAGGGTTGGAATGATCAGTAGGGCCTTCAGCGACTGACTGCACTGTATGATACTGAATAGGCGGTCAGCGGATTGGTCAACGGAATGGTCCCAGACGAGCCGGCAACAAGAAATATTTTCGAGATGACTCAGGAGTTACCTACAGGTTCGTCGACCATCGATTGGGTGGCCCAGGCCTCTATCGCTCCTCCGTACGGTTTCATTCTCCACCATCCGTCTGTTTCCAGCTTGTCATTTAGTTCTCGCTGTCGATCTTCCCAGTCACGTTGAAGGAGAACATGGTTTTCTTGGCTGGACTCCGATGAATCAATGTGGCCGAGTGAATCCGGGTTCGCGCCGAGGATTTTGTTGGACTTGTTGCTATCTCCCTGACCTAGCTTCAGTACTCTGATTCAGTCAGGACGGGCACGGAACTCAAAAGACACCTTCTGTGCCATTGCGTGCCAAGAACTTGCTGTTCTTCAACACCAGGTTCGGAAAGGGGGCTTCAGATGAGACTCAGTTGCGTCTTGGTATAACCCAACAACCGACAAGTCGATCCTAGAGAGGAACGATGGCCTTCGCTAGCATCACGGGCCTATGATTCAAACACTTGATGTATACTGCTCGATTTCGAACCACGATTCAATTCTGGACTTTATACAAGCAAGCATGTTTCCCCATGAGGCCGGGAATGGTGGCCTCTCGCAACGGCCGACGTTTGCTTCGATTAGTTCATCTAGACCAATGTTGCCGATCTATGCAATCACCCGTCTTGCATCTCTCCCATGCCGCTCGATGACACCCTCCATATCCTCCAAGCCGCAAGATGTATCGACTGTGCCTTACTCAGACCGCCGGACATGACCCCCACGTCGCCCCCGCCGTAGGCTGTGCCATGGGACGATATCTTGCGTTTCTGGGGGACTGCTGTGGTGCAACACATCACCATGTGACTCTAATCCGGTCCGGGCGACTAAGACTGAACCCCTGGCTTACGTAGCATTGGATAAACGCAAGTTCGCTGATGAGAGGTAGTTACCTGCATGCGCAGCCACCACAGAGCCTCGAGCAATTGGCTCCTCACTCCCACGACCGCGGCGTCAACAGCACGGGGAGAGCAGAAGGCGGTGAGAAGATGGTTTCGCAGCATAATCGCAACACCGCCTGGTAACCGCCGGGCCATAGATATTCGAGGCGAGGCTCTGTTCTTGGTCCCAATGAGGCAGATGATTTGTGCTCTCGAAATGGAGCTGCGGTAAGCCGGGCGGGGAATGTTGTCTCGAGCCCGCCTCGGTGGCGAAGGTATGCGCGTCGAGGCTGTAACGCGCAAAGGTGACCTGCTCAACCTATGACACGCATTTACCAGGCTGCTGAGTACGCCTATCAGAACCCCGACCGTTGCAATGGAACCTACTCCGGGTCAGCCGCCGAAGGCGGGACACTGACAGTGGCGCATTGGGAACGCTACTCGTACGATGGTTTACAAGTCGCCACCAGCAGATAGGGGTCAAAAATGACTCCAGGCTGGCTAGGTATCCCTGAAAGTGGCTTGCTGGAAACCGCCGGCATGAACGGCCCATTGTCGTGCAGCATTGCTTCTGTACCAGGGCGCACGATTCTACAGGCGAGCCAGGGTCTGGTCAAACACCTGCGGTATAGCCATGATCTGTCACGTCCCAGGATGAGATCCATTGCTTGTAAATTCGACAAGTCGTCAATAGTCTCATTGGCCGGCCGAGCTTGGTGGTGCAATACGAAGAGTCCATTCTGCAACCAATGCCCTCCAATCCGATGGTGGCCATATATTTGGGGGAAGGCTGGCGGTGCCTGAAGATTGATTGCACAACTTGACTCCCTGGGTGCCACTCTACAGTGTACGCCAAGGCAGAACATCTTTTCTGCCGGTTGCGACAGATATGTCTCTCAAGACAGCTCTGGGCTTCTGGCTAAAGATCTGGGAACGAGGCTATACCTCCGATGAACATAGTTCTGTACTGGAAGACAGCGTCATTCGAGCCACGCTCCTCCTGCCCTAGACCTTGACTTATGAGATGACAGGAACCCGGCTCGGCAATCAAAAAGTCTCGAGCCCATGTGACTCATCATCTAGGTCAATCCTGGGTTTCTTCCCCGGGCCATGCTTTCAAGGCGTAAATACTGTGTAACATCGCCAGGGGATTTTCCGCGGAAGGGCTTGCTGCTTCCCCGAGATGCAGTCAAGAATGCGGTTTCCGGTTGGCGGAAATCACTTGCAGGTGTCACAGAACCCTCCCCCACGCAATGGTTTGCTCCTGACCATGGGGTCCTGGTGTTTCGAGGGGGACTCTCCCAGCCACTGGATCCTGCTTTCCTGACGAGTCCGAGATGGACAGATTGTCTTGACAACATCAGCCGTGTATGTTCGAGTCGAGATATACGAGCAGTGTTGCTGCAAGACAACCATGGTCCCGCTGGTCATCTGCGGGTCTGTCGTCGTACACATTGGCACAAGGTAATGTCCTCGACGCCCAGGAACAAGATGAGATCATCGGTGCACAGAGCAAGGCTCCCGTACTATGGCATTATCATGGCCATCACCACCACGTGCCCGGGCTGCAGCATAATTGCCAATCGTTTCCGCTCAATACCTACCACGATAAGCAAATGCATCCCTCGTGAGCTCTCGGGCTTAGTCACACCCTGCCATATCGAGCTGATGCGCACCAGGTTAAGCCAGCCGGATAGACCAGTTGTACAGGCGGTATGACGGTCTGGGGGGTACGGCAACGACGGCGAGATTGTCATGTGCTCCAAGACTGCCTATCGCAGCATAGGGCGGGGCGGAGCAGTGCTATTAGAGTGGGATTTGGGTGTTGTTTGAAAGAAGCGGTCTCTCAAATAGGAATCCGAAGTCGATCCCAGGATTGACCCACAAACGACTGAGAAACGGAGCACGACTGGGCAACGGGTACATTGGTGGCATCTCTATGCCGTTAGAAAGTACCTTGCGCGTTGTTCCAAATGAACTATTCGAGCCATAGCCGGAAGGCATTCACATGGTTCAGAGCCATGTCAGCGATTCATGTCCAGGATTGATATTTGCAGTTCGCCCAACAGGGGTTGACTTCTACCTCATCTTGCTACCTGGACCATCTTATATCTGACTACAGACTACCCTCGGAGATGTTTGGAGTCTCCGTATCTTTTTTCATCATAAGGTAACGGCCTACATTCCACTCAATTCCCCTCTGTCAGCAATCTGTAGATGGTTGTTAAAGGTTACCCGTCTATGCACCTTCAGGTAGTACCTAGGGTGCTTTCGTCTCTAGGCCTCGCACCCGACTCCAAGAAACCGTCATCAAGCTGACCATGGATACATGCGTTTGTTGCTCCCCCTGACCGTATTTTCCAATGACGCCCGCACTACTTTCTGGTGTCGGGTTGTCACTCATCATGCAATAGTTGATACGATGCTATATTGACCAATATTGAGGTTTGTACCCCTTTCAGAGATAGCGTCCCTCTTTTAGGAACTCGAATTAAAAACTCAGGGCTCAACAATCATATACCGTCAAGATGTCAATAAGGCAAACCACTAGGAACCCATGTCCAGGAAATTGCTCTAACTCTCTTGATCACGCTGCATCATCAAAATGTATATGGTACAAAGAGGAAGTATCACGCAATGTCACTGAGCCCCATTTCTCACAAAGAGACAAGTAGTCTCAATTTGTGACTTTCGGCTGACTCATAACATACCCAGGTTGGGCTCCTTTCATCTACGCAGAACCATTATCCTATACATTAGTCATTCTCTACATTCCGGGGCATCCCGGTTTCTCTCGATGTTGCTCCCTTGCTTGCGGCTCGAGTTGAAGACCTATAGCAACATGACATCCTCCGACCGATTTCAGTCGTGCTCAGGTAATCGTATGTACAACGTACACATACTTTTGAAATCGCAGCAAGGCAGCAATAGTCTCAGAAGTAGCTGTGATGCAACATGCCCACAAAGAGTCACCTACTGGAAGCACCATGGTTGCTCAGTAGTCGCAGGCCAATCGCACCAGAGACGTGAATCCGCGGCCCGCTTGCACATGTTGTCGGCTCCCCTGTCAGGGTTGACGCTTCGCACTGTAACCCCGCAATCCACTTATTAGCCGGAGGTAGGTACCCATCCATAGGGCTGTCTCCTCCACAGATGCAGTGGGGCTGTCTGGTGACTGATCATTGATCAACTTCATGTGCTAGATGTGGCACTTCCACACTTTGACTCTTTCAAAGCTCCCTTGCATTGAACAGCCTGATGGTGCCTTTCAATGTACGGGGGCATGGGAAGCTGCAATTCTAGCAGGTGTGCAGGAGTAGTTGTGCAGTGATCATCGGTGGCAAGTTTGCACTAGACTGTGACTCACGGCCTGCCTGTGTGAAGTTTGGATACTTTGAAAGTGTTCCAACCATCAGTGACCTGGTCCAGTAGACACGGCTCACTTGGACAGACAGACAAGGAGCATGACAACAAAAGGGCTGCTTTCCAATGACGCTTACTGTGGGGTTGTCTAAAGACGTCTTTGGGGCTTGCCTGATATCTGGCAATATCTTCTATATGTCTACCTATACCATCGCACGCCACTGAAGTGCTTCCTTTGATCAACATGGAAGGGAAGGTGCCAAGGTTACCAAGTACCGACCTTTTAGAGTGCAGCCTACCTAGCATCTGTCATCTGTCGGGAGGATGCCGCCCGCCCCATGGAGTCTCCGCCGCTAGCTGTAACAGTTAGTGCGGCGTAGGGCTTACACACCTAGCGCACGCACTGTGCCGCCTGAGTTGGGTGCCATCTAAAGGTCCAATAAGCACCGGAGCCTGAGGTACAAGTATGATATTGATGCTGCGCCCTGCTTCACACACCTGGACGTCCACGCCGAATTTCTCACACAGCTGGATTATCTGAACGGCCTCAGATCACCCATCACCCACATCGCTTTACCGGCAAGTCTCGGTATCGTCTTGTGTCTCTCAACCAGGCCTTCAACCAGGCCAGTCAGGCACGCCGCACCAACCTCTCCCTCATTCTGGTGCCTCCGCCTCGACTTCACCAAGCTTCGGCTCTTCTTTCGTCTTTCAAATCTTCACCAAGCTCGTCTCCTCTCCAAGCAACAGAACCGATCAGAACCCGACTTGGCACGGCGGTACGTATCCAAATATCCATTCCTGTTTGTCATCATTTGCTGCTCGGTATCCTTAAGCCTCGCTGTGGTAATCGGCAAGCCTTGGAATATCCGAAACCACTGCATTGGTGAGGCTGCGCCGTTCTGACCTCATTACAGCAGCAGCCATCCAACACCGACATGGCAAGTTCTCCGCCAGATTCTCCGGGCGGTTCTCAGGCCGGTTCTCCGGAAAGTTCTCCGGCACCTACTGGAGGGCAGTTGATAAATCAGTCTATCCAGCGACTCCTGCGTGAAAACCGGGAGGTATCGGCAGACGAGGCGGGATCCCAAGCACGCGAGAACCAAGACCGGTCCTCCCTTCAGCAGGCGACCGACTTGCTCAAGGAGGGCGATACTCTGATTGTCATCCGTTTCACCAGTGGCGAGAAGTATATCGACTGCGATGGCAACGAGGTAAGTGAATCGCAATCTCCAACTTTGCTTCCTGTCGCCACCATCAGCCAATCTCAGCAGTACCTAAAAACACCCGAGAGTTCCAGTCACTGTGTACTAACCACTCTACTCTGTCACAGTGGACCTCAAAGGAACTCCGCATGGATTCCCAGACGCTTATGGCTACAGGCTCAACCGTCTTTGCTCATCTCTTCACCCCAGAAGAGCAAAAGAAGACGATGCGCAGACTACGACTGGGGCCTTCAAATCTGCCTTGCCGCTTCATCCTGGACCTGACGCCGCTCAACGAAGGCGACGAGTGCGCAGCCATGCTAATGGAAGCCTCGCTTCCCAAAGCAGTCATGCAGTGGTGGATGACATATGACAGACTAGAGTTGTCACCATACTTAGTCCTGGGCCATGACGATCATTGCCCGCACCATTACGATGTTCCCAGCCTCTGTCAGATAAAGCCTAGAGTGCTTGCAGAGGCAGGGGAGCCTACTGACTTGGACGATCTCGTCATCCCTGAGCCTCGCCGAATTGCAGACTACTGCCCCATGCGCCATGCAGCCTGCATCGTTCGCTTGCTCTTGCACCTCAAGCGCAAGGATCTTGTGCTGAACTCAGCCGCGCGAATGTACACGATAGCATACGTTGCACAGTCTCTTGACTGTCGCAGTGCTATAGTAAGTCATGGCGCAATCATTCTGGACTTTGATCCCATGTGTCTGTTAGCTGACTCGGAAAATTAGCATGATGATGTCCTGGGCTGGCTCTTCTCTGACCCGAACAGTGACTTCATTGACTTCCATCCGGAAGAGGCGCTCAGAACTGCATGGATGCTACAATCTGAAGACCTCGCTCGGTCTGCCTTTCGGATTCTCGTTGCAGAGAGAGCATTGAAGGTTCTTGGCGCAGCTGCTGACACTGGCAAAGACCTCTCCGTGTTTGGTCGTCCTAGCGCTGCTGTCACCGAAGAGCAGGCTACGTGCATAGAGCATGCTGGAAACTCTCTGGCATTGAGAGTCCAAGCCGAGGTCGCAAGACTCAGGTCTGACCAAATTTACGAGTGGCTGCACATTGACGAGTGGAAGAAGCTGAAGAACATCGAGAGTGCCTTGAGTCTACTCCAGGCCAACCCTGCACCCTTCGAACATTATGTTGTCGAAACCGCGGCCCAGAGAAAGAGCACAATCAAAGAAGTTCTGCGTCAGCTTCGGTCCCTGTCAGCGGCACTGCTGCGGTACATGCGCAGTGCTGTGACGGACGCTCTGCTCTTCGAACCAGTCATGTCGAGCTTTGACAAAGCCCGCAAATATTATGTACCGCGACATCGGTTCGAGCGTACATCGACGATCTACAAGGGGCTCTCCGACACACAACATCTCATGATAACTAGCTTCTGGGATCGACTGGCCAGCTTCACTTCTCGACGGGATGCACTGGACTCACAGCTGACTGGATTTGCGGACGAGTTCAACAATGTGTTACAGCAAGCAATCCACGACAATCCTGGCTTCGTTCAACTCTGGGAAATGGCTGCTATCTACGGCAACGAGTTTCACTTGGCCCATTTCCATGAAGAGCTTGCTACAGCCATGGATTCTCTCTGCGGTGCCTGGAGCCGCCCTAACATGGAGATCTCCCTACTCAGATCACAACACCTTTCGTTGGCCTTGGTCGAGGACGAGTTCAAATTCCTTCCTCTTTGGGCCGGAGGTGCAGACGATGGAACAGGAGCTGTCTATCAGCAAGCGATACCCGACGCACTGACAGGTGTGCCCATCGGACCGGGACCAGCTTTCCGCACAGGCGAAACCATTGCGACCGATATTAGCAGTATCGCCCAGTCGCAGGCAACGGCCACAGGCACCGAAACTGTGACGTGCGGCCACTCATTGGCCGCTGTTCAATCTACAACGATTGAACACGCAACGTCAGAGGTCGGATCGCTGCCTACCGGCGTTGACGCTATAGCCTCCCAGGAAGATAGACACATTAACGATTTGTCAGCTTCTTTCTCTGTCATCTCGATGGGCGATGCTACGACAGGTGCTGGAAAATCGCTCAACGAGGATGTCGAGCTCGAGGCAGCCTTGTCCCGGTCACTCGGAGACGCCAGCTGCCCTGCCGAGTCGTCTGACGACGACGATAGTTGGTTAATGACGGATGAGGACGAGTTTTAGACTCTCCCTCTCACGTCCAAGCTGTGCTGAACTTCGGCCAGGAAAGGATGACGGCATTGACTGGCGGAGCGAGCTCCTGTGGGACACGATCATTCCTCTAAGGAGAAGCAGCCTCCAAGCTGTGGCTATCGATGCGGCCAACCCAAAGAGCCTTGCCATTCACACAGGCCTTCCCGCGATCTCTATTCCCAACTTTCTCCGGCTCAACAATGAAAGACTAAATCATCGATGTCGCAACTACACCAATCTCACAGAGCACATCCGCTGGGAGTGTTCACAACAAATTCCGAAACCACACGATTGCATGAGAAATGAGAAATGAGAAATGAGACACGAAAAATCTGAAAATCTGAAAATCTGAAAAAAATCATACCGGATAACTTAGCAGAACCAAACCGGATAACTTAGCAGAACCAAACCGGATAACTTAGCAGAGGCGTTTTGAGGCCAAGGGACTCGACACAGGCGGTCTCCATCTCCCACCAGGATCAGTACTTGGAAGGGAGGCATACATGAAGCACTTTTTACCTGGCACTCTAGTCTGTAACTATATGTGCGAATGCACGATCACAACGAGGCTGTCGTCTTTGCATAGGTTGATTAGAGACCTTCGATACCCAATACAAATTAGCTTTTGCACCTATACGTGCCGCGCGTGTGGAAGTGACGGTGATTTGGTGAGAGTGACTGCCTGTATATATCAAGTAAAGGCTCAACACTTATTGAGGTGTACGTGCCGAACCTAGGGTTCCGAAATATGTGCTTTCAGGCTCTTTTCTCTCTCTACCGAATGTACTCATGGCTCGGCAAGCTGCTCTTCACACCACAGAGAAGGATCGCCCTGCTAGGGAATGTAGTCACACAACCTCTTCCTATGGAGCTTCAAGCGCATGGGGCTGAAGTAAAGTGGCGGGCATCTTTAGTACCAAGCGACCAGACCAACCCCAGCCCCTGACGGACAAGTACCTATAGGTAGGGCAGCTGGTTAATGTGAGGGCATTTAACCGCCTCGTTGGCCGACTCCATGTAGCACGGGACATGTATCATCTGCTGCTCGATGCCAATCCACCACTGTACCTTCAGTTGACACCAATTGAATCATGATCACATTTGATAGAACAGTCGTCCGCAATACTCATGATAACGGTAAGAGTTTGTTGCTTGCAAGCATTGCAAGCTGGTTTTGCCTGGCTTGCAAAACAGCTACCATATGTATGTATGTGCGTACTATCAACAGCAAAATGGAAAAGGTATCATCCGAGAAAGCAAAGCACCCTCCTGGTAGGTAGCACGGCAGTAGCCCTCGTGGGTAAATACCCCGATTCCAAATCATCGTTTCCCTTCCTTTTTCTTGAACGCCAGTCTCCCCATGCCATAATTATTGATGCTGGTGTTGATCCATTTCTTGAACGTCAGTCTCCATGCTCTCTAGTTGTTGATGCTGGTGTTGATGCGGGCAGACCGAACGTGTGCATGCCATGTACCCTCGTCTTCCATCCCATAATCCGGCATCCGTGAGAGCTACCCTAGCTCTCGAAAGCACCCATGAACACTTGGGCGAAACTGCCATAAGCCTCCCAATTAGACCCACGGTTCCGCTTCCTCCATGTCTACGTCCGCCTTCTCTGTGCTTTGCTTTCTGGGTCGACCTCGAGGCCTGGGTTTCGAGTTACTGCGTGCGCGTTTCTTCCGCCCACCTGGAGTGGCAGCGGCCTTCCTCTTACGGCCACGAGCATCGGGAGGGTCCTCATCTTCACCCTCGGCATCTGGAGTTCTCGGCTCACCATCCGCATCGATATCCTCATCGTCGTCTCCAATCTTGACCTCATTGTCTACGTTCAGAAGGTCGACAAAAGCTCGGCATTTCTCTATCATGTCCGCTGAAGTGTCCAGCCCAGACATAATGGAGCTAACGTCCTCCCAGAACTTATCACCTGTGACACCTTGGACTCGCACTGGAGCCTTCGTGAGATCCTTCGCGGCGCCCTTCCCCTTGCCCTCACGGCGGTTGGGATTAAGGCCATACGAGCGGCGAAGGTGGGTGCGGGCCTCCCAGACCGCGAGCATGATCATCGAACCTGCTGCTAGCTGGCGGAGTCGCAGGGGATCCACAGAATCCGCAGTATTGATGGCCGTGGGTGGAGCGTCTCCATCAATAGGTGGCTGTGAGCTAAGTCCTGAATCCATGCGTACCTGGAAGATTTCCGACTCAACTGCTTGAGCGATAGCAGAACCTGTCCTAGTCACTAGTTTCTCCATAGCTGAGACAGTCGTTTGAAGTTCTCCAATGGTAACATACTCAAAGAAAGCAAGGTTCTCCACCAAGAAGCGTGAGTACGCCACATGCGAAGGCATTGGTTGGCTCACATCTAGTTTCGAAGGCTCGAAATCTATCTGGCCAACAAACTTGTCGAGGAACTTGAGGCGGCTCTTCGATTTGCTGATCTTCAGTACTTCGGCTAGCAGATGAAACTTTGAGGTGAACGGATCCGTCGTCGCACCGCGGGGATCGTCGATGATGTCCTGTTGGTACTGGAAAGCTGTTTGTATCGCCTTAGCGTACTCCCTCTCAAGGACACTCTCGTACTTCTCATGGAGCGCTCTGTGTTCCTGGTAAGCAAGCTCAGAGATTCGAGACACCGGGCATGTTTCCAGCGTGATCAATGTAACACCGGTCTCCTTCGGATGTACCAAGCCCTGTCGATTGATGCTTGCTAGGACCTCCATCGCAAGGAAAGCGTGGTCGTCGTGCGTAGCCAGAGCAATGCGTGTTATGTTTTTGAGAAAGCGCTGAGTGGTCGCGCTGGACACGTCGTCGAACGTCGTACCCCCCATGACCTTCAGATCCTTCTTTTCCTTGCCGGCCGGCGCCGATGAAGCTGCTTGCTCTGATCGCTGCTCTTCCTTGAAGAGGAATTCTTTGAAAGAGCGTAGGATCATTGACTCTAGTGCCGGTACCTTCTGCTCAAAGACCATTTCAAAGGTTTTCCAGACGTTGGGCGCGACGTAGTTTTTGGGGTTGGCCTGGCAGATCAGTCCAATAGCGTCCAGGGCTGGCCTTCTCACGTCTGCTGGTTGGGATGAATCCGCAAAAGGAATAATCACGTCCACCATAAGCTTCGAAACGGGGTTTCCTTTCCATTTCGGGAACTTGGCCTTGAACAGATCCTCGTGACTGTCCAGATTGCAGTGTTTACCAACCATGCCAACGAGAAGTGAATAACGTCCAAACTGTCCAGTCTGCTTCTGGTCCAAACCCTTGGCTAGGATCCCTCTGATTTTCTGTATGCCGGCAAGACTCGAAACAACAAGGCGAGCAATGGGTTCGGATGTTTGGAGCAGGTCGCTGATGATCCAGATACAAGCAACGGCATCATCGAGAAGAGACCTCGTAATCTTCGGGGTAGCGAGCATGAGGGCCTTTCGGATATCGGAAAGGAACTGTGAATGCACGCTTGGGACCCGAGGTAATACTCTGCGATATATTACCACAACAGCCCTTGACACTGCGAGATCCTCGCTTGTGCTAACGCTGGCAATGTGCGGTTCCAGAAGCCGGATCTGCTCAAAGGTGAAGAGTTTTGGGTCGGCCTTCGCAAAGATCATCAGGACCTGCAGAGCATCCTTACCCGAGGGAACTGAAGGATCATCCGACTCAGGATTGTCCACAAGATCAAACATGTTTGCAACAAGCCGAGTGCATACTCGAGTGTTTGCATCTGCTAACTTGGAGTCGGGTGAAAGGATTGTTTGAAAGACGTTGTCGAGTACGAGAGCCGTGTTACCCTGCTTGGCTGTCTGGACCATCAAAGCCACGTGGTCGGTGAGGGATTGCTTGAAGGCAACGGAGTCATCTTCTTTGTAGAACGGCGAGATCCAGATCTCTTCTATCATCTGTCTTGCCAGTTCCCGAACGCTTTCCTCCGGGTCCTGCATTCTGTGTAGCAATCCATTCGCGATGGTGCTTCGGAGTGTCTTATTGTCGTTACCCAGGTAGATGTCCTTTGCAAGCTTCATGGCGCGTTTCCGTACCCCGACTCCCGAGTCGACAAAGCGTTGAATGACAGTCGAAGTCATACGTTCCTCCAGCCTTGGCCGCATGTTGATACACTTCCCAATGAGGCCAAGCGCCGAATCACGCACTTGAGGCGAGGAATCGCTGGAGCACTGAAGGATGAGCTCGATGACAACACTGTCACCATCGAGAATCGTTGGATCCGTCTCTAATACCTGGTTGATGCTTTTGATACTGCGACTGCGCACTGTGGCTTGATCTGTGGTCATGGAGCCCAGGAGAACGTTCAGGATGTTTCTGAAGGCGGTACAAAAGCTTGACCGAAGAAGGATGATTGAGTGAGAGAGCTTCGCATGGCTGGCAACGACTGATTTGAAGCTCCACTCCCTAGAGAGCCATTTGGGGTCCTCGATCATGTTACGCAGGCGAAAGGCAGTTCTGCCGAACTCCGGGTTTCGGTCATCTGATTCCTCGGCGTTGATGAGAGACTCGTATCCAGAGCTCATCTGTGATCCCCAGTCCGTGATTAGATACGAAATCGCGCTTCTCAGATGCTCGTCATCGGACAAACGGCCTTGAAGGTACTCGAGAACGATACGATATGGTCCCTCCCACTTGAGCGTCTTTTCGACAGAAACGTTGCCGTCAAGGACGTTGAGGCTGAGGTCGGCCAGCCATCTGCCGAGTTCATCCGAATCGGTGCCTTCGATGTTACTAGCGGTTTTCCGCACATGTGATCGTAACCTGGAAATGGCCGCCGCCATTACACCGAGAAGCTCCAATGCCATATTTCTCGCCGGGGCAGAATTCTTTTCGCCATCCACTTGCTGAAACATCAGGTACATCGTCAAACGCAGAAAAAGTTCCGCAGCAGGCCAGTCGGTGGAGTCTAAGCAGTTCGTGAAATCCTCGACAAACATGTCCAGCAGGTTTCGGTACCGTGATTCTTCTCCAGTCTTGGTCGACTTCAGGGCCCGCTTCACCATGAATCTGATGACATAGTGGGCGTGATGATAGGCACCGTTGGAGAGCTGTTTCGTAAGGTCCTGCAGCTCCTGGACAGCAATCGAGTCTTCAGCTGCGGCATGATCTTCAGTTTTGATGGTATAGTGGGGCTTTGTGTTTCCACTGATGCTACCGTTGGTAGCTTTCGAATCATTGGCACCATCTTCTATATATCGAAGCAACTGTCCACGATTCTTATCCTTGCCGTCGTCGTGCTTCCCGGCGCTGGCTTGGACTAATCGCATGATCAGAGCTGAGACAGGCTGAATGCTGCCGCCATCCGAGAGCTTGAAACCCCTGGCACTCTGCTTGCCCACGGGCAACTTCTCCAAGGATGTCAGTATCTCACTAAGAATGCCCTCTCGTTGAGCAGGATTCATCAGGAATATCTGGGACAAAATATTCATAGCCACGAGACGGAGGCCATCGAACTTTTGAGCACCGATGACCGAGTCTTTCTCGGTGTGCGCATTTTCAACGAATATGAGACGAGAAGCAAGAGACTCGAGGGTGTTAACGACACTCTCCGAAAGGTCAATGCTCGTCATCAGGTCGGACATCAGGGCAAAGAGTCTCTGGCAAGAAGTGAACAGGGTGCCCAGTGTCTTCTTGTGGTTGGCGAGGACTCGAAAAAGATTTCCAGTAGGACCAGTGCTTCGTAACTCTGCCACAGGGACGATGATTCCGTCCATTACATTTTTGAATAGACTGAGACCGAGCTGAATGAGATCTTCAGAGTATAACTGTTTCTCTTCTCGGCCACCACACATGATGCGGAGAGATGTCCGTGCAGCCTTCAGACCCGTATCAATGTCGGGAAGTTGCTGCACCCAGAATCCAACGTCGGTCTCGCCCCAACTCTCATCAATCTTGACATCGAGTGTCTCGGCATGTTTTAAGGAGCTCTCGCTGAGATTCTGAATACGAATGAGGTCCTCCAAAGGTGCCTGGTGGTAGCAGCCATTCTCGATGGCTCTATGGATTTGTTTTTGTGCTCTATCCTGCGCAAGTGAAGTCATAGCGGGCTCTTGTTCGTTCGTCATGATCATCAGACTTGAAGGAACACCTGGATGACTACCGAGTTGTTCCTCGGCACCAAAGATATCTTGAAAGCACCTGCGCAGGTCTGCGAAGATGGCTTTCGCCCGGTCGCGTTGGTTGAGATCGGTGCTGAGAGGGTCATCTATGTCGCCATGCAACTTGTGGTTCTTCTTCACGGACAGGTGGACTGGGGCGTAGGGAGAGTCGGGCACCACAGCGAATTCGTTCTTATTGAAGCTGGGTGTGGGTATTTCGATGCTGATGACAGCCGGTCTCTGCGAAGAAGGCGTTGACGAAGGGCGCGGTCTGGGTGTCGGCTCAGAAGGAGCTGGCGATGGACTCGGCGCCTTGGCCTTCTGTATTGCGTGCGGAACATGGGGTAGTGGGACAGCCTGTGCGGGTTGTAGTGGTTTTGGCTGCGGCTTGGGAACTGATGGCATAGGAATCTTGGGCAAAGGAACTGGGGTCACTTGTGGCCTGACCATCAAGTCCGCAGGCGAAATCGTCTGTGGTTGAGGTAGCGTTGCTGGCGAGGGAGCCATCGGAGAAGCAGGTTTCGGAGACGCGTATAGTGAGGCGGCGGCATTTCGTTCCTTCTGGGTCGGCAAGTGTATCTCGATACGCGCCTTATTACTGGCAACGGCCTGGGCATTTGCGGAGGCCGGATTATGCTTGACGATCTTGGGAGGCTCTTGTCTGCGCGCCTTGGGCGACTTCTTGGAGGTTCGGGGTGACATGGGTGGACCGTTCGGGGTGGACGCTTTGGAGGTATCTGGTGTGGGATAGCGCGAAGATATGGATGTGTTATCATATACCAGTTTCGCAAAAGGCGGGATCCCATCAGTGAGGCTCTTGCGAGATGCGTCTGCCGGCAAGGTGACCTTGGGTGCCGTCTTGAACTGGCTACATGCGGCTATCAGCGAAGTTGCAGACCAAGAGGCGGCGGGATTAGAGCTTACAACTGCGTAATCTTTTCAGCCTTCAGTAGATTTTGCACATATTCCAGGCTTCCGTCAAGCCGTTTGGACTGATTGGGATTCTCGGCTTCTTGGTTCAGAGCATCATAGTCTTCCCTGGAGACGAGGTCGGCGATGGATGGCGCGAGGGGTCCTGAGCCGATGGTGGGATTGTTGAGGATGCCTTCGAGTCACCAAAGGGTCAGATTTATTTTACGTTCAAATGCCTGGGGGTTTGGGGCGGGGACAACGCTCTGGGAAGGAAGGAAGCAGGCACCAGCTGGACGAGCATGCACTTGAGTAGGGAAAGAGGGAAGGAGGGAAAGAGGACCACTATCGCACCTACCAAATTCAAAGGGAAAGACCGAGGTGAAGGGCGTGTAGGGGAGAGCTTCGTGCAAAGTAAAGGGCTGCGTGCTATTACGATTGGGCGCGCCCGGTTGAGATTGAGATTGAGGGTGCAGCTGCTGTCCATATTGAGGCGCGAGGCCATTCCGATCGTGGGGTTGAGGGTGTGCCATTGTCGATGTTGAGTCCACCACCGCCCGGTTCACGGCGACCAAGCTACGTAAAATCGCGCCGCGGTCACCAAGCTCATCGCGGGACGGGACGGACGCCTTGCACGGAATAAGTGGTTGAATATCCGGCAATTTGGGTCATGCGTGGGATTGCGTTGCGGTGGTGTGACAGACGTCGAGCAGGTGGCCCTGGAATTCCAGTGAGATGAATGGGAGTAGGTATCCCGAGGGTTGAGGAACTGCTGTTGCGAACCTAATAACATCCAATGAACCTTACCTTGTTGCGCCAGCCTCGCGCTACACGTAACACTGGGGTACTTCTGTCGACATTCAGAAGCTCCAGGCTGAGGTCGTGCTTTAAACCCCTGCAGGCTGCAGACACGCTTATCGATTGTGACGTCGAGGCCCTTGTACCCTGGCACCATTTCTTGGCAGTCCATTCGCGATAAAGCCCAATTGCCAATGCGACCTCCGATAACACTTTTTTCCTGTCTGCCTTCGCGATCCAGCACACCATCTTGCACTGCCCGCCGGTTCATGCGCGAACACATAAGACCACTTTATTGCTTGTTCTACGTCTAGCACACCGGTCACCTGCGAATATACGATGGCAGCCATAGGATCATTGGTGTTTTGCACCGGCTGCGGCGACCTCTTGCCCGTGTCCAAAGGCAGTGTAAAGAATGTGTTGATCTGCGATTGCTGCGGTGCCACGAACAAAGGTGCGCAATGCCTTGACCCCTACAGAAGTTTTCCCTATGGCAATTACTTACCGGACATCTTAGATACCGCTTCCAAGACGACCCTGACAGAAAGCAAACCTTCCGATTTCCCTTCCTTGATCCGACAAAACCGCTCCGTCGTGCGAACCGTGAACGCGCACGAGATCCAAACCGAGGCTCTGACCAACGCAACCTGCGAGAAATGCGGACGAACAGAAGTCAGGTTCTCGGCTGTTCAGCTTCGTGGCGCTGATGAAGGGAGCACCATCTTCTACACCTGCGCCTGTGGAAACAAGTAAGGTCGCCCAACCTACAGGAGAGCGTCACAGATGGCTAACGTTATGGCAGATGGAACACCAACAACTAAGATACCCCGATACTGTCGCACCGACTTTGCATAGCGATGAGTCGTTTCGAGGGCTGGAGAAAAGTTTCTTGGGGAATCATATGCTTTTTTCTGTATCCTACCGCCAAACGCCGATCTCATGCCCTACCAAATGGAAATCAAGTTTATGCCACGGCCTTCGGCGCCTCCGGGATCAGCGCATACTCTGACTGGTGCGATTGCTCGAACTCAGCCATGTCAAGCGCGACGATGACGCTCTCCCGGACCACCTTTTCCTTGTCGTGGAGGAAGCGCTTCAGGATGTCTTCGACGCCCTCCTCCTCCCCAAGACTGCCGAGGGCCTCCGCTGCTTCATGCCTGACCATACTGGCCTCCTCCACATTGCTGAGGGCCAACGTGAGAGCTGGTATCGAGGCGGGGTGGGATAGTTGTCCGAAAACGAAAGCGATCTCGTGGCGGAAGAGAGCTGAGGAGTCGGCGAATCCTTCAGCTAGTGCATGCACAGCAGGGACTGCGGTCGGAAGGTCTGGCGGCGATGCGAGGTCGCGAAGGGCGAACATGGCGCGGTACCGCAGGAAGAGAGGCGCACTCGTGTTCATTAGGGTCTTGCCAAGCTCCTCGACAGTTTGCTCAGACTCGGGCATGGGAGGGGCCGGGTCGACGGAGGCAAAGTCGCTACAGTGTAGTCAGTCAGTCAGTCTGAGAATCAAAGGGGTGAAAGGTTGAATACGAAAATGCATACCTCTGGCGCAACTTCTCCTGTTTCCGCTCGTCCGAGTTCTCCCACTCTATCCTGGCAATAGCAATCTCGCACGTCTCCTTGATGACAACGTCTTCCCCCTCGCGGTCCCTAAACCTCCGCAATATGTCCAGGTTCCCAGCATCTCCCAACGCTCCCAGGGCCTCGGCCGCCTCGTGTCTGCACATGGGATCTTCCTGCAGGTCTGAAAGGGCCTTCTGGAGCGGAGCTACCGCCGCCAGGTTCGCCGACTGGCCGAGGCAGTAGGCCACTTCATGTTTGAGTAGAGCGGATGGCGAGGCAAAGCCAGCTGCGATGGCGTCGATGGCCGCGATTGCCTCGTCATCAGCTCCGTGGCGCGCCAGGTGCTTGAGAGAGAAGAGGGCGCGGAAGCGGATAGGGAGTGGGGTCGATTCTGAGCAGAGCGACTCTCGCAGGCTCGTGATCGTCGATGTCGACGCCGCGGGGTTGTCGGTGTCGGATGCCATCTAGGCTATGTGAGTGATATATCAAAAGTCTCGTCAAAGTTGAAGTGTCTTAGCTGCCTCCTCCTATCCAAGAGTAAGCTGGTCACGGCAGAGGCGCAAACGTAAACTTTTTGGAAACAAAGGTGCTTATCGCGTCGGCAACTGCGCGATAAGGCCAAAAAAGCGAATGTCAATGACCCCTCTGCCCCTCCACGAAAAATCATCGATGCTGCACCCATTATCGTAGCCATACCCCCACCCTCCTCCACATGTGTGACGAATACGAAAAGTTTTTGCATTATAAGCTGCCATATCGGCTCGAGAAAACATGGCTTACTCACATGCGTTCGAGCAGCTCAACATCCCATGGTCGAGTAGTGTAATGGTCATCACATTCGGTTCTGATCAGTAATGTTCCTCCGATTAATCTGGGTTCGATTCCCAGCTTGACCTGCTTAATTACCCTTTCATTTCATTTTTGTCGTCTGTTCTTGTCCATTGCTTTTTGCTTCTGTCCCCTATCACCCTCATAATCAGTCGTAGTTTCCTACGACACAGTGTGGTCATATCTACTGTACTTTACCTACATATCGATGGAGACCTTTGCAGTCAAACCAGGGAGAGTCCAGTTGTTGTTGTCTTTGTAACAGGCTTCTGCTGTCGGCAACGCCTGGGAGATAAGAAACCATTTCATTTTGGGTGGTTTACGACTTTTGTGCAAGCTGTGATAGTAGCTGAGATATGATCGCTCTTGCCACGCCGTACTGCATTTGTTCAGACTGCTCTGATAATATCGAAGTTCTATGGGATGGAAGGTACGGGCCAAGCGACGCTGCGAATTGATTAGCTCCACCCATCCCGCCAGCGATGTCATGACCTGGGCACTCTCTGCAGTCGGCCTCGGATAACATCATCTGAGAATCAGACCACCGGCGAAAGCGCTTCTCTCACCTATAATAATACACGGTCTGCTTCATGTATACGACTGTCCGGCGACTTCTCAGATCGACAGGCAAGATGGCTCTACATTCAGCGAGCGACAGCGCAAAGTTCATCTGTGAGTGACCGGCCAGTTTATTGATGAGTCACCACCGCCTGCGTCACCACATCAACAATCACTATGTTCACCACTGACAAGCCACACAGTCGCACCCGCCGGCAAGGAGGCGCACGGCCAAGCCGAGCAATTCACCAAAAACGTCCTGACGCGCGCGGACCTGGACCCCTCGTCGCCGACGCGGCAGTTCCATGCGTGGTTCGCGACGGCGCAGCAGTCAGGACTGGTCGCGCACCCGGAGACGTGCTGCCTCTCAACGGCGGCGCTGCCGTCGGGCCGCGTGTCGGCGCGCATGGTGTACCTCAAGGAGCTTGACGCACAGGGCTTCGTAATCTACAGCAACTTTGGCACGAGCCGCAAGGCGCGCGACCTCGCCGCCAACCCCTGGGCCAGCCTCACGTTCTGGTGGGAGGCGCTCGAACGCCAGGTCCGCGTTGAGGGCCGCGCCGAGCGCCTCAGCCGCGACGAGAGCCAGCGCTACTTCGACACGCGCGTACGCGGCAGCAGGATCGGCGCCTGGTCCAGTCGCCAGAGCCAGGTCTTGGTGCCGGCAGCTGCGGGCGAGGATGCCGACGGCGACGACCACGACCACGACGACGGGCGGAGGGAGTTAGAGGACTGGGTCGAGGAGACCGAGAAGAAGTTCGAGGGCGAGAAGCACATTCCGGTCCCCGAGTTCTGGGGCGGGTTGAGGATAATTCCCGAGTCGGTCGAGTTCTGGCAAGGTCGTCAGAATCGGTTGCATGATCGATTCGTCTATACTAAGCAGGACGGCGCCAAGGATGAGGCTGCTGAATGGACATTGGAGAGACTCAGCCCATAGATGGGAATGGCTTATGGCGATCGAGCCGCCCAGGCTCGAGAAAGCGCAAGACATGCTTGAAGCTGCACGTTACCGTCGCTTACCCTGAATTGACCCAGCACGGCTTCTTCTGTTGTAATACAGCGACTCCTCGACAAATATACGACATGGGTAATCGGCTCATGCATGCACCCCATTCTATGCAATACATATCAACTGGAGCGCTATTCGCACGAGGTGTCGCGGGTACCGACTGTACTCCTGCCGGTTGCTGATAGCGATCCAAGTCAATTCCACATTCCCTCTATTCCTCTATGGATACTTTTTCAGCGCGGCGTACTTACTGGCAATACTCCTCCCAAGCTGGGATTGATGTCATCACCCTTGTCTCTGTCAGGCCCTGAGCTTGCCCAACAACTTCGGCCTTGAACCACCCAGGTCGATATGCATGCAGGCAGTATGAGACATCCAGCAGCGGTGGAAGGTCTCACCAGCAGATCTTCTACACACAGTCATTGGTCTCTCATGAGGTCGAAATCTGCCGTGATATGGTAGAACGCGTGGAGTGATGCATATCTCTTCGCTGATGGTGCCTCCATTTTGGCAACATTTGCTGCGGACCCAACAGTTGCCAGCACTACTGGTCAGGGAATTGGTTGTGTGGAAATGTTTTACTGCCACACCTGGTAGGTAGACATATGGGCCATTATTCAGTGCTGATTCCGTCCAGAGATATAATCCATGTGTGTTAATTACGGTCAAGCGTACCTGCCGAATTCTAAGATCTTCAACATTGACATTGGCGGCGCGCAGTGCCCGTACACAGGCATACACAGCTAGGTACGTACTACGACTGAAGAATCGGACTGATCCAAGATCCCAGCGCCGATCTTTGCGGAATCTTCTGCTGCGGCTGACCCCAGTCCTCTTTTCGAATTGGCGTGATCAACTCAATACCGACTTCATGGCTAAAACAAAACCCCGCAGAGCAAGCCACCATCGACGCATCTTGACGCACCTCTTCCACTTGGTCAGGGTACATCCCAGCTCATTGCGTGATGACGGTCCTCTGGACTCCTTACTGCAACCTCACCGCCCCGTACGGCTCTTCATAACCATGTACCGGTACTGGCTCTATGTATAGCTAGCCAAGTGAACTTTACTCCTAACTAACTCTCTGTGAGAATCTATCGTGGGGACGATTATGGCCAGTGAGAAATGATGCGGTGAAGGCCAGACTCATGTCAGGCGAAGTATCATGCAGCTTCTACTGCCAGTCAGACCTGAGCAGCCAAGTGTCACCCGCCAAGATACCCTTCCAGGTCTCAGCTGCCCGACTAGCCAACTCATGTGTGCGGGCTACATGGTAAGGGATCGTTGCTGGCGTCAAGCAGGCTCTATACATGCATGGGTTGTGGGTGTTTCTGGTCGGTGAAGCCATCAGGGCTCTGCCACCAGCGCTTCTAGCCATGTTTGTGTCTTGTTTTTGTCCCATTCCCATCCTGTCCCGCTTTCACTTACGACTCACCACCTTCGACAGTGTTTTCTTGATCCTTCTGACGTTGGATGAAAGGCGACTCTTCAAAAGGACACTGCTCCGTCCCAAATAACCAAACTGACGCTCTTGCTTGCTCACCTCCTATTTGACAGCCTCGGTACGACCAGCTTCTAGGCTAATACTCAACCATTTAGGAAGTACGCGAGCGCTCTACATGGTAGGCTGTCCCCACACTAACTACTTTCACCAAGCAAACAATTCAGTGCGTGTTCTTCACTTGTTGACGTGATCTCACAGGACACCGCAAACCTGATCAGAATAAGGGACAATCAGAGAAGGTCTCGCGCTCGTCGAAAAGAGTACGTTAAAGAGCTCGAACGACGCTTAAGGATTATCGAGCGCAAGGGCGTTGAAGCTTCTTCCGAAATACAGCAAGCTGCTCGGAAAGTAGCCGAGGAGAATAAGAAGCTACGCGCCCTGCTTTTGAGGCAGGGGCTCACGCGTGAAAGGGTTGATGCACTCTTGCACACAGACAGCTGCGTTGCAATCCACCCTCCAGATCAAGGCCCTTCTTGCCACGCCGAAACGCGAGTAATCCAGGGGCTTTTCGAAGAACACCCTCGAGGGCCACCTCCACCTCTCGAGTGTACACCCCATGCACCTAGCTTTGCGATGGACACCGCCAGACCTATGGACGACACCGATGCTATGGGAGGCATGATAGGCGGCGAGTTGGGCCTTGCCCATCTTCCCCTCCAGATACGCTCAACCACCCAATACCTTGCGGGCACATCATCTTCGGAACTCACCGCTTTCAGTGTGAGTGGCCCAGAATATGCGTCTTGTGCTCTATCCATCTCGCCAGAAGCTGGGGCGGCAGAAGCCTCCCATCGAGTTCAGCCGTATACTTCGACCGCCACTGCTGGACAGATAAACAGAGTACCACGCGATAGGTCGAGAGCTTCTGCTTACTCTGTGCTGCCGCAAACCTTCGACACCCAAGAAAACTCTATCGATGGCCAGATGTCCCATGGCAACCGGGCATTGCTCCGGCAACATGAGCCAGATATGTCTCTGAAAGAGATTGTGCACTACCCGTCGTACGGTACGATGCCAGTCGGTTGCGCAAACACAAATACATATGCCACTTCGATCATGGGTCTAGATGACGGCCAATACATTGATTTTGCTATTCGCAACCTTTGCGGCGCCGCTGGTACCGTGGGCAAAACCAATGCCCGAATCGCGGCTTTTGAATCGGTACTAGGGTCGGCAGCGGGCGCTGGGTCCCTAGAAGCATCCTGATGGCATGAGGATAATTGCTAGTGCCCAAATTGTAAGTAGGAGTATGTTCATTCCTGACTCGTCATTGTCTGCGAGTGTTCTCTTCATAAGTGGCTGATCGCATTCCAGAGCCTACCAACAGCTACGACTGGCTTTCACCTAGTTCCAATTCTTTATTCCGAAGTTCTGAGACATTAACTGCATGCAATGATGCCCAGGAGATGCGTGCAAGTCTAGTGTCTTCCTATTGCTGTTTTCAGCGCAATACCGTATGAGCCCAGTGGGATACAAAGGTTTGGCATACCCTTTGTCTTCATTCTCATTATTAACAAGATAGAGCTATTAACACCGTCAAAACACCAGTCTCTTGTGAGGTCTCAGAAACCAATGCATGTCACTGATGCATTTTGACTCGAATGTGAAGTCGCAACTGGCTGTCGATTTCTCTTGTTTGAGCATCTTCTGAGCGAACCGTTTCCATCACCCAGGCGAGGCGGCCTTCATATCGAGGCGGTTCCTGGCAACTTAATGGTCAACCATCTAGTGAATCACTTCCTAGCAACCGCCTTCCCGCATTGCTGGCCTGAGAACCAAACGAGGTATTGTAAATCAACATTGGCCGCCGGCCACAGCACCCATCATGAGTACGGCCTACACCAACGTGAATGGGATCTCTGTGCCCAAAGAGCCCGACAGGACTCTGAACGTTGTTCAGACTATGGTGAAGGTGCTCAAGGATATCGAGAACAAGTTCGACCAGTTCGTCGCGGCACACGACGAACTCGACGGCAAATCTAAGGTGACAGCCAGAGTCTTCCGAAAGCTGATCGACCTGCACTATAGCCGCGTGAATAGCCACTGCACGAACCTCTCGCAGGTGCTCCAGCACGCATCGCTCGAGCAGCCGCTTCTTGGCGCCAAGGACCAGGCGCTGAGAGATGATTTGCAGGCCATCTCGAGCCATGGTGCACCTTTAGAGCGGCAGTACCAGCAGCTCCTGACGAAGATTGGCCAGACGGTGCGCTGCTCATCTCGCATCGACTGGAGGAGACAGCCCAAGGATGATGTCGATCACCACACGTGGCTACAGCGGAAACTACGCGAACTTGGTGGTGGTAGCCCAGACTTGACGGGGATCGCGCGAGAAGTACGGTCGGTGCACGATATCCTCGGCAGGGAGGCCAAGAAGGTCCCGGCTATACGTCAGGTATTCATCCGTCCCTATTACTTCGGTACTCAAGCGTCCATACTAATTGAGGCTACATAGAAAACCACCAAATCAGTTGGCAGCCCCCCAACGGCAGGTGGACTATCGCCGTCGCCATTGTTTCGCACCACGGCCGGTAAGGGCTGGCCGGTCGGACCGAAACCCGAATTTACCATCAAGAACCTCATGAAGGACCATGACTCCGAATGGGAGGCAGTCGAGCCATCGGCGCATTCCAGCCGTAAGCGAAAGCATATCAAGAGAGCCACTAGAGTTCGGCCCCGGAAGAGGGCCAAGAAGGCAGCCAAGGCCGGCGACTGGCATGGCAAAGATAGCGAAAAGCTCTATGTCAACAAGAAACTCAACGACATTATAGCGGAGTACGAGAAGTATCTCAGAGAGAACCCAGAGTGTTGCAATGACCAGAAAGGCCATTTTAATAAGATGGAAGGGTTCTTGGATCAAGCCCTCAAGTCTATCGGTTTTGGGAAGCACAAGACTCACCTCACGGAGCTGAAGACGGTTGGGCCCGGGGCGGTCGATGTGGGCTTCCTCGACTTTGATTTCAGGCCTTCGAGCTCCCCGACCTTCTTGAATGCCGCGGCACGTGCACAAAAAGAAGGCAAATCGATGCTGAACCTCAACTTCCCAGTTGGAGACCCCAATGTTTTGCATTATGGGTTCAACTACTACAAGGAGAGTGTTCTGAAAGGTGGCTTGACCACCGACGAGAAGAGAAATCTTTCAACTCCGGATGTTGCTACCCCCAAAACCTCCGGTGGTGCGCCCGGGCCGGACGGCGGCGGAGTTGCTGGGTTTGATGCCAAAAAGGCGGAAGCAACGAGACTGGTAGTGGCAGAGGAGAGGTATTTTAAGTGGTCGAACCCAGCGGAACTCTGGGAGCAAATCCATAAAGATTCCACCGTGCCCAAGTCTAAAGCACAGGTTCAAAGATATCCAGACGCCGACTGGCCCCTCATGAACCCAGACGATGATCTGACAGACAAACCAAGGAAACACTATCAAAATCAACTGGGCACAATATACGAGCATCATAAAACGAGTCTCAACGACATAAAAAACCAGGCGGATGTACAGGAACTCAAGGACCAAGCACAACGCTTGGTCGGGGATGTCGACAAACAGATGTCTCGAGTGAAGCGCTGGCTTAGAGACGGCGATGGCCATTTCTTCCCCACATATTGCGAAGGAGATAAAGAAGGAGAACCAACGCCTCGACTCGGCGAGAACCCGGCACCCGAACTCAAAGTCACAAGGTTTGACGGTTCGCACAAAGAGCATTTCGCGATTCTCTTCAATGGCGTCTTCAAAATCCGGATCTGGCAAACGATGCGGCTTGTCATACTCAACAAACTATACAAGTTGGGCGAAGCTAAACTGGTAGAGCTGGTGCGAGCTGAGAGAGACAAACTGGAAGGGTGGTGGTACCACGAAGAGGTCTGGGGGGAATACGACGACAATCGTCACATTGCACTAAAGAAGTCAAAGAACTATAAGAGACTTGTGAACCGCCACACCACACGCAAAAGAATGCAGAAATTATGGAGTGAAAGAATGAAGAGACTGGGAGAGGTCATCGAGGAGCTGGAGGCGACCCCGGACAAGTTCGATGCGGTATTAATACAGAACGAGGCAGCGGCGAAGGCAGCAGCGGAGAAGGCAGCGGCGGAGGCGGCAGCGGCAGAGGCGGCAAGAAGAGCTGAACTTCTCAAGGCAGGAGTTACAGCGTCGACAAATGGTAAACCATCATCAGCACGCCCTAGTCCTCCTCCTCCTCCCCCTAGTAGCAGTCCGCCATGCCTGCCAACTCCCCCAACTCCCCCAAGCGACGATGAATCTTCACCAGACGATGATGACGTTAGGCGTGACGGTTCTCCAGATCCCGGTCCTGATACCTCAGATGGTGAAAACAGTGATGGAAATGAGGATGGTACAAAGGGCCAAAGTGGTCCAGCCAAACCATCAGAAACACTGAGGTTGCTAGCAGGTTTCAGGAGAGTGCGCGACTCGGCGCAGCAGAAAGCGAGCAGAGCCAAAGAGCGCAACGACAAATTGGACGACGGCGACCCGGGTAACGAACATCTGATCCAGGCCAACAACCAGGTAATAATGTCGGCCAACCAGTCCATTTGGGGCATGGACTGCGAGATCCATGCATTAGAGCAGGGTAGCGTCCCCGACGCGACCAAGAAACCCCAATGGACGCCCCCGGAAGATACCTACTACTGGAGAAACACCAAGCCGATCCGGAAGAAGCAGGATCCGCCCCTCGACATCGTCAGCCTTGGCCCCGGCCCCATCCCCGGCGAGCACCCGACACCCACGTCCACAAGGGTCCTAGTCGGTGCTCCGCCTGGCTTCGGCTATGACCCCCCTAAGAAGCCTTCTGCCTTCACGCTCAGTGACATCACAGGCGTTACGGGTACCTTTGGCACCTCGCCGGAACCGTCTCCTTCACCTACACGGCCGACTGATGTTTGGAAGAATCTTCTTAAAGATCCACAGGGATTTAGGCAGACTCTCTCATCAACGGACAGGGCAGACGAGGTCAAGTGGAGATACGCTTACGCCCAGAAACTGGAAAAGGAACTCAAGCTCGCAAAAAGTACCCAGGTTCCGGTTCCGGGGGTGAGAAACCAGATGCTGGATGACGCCCGCTTTTGGAACAAAATAGACATGTTAGAGCTCCGCGACAACATGGGCGCGACAGAATCAAGCAAGAAGAAGCCGAACCCGCTGCCGGCCATCAGAGGGTGGGCTGGTGTCAATGATGACGCGAAGAACCTCAGCTACGACGAGTTCCTCATTCGGAACCTGCGGGTTCTTCGTGAGAGTCTACCGAAGGGAGAGAAACTGATCCCCGACGACGAGTGGGTGCGGATCTTGGCGGCTGCGTCGTTGTATTCGACCCGTTTGCAACAAGATAGGCTTGATGACTCCGACCCGTGGAGGACCGAGGCTGGGGCTGTAGGGGAGATTCAACGGCTGCTGGACGTAGCCAACAAGGATTATCCCCTCACTAATGCTGAGCAACGCCAAGGAAACAGATTCGTTGTCATTGGCGACGTGGCGCTTCACTTTCTAAATCGTTACTCGCAGAACTACCTTAGACCTTTGCGCATGCCCAAACGTCCAACCGGCCCAGTGGCCCCTGACTCCAAACCGACCACCGAAAAGACCACCAAGAAACCCCAACCAACAACGGGGCTATCACAGGACAAGAACGGGGATTGGTGGAGCACGAATTGGACGCTCGCGCAGTTGGCAGACTTCGATGCCTGGAAAGACTCGCTACAGGGCTCCGTAGGTATTGTATTCCTCCACGATCGGTGGATTTCATCTTTCTGCATCGCGTATTTCGAGGCCAACATAGCAGCCGGGAGGCCGGTGCACAAGAGTTTCGAAGATGTGCTCAAGGAGAACTGGAAGACGACGTACGAATGCTTCGAGAGCGAACGAGCAAAGGACAAAGGAGCACCCGAGCCGTATAAAGCTGCCCGGGATGAGTTCGTCAAGAAGAACATCGCAGTCGCCACCAGTCGTTTAGGCAAAGACATCTTGGAGGTGGTTAAGCCTCTTCGCTCCACGACGCCAGCGGACAGCACCGGCCCGCCGGCCAACCCTCTGGAGCAGCTGCTGGGCGAGGTGCGGTCACTATATGATGATGCAATTTTCGCTATCTACAGCGAGGCCATCCAAGAACGCCAAGTGGAATCCGAGGAGGAGCCCGATGTCCGAACGGAGCTGGCTCCATATTTCGAGTATTATTGGGAGGCTACTATCGAGCCTTTTGTAAAGAAGGCATTTTACTCGAAAGATCCTAAAGAAACCCAGGGTCTCCTCGGCAGGACAGGAAAATATTTTGCTAGCCAGACGCAATTCAAAGAAGTGGACAGCCGGGTCAGAATAGCCAGACTCAGAACATCTCTGGATAAACAGGCCACAGAGGATGTACAGAAGACGTTCACCGGAGATAAAACCATCGGCGACGGTGCGCGGGGGTCTGCCGTGGATATCATGGTGGACCTCATCATGAAAGACATGGGGAAAGCAGTCGAGGACTTTGTTCGCGGACAAGGAGATGACGTGCTAAAGGGAAAAGCCTTCGCGCAGACTTACGCGAAAGTGCTCGAGGACGTCATGACCAAGCGTACGAAAATTATCAAGGACGAGCAGGACAAGCTCGCCGTGGACGCCAACCAACAGGCTGCCGAGATCAAGAAACTCGAGGAGGAGCGCAAAAAGAAGGAGGCCGAAGCGCAACGCAAGGAGGATGCCGAAAAGAAACAGTTCGAGCTCAACACGAGGAAATATGCCGATAGACAAATAACAGATCAGATCGGCATTGCGGTCAAGAACAACGAGCTCCCGGTCTATGTGCAGGCTCCCCTCCAGGGTGTCCTTACATCATACCTGGAGAGGTTTCTCAGCAACTATACGGTCAGCCAAGGCACCGCCAACACCAACAGGGCGACCTACTACACGATCGACGGAAGTATACGCGTCGTCATCCACGCCTTCGAGGAAGTGAAGAAGCGGGTGCAGAAGACCGTCGTCGACGGCAAACTGGGCGCCGCCGTGGCGGAGGCAAAGAATAAAGACGTCCTACTGGCCGTCCTGAACAACTTCATCTCCGACCAGCCCGTCTTAGATCTGCCCACGGTCCAGTCCGACATGGAAGACCACATCGACTACGAGGTCAAGAAGACCAGCCGGGCGTGGCGGAAAGAGCAGAACATCGCGATCGAGTCCGAGGGCCAAAGCGAAAGCGAAGACGATGACGCGGGCATTCAGGGGTCCGACGGCTGGCCGGATTTCAAGCAACTCTTCAACAGCTGGTACACGGCGAAGCTTGCCGATGTTGTCCTTTCGCCGCTGCCTGTTCGGGAGCCTGCTGTGCATCTTAAGAAACCGATCCATCCCGGGAAGGCGGGCTTCCCGTCGCCCCGTTGGATTATGGGCGACAAGGGCAAGTGGGTTGCCGAGCTGTAGGCGGGATGATGCTCCGCTTGGTGGGATTGGGTGCGCGGCGCGCTTGGGGCTCGGGACGGTCGACTGCGACTAAGTGTCAAGCGCGCGTGTGTTGGCGGGTTCTGGGGAAAGGGGGGAAAGGGGGAAACGAGGTTGGAGAAAGGGGAAGAGGCGGCATAGCGTACGCGCTTCGTTTTCTTGGTAGATGGGCCACTGGCGTCCTGGGCGGATCATGGAAGACGGGATATTTGTACCGCCTCGGAAAATGGCAGGGCAGGTCTGGCGGGCGGGCGGGCGAAACAGATAGACGTGGACAGCCACTGCGTGCCGTCCTTCACGCGCGCTTCTTCGGCACGAGCTTTCTTTCCTTTGTCTTTTCTTGAATACACAGTTTGGACAATTCGTACTCGCCGTTTCAACTTAGGTGCTGACTATTGAGTCCTTGGGATATGTGTGTGACTTGCAACCATGATCAGTTGAAATAGGGGTGTCTCCTCCTCGGTAGTATATCCATCATCCATCCCGTCGGGTAAGCTGGCACATTTCATTGCCTCTCTACGCGGTGAGGATTTCCAGGTCCCTTACTAGCGAGGTCCTGGAACGTTTTTTTGCGACGACCCAACGTCGACGGCCCCGAACCACGGTGCACGAGTCCCGACGCCAAACATACATCAATAAAAGGGGATGACGATACGCACGCAACCGTTCATATCGCCCGCAAACCGCTGCCGCGGCGGTGGAAGAGCTCGTAATACGGCCGGCGTTGAGACGGTGACCTATTGGCGGATGGAAGGTTGGAAGCTTCGTATTAGCTCCTTTTCAGCGCCCCGCAATATCAGTCACGATGTTCTAAAAGGAGTAAACGCATGGCCAGATACCCTCATCCTTATGGAGGCTTGACTTAGCTTCAAAGCCACTTGTATGTGTGTATAGATGTATGTATGTACAGGTGGACTGCTTGTTACGCCACGTCGCCCTTATGGCACATACGTTAGACGTTGAAAACTGCAACCAACCAACCAACCATGTTGAAACGTTCATAGCAACTCCTGAAAATAGACCAGTCACTTGGAAGTCCATTTAAGGTCAATGCTATCCTGAATTATTCTGCCCTTCGCCTATAGGCAGGCCGTCGAACGAATGAATGCAACAACCTCCCGTCGGTCAAGCGGCGCAAGACTGTCTGTCACAAAGGTTCAACAACAACAGGCTCCTAGCATCAAGCCATCTCGTTATCAATCCTAGCGACATGATTTCATATATAGAGATGGAAACCAGCGGCGCATTGCAAGATAGGGGTCATACCAGTGTTATGCATGAGCAAAACTTCGTCGGGGGCAGCTTCGCTGATCACGACACAGGCGATATCTCCTATACGGTACCAATGAACAGTGCAATAAGTAAACATCATAGTATGCATGATATCCATAGTGCTGTTGTCGAGCTCCAGGACAGGACGACAAAAGGTATGTCTATCGCAAGAAAAAATAATCAATCTGGTGCGTTCGGAAATTTTGCTCATATTAAGCCTCATATTCTCACCAGACAGGCGGCTGCCTGCCTCCAAAGTACTTCGTTGCAACTGTCCAAGAACCCAACGCATGTAGCTCATCGGGGCGGAGAGCAGACAGGTTAGTCTCAAAGCATCGACCAAACGGACTGTATTTTCAACAAGGAATAATCCAATAAGGCACTGCGGTGATTGTGCCATGAGTAGCAGCAATTCAATCCCCTGCTGTTGACGACCTCAGACCCAGACATACGATTGAAGTCTACCTAGGTAGTGAGTATCCCCAATCCCCCTATTCTCCAACTGCCAGTTCCGGAACTCCAAGAGGGCAAAGTGCTGCTCGCTACCTAGGCACGCACGTTTCATCGGCAACAGATCAGCGTCCCTGTATTTTAATCATACAATGTCATTCGTTATCATCTTGCCCAGCCCTTCGCTACGCTACGAGTGGTCAATCTGTTATCAACGTCTCCCGGCTAGTGTTTGTTATTACAAGAAGTAGTCCGCAACGGGCTTCTTGGCCGGCATTCCCCTGGAATCCTGCGGCGCGGCCTGGAAGACGCGGTACCGCCTCGCAGGGCCGCCCTTCACCAGGGCACCGTTCTCAGCATCCATCAGGACGCCCCTGGCGCCGGGCCCGCCGTCGCTGCGGCCGACCTCACCGTTGCTGCGCGCGAAGATGCCCTCGCCGCCGGCGTCCTCCGAGAGCTCGAGCACGGCGGCGACGTTGCCGCAGCGGTAGCAGTAGTTGGGGGCGGACCACACGGTGACGATGCTCGCGTCGAACATCTCCTTGAAGCCCTCCATGACGAGCTGGTGCGCGCGCGCGATCAGCGACAGGTCGTTCCGGTGGTTGAAGACCTTGACGATATCAGCTCCAAACAGGAAGCCCGCGCCGCGCGGCGAGAGACCCCAGCCGTCGATGTCGTCTGGGTCCGACCACAGCAGGTCGCACATAGCGCCCTCGTGCGGCACCTCTTGCTTGCGGTCCAGCAGGCGGATCTTATCGACCGTGTCGATGAGCGGCGAGAGGCCGCCGTGCACGCACAGCACCGCGCCTGTGGGGTTGCCGACTGTTCCTCCGCTCGAGCCTGATGCGCCGGACCCGGGTGGTCCCGTCTTCGCGGCGGTACCATTGGGACTCTTCTGCTCGCTGTCACCACTGGTGCCATTGTCACGCCGAAAGCGACTCATGACGTTCCCATCTGCATCGCAGACTTCGATCTCTATATCCGGGTCGTAGTACTCCTCGCTTCGCGTCGAATCGGTCGGCTGGGGGAAGCTGTTGGCAGCACCGAGCACGATGGCTCCCAGCGCCAGGTAGTCGAATATGTCACAGCAGTACCGCCATACATTAGCGCTGCCATACTTGCGCAGACATTCGTCGTAGAAGCCGTAAACTGTAGTTATTTGGCGGGATTCGTGGTTGCCCCGAATGAGGGTCATGCGATCGGGGTAGCGGACCTTGAGGCACAGGAGGAGGAGGAAGGACTCTAAAGAGTAGAAACCACGGTCGACGAAGTCGCCTGTACAAATATCCAGGTCAGCACTGCACATAGGTGGATGCGCGCATATCGGGTCGCATACCCATGAAGAGGTAGTTCGTGTCTGGCGGATCGCCTCCCACCCGGAACAGCTCCATCAGGTCATGGAACTGGCCGTGAATGTCGCCACATATCTATGCAGGAGTCAGAGGATACTCTCATGCATGCAAACAACATGACCGGCTTACTGTCACTGGGGCGGTGACTGTGACGACGTTTCCCTCCTCGATGAGCAGCTCTCGCGCTTTGTGGCAGACCTCTCTGACCTGGGCCTCGGGTATCGGTCGGCAAGCCCGCAGCTGGGCGATCGCTCTATTGGCGAGGCATCAGAGACAAAGTTCTTCGGCTAGGGCACGGCGCAGGACCTACTTATCGAGGTCGCTCATCTTTGCGACAGTGACTGTGGCGGCTGGGCTCAGCTGCCGGCGCGGTCGACGAGGGCGCTTGGCCTGGTATAATTGCGGATTCGGTGATCTCTCCTCGTCAGCACATGCCTTGTTGAAGCCCTTCTATCTCGAGAGTACGGCGCGTCGGGTGGTCGTCGGGGCGTCGGATCGCGTGACAGTCGCGTCCGAGTGGGATGTTCATGCAATCAATAAAACGGACCAAATTTAGAGTCGCGGCTCCCAGAGTGGACCTTGAAAGTTGACGTCGAACGGGCCCACGGGCCACACCTTGGGGGATCCCGGTCGCAAAACTCCCCCCGATACCTGGTCTGAGCTCATGCGGCTGAACCGACCGGCGACTGCTAGCGGGACCCCTGGCAAATCTTCGGTACAAATGAGCTTCAGGGGATATGAGAGCAACTGCCAACTGGGAACTTTTGAAGCTCTCCGAAAGATCACACCACCACCTACGACAACCCCCCTTCTCGCCATTGAAACGACCAGGTCGTCCACCAGAAGTCCCACGGCCTCCAACCGTCATGCCAGAGCTACGAGGAGAGCCATAACCCCTACAATTCGCCGTTACACTCCTTTAAGAAGACCCAATTGGCGCAATCAAACCCGTGGACAACAACCTTCCAGCATCCACGCAGGCCCCAGCTCGAACCACCTCCAAGTTCCAACAGCGAGCACCCACCCTCAACCACCCCCAACCACCACCAACAGGCCAGCAACCGCCCAACCCAGCCCACCCCCAGCAGACATGCCACCACACCTACACCCGCGCTCCCGCATGACATCCTCCCTCTTCGCCACAACCGTAGCCGTCAGCTTCCTCGTCGTAGCCGTCCCGCACATCCTGCCGTGTCCCGCGCCGCGGATCGCACACGCCGACTCCGCCTCAGCAACCTCCCAAACCTACATCGAGACCGTAGTGCTGCCCGACGGGACGGTCAGGCAGAGGCGGCGGCGCAGCAGACGGTCGCCTGCGGAGGTCAAGGATGGGATTGCGCAGTTTGGGGCCGCGGCGAGCGGTAGTCGTAGTACTGGGGAGGGAGATGGGGAGACGGAGGTGGTCCCGGAGATTGGGAGCGAGGAGGGCCGGCCTAGAGAGAGGAGGGAGTGTCCCGTGCCGAAGCCCGGGGGCGTCATTGGCGAGCTGATGGGATTCAGGAAGGATAGGGACGCGTCGAGCACGGTGGATAGGAGGCGGACGGATGGTGGTGGTGTAGGGAAGAGGACAAACGGCGACACATAACGTAGCATGCCATGGACCTGGGTGACCGTGGCTGGTGGTTGAACCCTAGAGTGTATATGTACCAGCCGAGCAATCTGTACATGGTCCCATCGATTTCCTACTTCCTGGCTCCTCGCCAGTGTGCATCGTCTATGCTTGCGCATGAGAAGTTTGGGTATGATAATGAAACAAAACGAAGGTCTGCTGGCCGGGACAATAACTTGATAGCATGAAGCTCCCACTCAGGTCGTCGAAATCATCTATAGAGATAAACAAGCTTAGACTGGCTTTATAGGGGAAGTGTCAGCTTTTCGCATCGTACGAGTCCTGGCGAAGCAAGCCGCAACATTGCTGATCACAAAACATATAGAATACCGTTTCCACAACACCATAAGCACGTAGATCAATTATACTGGAGAACTTGTGGCGGCTTCAGAAGAATTCATTAACTTTTCGTTGTCCATGTGCCAGCATATTAAGCCTGGCAGACTAAGGACTCCTTGAACTCCATCGTGTGCCGCGTTCCTCCTATAGACTGGTCTTTTGTGATATACCAGGCTCTTCCGTTATCATGAGTGAGTCAGTTCTCTTTTCCCATGAAACCAGCCTGGTCTATAGCCAGCCTGCTTCACAAATCAGACCGCCAGAAACAGAACCATCACGCCCGGCACCTTTCATATTAAGGCTAGCACCGCGACACAAGTCAGCGAGTGCCATCTTAGCTTCCCACCTCTAGAGTCCTGAGAAGCATGGAAAGTATAGAAAGCGAAGGAGATTCGTATCTTGGATAGTAGTACAAGTGAGAAACCACGACGCGTGGCATGGCTGATGAAGAATCAATGTCGGTAGTCGGAACTATTTAGCGGAAGAGGTATCGTCGAAATCGGTCGGGAAAACACTGGTCTGCGAGATTCATGAGGCGGACTGTGGCGTGGACAATTCTGTCTCCTCGGCCTTGGGCTCCTCAAGTCTGGGCTTTTTGGCGGCATGCTCCAACTCAGACTCTTCCACTTTGCCCTTGAGTTCGTGAATCTCCTGTTCCATTTCATCAAGTCGTCTCTTGAGGATGTTTTCCCTCCGGTGACTGTCCTCCAGCTGCCGCTGGATCTCCTCGCGCTGCGCACGTTCTGTAGCGGCTTCCTTGGCGGACATTTCAGCGGAATGGCGATAGTTATCGGCGGTCTGGATGTCTTGCTCCAGCTGTTGCAAACGACCTCGGTATAGTTCATTGATGAGGTCCAGTTCGCTGACACGCGTCTTCAGGCTCGAGTTGGCGGCCAGAAGTTGTTCGTTGGTCTGCGGGGCTTCCATGGGTGGGTGATCGCCATTCAGGGGAGAGGGTGCGCGACCAGGAGAGATTCCTGGAGGGGGATATTGTGCCATGTTATCTGGCTGGTACTGGTCCATTGCCTGGAAAGCCGCGAGCTGAGGATCGTAGATGTTCGGGGTCGCGGTGCGGGACACGGGCGAGTCGGTTCCATGGCCATGTCCGTTAACGGACCTCTGTTGCTGTTGTTGTGAGGCGCGCACGGCAGCAAGGGCAGCTGCAGTCGCGGCGGCGGTCGCGCTGTCATGGTGTTGGAAGTTGTTGCCGTTGGTGGCAGGAGGGAGACTTTGCTGAATAGAAGAAAGGCTTGAATCAGTGTCGCGCCATGATGGCTTGGGGTTGAACTTGGGGCGGTTACTCACCTTCTTCTTCATCTGCATGTCCGGTCGCATGGTCTTGACACGATTGCGGCTTTTTATCACGTCGGTCTTGAGGGATATCGGGCGCGGACGGCCGTGCAGCTTGAGGAACAAGCCACAGGCATTGCAGAGGACTGAACCGACCTCGTCGCGACGCCATAGCGGAGTGGTCGAGGTGCTGCAGTTCTGGCAGGTTGGCTGGGTGGGAGGAAGGTCGCTGTTAGCTGGAGCAGAAGCAGTGGTTGGGTGTGACGCCATCATGGTGACAATCGGGAGTTGAGAAGGCGAGGCTTGTTGGCTGGTGGCTGGCTATCGACTAGCAGCAGTGTCCCGTGCCAGTATCGCGACAAGATGGAATGGAATGATGATGGGTGATAGGAGAGGGTGATAGGGCGATAGCACGAGGTCGATACCACGATTAGATATGATAAAAAATTGGGAGAGGTGCCGAATGGAAATCTGGGCCCAGGCGGTGCCAGGGTGGGTTCCTGTGATAAGAGAGGACTTCCCCGCCGCTGATTGGCTGCCGTTACAAGTGGCCTTTCGGATTGGACCGTCAAACCTTGCGAAGCAGCCGGGGTCGACAAGATAGGTATCAGATTGGTGACAATCAATTGATGGCAACCACTTGGTCCTTCTCAACGCTGCATCACAGGCGGCGATGGAGGTCGAATGATGGATTTGATGCAAGGTGAAGTGATACACTGATGGTGACGGGATGCGGTGGAAAGAGAAGGTACGGTAGGTACCTTGGGTGAACGAAAGAAGTCGGAAGTAGCTTACCAGATTGCCAGACGCCATGGGCGCGTGCGCCGCGGGAGATTCGCCGAAATTCATTGCCATCGACGTGTTGTGTATCGGCGTGCTCGTGGCTCTGAGAAGCAGCGCAATCAGTATGATGTTCGTGTGCAGTGTGCACACAGATGAGATGCAGGTGCGCCGTTTTGCAGGTTGTACTTTGGCGGGGTGGATTGGTGCTGGTGCAGGTGGGTGGTCCGCGAGATGTGGCAGGAGGGTCGACGTCTGTCACGCCAACTGCACAGGCGCGAACAAGACGTGCTTCAGTACCTATGCTGCGCTTGCTATCGAGGCAACGCCGCAAAGATACAGTGGAGGCCAGCAAAACCGGTGCTCTTGACTCGGGAGTACAATGGTGAAAGAGACACAAGCATTGCCAATGCTGCACGACTTGGGCAAAACGACTTGGCCAGGTGACAGACTATCGTAGCTGATGATAGGTTCCTGGCTTCTCGAACTCCCACACCTTACGAACCACCCACCATTGTATGATGCAATGCATATTGGCTTGTTCTTATGGACTCACCTTGGTTGTGGCGAGCTTGTTACGCTGGCGGCCAGCGCATTGATGCCGGGCAGCTGGGCTATGGCGGCAGAGGCGGTGGTCGAGGTCGAACTCGGTCGTGATATGGGTTCGAGCGTTGCTGGCAGGGGCGACGCCATCCCGCTTTCCTCCATGACGGCTCGAATAGAGGGCAATGCCGGTGATGATATGCGTGTTGGAATTGGTGCGACGATGGGTGGCAGACTGTCCGCCCGTAGATATTCCAGTGTGGACGCCGTGTTGATGATTATCAGAGGCCCCGAGAGACGACCCGGGACAGATGGTCAGGAGGACCTTGAGAGCGGGATATCGAGTGGTAATGGAGCCCTGAGACAGGCTGCTCCAGATAGGCGTTGGAGAGATCAAGCTGGCTGGTGGAACACCTGCTTAGATTGAAAAGGCCGGATGTTGTAGATTTGTGCCCACGTGTTCAAGAGGCGGAAGTAGAGGCTTTGCGTGGAGGTGATATGGTCAATTATAAGGTATACCGTGATATCGTATGCGAAGAACGTAGATGGAGGATCAGAACTAGGAATCGAGAAACTGGGGGCCGGGCAGAACGAGTCGAGGTCAGACAAACACGTAAGGTAGAACGAAAAACTGAGGATATCACCAATTTGCTTCTCGAGAAATCATGGCTTTTCCGGACGGTGCGAAGGCAGAAGCAAGCGAAAGGGATGAACGAGGGTGAGATTCCACCTGCATCAACAGGCGCAAGCCGCCCTCCCCTGGACAGCACACGATTTCCGCAGAATGCAATGTCAGGTCAGGTCACGTAGGACAGAAAATTATTCTTCTTACTATTCTTCCACGTATGTATGTACTATGTATGTACTATGTAGGCCGTCACCCGTACATAATATAAAGATGACGGGCTGTCAGGCTGTCTGACACCTGCTCCCCCCTGCCGGCTGCATCAATCCGTGCAAGCTTTTTAAACTCTTACATAAGAAGTCGATCCATCTGGCTTGGCAATTCAAATTCCCGCCGGGCCATTGGTTCGGGCCCCTGGCCCGTCTCCTGTAGGCTGTCACCTCACATTTCCAGCATAGCCTTCCATACTCTAGCGTGCTCCTTATTAGTGCAAGTATTTATGTATTATTAGGGAGAACAGCCGTCATTCAGCGACAAAAGCCGCTGCCTTGCCAGTTTACAACGGGTTTCTGGGACTCCAGATTTAATGTGCAACTATTTAATAAAGACATGTTGCTGGATGCTGCCAGGCTGGAGTAGAGCCGATGAGAAAAAGAGCAGGCGCAGAGTCTGTGTACATGACAAGCTGGAACCAGCTGAGACGCGGCTTTTCCTACCAGCTTATGTTTCTTACTTACTTTGGTATCGTGGCTTCATCCCTCGCTTCGAAGTGTCACTCTTCATTTCTCCATGGTAGGTAGGTAGGTACGTGTGCTCCGTGATATCTATCTAGGGGAGTTGAGTTGCTGAAGTATTCAATTTGCTAAGTACCTTGAGTGGCAATGTTGAAGGCAAGGACTGATGGATGCAGCTTCAACTGGTGTATGTTGTTATCGATACGCATGATTGATCACATAAAGCAACGAACGACTTGTATGTAGTGAACCAAAGGCCATGTGTGTATTCGAACCCAACCGTGTGGGAATGACCAATTGCTCGCTGTAATCGGGACATTTTAAACCAGCAGAATTGGATACATCCTGATAGGGAAAGTCAAGAAGTGAGGTTGGAGGTCCGATAGGAAAAAGAAGAGTACCCCTCGGGTTGGCTTACCGGGAGCAGGGAACCCCACGTAGAAGCACGGACCCACTTTCGATCGCCAGAACGTCTTTTTAGAGCATGGCAAGAAAAAAAGTCAAGCTCGTCGAGAGCCAAAACACCAAGGACACGCCCGCCAACGCTGCACAACACCACCACCACCGTATAGCCACGACGGCCACGAGTTTGCTACGACAGCTACAACACCGCCAAGATGCCGTCGACTAACAATAATCCCGACAAACCTGTATGTGGCCGACCTCCCGCCTGCTGTCGAGAATGTGGGAGAGCTACTTTGCGATCCTAGAGAGGCAACCGCTGACCTTCGTCCGTGCAGTGGGATACCGAAGATGTGGACAAGTGGAAGATCGAGCCATTCAAGAAAGACGACAACAAAGGTGGCACATTCGTGAGTCGCCATCGGTTCCAGACCACGTTTCATTGCAGCTGCTGACCTGTCACAGCTCGAGGAGTCGAGTTTCGGTACGCAACCCAACATGCGCGACTGCGATACCTGATCGCTGACCTGGCTACGCTTTGCAGTCGTCCTCTTCCCCAAATACAGAGAGCAGTACCTAAGAGAGGCTTGGTCTGGCGTGACCAAGTCGTTGAAGGAGCTGGGCATAGGTATTCCTCGACTCGACCAAGGGATTCGCAGTCCACGACATTGACTTTGAACAGCGTGCAGTCTCGACCTGATCGAGGGTAGTATGGCTGTAAAGACGACCCGCAAAACCTTCGACCCAGCCGCCATCCTAAAAGCAAGGGATTTGATAAAGCTATTGGCGAGAAGTGTCCCCGCCCCGCAGGCACTACGAATACTCCAAGACGACGTTGCGTGTGACGTGATCAAGATCAGGTCTCTGATAAATAATAAGGACAAATTCGTCAAGAGGCGCCAGCGTTTGCTAGGGCCTGGCGGCCAGACTCTGAAGGTGAGGACCCCTCTGTGAATTTGTTACTGGGGATGTTGCGCTTGAGATAAGCTGGAGAGCTTCATGCTCCCAATCCTCTACATATTCCCGGATAGCCCGATCAATCAGGCTCTGCTAACTCCATGACAGGCTCTGGAGCTGTTGACCGACACATATATATTGGTCCAAGGCAACACAGTATCGGCCATAGGCGGCTACAAGGGCTTAAAGGAGGTGCGCAGGTCAGTGTCGCAACCTGTTTTGACCCTATCAATATTCTTCGGAAATTGACTTGCGCATATAGACTCGTTGAGGACTGTATGAACAACATACATCCCATATAGTATGTTCTCTTCCCGGTCATCTACTCAGGCTCTTCGCTTCTCGTTGAATCAGATACGAAGAAGCATTACTGACTCTGGTTTACCAGCCGGGTAAAGGAGTTGATGATAAAGCGGGAGCTCGCGAAAGATCCGGAATTGGCCAACGAGGTGAGCATCCACAGTCCTCATATATCCTTCACTTGTTACCGGATCAGCAGCATAATGCTGTGGCGGCCTGAATGTCTTCGGACTCTGGCCTAGCTTTTCGGCTCCAGCCCCCTTTCCCATGCTCCTGTGATGGATGTGTGATGGATGGAGACACCACACACGATGGCTCAGTCATAGATGCTAGCTAGTATCATGATGCCGCGACAGATGCTGACCCGCAAATGCACACAGGACTGGTCCAGATTCTTACCCAACTACAAGAAGCGCAACCTCAGCAAGCGCAAGGTGCCGTTCAAGGTCACGGACAAGAGCAAGAAGGTCTTCACGCCATTCCCGCCGGCGCCCGAGCGCAGCAAAGTCGATCTGCAGATCGAGGCGGGCGAGTACCACATTGGTCGCGACGCCAAGAAGCGCATCGCACAGGAGGAGCGCTTGGAGAAGCAGAAGGCCCGCAAAGAGGAGAAGAAGCGCGAGCGCGAGGCCGACTTTGTGGCGCCTGACGAGGCAACCGGCGAGCCCCAGCGCAAGAAGAATAAGCGGAAGTCTAGGGACGTCGAGGAAGAGGAGTAGGAGTATGGACGAAGAAGGCCCCTGAGAATGATTGGGAAAAGGGGAAATTGTGTGTTGCTAATGCACATGGGCGCGTTGCTCCTTGTACTTTTTCCTCAGATACCCACGTTACGAATGGAACTGCATCAAGAACACCGGTCGGTATATGTTGCGTGAACGCTATATTGCGGTTCGAAGGAGTCTTGGAAGGGTGTACGATCCGACCTTGGTTCTTTGTCACAGCGAACAAGTAAGGTAGAAAGCTACTCATGTCGAGGGCTGGCAAGTCGGTGATGGCCTTCACATTAAATGCTGTTCATGGGATGCGGCACCTACCTGATTCAGTCGACAACCGAGCAGCAGCAGACGAAGTGGACTGGGAGCGCATTGGAAATGGGTGACGCTGAGTAGAACAACTACCACGCCATGCTGCAGTACAAGCAACACTACTGGTTCTGATATCCAGCTCACATGCAGATCATATGGAAGACGGCGCATACAATCCCGAGTCACATGCAGACTTGCTCAAGGCCACTTCAATGACGGAGAAACATAGCACTCAGATTCCAGGTGAAGAAGTCGATGATTGGCGAACAATGGGTTTCTTGACATGGATTTGCAGCGCGTGTCCTGAGTATCGACCGTAGCAGTTCATCCTAGACTAAAGACATAAATCCAGCCAATAACGCCCAGATTTCCTTTTTCCCTCTGTGTCCATTTGTGAACAAGTTCATTGCCATCTGGTATCATCCGAACATCAATCTTGGCGACATCGACGTACTCTACCTCGCCACCCATCCTCAGCCGTCGACCAACATCGTATCGTCCCCGTCAAATGCTGTGGTTTCTGGCTCCGCCACGATTCCTCTGCCGCGTCCCGCCAGCAGCTCTCTCCGGATCTACAGACATGAAGTCAGTCATGCCTTGCTAATACTCATAAAGTCAGTCAAGTGCTGGGAAGATACGCACCTCTGGGCCAATCTTGGCATGTCCGTGGGAAAGCAGGAGGTCCAGTAGTGCCTCTCTCTGGTCCTCCGTGATCTCGTGCTTGTATCTTTGTGCAAAGGACAAGAGAGCCTGGTGCCATAGGACCGGCAGTCTGGCCCTTGTGCTTGCCCGCTCGCCACTCAGGTCCATCGTATTTTTGTCCGTGACGGACGCAGGGTCGACACTGCGCATGCGGAGGAAGAAGAATACCAACGAGTCTACGACTTGGTACCTGTATTTGGCTTGTTAGCACCAATTACACGGCAGGAGACAATAGCGAGATGCTGATTGCTATCAAGGAACGTACGGCAGAGCACTGCATCATCGAGTCAGCGTTGGTTTCAAGTCAAATGTCATGGGAGAAGATGCTTACTATTTCTTGTCCAAGAGCGCTCTTATGACTGTAGCGTTTTGAGTCAGCAATCATTACAGTTCGGATGGCTTCGTTCCTGACAGATGCTGTTCCTCACGCGCCGGGCCTCGAGACCCGGATGTGAATCAAATGACAGCTTCTAGACACAGGACCTAAAGTAGAAACCTCGAATAGGAGAGGCATATAACGGATGGTACTCACAAATAGTAGTTGCACCTCCGCCTTCAGTGCCTGCAGAGGCCTCTCGGGCCGCGATTTCGCAGAGCCCTTTCAGGGCTGCTCCACTGTGTAGGACAGGGACACTGACTATTCCGAATATCAGGTCAGTAATGATCCCTTGGTGTTTCTCATGAAGCTCTACCCATTCAGGGGTGGCCCAACGGACATACCCCGGGCAGGGCAGTTGAAAGGGGAAACACTGACCTCTCACTAATACAGCACTGATGATAGCTGCTTCTCTCAGAGTGCAAGTACCACTCTCGACAAGGGGGAAGAGGAAACCCTTGAACCAGGCCGCTGGTTTGTATAAGGCAATAGGGGGGTCAGCACAAACCAGAAGGAAGCTGGGGAAGGGGGGAAGTACCTTTCTTTAGCGCATTGAAAAGATGCACGTTGAGTTTCTTGGTCTCGTGTCTTTTTTTCCCGTTAGTATGTATATAGTACCAACTTCACCACTATCAGAAATACACACATGTCTTCTCTGACCCGATCCAAGAGGATCATCTCCATAAATCTTCTCACCACAATGGGCTTGGAGCTTACGAAGATTTTTGTAGCTGCGTAACACGCATTTGGCGTCCATTGGTCGGGCTTCGTGATCTCAATGATCGTTTCCCAGCTGCAAACGCGGAGTCAGCGATCATTCCGACATGCAGGGATCGAAAGTACAGTGTTTCTTGGGCCGGACACAGGGGTTGGTAGGAGAAAAGGCACAGCCAACTCGAAGCACTTGCTACCGTTTCGAGCAGACAAGAGCTTGGAAGAGGACCACAGGCAGATACAAGGTGAATATTGCTGTGAGAAACACCGCTATTGCTTGGTCGAGGAAACTCAAATGGTTATATGGCGCTGACGTGCTCGTTATAGGAATCTCTATCACGGTCCAGGAAAGGGGTAAACTCCGAACGTGACTTACTTGGGAACGGTCGGTAATATCTTGAATGGTTTCGGTAGTTTGCCGCTCTTGTATCTGGAAAGAATTTCTCCGACCCTATACAGCGCGTCAGCATGTACGAAAGAGAACGGCACTGGTTCGCTGAACACACTTCTCGTAAACCTCCACGATCTTAGGTGACAGCCCAGGGACGTCGTCCATAGCCTCCATTCCCTGTGCCCTGTCCTCTCCTGCTTCGTGCGCGGCGATTCTGGCTAAGATAATGTCGGCGAGGTTCGTCGTGTTCTGCTCCTGCTGAGGCTCGTCCTGGCCCCAGCCATGCTGTATTAACATGCTGGCCGGGTCCTCGGCACCGGGAAGGAACCTGTTAAATGTGTCGAGGTCCTCGGGCTCAATCTCAACCTCCTCGACTTCTTCTTCATCGTCGTCCCCCCATACCACTTCATCGTCGAACTTCTCGTCGTTATCGTCCTGGTCGAATCTCGACTCAAAGCCGAATGCGTTGGACTCCTGCGGGGTCCGCGGAGGGGCAGCATCATTCTCTGCAGCGAGCTCGCGCCCTATTCTCAGGATGTTCTGCGACGCCTTCGAATCAACATAGCCCTCCTTCTCGTCCCTATCTTCGAGATCTCTGGACTTGCGCTTCTGCGGCTTAGAACGCAGAGGACCTGTAGCCAAGTAGTCGTCCTCCAGGCCACGCCTAGATTTGGGTGTAGTGGCCTTGGGCATGTTTGTTGTTTGTTGGTGAGTGAGCCCAACAGGTTTCTCTTGAGTCGACTGTTTTAGCACAAAATATCGATTTGCGCCAAAGAGTGAAACCGGGGATGATTTGTCGATGCCGAGTTCTGGGACTCTCCATCGGCCACAACGTGGGGTGAAGTTTGAAGGCCCAAATGAAAATTGTGAAGTGGAGCTATGTTAAACATTCAGCCAATGGGAGGCCGTTATGAGATGCTCTGCGCTTATCGATAAGAGCCCCTCCACGAGCTCTCATTGTGCCCCTCCACCCCTCCAATGACATCGTTGCGGCTAACAAATTCTTGTGAAGTCTGGAAACCCGATGCATGTGAATGAAACCTAGCTCACAAGTCTTCTCAAGAGCTCAAGAGTCTTGCTATCAAAAAATGCGTACAGAACTCGAAGAGGTATGGCCTGTTCCCCGAATGAGACTCCATTTAGTGGCTGACTTACGATTAGTTAGTCGGCTTGGTTGCCGACCCCAAGCCGGAAGTTCGAGGCATCGCCGCAGAACATCTCGTGCCATACTCAATATCCCAGCCTGGCATCTTCAAGGTAGACAAGTTGGGTCCGGTCAAGAACCTGAAGCTCCTCGTCAGGGATCATCCGGTAAGCTACCATCGAGTCGCTTCGGCAGAACCTGCTACTTGAGAGGCCAGAGCTGATGATCGAACAGAAAATAGCCGAGCACATCGTCACCATTCTCATCAATCTCTCAGCCGATCGCGAAGTCCTCGAAAGTCTAGCTACCGACGACAAATTCCTCAGCGAAGTTTTCAGACAAGTCGTTGTGCGTACATGTACTTCTGGCATGACTAGTGTCTCGATCCTGATCGAGCGAGATCGAGGCCTGTCACCGGACATCAAGCTAATGCACAATAGAATCCATCCGAGCCTAATGCAAACCTGCTGTCCATGCTACTGGCGAATCTGGCGAAATGGGACTCTTTGAAGAGGGTGTTGGAGTTGAAGCAATCGCCACCAGAGGAACTCAAGTCCAATGACATGATCATGAATCAGCTGCTTGATCTCTTCGTCAAAGGCGCTGATGGCACGTACAACAAAAACGCCGATTTCGATCATCTGGCCTACCTGTTCGCGGATCTGACGAAGCATGCCGAAGTACGCCACCACTTCGTCCGCAAGCAGGATTACGACGGAGTTATACCTCTCACTAAGCTCAAAGTGTTCACTGAGCACAAGTCTGACGTTCGACGAAAAGGAGTCGCCTCGACCATCAAGAACGTCGCCTTTGACGTACCTTCGCATCCACTTTTCATGTCCGAGGACGACATCGATATTCTGCCTTATATATTGTTGCCTATCATGGGGAACGAGGAGTATGACGAAGAGGATTCCATGGCAATGCTTCCTGACCTGCAGCTGCTGGCTCCCGACAAGCAACGCGATACAGACCCAGCCATTATTCAAACACACGTCGAAACGTTACTGCTTCTAACAAGCAGTAGGGAAGCGAGAGAACGAATGCGTGAAGTCAAGGTCTATCCACTCATTCGGGAAACTCACTTGCGAGTTCAGAACGAAGGCATCCAAGAAGCGTGTGAGCGACTAGTCCAAGTGCTCATGCGAGAGGAAGAGCAGCCAAATCCGGAGGCGCCTGTTAAGGAACTCACAAACGGCGATGGCGAGGAGGATGATGACGAAGACGTAGTTGAGGTGTAAAACTACACAGCTCGTGGTCCTTTACGGACATGGGATTGGCTACCGCACCGCTGGCTCAGAAGGGCCGTCGCCGGGGGGTGTTCCTGGCTGCCTAACAAATGACCATGAAGTTTCCGACAGAAGCAAACTTTCAAGTTCGATTTAGGCAACTAGACCGCAGCTTTGGACGGCGACACCGCGGTCAGCCTTACCATGGCTTTGATTGGGCATCGGTTGAGATCTACAAGGTTGTTTGGGCCTTGCGGTGGCGATACGAAAGGGGTATATGGATAGGCAGATTGACGAATGAGCAGCCCGGTCTCGGGGCTCTGCGAGCATAGCGAACGCGCGCGCGCCGCCGTGCTCACCGGCCGGTGCTCAGGCGTCGGACTGACGAATTTGAGACTCTCATGGTATGTTCCCACCCAAAGGGGCCATAACTTCGGATATGACACTCGATGACCCAGCCTACGGTGGGACTCCTCGACATGGCCCAGTACCTAGTCTTAATACATTCACGTCACGATCACGTCCAAGCTGCTTTCTTCGCAATCTGTCTCACACCCTTTGACGTAAGCCAAGGCGGTGGCGGCGGTGGCGGCGGGTAGTCTGAAGGAGTCATGACTTGGACATCGAGCATCGTGCAAGTCAGGAAACGGATTCTCCGTGGAGGCAAGGGGAAACTGATGGCCTCGGATGGGAGACCAAGCTGATAAACGAAGAGCCTTGGCTGACAGGCTCCCGCACCGGTACCGAGGGCTCGGTATCCCTATCTGTCTCGGCTAACATGGGATTGGTCCAGACGGTTCAGCTTGTGAAAGTCACAAGGCAAACCCTGCAGGTGAAGTCCAGGTAGGTCACGACGTTTCCACCTCGCTTCAGCCGGATCGTTTGGTGTTGTGGGCCGCCTCGTGCAAGAACACCGAAGGCTGAGGGCGTGGATGGATCCTCTCAGCTCATTGGCCTACTCGCATACAGGGCCAGCTCCATTGAGGATTGATGTTTGTCATGATGGGTTTTCTATACTACCTAAACAAGACCGAACCAGGTGATTTGGACCGGGCTCGGTCGATCCCGGACCCTTCCTACGAAACTGACTGTCGATACACACGGCGACGGGATTTATTACACACAGCGGGAAGCCAAGGAGCGCTGTTGTATTCATCTCGTGCTAGCAACGCTTTCGACAAAGCTTGATGGAAAGAAGCATTATTCAGGCGATAACGGAGGCTGGGCGTTTTCATCATGTCTTGGCCGTGTCTTGTTCCAACCTCAGATCAAGAGGTTCTTGTCCCCTGTGGCTGTCAAAAGAGTCGTTCATCGTCTGCGAGGTTGGTTGGTGTTTGGTGGATTAGACGATGTTGGCCAAGGACGCCAAGCCCGTCTCCACCAGCCCCAAAGGGCGAATCCACCCCCGCGCTGCATGTGAGTGTACCGCCATGATTTGCGGCGCATGGAGCACTGGCCAATCAGACGCTCGACGTGGCGCAACGTGCTACGACTAGCAACTCTAATTCGTCGTCCCGGTTCCGGGGGTCCTCGGCTGCAAGCTCGGCAGGCCCCCCTTTTCGGATTATTGGATTATTTTCAGCCTCGCAGAGTTCCGGCCCTCTCACCAGGTCTTATCTGAGACCAGTCAAAGAGCCTAGTCGCCGTCTTCCACCAGTCTTCGATCGAGCTTCCATTGCATTTGAAGATACTTGTATGTACATGGCTGTGGCCAATCTTCACAGTGGGTACGGTGCTGCCCACGTGTTATCCTATAGCCACTGTCGCTATCGAGTCAAGAAGTCCTTCTGCGATTTGGTCTACATCAGAGACATTCGTCAATCTTCAGCAAATGTGGCTGAGTTGTCACTGATTCCAGTGCGTAAGGTATTATCTTCAAGCACATGGCCGAGTCGTACAATAGAGTCTGATTTGGAAGGTGTCACATGCGACTTAACACAGACACATTTATAGCCTCTCGGTGAGGCAGATTCACGGTCTACTACCACATGCGAGGTTATTAATCTGAACATGCGCATCCACCAGTAAACTATGTCTGCTCTTCAGGAAGGCCGCATGTGCAGCCCAATGGACCACAGGCTTCCAAATGAGCTCGGAGCCGCGCGGTCGAATCAGAGATGCCTCCCAGGTTCCATTGAATGTCGCTCGGGAGCCTTGGAGTCAAACTATCTCCCTTTCAGGTACCATTGACAGCGCAATCTACACCGTCCGGTCTGTCAGTCCCCTGCTGCATGTGGATGTGCATCGCGGTCCCTGCCGCTTGTACCTCTGTGTCAATTCAGTTAGCTTCAAGGTTTCGATTTCTCTAGTACTGCTACTACCTCGGTGTCCACCTCAAGTTCCGTCTGTAGACGCCGCCTGCATGGATGCAGCATGTGGCCTGTTTATACAAAAGGATGATAGGTCCGTCACTCTCATCTGACAGCCTGCCGTTCTGCTTCCTTCTCTGTGCCATCAAACCATCCCAGAAAGGCAAACCGACTCGGTTGTAATCTTTACAGATAACCAGCGCAACTGGCAACTGCCCAGTGTAACTGGACTACACCTCTCCCCTTCATCTAGCTGCACGGCGATCACTACTTACAGTCCGCCGCCATGTCGGGAGTAACAGCACCAGCCGCCGCACAGAAGACGGCCGGCGGGAACAACGCCTACCATAACTTCCACAACGACTTTGTCCACATCTCGGATCCCAATGAACGTCGTCGTCTTGCGCTCGCCGAGATCGACAAGGCCCCATTCGGCTGGTACCATGTCAGGTGAGCACACACCCCAAGCTCGCTTCAGCGCGAGGTTCTCCGACGGGGCGGAGGTGCTAATACAGTACACGCGCAGAGCCTGTGTTGTTGCCGGTGTCGGTTTCTTCACTGATTCCTACGACATCTTCGCTGTCAGCTTGTTGAACATAATGCTGGGAATCGTATACTTCCAGAGCAGCAAAGGCAAGCTGCCGACCTCGTCCGACAACGCCATCAAGCTCGCGACCTCTGCCGGAACCGTCATAGGACAGCTGGGCTTCGGGTACCTCGCTGACCACGTCGGACGAAAGAAGATGTATGGTCTTGAACTTATTGTCATCATTTTTGCTACTCTTGGCCAGGCCCTCACCTCTGGCTCGCCCTCCGTCAACGTCATTGGTCTCATCATCTTCTGGCGCGTCCTACTTGGCGTAGGTATTGGAGGAGATTACCCGCTGTCCAGTATCATCACGTCCGAGTTTGCGACTACCAGATGGCGAGGCGCGATGATGGGCGCCGTGTTCGCCATGCAGGGTATCGGCCAGCTCGTATGCGCGTTCATCATGCTATTCGTCACACTCGGCTTCAAGCAGGCTCTCTCGGCATCCCCCAGCATCGATCATTGCGACGGTTACTGCTCGATTGCCGTCGACAAGATGTGGAGGACTCTGATCGGGTTCGGTGCCGTCCCGGCTTGCATTGCGCTATACTACCGCCTGACGATTCCCGAGACACCTGTAAGTCTCTGGCGCTATCACATGGCTATCACATGCGGAACATTCCTAACACATTATCTCTATTAGCGATACACCTTCGATATCGCCCGTGACGTCGAAAAGGCCGCTGACGACGTCAACGCCTACATGTCTGGCAAGCACGAGGGTCAGCCCGACGATATCGCCCGTATCCAGGCTCGCACTGCTGCTCAGGCACAGATAACTGTGCCCAAGGCAAGCTGGAGTGATTTCTTCCATCATTATGGGCAGCGCAAGAATGCACTGCTTCTACTTGGTACCGCCGGCTCGTGGTTCTGCCTCGACGTTGCTTGTAAGTTACCGTTATTCCCCTTTCGGCCGCTGGCAGACTTTACTAACGGGAGTTCCAGTCTATGGACTGTCCCTGAACAACGCCTCGATCCTCGAAACCATCGGATACTCCACCAAGGGGGCCACAAGCACCTACGAGTACCTTTACAACACCGCTATTGGCAACCTGATCATTGTCCTAGCCGGCGCCGTCCCGGGCTACTGGGTATCAGTCGCGACGCTCGACACGCTGGGCCGCAAGACCATCCAGATGGGCGGCTTTATCATCCTTACTATCCTATTTATCATCATGGGCTTTGCCTACAACAAACTCTCGGACAACGGCGGCAACGGCCTGCTGGCCATCTACGTGCTCGCGCAATTCTTCTTCAACTTCGGCCCGAACATGACGACGTTCATCGTCCCCGGCGAGGTGTTCCCGACGCGGTACCGCTCCACCTCGCACGGCATCTCGGCCGCCTCGGGCAAGATCGGGTCGATCATCGGCCAGGGCGCCATCTCGACCCTCAAGAGCCGCGGCGCTCCGAAGGGCTCCACTGCGAGCCCTTGGATGGACCACGTCCTCGAGATCTATGCGCTGTTCATGCTGCTCGGCGTCTTCACGACGTTGTGCATTCCGGAGACTAAGCGGAAGACCCTCGAGGAGCTGTGCGGCGAGGACGACTCGGCCGTGGCGGCGCCCCGTGCGATTGTTGCCGACGAGAGTAGTGCTAGCGGCGGCAGCCATGGCAAAGACGGGCTCTGAGTCGCTATAGATGGCGCATAAGTTTCCGGCTGGAACCTCCGTTCTTTATGGCCTGTATGAAGCAGTTGGTCGTGGAAGATCCGCAAAAGGTAGCATGTTTTGTGGCCAAAGAGGTGGCAAGGAACAGGTTGCACATGGATAATATGGCCCCAGCATCCGGGAATGCTGTCTTCGCTGCACAATGAGTAGTATATACCCATCTGATCGATAGATTTGATATAATCATTCACCCTCTTTATCACGGTGTCTTGTATTGGACGTGACTTGCTTGCTGTTGCTCCTCGGCATACATCGGTTTGTCGTACCATAGTCCTCAGTTTGCGGGGTCAACAATGGACCTGAAGGGAGCCTTACACAGTTGTCACGTCTACCTTTGTCTTGTCTAGTGTCAGGTCAGAATGCTAGCTGCTATGAGTTATGGACACACGACACTTACAGAACGCGACATAGTCCTCGAAGTGCTGCGCCTTTTCGAAGGCTGTCGGATAGTACCACGCAGCATTGGTGAGCTCTTTGTCTGCGTGACACACAACCGTACTGCGTCAGTTTCGTTCCACTCTATCCATAAACCCGTAACCACTGATCGATCACCCAGTCTGCAAGGGCACTCAAAATAAAAATGAAACAGGGAACTGGAAAAGTAGAATAAAGAGAAAGGCAGAGACAGTAGGACATGGAGAGAAGAAATGCGATGCATACCTCCGACCTTGATGCTGTAGTAGCTCGCGTCCCCCTTCCACGGACAGTGCGTGCTCAGGTCCGTCTTGGTCAGGTACTCGGTCTTGACCGATGCGGGCGGGAAGTACACGTTGCCCTCGACGAGCTCGTAGGTGTCCGACTCGGCGACGACGGTGCCGTTGGCGGTTGCTTTGACGTGGCCCGATGGCATCTTGGGGGCTGGTGGGCTGGTTTCCCTTGATGGCTGGCTTGCTGGACTGGTGATTTGGGCGTTTGGATGTATCGGAAACGAGGGGAGCGATGGTTACTGGGCTATTGAAATGGAGTTTCTCTTGGATCGTGTGTGTACTTCTTTCAAGTGAGTAGACTTGGTTGGAATTATCAGATGTATGCTGTATTATTCAGCAACTACCTTCGCTAAGTATGTGGATTTCAAATCACATGTCTACTTGGTATTTGTAGGCATGAAATCCGGGGTATGCGGGGTCTCCTGCTGGTCGGAATTGAACCAGACTGGTGAGCCTTGCTATACGTATACCACACATATAAGAGGTGCAATCTGATGAAGCTATCATCAAGAATTAATGTGATGACCAGTAACTCTAAGCTTGCTTGAGAGGAATATTTTGAGGTATCGGAGTGCTGGCAACCTGAGTTTAGGAGTATATGTACAGTATGAATAGAGAATCTAGACTGTGACGTTGTCCTCTAATTGCGGGTGCACTACAGTGCGAGAGTCTCGGCAAATAATGGTGAAGTCATTTCCAAGGCTGCTGCTCGCCATCCATTTCCCCGATGGCCGAGATATCTCCACTGCCCCACGATTCATCTCCAGGAAACGAGGGCCCGATGAACCGTTGATTATTGCCGAGCGCTAAACTGACTCGAGCTTCCCGCCGGCAAACTCAAGCTCGGCTTTCAACGTCTTGTGAGGAACCTCAAGTGGCGACAATTCCGCTTGTGCGCCTTCCTTTATCGATTCCGGTAGTCCGGACCGTTGCATCGCTTTTTCTTGTTGCGCGATACCTGTCCACTTCCTGCGGTACTCACGTGAGGATTGGTTCTCGAGACACATCGACATTACCAGCTCAACGAAATTAGAACTGTCGAGGTCGTTCACGATGGTGCTCTCCGGAGTTGAGGTTTCCAAGCACGACAGCAAGGAGACTTGCTGGGTCGTGATCCATGTATGCCACCTCATGAGATCAGCTGGCGTTTATCCTAACTCTATGGAAGGGCAAAGCGTTTGATGTGACGGAATTCTTGCCCGGTTAGTACTGTCACCTTGGTATTTGATGTTCACGGACATCCCAAGCTGATGAGATTTTAAGAACATCCGGGTGGGATGAACATCATCCTGAAATACGCGGTGAGTATTACTACATCGGGTGTCCCGTGGAATAAGAGACTGACATGGGACGATGAAGGGCAAAGATGCCACTGCCGAGTTTGAGCCTATTCACCCCCCTGACACATTGGACAAGTATCTCGACAAGTCCAAGCATTTAGGTCTTGTGGATATGAACACAGTTGTCAAGGCGGAGGAGGAGGAAGACCCGGAGGAGGCAGATCGTCTGCAACGCGTCGAGGACAAGCCCCTGTTATCGCAATGTTACAACTTGATGGACTTCGAGGCGGTGGCCAAGAACACTATGAAGAGAGGTGCATGGGGTTACTACTCGAGCGCTGCGGATGACGAGATAGTATGTGCTCTCCTCGATGTTATAGCGAAGCTGTGAGGTTGTCTCACTGATCATCCCGTCTAGACACTGCGAGAGAACCACGAGGCATACCACAGGATATGGTTCAGGCCCAAGATACTGGTGGATGTCAAGGAGATCGACACCTCAACAACCATGCTGGGCACTAAAGTCGACATACCGTTCTATGTCACGGCAACAGCTTTGGGAAAGCTCGGACACCCCGAGGGAGAAGTCGTGCTCACGAGGGCGGCGAGGAAGCACAACGTGGTGCAGATGATCCCGACACTAGCCTCATGTTCTTTCGACGAGATCATGGACGCCGCCAAGGGAGACCAGGTACAATGGATGCAGCTCTACGTCAACCAGGACCGGGCCATCACAGAGCGCCTCGTCAAACACGCCGAGAAGCGAGGGTGCAAAGCCCTGTTCATCACCGTCGACGCGCCGCAACTGGGAAGGCGAGAGAAGGACATGCGCGCCAAGTTCACAGACCAGGGTTCCAGCGTGCAGTCCGGCCAGACGACGGACACCTCGCAGGGCGCCGCGCGCGCCATATCGTCCTTCATCGACCCGGCGCTCTCGTGGAAGGACATCCCGTGGTTCCAGTCCATCACCAAGATGCCCATCATCCTCAAGGGCGTGCAGCGGGTCGAGGACGTGCTGAGGGCGGTTGACGCGGGCGTGCAGGGCGTGGTGCTGTCGAACCACGGCGGGCGGCAGCTCGACTTCGCGCCCTCGGCCGTCGAGGTGCTGGCCGAGACCATGCCCGTGCTGCGCAACCTGAGGCTCGACCGCAAGATCGAGGTCTTCGTCGACGGCGGCGTGCGCCGCGCCACCGACATCATCAAGGCGCTGTGTCTGGGCGCCCGGGGAGTCGGCATCGGTCGCCCCTTTTTGTATGCCATGTCGGCGTACGGCGACGAGGGCGTCGACCGCGCCATGCAGCTGCTCCGCGAGGAGATGGAGATGAACATGCGCCTCATCGGGTGCACGAGCGTCGACCAGCTTAATCCGGGTCTGGTCGATGTGAGGAATCTGGGCGCCCATGTCACGGGCGTGCCGACGGACAACTTGGGCCGCAAGGTGTATGATCCGCTTGTCACGCCGGCGTGGAAGCCGCCCAAGTCGTCAAAGCTGTGAAGGGAGCGCGTGGAACGAGAGGAGAGCACATAATTGGTTGTGGAGCGAACATGTCGGGCATTTCTATGTACAGGTGGTAAAGTAGCATATGAATGTTGGAAGAGGAGTCGCAGGTGGTGTACGTGATGCTTACTTCTTGCAGATATCGTGACCCGACAAGCTGATCAGTCGACCCCTATGAATCACCTTGCAGGCAGGGCATGTAGGGCATGCAAGGTTATATGTTGAAACAAGACCAAAAACAATCACCTAGTGAGGTGAAAACTGATGGGGTGTGGATTGGCTCAGTTATACAAGCAATTGATTACGGAGTAGACACATTAGAGATTAGGCGGCAAGTCGGGCTGAACTCTTTTTGTTTGGGTTATGCGTTCTTAACATGGTGATGTTGCTCTTCTCTTTTTTTACTATTTCCCCCCGGTTTCCTCTTGACTGTGCCGGGTCCCAAAATACACACGGGGCTTCCTTGCAGTTGCTCACTTACTCAGGCAGCAACGTCAACCTGCCCCCTCCCCTCTCTCACACCCCCCTATGCAAGAGCAATACGACCTGCACTGAGCTAAGCATCATAGGATGTACAAATCCCCTTATAGACGCGGCATAGGGTCATCATGTATGCATGATACTGGCATCAAAACATCGCTGAAGAAACCAGAAACAAGCTATGACCGCACTCGCTCGTCCCGCTGCCTCAAGACTGGCTCGAGACAACGCTGTGTACGGCTGTGCTACCTGAGAAAGGCAGTACCCAACTACCTACGCTGATTGGACTCATAATGTTAGTCGCTCCCCGAAAGTCCAAACGCAAAGAAAATCAACAAAACAATGCGTCGTCATGGGTAAAATGAGTCATAAAACCTGAACACGCCCCTTTAAACCCTCCTGTCCCATCTTGATTGACTTTGCATCCATAAGGCTAGTCCTTCATATTCCCATCTAGCCTATTAACCTCGAAATCCCGACCTGGACTCCGTTCCCCCCTATTCCAAGGACTTATCTGGCGCCACACACACCCCTGACCCCCAAAACCTCTACGCCCACCCACATCCTAAACGGATAGATCACTAGGGGGTATTTCGGGTCCCCCTCCTGTGTTGTTGTCGTCGTCGAGATCCAGGTTCGCGTTCGCGGTGGTCGCGTTGACGTCCACCTGGCATGAAGAAGTGCCCCAACGAGGGCGCCCGGCGAGTGCGAATCGGCGCAGCGTACTAAACGTAGAAGGAAGATCCTCGCCGGACTCTAATACAAAGGCCGTAGAGGCCCCATTGTCCAGGAGGAACAAAAAGACAGCTGTGTCAAGGTCGGGAACGGGTGCCTCGTACAGGCTTTCCGTCCTGCCTCTCTACATGGAAAAAATACCTGCCGCTGATCTCGAGGAGGAATTCGAGACAGTGGAATGCGTCAAATCCGACCAGCTTGCAGATCAGTCCCATGGCGCCCAGGCTGTCTCTATACGAGGTGAGGTAGTCGTTTTCAGCAAGAACCTCCCCTGGTCCCCGTCTCGAGAAGTTTCTGACAGAGACCCAGATTCGCCGCGTCGAGGGCGCCTTGGGAAAGGGAGACGACCGTCCGACTCGCGCAAAGTGACATCCGCGCCTAGTTCGAGCAGGGTTGTCAGTGCAGCGTGGTGACGGTCGCCGTATTGTTCCAGGCCGCAGAGGAGGTGCAGCAGCGTGGAGTCGTCGTCGTGGATCCTCGTGTTGATATCTGCGCCCTGCTGAACGAGGAACCTCAGCATGTCCACGATCTTCGGCTCGTTGTTGAGGTTGTGCAGACAGGCATACATCAAGACCGTTCTGTCCGTCTTGATCGCGGGACGAGATATCCGCCCCGGCCGCGACTAGTGCTTCCAAGACGGGAAGCAGAGAGTTCTGAGCAGCGTAGGCCAGCGGTGTGTGCCGCTGATAGTCAAGCGCGCCGACGTCGGCGCCTGCGGCTATGAGCCTCGCGATGGCCGTGAGACGCCTGCCCTCCTACGCCGACTTCCATGCGCGATTGTAGTCGCGAGGGTCGACCGTGACACGGCAACAGACGTGCAAAGGAGTGAACTGTAGCTCTCCGATGACGCAGTTGACATCGGCTCCGAGACCGATCAGTTGACGGCATCGTCGTATCTCCCATGCCAGCACGCTTCGAGAAGAGTAGTCGCGCCGCCGCCGAGGTCGACGTTGATATTGGCACCTCTACTCAACAGGTAGGGCACCACGTCATCGAAATTGCCTGCGCCGAACAAATATGCCAGCGGAGTCTGGCCGATGTCGTCCTCGACATCCACTTCTGACTGGTAGCCGTCTTCTAGTAGGTGACGAACGAGCGTGCCGAATCCACGGTGGGATGCCAGATGGAGGGCTGTAACCCCTTTCCATCTACCTCTTACCCCAGAAGCAGGTTCTCTTTGGGCTTCACGTGATGATGAGCTATGCGCACCCGTCCCAGTATTGTCATCAAACCCAGGTCCAGTAGGTGATGATACCTCAAGAAAAGGCGACGCCCCACGACGTAAAAGCAGCCGGGCGACAGACTCATGCCCGTGACAAATAGCAATAAGCAAGGGCGTGGCCGGCGCCATCGTCGGCCTCCTGCCCTCCTCCTCAGCCCACAGGTCCTCGACACGAACAGCACCCATCCCACCCGTCCGATTCGGCCCGTAGACATCATCTGCCCAGACACCGAAGCTAACGTTGCCGCACTCGCAAAAGCCATCCGAGCTGGCATTGACATCGGCGCCGTTCGCAATGAGCAATTCGACCGTCCGCTCATCGCCGCCCAGGGCAGCGGCGTGCAGCGCCGTCCAGTAGATCGTGGCATTCCGCGGGTCCACCACATACATGTCGGCTCGCCTGTCGATGCGGGGATGGGCATAGTCGAGCCGTCATCGCCATCGTCCTCCTTCTTGTAATACTTGGTGAAGCAACAACAAGCTGGCGGCCCCTCCACCACACCTACCTCCAGCTCGCAGTCATCATCGTCGTCCAGCGACGCGTCATCAAACCAATTAACCCAATCCGCCCCCTCAAGCGGACAATCCCTCCGCGCACTCGGCGAGGTCCGTTTGAGATACCGGAAAAGCCGTCTTCGTCGGCGGAGCACCGGCAGCTCTGCCTCGCTCGCGTACTCGCCGGTGAAGACGCGCCTCCGGAAGCGGCCGGCCTCGAGCCGGAGCCGCGACAGGATATAGTACCACGGACGGCCGACGTCGACGCCGGCGTCGATGAGCTGCTGGAGCGTCCGCGCGGCGCCCGACTGCGCGGCCGCGTACAGCGTATAGCTGTGCTCGTCCCGGGCCTCGAGGTCGTAGAGGACGGGGTTGGCGTAGGCGTAGTGCCGCCGGTTCGTCGCGTCGAGGGCAGCGAGGCTGTCCTTGTGGTGTGGACCACCCAGGCTGGCGATTACCTGGAGGAGGACCTCGGGTGGGAGGTGGGCTATGGATGCCATTGTGGTGGTGGTTTGATGGCAAGGCTTGATACTAACACCCTCAGTAGTAGGCAAGTTAGTCGTACTTGTAGGCAACAAACAGGGTACCTACCTTGAATATCTCAAAATGTGTCATAAGTGCCTAGGTCGAGGAGGTGCCATGCATAAGGCGAAATTGGTTGGGGCTAGACCTCTGTGTGGCGCAGCTAAACCTCCTTCTCAAAAGCCGATCATCCCTCACTCTCCGAGAGCGAAGCTCTTTGAATGCAGTAAACTGCCCCTGGAGGTTGAGTGAAACAGGCGATACAAGACCTCAATATCCATCCATTTACAACCCCGTCGAAATAGACGCTTACCAGCCGACCAAGCAGCATACACACTAAAAGAAGACAAGGTGTCAGATAGTGCACAGAAAAAGGCAAGACAAACGCAGGCCTCGATTCGACCTCTCGCGAGAGAAGGAAGAAAACACTATATATATCCATTACAATGACCCACAAGAAATGATGAATACCCTGAGGGAGCCAGCTCTGCACAAACAGAAAAGGCCCTATGCCAGTCCAGTACCCGTTGCATTGTATGCATGCTCCAAGAACGCCGTTTGCCATGCCTTCCGCCGTATCTCCGAACCTGCTCCCATGACTTCATCCTAGCTCTGCTGGATTGGCCAACGACCTCACTGAAAGACCGCGAACCGAACAGCGATAACCCCTCTGTCCATGCAAGAGGCCGATATCGAGTGTCTATACGATGATGACGCGAGAGAGAAGTGCCGTTGCAGGGTCCGGCCCGTCTCTTTCCTCTATGCTCTCATTCCACGATGCTCGCCTCCCGGAACCCCATCTCTACACGCCCAAGTCAACAGCCGAAAGTCGTAGTTCGTCCTGTATGCCGAGCAAGCCTTCCCCGCCTCCCGACCGTCTTCAGCAGCACCTCCGGCCCCTCTTATGGTCCTCGATCCGGTTCTGCTGCTGCTGCGCGCCCCCGTTCGCCCCCGCGTTCTCGACCGTGACAGCGGGCGAGAAGTTAGGCGAGAACAACCAGCTCCTGCGGTCCCTTCCAACGCGGAAGCTGCCGCGCGGGTTGACACCACCATCAAAATAGCCTGACGCGGCCGATTCCATGCCCGAGTCGTACCCCCCGGGCGTGAGGAGCCCGCCGCCACCACCGGGCGTCGCCGTCGCCGCCAGGATCGCCTGCTGCATCAGCCGGTTCTGCTCGACGAGCTTGCGCGTCACCACGCGGAACACCTCCTCGACGCCCTCGCCGCTCTCGGCGCTGATCTCGTGGCACGCGTCCCAGCCGGCCTCCTGGCCCCAGAACCCGCTGCTCCGCTTGCTACTCGGGCTGCGGGGTTCTGGTGCTCCACTCGTCGACGCCCCCGGTGTCATTCCCGTCGAGTTCCACGTATGCATGTTCGAGGACCCGCCGCCGCCGCCGCCCATCATACCGCCCGACTGCTGCTGCGTGACGCCGAGGCCCGACGCCGACGGTGTCGCGGTCGGCGGCGGCGTGGAACCCAGGCCTGGCGCGAGGTTCTCGGCTACGTATGCTATGCAGCGCTCGAAGGGGACTTCGCGTCGGGTCGGGTCGCGCGCGACGATGTCGGCTTTGGTGCCCACGACGTGCAGCACGATGTCGGGAGGCAGGTTGCGCCGCAGCTCCGTGAGCCAGATGCCCATCTCGGCGAAGGACTGCGCGTCCGTTATCGAGTAGCAGAGGATGCAGGCGTTCGCGCCGCGGTAGTAGAGTCGTGATATCGAGCGGAATCGTTCCTGGCCGGCTGGTTTTTCGTCTGCAGGTCAGCGTCTTTCTTATGCGTGTAGTAGGTAGCAATAAAGGGATCGCACCTGTGTCCCATATCTGTAACCGTACAACGGTATCTGTGTCGGTGTCGATGACCCGTTTCGTCATGAAGCTCGCGCCGACGGTCGACGTCGTCTGCGCCGGGGTCCAGGCGCCCTTGCAGTACCGCGTTACCAGTGACGTCTTGCCGACGCCCTGCGAGCCGAGGACGACTATCTTGGCCTCGAGCGCAGACATGATGTAGAGCGGTGTAGGTGTATTATTAGAAAAGTAGCTCAGAGAGCAGGTAGCTATTGGTAAAATAGAAGCGCAAAAAGGTCGGTCGGTGGATTCGATGGCGGGTGTACAAGTAGAAAGTACAATGCTGCAAGCGGAGGAGTGGCAGCTGCGTGTGAAGTGCTCGGTTCGCGCCGAGGCTGCAGCTGGTTGATTCACCGCTCGAGATTCGACGACGGAATGGGGGACTCGAGGATCGTCATGCTCGTGCTCGAAAGCGGAATTGAATTTCTGCGATGCGGTGTGGGAGGGGACGCACCTCAGCCGTCGAGGATGGGGGTACACCCGTACACAGTAGGACTGTCGATTATTGGCCGGGCAGATATGGGATTTCAGGCAATCGCGATCAGATGCGCATGCACAATCACACAATGCAATGCACCGGATCTGGGCATCGGGCGCGCGATGATGGTTCTGCAGCAGGGGTCCTATACGATATCCGAAAGGGCAGGTCCGAATATCACAGAAGTTGAAAGCAGCACCGACGACTCATTGCTGACTGCGGGGAGCTGGAAGTTATTATTCTGTCCAGCACTTCGCAGGTCATGTTATCAACAGATCAATAGAGGGGCATCCGATCCGATAAGAGGCGCTGATGGGATTATCCTCGCATTTTGGTCATGTTCCGAATCAAAATTCAAGAGAACGTTTCATGTCAATCACGTGGGATCAGAGACGGCGCCCGCCTGACCGTTTCAGTCTGACAACCGGCTGCTTGGTAACTTTTAGCCTCCATAACCACATCACCAAACGCAGGTGCAGATAGTAGTTGCGACTTGGTTGGGATTTCTTCATGATGCATCTATCATCTTCTCATATCTCAACATTCCCGTGTCTCTCTCACTGTCCTCTATCTACGTCTTCTCTCCAATGCTGTCTGTCCATTAGGCCGGACCCGGTTGACCCTTCTTAGACTTGTCAACGTCGTCGTCCACCTTGGGCAGCGCCGGGATATCGACACCCATCAACCGATACTCCATGCCAATGTACGCATCACTAAGGACCAGCACGTCAACCTTCCTCGCCCTGCCGTCCTTATCTGGCTCGGGTAGTTTCAATATTGCCTTTGCTGTCGGCTTGGCTCCTACTGCCACGGACTGACCGGGCCCCTGACTCCAACCGACCCTCTTGACCGCCATGATCTCGTCCTTGGCCACGTCGCACACAACCACAAACCATCCCTCCGTCTGTGGCTTGGGATACTTCGGAGCGTAGACGCGGCCCTCGCGCTCCACGATGGGATTGAGACGCTTGAGCGCAACTGTGAGCGATAGCGCAGTGACATTTTCAGCCGTGACGTTCACGTTGGGGATAGCAGAAACAGCGCGAGTAAACCAACTCAGCTGGGAGGACGGAACCCCAAGCTTCCCAGCAAGCTGCTCGATCTGTTGCCGGGGTCGCGTGCTCAGCTTCTGGAGCGGCGTCGTGTCTTTGAGGTGATCTGCGTTGGTCCCCGGGAAAATAGCTAGGGGCGAATCCTCGGGCCAACGCGCCGATTTGATGCACTGGAGTAGCTTCATCATCTCCAGACAGCTGGACAGATAGCCAAGTTCGGTCAGCACGTCGATCGATGCCTGAATGATACGGATAGCCTGATCCAACACACTGGTCTGATCACCGACGTAATCGGTAATCGGGAGATCAATGCGAGCCATGTGCGCTTGAAGTAGGAGGAAAGCTTTGACATGGGGATCCCACATTGGTAGGCCAAATGCACTTCCTTGGAATGGTAGGTTCTTTGACAGCTCGGCATTGATGAGATCTTCGTTGTGACGGACGGGGAGCTCGTCATACTCCGTCGCACGAGACATCCAGGAGAGTACATCGGCAAACTGTGCCTTGGGTTTGGCATGCTTGACCAGCTGACGGATCGTCTTGTGGGACAGATAATAGTAACTCATGATCTTGCCGAGCGGCGTGGGATCAACATCCCCATTCGGGAATACCTCGACACACCTCGAAGTTGCCAACTCGTCCAACGACTTATTGACCATATCAATCATGAAGTCATTGGCAACTTGCTGAGCTGCGATAGAGTTGTGCTCCTCGGCCGATATTTCGAGACCATAGTACGAAGGGTTCTTGTGTAGTCGTCGAAAGAAGAAGGTCCAGGTCAAGTAGTCGAGCGCATCTTGCTTGGTGATGATGGTTTCGGCGGAAACTTCGGCACACAAATGGTTGTCCAGAACTGTGTGAAGAGATGACTCGACCGGGAAACCCGTGTGCAAGAAGTGCTTGTAGAAGTCCTTCTTCGAATCCTGCGTGAAGATGCGTGCGACACCTGAGTTGTCGAACTGTGGACGACCGGCTCGACCGAGCATCTGCAAGACGTCCGTCAGATCCATATCCTTGTACCCTTCTATCTTGGCGTCATAGAACTGTGTGCCCTTGACGATGACCAGGTGGGCTGGCAGATTGACACCCCAAGCCAGCGTGCTTGTTGCGACTAGGATCTGGATTTTGTTGTTCAAGAACAGTTCTTCGGCTAGTTGTCGATCTGATTCGACCAGACCGGCATGATGGAGGCCAATTCCAAAGTTGATCGCTTCTTTCAACGCGTCGTCCTTGACTCTGGAAAGATTAAGTTGAAGATCCTCCTCCGACATGTGGACGAACCGCCTTGGATCGTCCTCCATACCACACATGTTGATGAGGTCCTTGGCCGTCAAACGAGTCTGCCGTCGGGAAGGGACGAAGACGATGACAGGCTTGTCGGGACTATGAGTCTTGATGGCCAAGAAACTCGGCCGATTCATAGACTGCATCAAAGGGCAGAAACCTCGGACGGGCGGGAAGCCATCGATATAGAGCTCTAGAGGCACGGGTCGTACCGAATGTCGGAAGTTGAAAAGCCCTTCTTTGACGCCTAGCCAGTTACCAAGGTCTGTTGCGTTTGCACACGCAGTAGACATGCCCAGAAGTCTGACTGAACTCTTGGTTGACTCGGCAATGTAGTTCATTCCTAGGACACAGTTAGAAACCTGTTACCAGTACCACCATTATAAGACTTACTGGACACAATGATCTCGAGAATGGGACCTCTGTCTCCGGCAAGCAGATGAATCTCGTCTATGACCACAAGCGCAACTTGACGCACGTAACCCCTCGTTTGCCAGCTACGAGAAATACCGTCCCACTTCTCGGGGGTGGTGATGATAATGTCGGCATCCTTGATAGTTCTCGTATCAGGGGTGTTGTCACCAGTCAACTCCACTAACTTCAGGCCCAGTGGACCAGATAGCCTAGCACGCCAATCTTTGACTCGTTCACGGACTAGTGCCTTCATGGGGGCAATGTACACGACCTTGGAGCCTGGCCGCTCCCGGAAAGCCCACCACATTGCTAGCTCTGCGGCGACAGTCTTGCCGCTACCAGTGGGTGACCCGAGAAGAACGTTTGCTGGCGTATGGTAGAGCGTGTGGAAGATCTGGGTTTGCATGGGATTGAAGAACTGAAACCGTTGGGCATAGATTTCCTCCAGCCCCGGGTTCTTCAAAGCCGTAATCGGTAGCGGCTGCAAGTTCAGCAGGTCTGTGTAAACGCTCTCGGTATCGGGGCGAATGAGATGCTGGAACGAGACCGGAGTGACTGTCTCTGCGCCGAGCCACTTGTCCGATACTGCCCTCACATAGATCTGATTTGGGAGAGGGTCTGACAAGGGTATCGTGAAGTTGAGCTCGTGGTCATCGTAGAGCTTTCTCCTGTTAAGTATGAAGAACTCATGATGGTAGATCTCCGATGTCTCCGAATTCTCGACCCAGACATAGAAGGATTCCGACGTGCCGTGCATCTGGTCGTTCCACCTAAAATCAGGGGTGATGTAGAGCTTGATTCTTAACACGTCCCGGTTCAGGGGAGCGATCTCGGCATCCACAGATACGGTTGGAAAGTTGTCAATGATCCGCGCAATTTTCTTGCCAGCATTGAGGTTGTGTACTAGACTGCCGACCTCTGCGGCTTCCATGTCACGCATAGTTTCGATGGTCAGATTATCCTTCGCGTCGACCTGGTTGAGCACCGACTTCGGCAGATCGAATTGGTGTAATGGATGCTGGAAAGGCCAGATGCGCTTCTCGATCGATTTGGCCAGAGTCAGGAGTACCAAGCATTGGTGTCCCCATCGGCGGTTCAAGGCAATCATGAATAATGCTCGACAGATCCGCCCAGACTGCTGAGCTACGTAGTTGAGATCGTTCGACAATGCGAAATCCTCCAGTGATGCGCGAGAGATGTATGATTGCAGAAGGATGTTGGTCTTGGCTTGAGGCGTGTCGATGCCTTCACCAACATCGCAAGGTACGACCTCTCTTCTCAATCTCGTCAACTCATCGGCCTCACTGTCCCTTGATTGGATATTGTCAAATTCTCCACTCATGCTCATCATCTTGAGCACGTCGGCTTCCGTCGATTGGGGCCGCATCATCTGATTGAAGATCTGGATACTTGTCTGCTGGATGTAGTATTGACTTGCAATGCGGCCAACATCCTTGCTTCTGAGCTCCTCTGTAGTTTCGTTGAAAATGATCATCTGGCTTTGTTGTAGAGTGCGTGCTGCCTGTATAGCAAGTTGCCTTCTCCTTTGAACCAGATTTGGGTCATCTCGAATCTCGGCCCATTCGATGCCATAAGTCATGGGGCTTCTCCGCATCCGAACGAACAGATAGGAGTACCCAATCCACTGGACCGCTTCTGGAATAGAAGTCACAGTACCCAAGGATATCTCTGCGTTCAGGTTGTCGACCATTTTGGAAGAGAACTTGGACTCAATCGGTTGTTGTTCGGTGACTGCTGTCAGATAGTGTGATAGCTTGTCAGCAGTTGTACAAATCATGCCGATACCCACGTCTTCAAATTGAGGACGTCCCGCACGACCAAAGATTTGAAGGACATCAAGGATCCCAAGGTCCACGAACTTTCCGTCCTGGGCACTGTAGACTTGGGTGCCTTTGATGACAACGGCAGCGGCTGGTAAATTGACACCCCATGCGAGAGTCGCTGTACAGCAAAGAACCTTGATAACCCCCCCGGCGAATAGCCTTTCCATGAGGTTCCTATCAGACCTGCTCATACCGGCGTGGTGTATGCCTAGACCCTTGGGCAGTAGGTCTCTGAGCTCGCGTGCTCTTGATGACTTCATGTCTCTGACGGCTTGTTCATAGTACGGATGGCCTTGTGGGTCGAAAAGGTCCACGCAAACTTGGTCGACAGCTTTTTCATAAAGCATCTTGGCCGATTGAAGCGTGTCTCTTCTGGAGTGAACAAACACCATGACCTGATGATCTTGCTCCAACATCTCCCTAACCTTCTCAAAGGCAACAGTATCGAGATTCTCTCTGGACTGCTTCGAACCCGCCTTGCCCTTGACTCCGATGAAATGCTGTTCCAAGGGTACCGGGCGGAACGAAGCATCGAAGTAGAACAGTCCAGCGTGCCTGTTGACTTTGAGGAAGTCGGCGACGTCGATGTAGTTCGGCAAGGTTGCGCTTAGTCCGACGATACGGATGAGCGATTGCGTGCTCTCAACCTGTCGTTCTGTTCGAGCAACTAGAGACTCTAAAACGGCACCACGCTCATCATGAAGCATGTGAACTTCATCAATAATAAGCAATCTGACCTTCTGCACCAGCTCAGTGTCTCCAGTGCCTTTTCTGGTAATGACATCCCACTTCTCGGGCGTGGTAACGATCACTTGTGTTTGCACAATCTCGGTTTTGGTAAGGTGCATGTCGCCCGTGTACTCGCGGCACTGGAGACCAAGCCAACCTATGCGCTTTCCGATCTTCTCGGTGATTTCCGCAGCCAGTGCTTTCATAGGGGCAACGTAGACGATCTTGAAGTCCTCGGCGTTGACTGCAAAATCCGTGGCCTCCACGTTCTCGATGGGGTTGGGCGTAACATATTGGCTAATCGTTTGCAAGATGGTCAACATGGCTGCATCTGTCTTACCCGCACCGGTAGGGGCACAGACTAGCATGTTCTCGCTCGTTTTGTATGCTACCGGGTAGACGAGACTCTGCATTCTGTTTAGGGACTTGTAGCCCTTGAAGGTTCGGCGACATAGACCATCCATGTCGGCAAGATCGACTAGTTTATGGCCAGGCCAAAGAGTCCCAGTCTTTCCAGCAGGAATGGCGTACTCCTCATATTTCTCGAATTGCTTCCTCTCGCTACCAGCTGGCAAGGCGTATTTCTTCCCAGAGTGACTCAAGGTGTTGCCGGCATTGTGTGCTTTATAGACGTGTGGGTACTCAACCTCCCTGTGCATTCTCGGAGCCAGGGAAGCATTCTTGTGCTCGTAGTCTTTCTGGCGTAGAGCTGCCTCTCGTTCTGTTCTGCTTAGGAGGCGAGCTGCTGGCTCCTGGACGTCTTGGCTGGCAAAGCTTGAGATGATTTCGTCTTTACGTGATAGTATTTCGATGACAAAGTCGAGGTCGTCAAATCCAACGAGATCTGTAAGCTGGGACTGCACTTCGTGTTCCGGTCGGCCAGCTCCTAGGATCTCTAGGATCTGCGACATGAAAGCATCTGATGATAGTCCATCCTTTTTGATGGAGATGGCGGTACATTGCTTCGTGAACCATGCTGGGCCGTAATCTTGACCATCGATCTGGCCGTTGCCGTTCGTGTCCTCGATGAAGTCACTGCTGTATAGGTCGCCTTCATCGTCCGAGATGAAGTCCCAAACGTCGTCCCCACTGTTCCCGGAAGTGAACTCATCATCATCCAATTCGAAGTCTTGGTCAGCTCCTGCATCGGTTGAGCGGCCTTGACCGGGGAGCTTGACGTCTGCTAGAGCGGACTTCATAGCCTCAAATTGCTCTCGCCATCTGGCCTCGGCCTCGCTCATCGACGACGACATTCTGGATGGCAAGAGATCTGGCGGTAAACCAAGGTCACTGAGGCGTCCAATTTTCAGATGGTTGAGTTGGTCCTGGAATGTTACTACGAAGTCGAAATATCTCTCGTTGATGAAGATTCTTCAACCTGAGGTCAACGAGTTTCGTATTGTTTGTTACCCGAACGAGTCCCGGGGATGAATGATGACTATGACTCTTCGGCGAGAGGGCACTGTGGCTGGTATTTCTAGTGGCTCACACAGGGCAGAGCCACAACCGCTAGGACCCTTGACCGCTGATCGACCTCAACTGCCAGCCCTGGCGGGGTGAGCCCTGGAGATCAATGGACTCAACGCCAAACTGTACATGTGACATCGACAAGGAGGCCTTGGCACAGGAACGATAAGGAGCGAGCCACTGACTTCATCTCCAGTCCATCCGTGGCATCTGTATTCCGTCATCCTCCAACAGCCTCCAACAACCTACCTGCGATTATCGCGACGCCGAACCTGCTTTGCTTCGTCGACACCATCCTCGACGAACCGCCTTTCTCCGACTCGTCGCTACAAAGGTCCACCCACGACTGCGCTCTATCTACAAAGGGGCACTCCCTACAGACGGTCTGCACGTTACAGAAACACACTCCGTCGCAACAGCCCACCATCGATCGCCCATCATGAAGCTTCACTACATTGGCGTACGCATACCAAACCACATTCCCATTCCGACCACAAGGCTTGTCCACGGAAGACTGACGTTGCCGTGGTACAGATCATCCAGAACGAGAGCAAGCCTGGTGTCGAGGTGTGCTCTGAGAAAGAGCTGACGGCATACTCGCGCTTCACCCGCAACAAGTACGACTCTATACATACCGCCCGAATATATACTCCCGAGTTTGTTGACTGACTGGCCACGCGACTAGCTATGGCGAATTCATGTCGATGTTTGCGAAGACGGTAGCGGAGCGGACGCGGCCAGGACAGCGACAGGACGTCGAGGAACAAGGTACGATCGCCTACCAACCAACCACCCCAGGACCTGCATAGCCCGCCATAGAGTTACATTGGACCGCAGTAGAAAGAGACAGTTGGAACAGGGAAATCGAAGCTGATCGTTGCCCCCCAACAGACTACACCTTCCACGCGTACGGCCGCACCGAGGGCGTCTGCGGCATCATCATCTCAGACCACGAGTACCCGGCGCTGGTGGCGCACCAGCTGCTGTCAAAGGTGATGGACGAGTTCCTGGCATCACACCCGCGGTCCTCATGGTCAAACGGCCAGACCGTCGCCATGCCCGAACTGAAAGACTACCTGGCCAAGTACCAGGACCCGCACCAGGCCGACAGCATCATGAAGATCCAGCGCGAGCTCGACGACACCAAGATCGTGCTGCACAAGACCATCGAGAGCGTGCTGCAGCGCGGCGAGAAGATCGACGACCTCGTCGCCAAGTCGGACGGCCTGAGCTCCCAGAGCAAGATGTTTTACCGTGAGCAAGCATCCTGGCCGCGCCCTCGTCCCACCTGCATCGTAACGCCTTACCTTTACGCAAAGCCTGCTAACCCAGCCCTGTAGAACAAGCGAAGAAGCAGAACTCGTGCTGTGTGGTCATGTAGAGAAATCATGGCGTAGTTCTAGTAAGGAAACGGCGTTTTGCGACTTGACAAAGTTGTTGTTTCAGCATAGCGGTGAGGTTTGGAGGTTGCTATCTCACCTGGTGGCCATCGCTCTTCCATCCCTACTTAGGTACTCACCTAACTACCTAACTACCTATTTACCTCTATATCCCACATATACAGTCCCTGTGAATACGGTTTATAAGGGCGGGGAGAAGTCATTCGCTGGCCGTCCGTTGGGGCTATCTATACCGAGGCCTTTGAGCTGTGGATCTTTCGACAGTTGCGCATCTCGATTCGATGCATTTCATACAGCAATGGAGGCAGGCGGAACACGCATATATGATGGTTCGGGCCTTGAGAATCTTCAAGAGAGATGATTGCTTCAGGCCGCGCCAGGGGCAGATAGGCATTCTTCTAGTCTAGATTTTAGAATGAAAGATGACGACCACGAAGCCCCATCTCGTATAGACTTGGTCTCGGCCTACCTAGTAGACACATGCATAACGTTACCCCGCGTATCCATCGTATCGAGCAAAACCTCGATACTAGTACGAGGCTCAGGGGAGATCGCTGTTTCAGGTCGTAGACCAGGCTAGATTTTAGATTATAGCATTAATTGCGTACGGCAGGTACGAAACGCCATACCCCTGATCCTCTCGAATTAGGCAGTTTTCCCCGCGCCTCTCTCTCCCTCGTGCAGATATCCCATCCCATCGTTTCCCAATTCCTCCAGGGTATCAAAGAATATATACCGTCAAGGCAAATTGTCTCATCGTTCTCTTTCACTATTCCTCCTTCGCTGCCCAGTGACAAAAAGGAAAAGATGGATGTAGAGTCGCAGACTCGTGGATGATGGTGGTGGTCCTGTTTGATGCCCGCCAGTATACCCAAGATGATTTTGATGAACCCCCTACCAGCCTGTTCGTAATCCCTTATGTACCGTATGCCATATCAGATAAAGGGCCTCCAACGCCTCGAAAAGATTGAAATCGAAAGAGTATGCGAAGAAGTGATTTATGCGCCCTCGAGAACAATGAATTCGCTCTTGCGGTGCTGCGCGAGCTGCGAGTCCAGGGTCGCAGACGGGTGGACGAGGATGGGCGTCAACGTCTTGGTCTCCGCCAGCCTCTCATTCTTGCCGATGGACAGCGCGACCGGGCTCGTGGCCGTGCTAGTCGACGTGGTGCTTCTGAATGGGCTAGGTCGCGCCTTTCCGGGCGCTGGGCATGCTGGGGACGCCGTCCGTAGCGGGCGCAGCATCTCGCGCTGCTGCTGGGAGATGGAGATCTGGCGCGCGATGGACATCTCGACTGCGGTCATCTTGGCCGTCTCGACGACGACGGCCGGATCGTCCAGGTCCGAGGACGACGTGACGTGCGTGTGCGCGGACGAGGCCAGCGAAGGGGAGCGCTTGCGGTCGCTCGTGGCGGACGACGCGGTCGAAAGAGTGAGTTGAGATGGGCTTATCTGCTGCCATCGCGGCTCTGCCTGCATGTGCTGGGCATTCGGCCGTAGCTGCTCCACTGTCACCACTTCGTACTCGGGCGAGTCCATGTCGGTTGGTGACTCGCGGAGCAGGCTTGACTGGCCGTTGCCGAGCTGAGACACCGGGGTAGTATTTTGCTCTCTTCCTTTGGCCAGAGTGGCAATGTTGAGCTTGCCCTTCTTCTGGTGATGAGCCGGAGGATGCTTCAAGCTGTTCAAGCCTGATCCTTCGTCGATAGACGGTCGTTGACCGTAAGCCGAACCTTCAAATGTGGCCCTTGAAGGAGACGGCAGAGTCGCGGGGGAAGTGTTCGACCTCGAGTGTTGAGATTGTCTCAGAGGATGCAACTGCTTTGGCCTACTTGAGGGCGTAGGTGGAAATAATGCGAATGCAGGTGATCTCGTCACGGGTTGAGGTGACGTTTCCCTACGAGGCTGGACGTGATATTTCTTTTCCTACTCGACAGGTCAGCGGTTGTACGTATGTATGAGCATGAAGTACCAACCTCTTCATGTTCTATGGTGTCCTTGATGCTCTTCAGCTTCTTCACAGTGGCTTGACGTCTTGCCAGGAGCGATTGCGATGGCGGCGGTTGTAGGACGCTGCCGAACATGACGCTATACCTTTCCATGGTGATATCAGGAATATCGACGGTCAAGAGTGGACCAGCCGAGACTGAGCTGGGGGCGGTATCGTCCAAAACTATGGGAATACTCCCAAAAGCCTCGTGGCCTTCCATGTATGGCATCGTCTGAGATCTGGTTGGCTTGTACCTTAAAGTCTTGCTATTTTCCATCGTATTACTCCTCTCTGGTGCCCATCTTCCCGGCGGCTGCTCCTGTCTGTGAAAGCCCTTCAACTCATTTGGCTCTGAGATGGAGACCGCCGAAGCCGATTGGTCTGAATGTTTCCTTCCGAACTTGCTGAACAATTTCCATTTGCTGTGCTGCTTCTTTTGTATAGGCATGCCGTAAGAGTCCGTACCGCCGACTCTAGATGCAGGCGAAGTCAGGACTGGCGTCGAAGCCTGCCTTGGCCGGAGCGAGCTCTGCGGGTTCCACGTGCCCCCGGTCCTGGGAGGGTGAGCAGGACTTCCAAGTGCCATTCCGATTCCCGCCGGTACGTTTTCGGTTGAAGACTCAGGCGTCGCCATCCTGATGATTGGAACAATGGCAGGCCGCGGTGCAGGGGATGATCGTGGGCTGGCGTCAGGAGTTGGCAGTTGCCCTGGAGTAGTCACATACGGCTTTGATCCGACCCCTCTCGTAGGTATCGAACTCGAAGCCAGGAAGAAATCATCTCTAGATACCCTTTTGTCGAAGTTGAAGCTGTTCTTGTCTGAGTTCTTCGAACTCGGGCCTCCGGACGTGCTCGGCCGGTCTGATGACATCTTGAGCGGGGTGGTTCTGGGTGAGGGCGTAGCAGGCAGAGGACGGTCGAGGTATGCCGGGCTTACACGCCTGGGAGAGGGCGTAGCATTGCCATTATTAAATGGTGACCGTGTGCGTAGGGCGGGATCTGATACATGACCCGGCCCACCACCAAGGGGGTGGGCTGGGATGTGCGTCACGAAGGCTTTCGGACCTGCATGACCACCACCCTCGGTGGTTGATCTGTGGTGTCTGCTGGTAACCGATTTGAACATTCTCCGTTGCAGCCCTGCAGCAGGGCCTGGCCGGGGTGCAGGTGATCCTTTGAGGGTTCAACGGGCGTCCCAAACTTGAAGCTTACTGTGATTGGGGAGCCGAGGCGTCAAATTGCAGGCGCTAGGCGGGTTTCTAAAAATGATACGAGCAGAAACTCCAATGAGTGTGTACGTTTCGATAGTGACGAAGAAGAGAGGGTTATAGAGTTCATCGAGTGACAGAGCAAATAAGATCGAGAGACGAAGATCGTAAAAAAGCTTTCCTACCTTCGCCATGACTCAGGAGCACCCAACCTTACATACTAGCCGTGATGCTCCTAGCGATGTCCGCATAGCTTCTCTCTACCACTTAGCCAGATCAGATGGCACACGCAATGGCGACGCTTCCGCGAGTGACGGTTTGAGATTGATGGGAGGATGGGCTCGTTATTTGCGCCAGGGTGATGGGCGACCAGGGTGCCGCACCAGACGTGTTGTGGAAACGGCCGGGGCTGTCCTTGGTGGCTTGTCAGGCCCGCTTGGCTGGGATGTTTTGGAGTGATGAAAGCGGATCGCAGAGTGATCATAGAGGAGTGAGTGACGTTGTGGCCACGGCCCACGGCGACTAGCCCGCCATCGCATGAAGATGAGAACCAGGGTCCAGAGTCCGTTTCTGATACCGAACAAGCTCAGCAGGAGCTGACAGACCTAGCTTTCTGGGCAGTGGCCAGCTGTTAGAGATGATAGCAGATGGAACGCAACATCGAAAAGGGAAAGAAAGCTTCGAGAAGGTCGCTACGCTTCAGATGGTTGCGTTGCAGCGTTACTGCCAAGACAGACGCTCTTTTGGACTGTTGAACATGAACCCTTATAACAAACACCCCTGTGCTTCTTGATTAGTGCCCGTCAGGTAGAACGGCAAACCCGAGTGAATCTCGGGGGGTGAGATAGCGTCAGCTTAGTGGTGACTGGTGAGATCAAGATCATAGTAGGTGGAGGGATGGGCGATGGATGCTCGCTCCTCTTCGCACATCCCCCAGCAACACCGGGTGTTCCTGACTTGCGCACTCCCTGATGCCATGGATGGCCTTGCCTGACCCTTCTAGAATTAATAAGCTTCCGGCGCCAGCATCTGAGAGACAGCGGCTTTTGCGGAAAGATCTGGACGATTTTAGGGGACCATTTAGCTCCTAGCTAAGGTATCCCATAGTATGGAATTTTGAAGTGGATGTCCGCATCTCGTACGGTAGTAGCATGTCGTATTACCATACACTAGAGTAGGTTTGTCGAGGGACGTGATGTGCTGTGCACAGTTTGGATATGAGAGGAAGCTCTTGTTGAAGCAGGACTCCAGCCAGCTTCTGCCGACAGAGGCAGTGTGTTTATTTTCCATAGGATGAGAGCGGTGCTCATCTGAGGTTCTCATCAAGATAATCCTCTGGGCATCCTTGGCTCCTGAGAAGCACACTCGTTGACAATGGCGATAGGTCGAGGGTCCAAGCCGCTGCAAGGAGGGACATCCAGTGTCGTCAATCTCCCAGGTCGAGTCGCATGCGAAGTCAGGAGCCGCCCTGCGTGTAGGCGGCGTTCACCCGATCAGGCGGCCCCAGACTTTAACGTCAAGCCACCGCCGTCAGCGCTAATCAGCTGGTGCAGCCCCTTGAATCTTGATGAACGATGCTTCAGAAGTTCCGAGGTGCGATGGTGGTGAAAGCAAAACCAACGAGTACGCGGGAACGTCGAGGGTTTCACCTTTCAAGGCCACCCAAGAGGCAAGGGCTCGGAATTGCCCGTTTCAGATTCGCAACTGCCAAAGTTGAAAGTGCCCCTGGAGTCGGGCCTGGACCTGCTCCGTGCACGACGGTCGACCACTGTAACCTTCCCCATCCTCGTCCTCGTCCCGACTCTGACCTAATCAGCTAATGCCGTCCGGTTTTATGTTATCACCATCATGTTCCCGACTTGAACCCCTATTGCCTTGGTCTACACTAGCAACGCCACGGGTCCAAAGTCCACGATACCGGGACGGCGGGACAGGTTAGCCGGAGATTTTGATGTTGCACTCGACGCGAGAACACGTCAAAAATGGTTTTCTAGCCTCCAAGCCTACATACCATCGTCCGGCTCCGGCCAACCTCCTTCGTTGCACTGATGCTTTCCTAGACGAGAACTTACTGCAACCATCTTCCAAGGTTGTCAGTGCGTCTGACCTGCGCAAGAACCGTCGGACGCCTCGTACGACATGATTTGGGGATTGCCCAACAGCCAGATTCGATGACTCGTCCCCGGCAGGATGGCATGTGACTGATCGCTCGATGTTGATATGGTTCGGATCACAGTCGATGCTGAAATGGGTCGGATCACCGTCGATGCCAACGGTTGAAATGATGGGAGTGATCGCTTACCTCCTATCGAACGAACCTTCCTAGGTACGAAGACAAGACAAGCGAAGGCACCGCCTTCCGGTGTATGGAACTTCACCAGCACTGCGGCACTCGACTGGCCTGCGATGAAGCGGCAACTTGTGAGTCTTGTTCCACGGGCTATCATTCAAAGGTCGATTCTTCACGCACTTGGGAGTTGAGCTGTCACATCCCAAGAGATGAGAAAACACGAAGACACGCTGGCACCGACACAATGTCATCGCTGGAGATCCCGCCTCAGGATTAGGTTCTATGAGAAGGTATCTAGGCATGCTCTTGAGGCCTTGCTTATTCATTGTATCAAAGTTCCACTCGAGTGGTAGTCGGCATGACGGTTACGTCTCATGCTACACTGAGTCGTTGCTTAGTCCCAGTCTTGCTAAAGGACTTCAGGAAGGACACCCAAAAAAATGGTGCCGTTTCGTTTAACTGAAAGAGGTGGCCGCAGGAGGTGATGAAGCTATTGGAACGTTATCCAGACATGTAAAAGACGTGACGTGTCGACTTTCCCTCCTACTACCAATATGCCAGTCGGGGCTATGAATATGCCTGAATAAGCACTAATGAGATGCTCATAAACCTTCAGGTTCTTGACCTCGCGGTACTACACAGACTTGTTTTTGCAATGCTGTGAGCGCTTGCTGACTTCCAAGTTGTTTCGTAATGATGTGAGTAATTCGACAAATTTATCTCGGCGTCATCCTGTTGTAAGACGTATATATGCAGGCCTCGTAACACTTTGCTGCTACAACAAGCACTTGAGTTCAGAAAGCTTCGGTCTAATCGTATGACGATAACCGATATATTGAAGCATTTTATAAACTCTGCCCTGCGAGACAAAATCAGTTACGAGTAAACATGTCTTTGTTCCCGGTGGCTTAAGAGCGTCCCTCGCATTGACCTGGATTGATGGGCACTTTACTTGAGTTGAAGACATGTCATATGTGAGGGCTGGTGTTCATACATTCTGGGGGAGGAGGCTTCGTTACTTCCTTACGTTTCTGATCGTAATCAAACTATCTTATGCCAGCCCAAGGTTAGAACTAACATGAAGCAACATAGACCAAGTAATATCGCGAGTTTCGTATCGGGCTTGCTTGATGTTTGAGGTCAAGACATTTTCATTTATGAGCCGCTTTCAAACAACTAAAGCTCCTTTGTCTATAATGACGACATAGCTAAGCGGAGCAGAGGACTCATGAATGGAAGGTTGAGATACATCGACCGGGCTAGGGTGGTCAAGATAATGAAGTGTGTACAGAACAGCTGTAAGTAAATATGAGAACTGAGGGACAGATACATACTCATGTTCAGATATGTAAATGTTGTCGCGGTTGTAGTTGTGGTTGATGAAGACGGACAGCCCACTTCCCGCTTTCGCTGCGGGGCAGAGGGCAACTGAGAAAATGTTAGAGCAATGCTTCAGGACCTTCAGACGCCGAAAGCAGCCCCTCATTTGGTTGTGACCCGCGCGCATTCCGAAATCAACAGCCAAACCGTTCATTGATCGGCAACGACTTTTTTCCCTTCGACAACCTGGGAGCTCTGCTACACCACACCACTTCACGCCGTCCCTAAGAACCTAAGAACCTCCGCCAACACTTCGTCGTCCCTCGTGTTGAGCACCACCAACAACCACAACACACACCCATCACACGCAAGACACAATGTCGTGGCAAGGTAAACCCCTCCCTGGAATCTGCAACCCCCACCTCCTGTCACGGGCTCCTGGCGGGGGCAAGATGTACTTTGGGATAAGGCTGACTTTTTGACCTCATTCTAGCTTACGTTGACACCAGGTACGGAGCCCCCGTCCCATCCCACGATCGTCCTCTACGGCAGCGAACACGACGAAGACAGATATGGAACAGGCAAGGAAAGAATGCTGACACAACTGCTCATACAACAGCCTGGTCGGCACCGGCCACTTGGACAAGGCCGCCATCATCAGCATCGCAGGTGACAGCGTCTGGGCCACCTCGAGCGGTTTCACTGTATGCACTCACTATCTCTCTACCGCCCCTTTTCCTGTCCAGGCCACGACCGCGAAACGAGTCCAATAAACTCCTATACGGGTTCCTACCATGCCCCTACAGCACAATGAAGCAGGAGACTGACGCACATGGTCCCACAGGTGAAGCCCGAGGAGATGACGAACATCGTCAAGATCCTGACCGCCGGCAGTGGCTACGACGAGGTCCGGGCGAACGGTGTGCACGTTGCAGGCGACCGCTTCGTCGTGACCCAGCTTCCCGACACGACTGAGCGAAGTATCTACGGCCGTTCGGTAGGTTAACCAACCTCGTAACCCTCAGGGGCAGTCAGCAGACTTCCCCATGTCCTTCCCAAACGACCTTCTTCGAGCTGGCGGGCGACCTCGGGTTTTTCTGGATATTGCTTGGATGCTGACCTGGTATCGCGAACCTTGTAGGGACGGACCGGTATCGTTGTCGCCAAGACGAAGCAGGCCATCATAGTCGCCCACTACGGGGAGAACCAGCAGGTTGGAAACGCGACACAGACCGTCGAGGCGTTGGCCGACTACCTCATCAAGGTCGGATACTAGATTGTTGGACTCAGTATACGTACGGCTCTCCTTGGAGAGAGACGAGCAGGGATCGACGGAACTGTGGATGGGCTGGCAACATGCCTGGACACCGGGTTATGGTGCACAAGAACAGATATGCTGCATTAGGAGCGTGCAAGACGGGCCAGGAGGGAGTTTTATAGAGGATTTCTGATGGATGGATGAACCACCTCGAGGTTGCTTCGGTTGCTCCCGAGACCAATACACCCGATCCTCTGGGATTCTGCATAGGCAAACGTACAAAACAGCAAGATGGCCTTTCCTACATGGACATGAACAGGACCACATATTACCTTAGTATCCATTTGTGCAGAAACTAGGTAAACTGGGTGGACAAAAGTCTCCGCCCGACCCACCACAATCTCCTTCAGATCAAAACAACGCGTCAATCACCCTTCGACTTCACCACTCTCTCAACACCGCAATTGATAATGGATTTACGATCTTTTGGGGACGAATTAAGCGGTAATCGCGTCGCTAACGGCGAATTCACTTCAGAAGCTCGCTCGGCAATCGTGGCGGCACGAATCGACAGCAGAACGCGTAGGGATGTTGCAACCGCGTTTAAAACGAAGCGCCTGAAAACCATCTCTGATATTATCACCAACTTTGAGGCCACTTCTACACCGAAATCTGCCCCAAGGAGCGGTCGCCCACCCGTTTTGAATACTCGCGAACGCGCTCATGTGATCGAAAAGGCGAGAGAGCTCCCCAGGGCGACGTGGCAGAAGATTCGAAACGAAGCCTGCGTTTCGTGCTCTCCCAAGACTATCAAGAGGATATGTCACGCATACGGCCTCCAGAAGTGGCGCGCAGCAAAGCGAATCAAGCTCACAGATGAGGACGCTCAGAAGAGGCTCGCTTTTGCCAATTATTATAGCACACCAGAGCACCTGGAGGAGTTGTTGCGAGCTATGTTCTCAGACGAATGTACGGTCCAAAACTCATCCGATAATCCAGGCGATTGGGCCATCCGATTCTCTTCACAGCGGTACCGTTATGATCTCGTGAACGAGACGGATCACGGCAAATCTCGTATTTCGATAATGGTGTGGTCTATGATCTGGCTACGCGGCGGAGAAGGAGGACTAGGCAAGTTGGTCTTCTGCCCACTCGATCCGGATGCTCCGCGCGGAGGAGTATCCGTAGAGTCATACAAATGGGTTCTTGAGGAAGGCCTGCTTCCGTTCTACGAGGCTGGAGATCCTTTTGTTCAAGATAACGCGAAAATTCACCTCACTGGCGGTGTTCCGGAGTGGATGGAGGAACACGGCATCCACTGTATCGACTGGCCTCCTCACAGCCCCGATATGAACCCAATCGAGCACGTTTGGCGACTTCTGAAGAAGAACATACGTGAAATCGAGCCTGAATTTTCTGAATTGAAGGATAATATCCCCCATTATCGCTACGCACACAAGTTAATTGAGCAGGCGTGGTCAGAGATCGATCCGGAGCAGGTTCGGGCCTTGATGGAGTCACTGGAGGACCGAATAGCTGCAGTGAGGCGCGCCGGTGGTTGGTATACACATTATTGACTTAGTTATTAAATACAATTTATTTGAGAATTCTATCACCAGAATTGGATGCGTTATGGTTCAATTGAGTTGGAGGGTATAGTAGATGGAAGGGGTAAAATTGGGGATCGGGCGGAGACTTTTGTCCACGCATTGTAGCCACCACGCCGTCCCGGAGCACTTTGTATGGCTTTCCAGGTACGGTTGCCCGTGCTCTATCTTGTCAAGGGGTATATCCGATCCTCCCAGCTTTTGACGCCCCAGTGCCTCCATACCCTCCTTCATGTACAGTGAGGCTATCATACAGGCCGTGCATGAGAAGTTCGTCCTAACGCCTTCTCCCGTTTTTGGGCGCCCCTTGAATGATCACAGCAGCGTAGTTTTCAACTAAAGCCCAAAGGCGAAGACGGAACCAAGCAATGGCACTCCAGTATATACGCCCCGTTTTTCGTATTAGTTGTATCCTCTGTTCCGAGCTGAGCCTTGTTCCGATATGATGTTGCCCGTGCAATCAATTCTTCAAACAGGCAGTTCAACGTTCCGCCTGCCCAGGCCAAGACGGTCGACCAGCAGACCGATATAGGGGCCGACGACGGGGACGTTGCGGGCGAAGCCGGCGATGGTGCCGAGGAAGTCGCCAAAGAGCACGACGATGCCGTACAGCTCAACACAAAAACCGATCAGCGGCCAGCGCAGCAGGATCAGCAGCAGGCCCGCGAAGAAGGCCGCCGTGCCCTTGGCCTTCTGCTTGCGCGCGAAGAAGAGGAGCGTCTTTTGCGGGCCGATGATTATCGTTAGGCCGATTAGGAAGAGGATCTGTTTGTTTGCGCCGCGGGATTAGTATTGGGGCGCGCTTTTGGGGTGTGGTGGCTCGTTCGGGAGAGGGTGGGAGGAGGTTCGTGGGATGGTAGGGGAGCGGAGCGGAGCGTACGTTGCCCATTGCCAGCCTGTGGGAAAGCGCCAGTCAGCATCGTCTTTGGATATAGTAGAGTCGCAAAGGGTTGGGATAGCCAGCCGTAAGGCAATGCACAGCAAGGGGGCGCGTGCAAACTCACATAGCCCGGTCAAAAAACAGCATCACACCACCGATGAGGAAGAAGCCTCCTGCGCAGCGAGCGCACCGGTCAGTTTTCCCGTCGTCGCGCCGTAACAGCTGGGGCCTAAGGCGCGTACCTACCGCCAGAGCAGAAAGCAACCCCGATCTCTGTAGCAACAGTCGTTTGTTAGCTCGGCGCATTTTGCGACGCGGAGGGGAGGGATGGTCTGAGGTACGCACTTTGGGAGTCTGATAACCACATGGTCGGCATGATGGGCTGCGGCGCGGTCCTGGTCCTGGTCCCCTTTTACTGCGATGGTGATGGGGAAAGTCGAGGAGGAAGCTTCGGCGGGGACTCGAGTTGTAGGTAGGTAGGTAGGTAGAGTCGAGTCGGGGTGCTAGCGGTTGATAGGGTTGTCGGACAACGGTGGAATGTGTCTTCGTTAAAAGTTAAAGGGCCAGCTGGGCGCAGAAGGAGGACACAGATCGCGGGACTAATAAGTTACAAGTACACACGTACCCCTGAGCTTGCAGGGCGGGCTGTCGCGTGCCCGTGCATTGCAGCTGGTCGACAGCCGCACCGGCTTTCGAATGAACTCCACCTTCTTTTGCATTGGACTATTTTTCTCATTCATTTTCTTCCACTCCCAGTTTTCAATGTTTGCAAAGACAACCAAACCAACTGGAAGATGGCACAGCAACAGATCGAATTCACTTGCGCCGGAAGCTTGTTCTGACAATGACTCTGGCGCTGGCCTCTGGGGCATTCATTCTGCCAAAGTGGTCGTCGAAGACTCGCCTTTCCGGGACACACTCCCATGCAAAGAGCTGGTGGTATATGGCCTTGATTCGTACTCTGCACACACAGTCGTGATCCTCAGTGTCGACACTCACGTTCACGTTGAACAAGGTAAGCGGCAACAAACACAGCTGTCGAGTCTTAAGTTATCATGGTATAAGTCTCTTGCGCTATGTACCAGACACCGCATACCGGTCAATGCCTTCCATACTCCATCATACTCCCAACATACACATACCGCCGCGGCGTCCATGGCTCTCGAAGCCATGGTCACTGAGAGTGACTCCTCCATTCATTCTCGGTACCCGTCAGTTACAGGCGGAGAACAAAGCACTCTGATCACGTTTAAGCCGGAGCGTATTTCCTGTCATCCGGTCGCTGAGAGGCGGCCGGTGCGTAGGATAGGCTTGACTTCTTTGGTCGAACATATCGCCTTAGCCCGTCCCTTTTCCTTCCTCCTTCCTCTCCAGATAGAAAGTCCTGGCTTTGCACTTGCTTTGCAATGTGTAAGGCCTTCGTAGCAATTTTACGCGATGCAGACTGTAGTAGACCGATGCTGAAGAAGTAATGCGTACTTTCCATGGTGTGTTCGTGCGCGTGTCTCTCGGATGGCCCATCTCAAATGGTGTATAGTATGTAGAAACCACCTCATTTCAAGACGGTGTGGGCGCCCCTCGCCTCCAAGTACTGCTCCGGTACGCCCTGGGGCAGCGTGCGAATGTAGCCGAACACCTCCTTGTCGTGATACCGCAGTCTGCTTTTTGGATCCAAGTAGGGCGCGGGCAGGCCCGTAACGTCGCAATACCGCCTCGTGTGCGCCAGCGACGGGGCCGACTCGACGTTGGTATAGGTAGCACTAGGCGCCGACACGGTCGCACCTCCTCCTCCTGCTCCTCCGCTGCCATTGGGGCGCAAGCTCTTCTCCAGCACCAGCTTCGACAGACTACGCGAGGCCTGGGCGAGGTTCGGCTGCAGGTTGTTGGAGGAGCCGCCTCCGCCGGCAGACTGGGCGGGCGTCGAGGAGCCGCTCGTCGAGAGCCCGTTCTCTGCGTCCCCTCCTCCTCCGACGGCGGGCGTCACGTCGCCGCTGTTGTTGTCCTGGGGCGTGGCGGCCATGGAGGCCTCCTTGCGCTGGGCGTCGCCGAGGATGGTCTTGATGTTCTTGTTGCGGCGCTGGTTCGGGCGCCAGTGCGGGTTGCGGAAGCTCTTGTGGATGGAGTGGATGTCGAGCTGGTCGATCAGCTCCTGGTGCGCTATCTGGGCTTCGGTCGGCAGTTTTTCGGCCATCGTGAATGCTCTCTTGTGTTGTGTAGATCGGGGTTGGGTAAATATGCTGACAGGCGACTGGCGGTCAAAATCGTGGATTGTTATCTGGAACTTTGGTCGATGATGGATGGGCTCTTTGCTGATTACTTGCTGGTATACCATAGTATCCTGGGACACCTACTAATTCTGCCCCACCTCACCGCACGAAGCTCGCAAGCTCCCCAGTTACATTGATCTTCGGGTCAGAGCTCTTGAGAGTGCAGCAAAACAAACCACATTCCAGAGACCAAAACAGAGGCAGCTCAGCTCAGGCAAGATGGTATTTACTCTACAGTCACAGGCAAGGCAGTGAGCTCAACTAACGCGGTTTGCAGGAGAGTCCTCACGAGCATCAGCAGAACCTCCTCCTGTCGCGTGTTATCACCAATGTTGTAAGCGGACCGCGTCTGCCCCGCGTTGGATACCCCTGATACCATAAGCGTGGGCGGCCGGCTTACAGTAAATCCAATGTAGGAGAAACTCAACGAGGCGATCATTGTCATGAACAAAAGCCTACAAGTATGTTTCATTCCTGCTAAGCCATTCCTACGCGAAGGCCCGCTTCTGACATGCTTGTTACAGGAGATCAACATTCAAAACATGAACATCGAGCTCGTTGCGCAAATGTTCAAGAACTACCAGTCCAACGTGCTCTTCCACTTAGAAGGTACATACCTCGACTCACCTACAAAGTGATCTCTGGACACTCTCACTAATCAATAATGTAGCTACGGACAACATGAAGGAACCGTCGTGAGCTGGTTCTGGGGTTTCGGTGTCTGGGGGTGCTGGGAGGGGAGTCTTGCTGAAATGAGCAATCTGCTATTCAGACTGTTGATACATAGATACATGATGAGCCCACATGTGTCTGTCTGTAAAGCCTACCTGCAGCCACTACAGCAAGCAATACATGCTCAATTACATCCCAACAATCATACCGCAAAGAGTTGGTCTAACCAGATCTTGGTGTTTTGGAAGGGACCCTGGGAGGGTCGATACGGACGCGCCGCATTGCCACCGCCACCACCCGAAACATCGTCCGGCTCCGGTAGGTCTGTCTGCGCAGCGGAACACCGTATGCTCGAGCGAAACGCACGCACTCGCGAAGCCAGCAGCGTAAAAGTGCCGTCATCCTCCTTCTCGAGAGCCTCCTCGGCAGTAAGCGTCAGCTTCCGGATGATGCGCTGAAGCAGGACGGGCAATTCGACAACGAGACGAGCGGGGGCAAGGTTCATGTTAATCCTGTCGTCTTGGACATGATCCAGGTTGCTCAGCACCACGAGACAGCTCGCGAGCTGCTCCCACTGCATGAAAGAGATGCCCCGGAAGCGGGAAGGGGGCAGCTCGAGCAGGCCTGTGGTGCAGGCCCCGAGCGCGAGGATGGACTGCCACATGTAATTCAGATCGCTGTAGCCGCCTGCCGGGGGATTCTGCGCTGGACCACCACCACCACTATTGCCGTCGGTAGGCCCTGACTCGACTGTGAAGACGGCTCCTTCCGATTGCGAAGAGATCGAGCTGGATAGGCGGATGGTCTCGAGGATCTGTATCTCCGCATAGGACAGGTGGACTAGAGACACTTCTACGGTTGTAAGTTAACCAATGATTCGTCAGCGGCTCTCGTCAAGTTCTCGCACGCCGTGACGCCTTGGTGTGCTTACCATGGCAGTGCGCGGAAGGAGTAGAATTGGATCTATCACGGAGTTCCTGCAGCTGTCCTAGGAGCGCCTCGGCACCCACTGTGACCGAATCCGCCACGGATTTCGGCGGCTGTGCCTGGGACGGCCGCGCTTGTAAGTCACGACGAAGCCTGACGGCTTCGAGGCAAAGCAACTGGAGACGGACCTGAAGAACCAGACATGCATCGCCCAAACATTCTTGTCCGGTGCTCATGGCACCAAGGACTTCCTCCAGCTGCGGCGTCCAGCTCATGGCGTCCATATCGGCAAAGAAACCCGAGACCACGGAGCTGAGTGCGAAGCAACCCAGCACGGCACGCCGGCGCTCCGGAGAAAGCTGGTTCTCCGCATCGTGCCCGTGCCGCCTCTCTATATGCCCGGGCAGCGCGAGCAGGCTGGACGTATGCAGGCCCCGGGGTGCCGGCCGGTCCAGGAACGACTCGCCGACCAGCGACATGCACGGCATCATCCGGTACGACAGGCTGCCGGAGCTGCTGTGCAGGTGGTCTCAGCCCCAGGCGACGTATGTCAGGAGGGCTAGGAGCATGTCGGTCGACTGATTGTCTCTGTACCCTGCCCGATCCTCTTGTTGCGGCTTTTGTCGCACGAGATACGCCTCGAGAAGACGGCGCTTCAGCTCGACGGCGCGCGCTCGCTTCTCTGGTGGGGACGGCCATGCCACGCAGGCGATGGCCTGGAGCAGGAGTGGCCGGTCGCAACGCAGTTGTTCGACAGTCAGGCCCGGGGCGAAGCGGACAATGGGGAAGTAAGGCAGCATACAAGACACAAAGGTGTCGAGGCATGTCCCAAGAAGCTGGTCGTCGTCGTTCCGGGGCTCCGAGTCAGCTGGAACGGGCGCGGTATCATTGGTGCTGGGACTGGCACGTTCAGTAAAGACATTGCTATTTCTCCCTGTGCTCGCACTGCCGCCTTCGCCGGGCAGCTGATGCGATTGCAGCTGCGAGACGAGTCCCTCCATCCTGCTGGCAAGCGACAGCAGTGCGACTCGCTCTTCCGGACATTGGTGGCTGTCGCCGGCAGTGTGCCGGCGCAGAGGCCCAGACTGCTGGCATGCTTTCTTCAGGCGGTGGCATCTATGTCGGACCTCGAACCCAGGGTTAGACAGACGCTCGACTACCTTACCTGATCATGCTTGCTTACCTACCTTTCACAGCCGCTTCTATCAGCTTGAGGAACACAGCGGCACTTGGCCTTGGCCCAGGAGCACCAGAGACGGAATCATGTTGGCCCGACCCTCCTTGCCTCCTACCTACACAAGTTCCGTCTCACCCCGTGATACTTACCACGCTATTTGGGTGTGTGCCGCAATGCCCCTGTAAGCGATCGCACCCATCGCTTCGGGTCGCGCTGCAGCTACGAAAGACGGGTATTACATACCGCTCATGCAGGAAGCAATAAGTACCAAGTAGACGATGAACGGAATTCATAGACCGTTCTGTATATACAACTAACTCGATATAAAATCGTTCGACCCAGGAGCCTGAAATCAAAATGCAAAGGGACATTCAAACCGCCTTTGTTCTCGCCCTCATCACGAGTTCCGTCTCTCCCCATTTTCTTCCACCGCCGCTAGCTACCCCGGCCAGAGATAGGCCGTACGAAGACGACACACATCAGCAGTGGAAAGAATGGCTCCCGCCATGAAATTCGTCCTCATAAACGGCTGCTCAGCCGGAGGCATCGGCGCCGGGCTAGCCGAAGCCTTTCACCAGGCGGGCTATCACGTCTTCCTGACTCTCCGGAACCTAGCCAAGACCCCAACCAATCTCGCCAACGCACAGAACGTCACAGTCTTGCAGCTCGACGTCCTATCCCCGGAGTCCATCGCCGCCGCAGTGGAAAGCGTCACGCAAAAAACCGGCGGTCGGCTCGATGTCCTGGTCAACAACAGCGGCCAGAACTTGATCATGCCGGCTTTAGATATGAATGTTGTCGACGGCCGCAGGCTGTTCGATGTTAATTTTTTTGCCCTCTGGCTGTCATGCAGGCCTTCGCTCCTCTTCTCATCGAAGCCCGTGGGTGCGTGGTCAATAACACGTCGGTCGCCGGATACATGTCTATGCCTTTCCTGAGTCAGTAAAATACTCCATGCCTCCCATCTCTTCCCGTGTTGTTTTCTCCCTCCAGTCTCGATCTAGTTCCAGTACCAGCGACTGATCCGAAGCCCCTTCGTTCACAACACAGGCATGTACAACAGCCAAAGCCGCCCTCACCATCGCAAGCTCCACCTGGCGCCGCGAGCTCGCGCCCCTAGGTGTCAGGACCATAGCCCTGATCACCACCAGCGTCAAGACCCCAGCCTTCGACAACGTCACCATGCCCGAGATCCCGGAGGGTTTCTACTACTACGTGATCCGCGAATACCTCTACCGCCTCGGGAGCGGCCAACCACTCCAGGATGGCGCGCCGGATCCGGTGGCTTATGGCCTCGGGGTGGTGGGGGCAATCGACGCTGGCAAGACTGGCGAGATCTGGGTGGGTAAGGACGCCGGCGTGAATTACTGGTCGTGGAAGCTGTTGGCGGAGTCGGTGTTTGTGAGTTTGATCATACGTCCCCCAGGCCGATGGCATGTGTCCTTGCTTCGACGTATTTGGCTAACGCACACGGAATGTAGGACTCCATGGTCGACGGAATTCTAAAGGCTCCCGGCGAGTTCGCTAAGGTGGCAGAAGCACTCAAGGGGAACAGATAATGTAAGGCTTCTTCTGTAGAGGCCAGAGCAACAAGTTCGTCCAGGGGCGGCGGACGCAGATAGTTCTTCTTTTGAAATATTATCAACTAAATATATCAGAATATATACCTAGGTACCCTACATATAGTACACCTTACATGTATTCAAGACGTGTAAAGGTGGGGTCCGCTCACCCTTTGAACCACAGCTAAACCAATAAAACAAGGGATGCTTACCCCCTTGCAGTTGAGCCGTATAAAGTGGACCTATATTATCTGGTTGTCGAAAAGGTGCTTGTGACAAGGGCAGTAGAGCTAGCACTGCTTGCTGAGCTTTCTCCAGAGCTGGACGTTGCGCTTGAGCCTATCGAAGACCCGGACGCAGTGTTTGTAACAGCCGACGAAGAGGTAGACGATGATTTACTGCTCGTGCTGGTTGCGGACGAAGTACTAGAAGAGACCTTTTGACGTCGTGTTACTAGAGCCACCGAATGAGCCAGGTGGAATGCTTGTCGGTGTGCTGCTGAAGTCGATGTCTTGTGGGCTGCCGAAATAGTTGAGCTCAAGTTGCTTCGTATTGATCTACTACAGGTCAGTGTGCGGTCACGAATGATGCCTTGTTGTAGACTTACGAAAGTCGTGTTTCCGCGGTACCCATCAACGTTACCCTCACCCAGCAAAGCCATCGTCGTCGTCAACTCAAGCGTAAGGATGTTAATGAGCTTCGTCACGCCAGCCTCACCATACACATTCGCAAACATCGGAGAGCGGCCAAGTCCAACAGCTCGTACGCCGAGCGCAAGCAGCGTCAAGATATGTGTCGCACGTCGTACACCACCATCAGCGTAGATCTCGATCTGATCGAAGACCTCTGGGTAAAGCTTGTGGACATCCAGCAAGATCTCGACCGCGGTAGGAGCCCCATCGACGACGCGTCCGCCGTGGTTGGAGATGTACACAGCCGGAAAGCCCAGCTCTGCGCACAGCTTTACGTCATGCGCGGTCTTGACACCTTTCGGTACGATCGGCAAGCTCGTCATGTTCCTCAACTGGTTGAGCGCATCGATGGTGAACGTAGCGCTGTGCCCAGTGTCGCCTCCAGAACTGAAGCGCAGCTGCCTGTCCCGGATGCCGTTCACGCCGGTGTTGTCGACGGTGAGAAAGATGGCTTTGAAGCCAGCAGCCTCCATCTGGTCCAGCTCCGATTGTAGACGAGTCGTGTTAGACCAGATGTACTCCTGGTGAAACATGACCTGCCCGCTCGAGGCTGCAGAACCGATGGTCTTGATCGATTGCGTGGACGAGATGGAAGGTACGTAGAGTATACCTGCGGCACCTGCAGCCTTCACGAGGTTGGACTCAGCGCCTGGGCTGGCACGTCCAGCTTGGGCGGCTGGTGCGATGAAGAATGGAGCATTGAATTGGTAGCCTAGAATCGATGTCTTGAGATTGCTGTCAGAGACGTCTGTGAAGCTAAAGCCGTTGATTCTAATCTTCTCCCAGATGAAGAGGTTGGCTTGGTAGGTTATTTCGTCGAGTGCGGCGGTCCGGTAGTACGCGTAGTCGGCAGGTGAGAGGGTGTTCCAGGCTGCTATCTGCATGTCGTTGGAATCCACGACGTCGGCGATTGGAGGGAGAGTGCCCTTGGTCCATGAGGATAGGTCGAGGCCGGTGTCCGGTAGGCCTTCGATGGTGTCGGCATATGTAGTATAGGCGAGCGCGAAGGCCAGCAAAGTGGTCGTAGAACGCATGTTGGACAGTGGAGAGCTCGAATGACCGGAACGTCTTGTAATGAAAAGACACAGAAACGAGTGTACGGCGCTCACAGAGGGCCAGGCGTGAGGTTAGTATAGGGCGGACGAAGGAAGCCTCTTACTCTAGACATATCGTCCGTCCGTTGAAGCTCCCATATTTAACGACCACCAGCATGCCCCCTTTCGAAGCAGCTCATCTGACTCCCAGAGGCCATTGCATGCACGAATACGAGACGTTAAGCCCATAAGCCCCCACGCCAAAGCACGTCCTATCGACTATCGATTTGGCTGCATTGGTTTTCGAAGAAGCTCGAAGATCTTGCAGTATATGGCAAGCCCCAAAGACTGGAATGTCGCAGGATTGGCCGAGAACAGTGGAGGGTTACAGTGAATTGTACTAAGGCTCCAGCTTGATGTCGAAAAGGGCAGCTGAAGGGTCGTGGTTCAAGACCGGTAGAGCGGCCCGGGGGATCCGATTGGTTGCCGGCAGAATACGGCAGTTGCCGATGCACGAGCTTCCGGGCAGCTGAGCATACTCAACCTGTCATCTCGGTGAGTATTGGCTGACGTGCAGACCACCTCGCCGCTGATTGGGACACACTCCGGGATGGTGGAGGGCTAGCCTCATGAGAGCAGTGGCTTCCTTCAATCCTGAACATACACCCAGTCAGAGTTGATGGCGCCAGCATACCGTGCAGACCGTGGACGAAAAAGGGCGCCTGAGCGCGTGTGGACATGCATCTGCTTGAAGGGCGGCTATCGGCATCTGGAGAATGGTGGAAAGAGCTGGAGGAGATGGACATCTCCATGAATAGTTGTTCGACGGGACATCAGAGTCATCCACGCGTCGCCGTGTCTCATCAAACGCGAGATGCACACGTGGGGTGAGAGAAAGGGGTAAGATCGTCGGACCCGTCCGGGGTAAGTATAGGTGTTACACATGAAGAGTAAGTCTAGTCGGCCACCCTACTTTTGCTAGAATGCCACCCGCTAAGCTCCATTCGGACAGCATCCCAGATTACAGCGCTCAACCCACTGTAGCCACAGCGCTTAGTCCACTGTAACACAACGCGCAGCTCAACACCACCACGCATCACCACTATCACTATTACCACTATCACCACCACCACCATTACCACCACCACGGCGCACACAAGGACACATTCACAGATAGGGGGCTCGCACCGCCCCCCAAAACCCCGGCTAACCCTAACCGCTAACCTTAAACACTAACTCTAACCATTAACCCTTAGTTGCGATGAAAGACCGCTGCGATATTCTATCTTGCAACGCGAAACCACGGGAGGTACTTCTAGTTGGGTGAGAAATGCATGCAAATAGATGTACTCACGATGCTGAGAGAGATGGTAGGGGAACGAGTGCGCGGCCAATTAGATATGGGATGCTATCCTAATGGGACTTAGCGGGTGGCATTCTAGCAAAAGTAGGGTGGCTAACTAGACTTACTCACACATGGACTAGCAAAGACGAGACGCCTCACGAATCTCCGAGCGTACCTTATCATTAGCGGACAGATTGCCCTTCTAAGAAGCTGTTCGATTGCATCAGGAAGCGGCTGATAGCAAGCACAGTCTTTGATCTTTCGTAAACGCCACCTGTGTATCATGCAAAGTGTATTCTCCCTCCATCAATCAAACCCAGCAGCGAGTCCGCAACGGAGACGACTCGCGTCATGTGATCCCAGCCTCCTCCCTCTTCCGTATGCTCCATGACATGCTTGACAATCCTGCCCTTCTTGTCAAACTCGAAAACGAAGATTTCGCAGAACTCTCGCTCTTGCTCTTTCTCCGTCTCTGCTCTCGTCTGGGCCTGCGCTGACTTTTCGTCTCTTGTACAGGCAATAAAGTCCTTGATTCTGTCCATCGGGTCTCGGCTATCCTTTCCAGCGCCACGATATACGCCGCCTGTAGGATCGCGGTGCTTTGTCTTTCCGCAAGTCTTCCACTTTACCATGAGCTTCTCACCTCTTCTCCCCAGCGGTACTGAGTTGCCGTCGTTCCGCTCCATGCGCTCAGAAAGGATGTAGAGCTCGACATTGCCGACAAGCGGTACCCTACCCCAAGCTACTGGCGCTGTTCATTGCGCGCCAAATGTATGCGTGGCGTCCGGAGACGGGGGGTAGATACGGGTGCCGGGACGGGAAGAGGTGCCGTCTTGCCTAGCTGCAGTGCTCGCTCATCTGGTGGCTTACGATCGGTCTGCTGTCCCGCCGGGCTGCAACGTGGGATGTTGCTCGTGGACCAGGCGTCGCGATTGATGCGATCGATGTCATTGACGTGTGCGAAGCATCTACAATGCCTCAGACAAACTCTTAGTTCGCGATGTTCCACCAGAGTCGCTATAGTACGGATGATCCTTATACCGCCTTTTCTAAGCGACTCCTCTACGGCGTGCTCCTACCACCTGATCGCCAAGCCAGACGTGTTGACGATAGATCTGCGTAATTGCAGGCTTCCCCGGATTCTGAAGCCAATGAGTATGGTAGAAGTCTGGCTTGGCGAACAGGTGGTAGGAGCACACCGTAGAGGCTGATAAGTTCCAGACAAGTGCACTGCCAGACGACCAAATTACTACGTAATAGCCGCCGCCCTCAATTGCGTGTAAGTGGCCGAACAAGACCTATATATATATATATATATGTTTTAAGACCGACTTCGTCATCATCCTTATCCCGATGCCGCTCTTGTTCAAAGTCCAAGTTCCGCTACGTCGCAAGGTCGTCATGGGCTTCTTCTTCTCCAGCGGAGCGTTCGTAATGATCGCCTTCACCCTCCGTGCGTATTACTCCCTCCACTCCCTGTCTTCCTTGCCCATCGCATTGGGCTGGACCGACTGTGAAGAATTCGTCGCTGCAATCACAGTCTCCTTGCCAGATATCAAGCCACTGTTTAACAAGACACTGTGGTTCGGAGGCACAGCGAAGAGTGATACGAAAGAACTAGGTTGGGTCTTCTGTTGAATACACGGATGTTGATTGATGGATGCTATTGATTGTTCTGCTCTGCGTGCAGAGATTGATCATCTGTCTTCTTGGTGGGTCAGATGCCTTGTGCGTCTCTGCCCCACTGGAGATCTTCCGGTGTCTATCTCCGGCTCCCATTCAACACACCCCCCAGCTGAAGAGCAAAAGACCTAGTACCCTTCAGGTACTCTAATAGGTGCTCTGCAGCAGCAGTATATAAATTGAATTGAATGCGTTGTAGTGAAGTTATTTCACATGCCAGTTAGAGTGTTCATGACAAGTGCCAACTCGCTTGTAATGCCAACTCGCTTGTCAGCTACATTATATTTATTATTATATTTAATAAGTATAACATAGATGACAAGCAAGCGGCAATTACAAGCAAACAGCAACCTTCTAATCAATATGACAAACAACTCGATCACAACGCATTTAATTCAATCTAATCAATCTGTAGGAACAGGCTTGAACAATCAATCATAATACTCGAGTATGGGGTCAAGGTCATGATGTTGCTGATGGTTGGATTGGGAGGTCTAGCTGGACTTGCAGGTCTGGCTAAGTGTCCTCACAATCCGGTATCTAATCTCTTATCTAATCATACATGTGGATCCGGTATGAATGGTTTGAAGGTTGGAATCGCATGGATCCAACACAATCGGATTTTTCTTCAGACTTTTCTATCTCTATTGTACAAGTTTGCGTATTATGACCAGTGTTGCCGCAAACGCCACAACATTGCTCACGTGCGGCCGCCCTCTTTGGATAATGATTACCTTCACTTATTTCCTGTCTTGCCAGCTCATAATCATATTTTGCAGCCTAAAGACCTATTATATCTATAATAGAAAGTATTCCTCCTTTTATTAGACGTTTGTTTTTTGTTTTTTTGGCGTTTATTTAATAAGTGATTGGCTTCATCTACCTCGCAGACCCAGGAATCAACCAAAGTGACCTTGTGCATAAGGATGTATATTGCCTTTGAAAACAAGCTTAATGCATCAACTATTGAAGTAGGTAAGCTTCTCTAGTGGTTTTTGACTCAATTCTAGGTATAAATCGATTGGTTTACCGCTTTATTAATGGTAATAGGCGTCTTTGAAGTCCAAGTAGTGGGTGGCAGATTGGGGTCTAGTGACGGTGTTCGTACGACAGTTACAGTATCCAGCTTCGAAATGACACTTTCTGGGTCAAAAAGGACAAGGCCAGTGGCACTGAAACCTGTTCAGATGTTTCCTGGTGTCATTGCAGCATTGTGTGCTTCACAAAACGCTGTGAGGAAGTTATTCTTTGAAACATGGGTTACATGACGCCGGATGAGATCCTCAATTAAGCGATCATAAGCTCGTTTAAGTGGGCTGAAATAACTAACATCTAAAGGCTGGAGCCTATGTGACAAATAGGTAGGCATACAAAGAGTAATGATGCCATTATTCTGGCAATAATTTTCAATGACCTGGAAATAATAGCTTTTGGGACTATCTAGGATGAGGAGGCATTTACTGGCGGCCATACGCGGTCTGGTATACTTATCAAAATGCTGAATCCATTTCAAACCAAGCTCATTTGTAGTCCACCCGTTGTCAGACACGGCCACCTCCTAATTGCATGGTAATGTTGTATCGCAATATTATAACGCGAGGTGGGTTTTGTCCTATAGAATGATGAACGGCGGGACCACCCAACCATCAGCATTGATAGCAGAGATTGTTGTAGACCATTCTCTATTAATGAGAATACCAAGACTAGAAAGGAACGGAAGAGTAAAGAGAGATAGGTACAGCGGGAGGTTGTCCCTTTAAGTGGATCCTCTGGTCAGATCCTTCCCTTATTGGGAAGTATCGGCTTGTCATGTGGGAAGGTCCGTGCAGACCGTCACGTTTAAGGCGTTTTGAAGTAAAAAATAAAGTAAAACTTTGTTTTTTTAAACTTAAAACTTATCTTTTAAAAACTTATTTATAGTATATTTTAATTGTTTAGTATTAATAAGTAAACGTATATTTTCTATTAAGTTGGTATAAAGCAAAAAACCGCGATTAAACATAAAAATTTATTAATAGTTAAAATATGATTAATATTTAATAGTAAAAAACGCATTGTTTTAAGTTATATACCTTTTTTTTACGATATTAAATATTTAGCGCTATTTTCCCCCCTTCAGTATAGTTTAATAGTTAAGTTGGGTTTTTTTTTTTAAACCGATATTTTTTAAAAGTATTTAACAGTTGATTATATATTTTTATTAATTGACGTAAAGCGAAGCTATTAATATAAAATAGTTTTACCAATATATTTATTAAGTTTTTAATATAACGAAAGGTCGATATTATATCGTATGTATTGTAACTTAAATTTTTTATATAAAAGTTTTTAACGTATAAGTGTACAATCATTAAGATTGTTATTAATTTTAAAATAAGTAGTAATCTTATGTTCTACTAACTATGTCGGTTTTTTAATACGATAGTGCTATTGAAGTTTATATACTTTTAAATACCGGAAATTATAACCGCTTTTTTAAATACAAAATATTAATTTGAGTATTTTATAAGATAGAAAAATGTAAAGGTTTTAAAACTCAAAGTGGTTTAAAGCAGTAATTTAAAATAAATCAATTAAATAAAGTTCGAATAAATATAAATAAACCTTAACGGTAATAATAAGTAATTATAGTAATAAAAGTAATAATAATTGAAGAAAACGGCTATTGATACTTATAAGTATTATATTAAAACTTAGTTTTATTATATAAGAAAAACAAGCTATTATACCGACTTTTAACTAGTAGCTATAATAAGTTAATTAGATTTTGGATCTACTGGTCCCGGTAAGTAAAATTATAAATATAACATTTAAGCTCTCGCTTTATATAAAATACTTTTTATACTGTGGATATATATAATAGGTACTTCGATGCTCGTCTCGCTTAAACCAATGATATCCATTGTAAAAGTGGTCCCAAAGGGACCCCATTTTCGATACTTTTCGGTGCATACACACGGGCCGCCTGGCAGTCTGGGCTTCACCGAGGCAAGCTGGGCAGCCCATGTGTCGGGTGGTACAGGGCCCCACTACTGGCTTGAGTGTATTCTACCACCAACAGACAGTCTAGAGGCCTTTCCCAGAATACAACAACGCTGTCACGTTCATACTGCACTCATCGATTCACAGATATTGCCCTCACAAACCAATGGAACAAGGGATGCTTACCCCCTTGCAGTTGAGCTGTATAAAAGTGGACCTAGGTTCGATTCCTATCAGCGCTACCATGCCGCACGGCTGGTGTTGGCTGCGTGGTTGCGAAGCCCCAGTCCCTTGCGCCAACGGCCCAACAGGTCATCATGTTTACCTTACGGTATTTGTCGTATATCGAGGGTCAGGAGGCATCGGGTCTGCTTCCATGTGCGCGCTGGGCTTTTTTCAAGTTTCGACCATCTCAGTTTCCTGCTGACTGGAGTCTGGCCTGCTTCGCGTGCACTTGTCTCAAACGATTGAACCGCCAACGAACATCTCGTCTTGTCAAGCACCATACCTCACTGACACTTTGACAGAGGTACCGAGTCAAATCAATCTCGTACCGCTCGCTTTCTGCACCATTTTGGATATGTCCATCCCCAACTTAGGCTCAACGAGGAGTCTCGTCTGGCTTTGTGTGGCTGTTCCTGTGTTGGTTCGTCTTCCTCGGTGTCTCAATCGGCCATTCCAGCAGCTTCGCAGCAGAAAAGCATGTGAAGCCAATGGAAGCTAACAACGCCCCCGTTTCTCGCCAAAGTCCTCTACAACGTGTACCTTCATCCTCTGCGACAAGTGCCAGGGCCGTTCTGGGCCAGAGCGAGCAGCATCCCGTCCTGGTATTACACGTCCACCGGCAAGCGCCATATCTGGCTGTGGCAGCTCTTCCAAATCTATGGCAAGAGGATCCGCGTGGCGCCCAACTTGGTTCTGTTCTGTGATCCAAATGCTTATGCGGACATCTACGGCATGAAGTCCAACGTTCGACGGAGTACCTTCTATGTGCGTTAAACAAGGACATTCGGGTGCAGAGCACTGTGAACACTATCGACCCCAGGGAACATGCCATAAGACGCAGGATGCTCAATACTGCTTTCACAGATGTTTCGGCTAATGCTGCCGCTGCTTTCATGAGTCAGCATATCGATCGGTGGCACCAGATCATGTTGGATGAGCATGACAGCACTACCGAGTGGTCTGCCTCTATCGATCTGAGCGGGAAGCTGGATCATATTGTGTTTGATATTATGGGTGATCTCAGCTTCGGCAGATCATTCAATACCAAAGAGCCTGGTGAAAACCCTCTAAAGGAGGTCCCGCATACCACAATACAGTATCTCAAGTTCATCTACCCGGTAAGCACCAGCCAGGCACTGGTTGACGGGGATTATTGCTGATGTTGAATCTAGGTGTGCCGCTCTCCTTTGCTAAGCTTGATCATCTGGCTCAAGCCCCGTGGTCTAGATCGGCTCGTGGAGCTTGTTACCCCACGACCTGTTCAACAATTTGACAAGTTTGTCATTGATAGCCTCGCCAAGCGACTTGAGCTATATGATAAGCAGAAGGACATACCTGAGCATGAGCGTCGCCAGGATCTGATGTATTTCCTGTGCCAAGCACAAGATACTCACACAGTCTATACCGAAGACGAGCTCCGTGCAGAGGCTCTTCTACTCATCATCGCTGGATCCGACACTACGACTGCCAGTCTATCTAGTATCTTCTGGTACCTCGTCAGAGCCCCGAGATGTTATCAGAAGCTCGTCGATGAGTTACAAAGGACGTTCAAGACAGCAGAAGATGCCGCTTACGGCCCGAAAATGATGGGCTGCATATATCTTCGGGCTTGTATCGACGAGGGTATGCGTCTTGTTACTCCCGGGCCCTGCGAACCCCCCCGAGAGGTCCTTGTTGGTGGCCTCAAAGTCATGGACGACCACTACCCCCAGGGGACCATAGTTGGTACCACTCCCTGGTGCGACTCGCGCAACGAGGAGGTCTATGGAGATCCAGGGGTCTTCCGACCCGAGCGATGGATCGTCGACGAGGCTGCGGGTGTGACCAATGAGATGGTAGCCGAGATACGCACTAACTTCCATCCTTTTCTGACTGGTCCTGGTAGCTGTGCTGGCAAAAACATAGCCATGGCGGAGATCATGCTGGTTGTCGCCAGGACCCTGCTTAGGTTCGATTTGAGGAAAGCACCTGGATCTACCTTGGGGGAAGGTAGCCCGGAACTGGGCTGGGGCCAGAGAGATGCAAAGCAGTTCCAGCTTGTAGATGCATACATCACGGTCAAGCAAGGGCCGGAAGTTCAGTTCAGGAAGAAGGTGTCTCCTGCAGTGGAATCGGGTTGACCCTGAGTTGAGGTAGAGAACTCAGATGACTACAGGTTCGGGGGTATGAGGAACAGCTTGCTTCGCTATGACGATAAAATCAGACGATGAAATAATAAGCCTACTATTCTTCTAATTCTGGTTTTTTTTTCTCTCCTTCTCTTCCCGTCCTGTATGATTCTCTAATCCAAGTACCTGTCAACACGGCCCCCACCAGCCACATGATGCAGACCACCTACCTACCTTACTTTCAGCTTGAGTCCTACATCTTTCAGCTTGAGTCCTAGATTACTTTCAGCTTGAGTACGTCACTACATCAATGCCTGGTCAATCACGGTTAATCATGTATTTCAAACCCAAGACTCAAGTTCCCAACCCTCCGCGCCCATGATTAGGTTCTGATAAGCTGAAGTAAAGCATTCGGCCATTCCAGCGCTCGCGTGTACGCAAAACTACCATCTATCTAAGCTCCCATAGCAGCTCGAGATGCGGGATCCCTTATTTTCCTACAACCTCAGCAGGGCCTACCCTGTGCGGTGGTTCACTCCGGTGGTTCTTGTTGGTGGCATCATAGCCACGGTCCTCGTTTCTGTCCTCAGCGTAGCTACATCAGGCTACCAGCTGAACTCTGTTCCTTCTTCGAATCCAAACAACACAGAGTCTGGGCGCGCATGGTTTGGCAGCAGCCTTAATTCCATCACCGGCGGCATGCAGCCTGCCTGCGCTTCGACCACGATACCGCTTAACACGGTCCTCTACACCAACAACACGGGATTGGCTTACACCCTCCAAGGCATCACGCTCAGGCAACAGGACGGTACAACAGCGTCGCAGGGCTCGCTTCTGTACCATAACAACATGCTGCAGAACTGCACAATCTCCAGTATTGTGATCGACTTCGAGAGCCTACAGCGGTCCGCACTCGCTCTTGCCATACAGCAGCAGGGTGCGGACTTGACAGCCTACATACAGTGTCTGGTGGAGACACCGCAGGGCATAATTACAGTTGATCTCACCACAACTTGGGCAGACATCAATTCTGGCCCTGGCCCTTCCGAAGCAACATTCGTGAACCGAGATCCAAAGATGCAGGCCAGCCTCTACTGGGCGTACTCTTTATTAAAGATGTACTGGATACAGCTGACCAACAACATGTTCGAGAACAACAACGAAGCGTATGGCTTCTACAAAGGCTACGTGAAACTGACACATAGCACTCGGCCCGCGTCTACGGCCGCGGACGTTGAGTCCCTCGACTTCTTTGACGCAGAATGCTGGTTCATGCCTTTCAACGGCACCGGAATGGTGACAGATATCGCATTCTGTGAAAATGCGCCCCGGGCTATATCCACATTAGCTAATGGGACCGTCAGCGACTACAGTAAAACCTCACCTATGCCAATGATTTGGATCCCCGCCGACAGTCTGGCGAAGTCGTTCTACTACGCTATCTTGTCCGACCTCGGGCAAACCGTGTCTCCCAACTTGCTTACGGATACGGGGCTACTAAAGTACTTCACCAACAATTTCACGGGGATCAGCGCCACCTTCGGCACGATCTCGTGGGAGAACGCAGTTATCGGCGCGCAGGACGGCGTTGCGACCAGTCCGTACTCTGATGACAGTGCCGGCGCTCTTCGCGTGGGGAACTCAACTCTAGCGACAAACTACATCTGTCAAGTACCACAACTCAAGCCGACCGGCTCTCTCATTGTGGCAGTGCTCGTCGCCGACTTGGTACTGCTGCAAGCCATCTGGAAGATCTTCAAACTTATCGTGGATCCGGTCTTGCTTAAACGTAACCCCGAAATGAGGTACTGCGAAGGCTGCCTTGAGAGTATACACTCGAACGAGAAGAGGGAATTGGCCGACGATGAAGGACTGCCAGCTACGGAGGCGATTCCAGCGACCAGGCCGGCAAGGCCTTATGCTGCAGTGGATCAGGATAGCATTGAGATGGAGAACCTGTTGGACGGTGGTTCGTCTCCTGCTCCCAAGGCAACAGCCGCGAGCAGGCTTTGATAGACACCGTGCAATGGATGGGCGAGACAGACAGTCTACCCCACCGCTTTCGAGTTGATAACGAGTGCCACATGTGTGTAGGCGGAGTGCCAGGACTGTATTGCACGAATGGCGACATCGAGTTTTGCACGGACGTAGCTTACAGCCCGGATCCGCGTAGCTTCAAGCACTTTCCATCACTACCGCAAATGCGAGGTCGCAATGTAGCCAAGACAGCCAGTGACTGTTTCTCCTCGATCGCACGCTTGGCCTGCAAAAAGAATTAGGGGGATATGTTGATACCTGGGAGAGCGTGTCGTTCCGCCCTCCGCCATGGCGGTAAGGGGTATGCAGTTGGCTGATGCAGTTGAGAGGCGTTGAATCACGGTTCCTCTCCCGCGCTAATCAACCAACATTCGGAGGTTAATAAGTAGTACTCATTGGTCCGTGTGCGGTGCCCTTCTAAGGACCAACGGGTATGGGATGCCAGGGGTCGTTGGTGTTGGTCCTTCGGGACATATCTGGTACAGGTGGCAAGGATGGTAATGGTTAGCGGTTCCAGGGTACGGGCCTGAATCCAATATGATGCCCGTAATTCCCATGCTCATACATACCCGTTCTTGTTATGAGAATTGTGAGAATTATGAGAAAGTTCCTATCGCGAAAAGTTCTACCTACCGGTATCACCATTGCAGATACACGTGGAACCGCTAGCCATTACCATCCTGGCGGCTGGACACCTGGGGGAAGGACAAATAAAAAACTACATGCTTCCTCTGGCTTCACCAACCCTCCCCTCCGGTCTGCACAAGCGGCCAAGTTCCTATCAAGATATCTGCCTATCCCGACAAAGCACCATGTCATCCGTCGCTGCAGCACCAGCCAAGGCTCTCCCCTCCATGGAGAAGCTTGACCCGCTCGTCTCGTTCTACAGGCCGCCCGAGACTTCCGGCTCGAGCTCCAGCGCCGCCGAAGACCACCAACCGCTGTTGATCATCATCGCCGGCTGGACCGGCGCCCGAGATGCCCACGTCGCCAAATACGTGGTCAGGTACCAGGCACTGTATCCTGCGGCCCAGATCCTGCTTCTCAGGAGCACCATGAAGCAAATCGCCCGCCCGGCGCTGATCGCCCCCGCCATGAAGCACGCGGCCGCCGTGGTCCACGCCGCCTTCCCACCAGTGTCATCGTCCTCGTCTGCTTCCTCTTCTTCTTCGCCATGCCTTCTTGTTCACATGTTCTCCAACGGCGGATCTTCCAACATCGCGAACCTGTACGAGCAATACGCCGCCACGGCCGGCCCCGGCGACGACAAGCGCCTTCCCCCCCCCACGTCACCATCCTCGACTCGTGCCCGGGCGTCTACAGCATCTCCCACGCCGTGGCCGTCGTCAGCGTCGGCCTCCCGTCGCTCCAGCGCTTGATCATAACACCAGTCCTCTACGCCCTGGCCACTCTGTGGTCTGTCGGCATTGCCCTGGGTCTCCTGCCCGACTCGCTAAGCGACTGGGGAAGGGCGCACAATCATGACGCGGGCAACACGACCGAGGTGCGCCGGGTGTATATCTACAGCCCCTCGGATGACATGATCGACTACAGAGTCGTCGAGGCGCATGCCGCCGAGGCCAGGGCTAGAGGGTTCTCTGTGGAGCTGGAGAGGTATGAGGGCTCGGCGCATGTGGCACATCTGCGGAAGGATGAGAGTCGCTACTGGCAAATTGTCAGGCGGATTGTAGAAGGTTCCGGGACTTCGGCGTAGAATAGTGGTATATAGACAGCGGGTTTCTATACTTGGTGACCGTATATTTTTAAGCTTGATTTAACTATGGTAATGTTTCAAGTATAATAAAGCAATAAAGCCTCGTAAAGGCCCTCGACTTAACTAGATACTAAGCCCCTTATGAAGACAATTTACTGAGCGAAATAAAGGTTTGTTCCTTTTGGAGGGAGGGTGTCCCCTTGAGCGCTTGTCAGCACCAGCTCAGCAAAAATGAGGTGCAGTACTTAGAGGAACACCTGAGATGGCATTAGATGCCCTATAGCCACTTCTTTGATGTGCAATAAGAGGCCTTGCATTTCTGGCCTGAACAAATGTATCTATACTCTGAACACGACGATTGGCCTGTTACAGTAGGTAGGGTTTATTTGGTGACGCGAAGGGTGATGGTGCTATCGAACACATAGGGGGACAGTGGGGATAGCTAGAGGTGGATAGCCTCGCATTAGCCACACCTATAAATAATGAATTTAGCGGCAGGGGACTGCCAATGGGCGTCGATGCCGAGTTACCTCCCATCATTCCTAATTCCAGTGGAACCGTTGGCCGTGCGGGTGCTTCTTGCTTGTCATTGTCAGCCTCGCATCACCAGAGGCACAGGTTGATGAGGCAGTGAGCGCAGAACCGTGTGAAAGCTTCGACCAGTCGCGTCCTAGCAGAAACAGCCCCTCTAACGGGACAATCTCTTATCATTTAGGCGGCAACCGAGGATTCTACGAGACGCGGTAGATCAACCGACCATTTCTGCGCCATGCACCACCGCAGTCATTCCGCTCATTCCTAACCATCGCGACTACCAGCATCTACACCCTACACCACACCATGGCGCCCATGGCCATCGACACCCTGATGCCTCCCTTGCCGGTGCGCGAGCAGAGATCGTACCCGCCAGCAAAGATATTCAACGTGAAGGAGACCAGATTCGAGAAGCACGTTGCGCCCCAGCCAGATGGCCGAGCGAAGGCTTTGGCGCGACCCGATGGCGACGCTGCGATTGTCATTGACAATGGTCTGTTCGACTGGTTTCTTTGTGTATAGTCCGAGTGAAGGAGCTGACGTCGCCTGTTCCTATAGGCTCCTCCGCTGTCAGAGCAGGATGGTCACTCGAGTCGAAACCGCGAGTCAGCCTGCCTCCGATCATGGCGAAATACCGGGATAGGAAACTGGGAAAGACATACTCCTTCGCTGGGGCGGATTGTTACGCCGACACGACCGCCCGTGGTCATATCAGGAACGCCTTCGAAGCCGGCACCGGTATTGTCAGCAACTGGGATGTAGAGGAACATGTGCTGGACTGGACTTTCCTCAAGCTCGGCATGAATAACGCTGAAGGATCTATCGACATGCCCATCGTCATGACCGAAGCTGTAGCAAATCTGCCATACTCGCGGAAGTGTACGTGCTGTGGCTGTTATTGTTGGCTTTGCCCAGACCAATACTGACCTTGTGTGTTGCAGCTATGAACGAGATCATCTTCGAATGCTACGGAGCACCCTCCCTCGCCATCGGCATCGACTCTCTATTCTCGTATCGATACAACAAGGGGCAGACTGGTCTGGTCGTATCATCTTCGTACAGTTCCACGCATGTGATACCCGTCTTGAACTCGAAACCCATGCTGGCTCAGGCCATCCGACTGAACTGGGGCGGGTGGCATGCTGCAGAATATCTCCTGAAGCTGATTCGGCTCAAATATCCATCATTCTCAGGCAAGCTGAACGCGTCCCAGACCGAGAACATGCTGCGGGACCACTGCTATATCTCAAAAGCCTACGACGATGAACTACGGTCATACCTAGACTGGACAGGCTTGGAGGAACGCGACATCGTAATCCAGTACCCATTCACAGAAGAAGTCATAATACAAAAGACCGAGGAAGAACTGGCGCGCGTCATGGAGCGCAAGAAGGAGAGCGGTCGACGGTTACAAGAGCAGGCAGCCAAGATGCGACTGGAGAAGTTGATGCGGAAAGAAGAGGAGCTTGAGTACTACAGAAAACTCCAAGAGAAGATCGCCGACGCGAACAAGAAGGACACCAAACGCCTTCTTGATGGAGACGACCTAAAGGACGAGGCTCAACTCGAACGCCGGATTAAGGAACTCGATAAATCCATCAAGAAGGCTCGCACTAAAGATGTGGGAGGTGATCCCGAAGAAGCACAGGAGCTTCCCGACTTTAGCCTGCTTGAGGTACCTGACGACCAGCTGGATGAGGCAGGTCTGAAGCAGAAAAGACAACAGCGGTTGATGAAATCAAACCACGACGCCCGAGCACGCGCAAAAGCCGAGAAGGAGGCGGAGAAGGCTCGGGCCGCAGAGGAAGAGCGCCTAGACAGGGAGAGACGCGACAATGACCTGGAGGGCTGGTTAGAAGAGAAGCGCATAGCACGCGAGAATACCCTGCAGAGGATGAAGGAGCGCGATCGTCTTAAGGCGGACCTTGGCAACCGGAAGTCTCTGGCGTCTCAAATGCGCATGAAGTCGATCGCGAACCTGGCGTCAGACAACCCGAGAGGCAAACGCCGGCGCGGAGGTGATGGCGACGATAACTTCGGCGCCAACGACGATGACTGGGGCGTGTACCGACAGATAGCCGTTGGTGAAGGCGGCAGCGACGACGAAGACGCCGAAGAGGACCTGGAAGGCAACCTCAAGGCGCTTGAAGAAGATCTGCTTCGCTATGACGCGAGCTTCACGCACGAGCATACGTGGGAGGCGCAGAACGACTGGGACAAGAGTCTCCTGCACGCCTTCATGCGAGGACCCCGGCCCTTCGACGCGGGCTCACAGGCGGAGACCCACCAGATACACCTCAACGTCGAGCGGATACGCGTGCCCGAGGTCGTGTTCCAGCCCTCCATCGCAGGTATCGACCAGGCGGGCCTCATCGAGATAGCCGGCGACATACTCACGCAGCGACTGGTTGGTCTTCCCGGCATAAATCACGACGACTTCCTGCGCGACATCTTCCTGACTGGTGGGAACACCCTGTTCGACGGCTTCGACGACCGTCTCCGGCAAGGTCTGACACCGTTGTTACCGGCCGGCGCACCTCTGAATCTTCGGAAGGCCGGCGATGCCCTGCTCGACCCGTGGCGGGGCGCCGCGCAATGGGTCGGATCATCCGGTTGGAAGGCAGCTACCGTCACCAAGGCCGAGTGGCAGGAGAAAGGCCAGGATTATCTCAAGGTACGTTCTTCATCGTGTTGTCCCAGTTTTTGACACGGGGTTCTACGACGTTCTTTCTGTCGCATCGCGTGCCTCCTTACCCAGGTCTGCATTGCGATCCTGGCCCAGCTGCACTGCAGAAGCTTGCGAGTTTCTTCGATGAGCGATAGAAGGCTAAACCCATCATATCCTTCCTTTCCTATCACCTGCATGCGGCTCTGCTCCATGTCTCTCGTGAGACACGTGCAGTGGTCAGCCAAACCTAATCATATTCCCACCGAGCCAATCGTTTTTCCATCTGTTTTGAGCTGTACGCACAACACACTATTAGGCTGACATGGCTGACCTAATACTCTAGGAGCATGACCTGGGGAATTCGTATTCCTGACGAACGAAAATCAGAGCTCGTAGTCACTACTGATGGTACTTTTGTATACCAGGCAGACCACATCGACTATCGGCTGAAAAGCCAATAGTCTAGAATTGCTCACGCCACGGATTTTCTTCAGGGGTTTGGGGTGGGTGGATATGGATAGGGGGGAAAGCCTTTGCTGTCCGCTAAGCTCTCACCGGTGTCAATCACAGACCGTGGTGTCTGCCCTTGTATACTACGAGGATTTGGCGTATCGCGCACAGTCTGGTCGGCGACGAAACAGCTCTGTGCTCACAGATAAACCTCAGAATTGTAGCAGTAGCTAATGTAGTGAACAGCCTATCGAGCCAAACTGATACCTTTCACTATGAAGACTGTCAGTTGGGCGATGCCGACTTCACAAGCACGCGCACGAGTATGTGGTGAAGGTATATCCGGTGCTGCCACGTGCATCGCGCAAAGCATCGTGTTCAAGTCTAAATCATGCTAGCATGCTAGAGGAATCTGAACCCGTCCAGGAAGTCCCTCTGGTTCGAAATTCGTTTTATGCAGCATACATAGTAGGGCAACTCTCCAGATGTCGAGGTCATATGCATTGCCACCGAGCAACATGGCGACGCGGTTATAAGCATAGGATATGATGTCCGAACGCCTCCCTAGACGATGGTCATGTTTGTCGAGTCCGTAACGCCGCCGTAAACGTTCTCCCCCTGCCCGTCTTCTGGCTTAGCAGGTAGGCATTGGCCATTCGGTACTCACCTACCTTTGCCACGGTCATCTCAGAGCCTCGAGTTCAAGTCCAGTAGGTGAATCCCGTAAGTAATCAGAAGAGGTTTCTGATGACTTTGGTCCAGCTCCGGTCTCTCCATTCCTTCCCTATCCTCTATCCCATTGAGGCCCCAAATGATTCGATCGTCCTTCTTCGCTGACATCTCCCTAAGCACGCAACGAAGAAGGCGGCGGCAGTCCGTCCTGTGGTGGTATTTGCCTACGAATGTCGACCGTGGTATGCGACTCCTCGGGGTTTCCTGGCTTGTAGGCCGGTTTCGCGTAGTTTGAATCAGACGGTTGCTCTCTAGCTCTCAAATCAGCAACAGCTGCTGCCACATCTGCCAGAGTGCCTGCGGAGCTGCTGCTTGGGCCAGCTTCCGCTGGTGCATTGGCATGTGTATGCCGGGGAGCACTAGAGGCCACTGGGGGCGTGATGTTGAGGTTTGGCGGAGGTTGCGGTACCTCGACCTGTAAATCCAACAGACGCGATTGCAATTGTATGACGTAATCGCGAAGTGCGTAGTTGTCGGCTTGGAGAGCCTTCGCATTCTGTTCCATGTCTGTATATTCACGTACTTGCTGTTCAAGCTTCTTGATGTAATGTTCTTTTCTTTGTCGAAAGGCACGCTGTGAAAATGGGTCAGTTTACGTAATTGCAAGAAGGCGAATGTGTCAGCATTGAGTCAGTCTAGCGGCATACTTTCAGTGAGCCCTTTTGCCGACACCAGGAAGCTAACTGTGCCCGTTTCGTCGTCCATAGCAAGTCGGAGGGCAGTGATTGCTCGCAGTGAGTAGGTAATGCTTCCACCATGTTGACTCAATGCTTGGAATTCGTGATGAATGCATAGGCATCAACCACGACAATGACGAACGAAAACTTCTGGACTAACCTGGGCAGCCCTATTCTGGGCAGCTCGCTTTGATTGCGACAATTCTCGCTTGGCCTTGCGACCATCGGCGAAAGAATCATCGGGGTCGTGTTCCAACAGACCATGAGCCGCCAGACCGGCGGTAGGAGAGCCAGAGTTTGGACCAGTCTCGTCGGACGGTGGTGAAGAACCGCTCTGCATCATATCCGATCCCAGTACAGAATTGGAAGTCGCTCTTAGGTTAGGATGAATATGCGACTGGGTGTCTATACCGGGATTGCCGTAGCCATGCGTCCGTGAGGGGCGCTGTATAGGCTTTAAAGTAGGATGAAGTGCAGTGTTGGTGACTGCTGAAGACGTAGCCGGTGTAGATGCTGTTTGATCTAAGGGCGTTCCCTGGGCGCTTTTTGCGCGGAAGTCTGATGAGTCTTCTAGGGGATGGTAGTCATGTCAGTCATGAATCAGAAGGATTCATCAATCAGACCTCGGATCTGGAGAAGAGAAGAAAAATATACATCAACGGGCTGCCGGGAGGATGACGGAGTGGTCGATAGGCCGCAGCCGGCAATATGTAGGTAGAAGAGGTAAAGCTAAACTGGAGCTCGACCGCCCACGCCGTCAAAGCCACAGCAGCAAGCTTCTGGCACGAGATGGGGAGTACGGTACGTATGATTACATATGCTACCTTGGCCAGGTCGTATGGGAAGGAAAGGGTATTGGCATGGCTGGGGGAGGGGGCCTCTATGGTGCTACGATGAATGGCGTGCGGAACGACGGCGCATTGGAGGGAGGGGGCGGCCATAGGAGCACAGGAAGGGTTAATGATGGGATGGGGACGTGCTTCCAAGGCAGGCTAAAAGAAAGGGACGGCTACTCACCACCGAAGCTAGCATGGTGATTGTGCTGCATCTTGACAATTTCTGGGTCAGCAGCGAATCTCGCCGATGATACTTTTGACGATGAGTGATGCGTGGGAGTGACTACTGATTACTCCGTACCGCGAACCGCTGTTATACGGCGGTCGGTACGGTGCCAGTCCGTCAGAAACGCGTGTACGACAGGGGCACCTCGCACTGGCTGGCTCCTGTGCTCCGCTCAGAACAGGAGGAGGATGACAAACGCCGCAGGGGAGCTGGGAGCTGTACGTGACAGATCAGACCCACAAGAAGGGCTATCGGGCATGTACCGTGTACATGTGCGGCGAATACACCCACGAAAAGATGTGGCTGGCGATGGGCGAGTTCCGAGGTTGGCAGCGGCAATGTTTCTCCTCGGGCACAACTCTAGCGGACAAGTGTATGGTAGCGTGACTGCGTGATTACTTGTATGTACTGAGAACCTGCACGTGACTCTGTTCGGGAGTCTTGGAGTCTTGGAGTCTGAGTGTCTGACGTAAGGTATTGTCGAAGTGCTGACGGCAGCGGACCCGTCGATACGTGATGCCCCACGTGATCCTCGATTGACTGAAGTCTGAGACGGAGCCGACAGCTCTGGAAGATCTGGTCAGCGCTCAATCATTAGGAAGGATTGTGGTATCAAGAAGAACGACCGTATTGCTTCGGGTCCGGTGGCTTGTGAGAACCTTACGTGTAGGAACTGAATGCAGTCGCGGAGACTTGAACAGATGGAGCGACGGGCGTTGGTGAGACTGATTTCAAGGGTGGTTTGTCAGCAGAATTTATCATTTTAGTAGAGCACGAAAAGTGGGGGAAAATTAAAGTGGGTTCGGCAGCTGCACCGGGAGACTGGCTCGAGAGTTGACGTGTTGGCTGTGGGAAAGCACTGCCCGCCGTACAGATACCGAAGCAGCTGCGATGTGCATACCTCATACCGTCAGTCACTGAACATGGAACAAGGTAGAGCCATCGGATTGTAACGGTTCTGACTGTTGGTCGGTAGGTATCTGTCTTCGCCGCAGCCTTGCAAGAGTGGCAGCAGTTGACCTGCACACCGGCCGATAGGTACATGTATATTAGGTAAACCGAAAACCTCTCCAACATAAAGCACCTGCATGCAGGAGCAGTTCAGGGTACAAGGGGGCGGTTTTCATCACTCTGCTGTACCTCAGCTAACATCATCACCGGTTCACTGCTTCACCACCTCACTGCTATCCTCTCAACTTGGTGGCCTGAAATGCTAGTCACACTTGGAGATGAGGTGACAGCAATAAGGATTCGACCTACTGGCCCTGCTTTGCCAGGTATAGATACCGTAGATAATAGTCCTAGAGTAACCATGGACGAGATATACATAAGGCATCAGAGACAAGTTCCCTGCAGGCTACGGCCGACCTGCCTTATCCCAGACTTATTACCTAATCTACTATACTACACCCTGTGCCGTATGCAGATATCGGCAAAGGGGCGAACAGTCGGCTTTGGAGTTTGCGGCTAGGTGCCGAAGTCGTGATGCAATGCAACTCAGTGCCGGCCAAACACTCTTGGCTATTCGGTGCTTGTCCGGACTGGCTTTACCGGCAAGGTCAATACCCTATGTCCAGCTTGAAGAAGCATATCCATAGACCATGTCTACGTAGGTCTGTTAGAGACAAGAGGCGAAATCAGCCGCCTTACTGAAACATCCTCGGCAGATGCACTTGCAAAGATAAAACGATATGGAAGAAGAAAACGACAAGGGATATGGGACCGAAAGCGACGAACCGATTCGCATAGGACAGGGTCTTTTGGCCCTGCAAGCCCACGAGACGAAAAAGAAGGAAATCATGATATGAAATTCCGTGACCCCAAGCTCTTCGGTGACTTGGCTCTGATTACGGAAATTGGATGTCAGCACTCAGCAGCACGGGCGGATCTGGTGCTAATGCGAAAGTGGTAGGTCCGAAGATGATCTTTCCCGAGTCATTTTCTAGAAACTCGTATAGAACGATTGGGCGGTATTGGGTAAACAGTAAACGGTCAGCGTGAGCACGTACAATACGGTGCGAGCGGTCACGTGTTGCTTTTAAAATCACGTCTGCCACGCCTGTCCCTTTCTGCGGAAGCCGGAAAATGGAGGCGGCTGGGAGGCACGTATCACCTCAAGCCAAGCTGTATCATGCAAGTCATGATGAGATCCCTCGATGCCACGCACACCTCGCACTCGTCGTCCATCCTCATGTTTGCCCGACCTTGGGATCTCGCAGAGGCGGCCAATGCAGCTTCGAGAACCGATATTAATATGCAGCCAACAACGCAGCTTCCGCCAGACCCTTGCATTGCCTTTGTCCTTTTCTTAAATTCTTCTCGGAGCCGTCGGTGTGCGTGTGTGCTTGGCGCTGTTGGAGATGTCCTGTCGCATGTTGGGTGTTGGTTGTGAGTTGCATGTTGGGATTTCACCACCCGCTCAGCCACATCAAAGCCAAGCCAACAACGTCCAACTGTCCAACTGTCCAACATCCATGATCCCACCCCGGTCTGCATTCCCGGTCACTGCGCACACCAGGCGGGCATCGGGCGCAGAGCGGCCGACCTGTGACCACTTGGCACTGATTACGATTACTCTGCTGTTGGCAAGGCCATCACGTCGCGATTTAGTAATCATCCGCTGATCCCAGTCGTCAACTGCACCAGCTCCAGGATATACCGGAGTACTTTTCCAAATTCCCTCCTGAAGTCCCCCGAGCCTCCTTCGATGCGCTCAGGGTTCTTCTTGTTCCGAATCCTTCCTCGGTGGGGTTTCGGTCTCCTCCCATCCATGTCCGGTGGTCCCGAGGTCCCTCGCCCGTATTTCGGGAAGCCTAGTAGATTTATTATCAGGCTCCGGGAAGGATTACAGGCGGCGTCGTCTTACATTACCTAATTGCGTATTATTACCAAATCAGCCGCGCATGGGGTATCGCTTCGAAAGCCCAATCTATGCGGCAAAGCAGGTGGAACCACACTCGGCTATCACGTCGTAAAGCCTGTCCAATGCATGACTAAACCTAGGTACGCATCTCATGCCGACACCGACGAGTGCAGTGAGTCCTAGGAGAACTCATCGGAAGGCTGGCAAGCTTTGGTGTGCAACGCGACACCTGCTGCATGTCTCGTTTGCCCAGGCCAATCACGGAGGCTGTGTGACAGCCAGACCGCCAATATCCTATCGCCTATTACACCGTCTGACAAGTAGAGACATGTTTGTGGGTGAGTGAGTTGCCTTAACGCCGTCGGGTGATAAGTGAACGGGGTCGAGCTGAGCGAGAACGAGGGGGATATGGTAGGGCTGGGATGACAATCCTAATAACAACTCGCGTGTCTTCGCAACGCATCTCATCACAAGATTCCATGAACACTCTTGGTTCATTAAGATATCGTCCGAGGTGAGTCCCCCGTACTGTGCAGCCGCCTCGCCGAGAATGGGCCGCATGACCGCTGGTGTTGGAGCGCAACACGTTGGTGCGACAAGTCCGCTTCCTTCAGCCTCCCCTGTAGGGCCCAACGTGTAGGCAACAACATATTCAAAGTTTCGACAGTACCGGTAGTTGCCTGATCACAACGGAGTCACGACGGAGTCACGACGGAGTCACAATGGAGTCATGGTGGGCAAAGGAGTTGAGGGAATGTGTCAAACAGTCAAGCCGCATCATCAACATCCTTCTTGCTATCAACCGGCCCGTGGTTAAACCTAGGGTTCCCCAAACCTAGACAGAGCTTGTCTGTCCAGATGGGACGGTACCTACCGTATAACATGTAGGCCCAGTTCCTGGTCAAGGGGGTGTGGGTGTAGAAATCCATCTCAGATCCCAACGTGGCATTCTTGCCTATCCTATCCTCGCTCCTCGCATCTTCGGATTACGGTGTGCTTACTTTGCATGACCATGCAGAACGCGTGAACCGCTGGGGGGTACTTACTACTAATTAGCCCTGATTACCTACATACGGAGTATCACTTTCCTCTTCAGGCCTACCCATACACTCCCGGACTCCGTCCTGGCCGGGGTGATTTGTACAGTTTGCCCCCTTTCCAGACGCGCGTGATGTGCTTCGGTTCCGTGAGCACGTCGATGTCATCCAGAGGGTTTGAGGTGACCGCGATGACATCCCCGTCGTAGCCTGCTTTTAGCTGCCTGCTCAGGGGTGCCTGCTTTCCGTGGGCGACAACTCGCCGTGCAGGCTTCAGTGCCCTGCAGAGGCGTTAATCCTGCCTCGACGGCGTAGTGCAGCTCCATAGCATTCTTTCAGTGGGAGATACGGCTTTCGGGTTGCTTCGAAAGCTGTCAGTTCCCAACGCGATTTTGACGCCCAGATGGATTGCTTGTGTCTAGTTGGATCGCCTAAGGGGCACCAGTTTCTCGACCTTCCCCACGATCGGCGGTGGGAAGTCGTCGTGGTCGAGCAATAGACTCTCCTGGATACGACGCGTTGCTACCAAGACGGCACCCTTCTCTTCGATCAAGTCGACCACCTCCTCGTCGAGATAACAGCCATGCTCGATGCTTCCGACGCCAGCTTTGAGAGCCGCCATGATGCCAACCTTGCCGATCGCACGCGCCGCAACAGAGCGCCGACTGCGCGCAGCTTCGTCCGCGATTATTTCCAGCTCCTCGTTTGGGAAATGCCTGTCTTCCGGGTCGTCGTTGAGGCTGATAATACCTCCAGAAGAGCACAGCTTGATGCACTTGGCTCCCCTGCGGACCATGGACCGCACCGCTTCGACGCACTCGTCGACGCCATCGCAAAGATAATGGCTGCCATCACCATGCCCAAAGTCCTGGACAGCGCTAAGCGGCAGGTCGTGTGTATCTCCTTGGTCGCCGGTAATAGACAAGGCACTTAACGAAGAGTACACGTTCGGCCTAACGATGTAGCCATTTCGAATACCGGGTTGAAGGTAGCCAGCATACTGAGGGACATGTCAGAAATCGTATACACCTTAGACCAGTGGTGAAGCTCGAATGAGACGGGTTACTTACACGGAGGGGTTTTATCACGCTGGTGAAGCCAGCTCTCAACCGTCCTGCGAAGGTCCGTAACCGTGATAGCACCCGCAAGGGCAGCACCAGATAGGACGGATGAATGGCTATATGGAGTGGGCCAAGCGAGCCCCTAGCCGCCAAAGTGAGCATGTCAGTCCCATAGCCTAGGCATCAACACGGGGACATGCAACCACTCAATAGTGTCATATCCGCGTCCCCGGGGAAAGTCGCCGTAGACGCCAACCCACTGCAACGTTCAATGTCAGCAGCCATCTGTCGAGGTAAACGCAGGAGATCTACCACTGGGGTGATAATGAGACAAGCAGTATGTGGAAACAGATAACCAGGCAGTAGGCACTGCAGCATGGCACTTTGGACACTGCCCTACGTGGATTTTGCCTTCCTCTATCACGATGACGCCTTGCTCGATTGGTTCGCCGCAGCCCGGGATGAGCAGGTCTGTGTGAATTTCGATGTACTTGGACGTATTGTCCTTCGCCTCAGGGCCGGCAGCATGGCATGGGATATGCATGGTGGGTGGCTGACTGACGAGGTCCAACGAATAGAGTCACATATCAATGGATAAGTAACACGGCGACGAGCAGTTATCTCGAGGTAGATGCTGCCATCTGCTGGCAGCACAGTCGTTGTAGGTGCGGTAGATAGCCTATTGCGTCTCGAGATCGTGCAAGATGGCATGAAGCTGGGACCTTGCCCCTGTTACCCCAAAAGTGACCAACCCTCATCAAGTGATACAGGCGATGAGATGCTCCGATTAGGTAAACACCAAGCATATCATTTCGATGACAGTAATGTACTGCTCGTTCTCTAAGAACGCAGTTCAAGTCCTCTTTGGAACCATTCAAATGACGAGGAACGTATGAGTGACGTTACCTATCACACGATTTCCTGTATTTGCCTGGGCCCGGTAACAGCGTATATGTGACTAGGTCACAAGCGGACATTTGTGACCACATTAAAGCTCGACCTCATCTGGGCTCGCCCTCTCACCACACACTCACGACAAATTACCGGAAACAACAATCTACACCCTTCCCATGCTTGCATAATTCCACAGCGCATCCTGACTGGCCCAGCCGTTCACGAGCTGTGCTGTGCTACACCAAGACACGTAATACCTCATGCACCCACTCGTCCGTTGCGCGCGCGCTGCCAACGCCACCACCGCAGCCAAGCTCCCACGCTGCTGCACACGCCCAAGCATTGTCACCCGGTCCCACCAACCCCTTTTACATCAGCAGCAGCGGCAGATCCAGCGAAGGACCTTCACATTTACGACATCATCGCCCATGGCGTCGCCTTCGACCGCACAAATCAACTTCTCACCCGGCGTCGACGAGACCGCCCTGACGAAGGCCCTGCAACCGCTGCTGGCATCAGCCGGCGAGGGCGGGCGCTGGGCCGTCGTCCCCGGGGGCGAGGGTCTGGAGAGGAGTTTCAAGTTCAAGACGTTCGCAAAGACGTGGGTGAGTGAGTTGTCGCGCTGGCATTTCCATTGGTCGTATCGTTCCTTGGTCTGTTCTTGAATGCAACGGCCTGTACATGTACACCATGCTCTATCCGGGTCCATGAGACGATGGCCCCCTTGAATTCACATTGGAAGGGCTATGATGACTGGTATCGTGGAGTCATGTGCTGCCAGCACACGGCGCGTCTAAGTGGCCAAGCAGCAGGCAGTCCAGTGATACTGTAACCGTACCAGTCAGCATGATGCGTCGACGTCCCGGGGCGCTGACAGAGGGGCCCCTGGGTCTCCTTCCATCAGTCATTCCCTCCCTCGAATCCGGGCTGGTCGAGGCCACGGTACGGTACAGCTTTCAATCAGCCAAGGCCCAAATCGGGAAGATGATCGCGTCCGGCCACAGGATGGACGATGATGACAGACTACAGTCAGGTTTCGGAGCGCGAAACGGAACCTGCTGACGCTCGCACTCTGGGCTCTCGCTGCCATGTCGACCGACGCAGAGTCTTGCCAAAAGGGCTGCATTCCGCGTCTAACAGTGTTGCACAAGGCCTGCCTCCTAAAAGGCCCTTCTGCCCTGAAGTCAGACAATGCAGCCATGGAATGAAAGGACGTCGCGGTATCACTGCCGCAAGCTGCCTGATCACGGAGCAACATGGCCTGTTGAATCATAGTCTCCGGTGTAACATATCACAAGCCTGGTTTTCTTGTGTCCCTCGAGCTATTTGCTTTTACACGCTCTCGTGACTGAACTTTGACTAAGCAAAGCGGCTCTATAGGACTTCATGACGGCAGTCTCTCTGCAGTGCAAACTGAAGAACCACCATCCCGAATGGTCTAACGTAAGTTCTGTCTCCGTTTCTGCGGTCACCCCTTTCTCTTTCAACATGCGACATGTCTACGATGGTCACCCTAATCCTTACCACCTGACTCCCTTAAATTTCGGGATGTATCGTATATACCCACCCTCCGTAACCCAGACAGCAAGTCGCTGGACTCCGACCACGCGTCACTGCACCAGCGAACTCAGAGCAGGGCAATAGGAGCAACAACATAGCAGCCGAGCTCCATAGCATGCATGCCTACCTTCCATCAAGCCCACCGTTACCGGCTAACCTACCAACCAACCTCGCTGACATACCCCAACCCCATCCTGCAACCCGCTGACTCATCCGCTGACCCGCTCCCGCAACACAGGTCTACAACACGACCTATATCCGGTGGACGACGCACAGTCCCAAGGGCCTCTCGGCCAAGGACGTCGAGCTGGCGGCGGCCTGCGACGGTCTGGCCAGGGACTTTGGGGAGATTGTCGAGGATGAAGAGGATGGCGGGGCCACTCGTGAGTTGAAGCAGGTCGCTGACCGGGTCGTGGCCAATGCTGGGGACTGCTGTGCGCCGAAGAAGTAGGGGATGCCGAGCTGTGATGTTGGAGGTGTATATTTCCATGTATAATCAACATGGCGACGTTGTATATTCCGCTGAGAGACATTGTATTGTTGCTGGGGGCAGAACCCATCGTTGGACGGTCAGTCAGCACCAACCCAGCCTTCCGAGGTGAATGAGCACGTGGACTCATACATGGATTCAGATCACTGCTGCACGAAAGGTTTACTTGGAAGGTAAGATTTCTCCCGCCCCGATGAGGGACTTGGGAGGTTGTAATTATTCTATGGTAGATTTGTCTGGTACTCATTAAAAGGTATATGCAAGTGGCTGACCCCAATATGTACAGCATTAACGAAGGTCTACACGAACCGTCCAGGGCGATGCATGCATGCACGTATACGTGCTCTTCTCGATTGAACCCCTTTGGAAGGGGTTCGCACTGCTCCGGGAAGCACGGTATTGCGACTCTTTTGGTCTAAGCCCAAGACCTCGGCCGTGTCCAAAGTCGGCTCGGTCTCGTCTCTCGCCAGATGTTGCTTTTGCGGAATAGCATAATCCTTTATGCTACTTTCTTAGCCTTCATGGCCTTGAGCTTTCTGTCGCGACGGCGCTTAGCAGCCTCCGGGCCTGACTCCGTGTCCAGCATCAAGTCCCACCATCTGAAGCTCGACGAGTAGTTGCCGATGAAGCGTTCGTGGTGGACGTCATGGTGGTGAGCACCGGCCCAGAAGGGGAGGAAGTGGTGCAAACTCCAGGGGAAGTCGTACCCACTGTGGGAGTCGATGGCTTGGAAGAGACGCCCGACAATCCACATGTACATGGTGAAGAGGTGGAGATCACCAGTCAGAGAAACCCATAGTATAGGGGCTCCAACAGTTCCCAAAGCGAGGAGCATGACCTCTATGGGCGAAGCGTACTCGGCAGCCAGACCGAAGGGTGCAGAGTATGTGTGGTGCAGCTTGTGGATCATCTTGTATAGAGGGCCGTAGTGCAGAGCCCTGTGGAACCAGTAATGCCATGTATCCTCCAGAACGAAGAAGACAGCGATATGGAAGGCCATCTTGCCAAGCGAAGGGAACGGAACGTCGTAGGACATGCCGAAGTAGGTGGCGATCGGGTGGAAGAGCCAGATCTGTGGAAGTTCGACGGTGAAGTGACTCAGGAGTACGAGGCTGGCGCATTCCATCTGTTCCCTGAACGTCGGTATTTTTTGCTGCATAGATGTCAGCTATCCTGTGTTCTTCTATCTGATCCTAGCCTCGGCCAACGTACATTCTGAAGCTTATACTTGTTGAAATAGGGGATGCGGTCGATGATCATCCAGGGAATGGACCGGCCGAAGTAGATAACTTCGTGAATGAGGAAGCTCATGATTCCCGTCGCCAATGTGTCGTTCTGCATCCACAAGTACCAAGCCTGTATATTGTTCAGTATTGGATCTTTGGCGCAAGGTTCCCGCGGGGGCGCGAAGGGAGACTAACGGCCCACAGGCGCTCGATAACGTTGAGCTGGACATTCTGCTTGGTGACCTCGTCGAATACGGTCGAGAAGGTGTCGGGATGGCTGAAAGCACCGAGGATGGTGGAATTCCTGCAAGAGCACTGTCAGTCCTGTATTGACGCGTGCCTCGGTCGAGGGGCCATGCCAGTGGTTGGCTCAGGGGGCTTTGTACATTGTGGCCATGGTGAAAGCAATACGATGCGCGGGCACCGATGATTGTCCGTCCAGGTATGGGAAGTGAGTGACTTCGTTGATCGTGCACCAGAGGAAAAGGGAGAGCTGTGCCGACACCGTCAGTAAAGGATTGAGGAGTGAAGAGTGTCAAGGGCGAGGTCGAGATTGGTGGGAGGGCCGCGTTTATTTGATGGCAAGGGAAAAAGTGTAGGCGGCGGCGGAGGGAGGCGATAAAGAGATTATGGCACATCATGGATGGGGTTTTGGGATCCCGAACGGCGAATGCCAGGGCCCAGATACCCACCCAAGCACAACTGACCAGTGAGACCAGTGACCAGTGACAGCTGGCCAGGGACCCCTAATTGCGCAGGTACGACCAATCAGGGGCATGCGGCCACAATGAGCCCACATGGAATTCGCTGTTCCGGTCGGCTGTTCCAGTGTGGGGAATCACCTAATCGCCCTGACATCTCAGTCGATTGTGAAAGGAACAAGGGTCTGGTCGGTCTGGTGCGGTGCCGCGATCCATTGTGACCGCCACACTTGGACACCGCTCTCGTATTCGGGTTGAGCACCTGCGGTCAGGAGGTGTTTCTGATAATTGTTAGTGCATCGAACAATGGCGCATCCATCCACGACTTCACGACCTCCTGGTTCGGAAGAATGATACACCTGCCAGTTTGCCAATATCTAGACATTCGTATGACACCTACATCAGATCTATTTGCAATGATTGCCTTGAGTCTGGCTGTTGCAGCCTCGCTGTGTTTCAATGTTCAAATACTCCTCAGTCTGTGTATGTATGCTACGTTGGTCACCTACTACCTAAGTGTATCGGATATTCAGCCTGGCTGCGGACACGCCTTTGTGGATACACGACATTCGGAACCATATAATCAGCAGTCCAGTTGTTATTCCAGTCAGTTGTTCTGGGGAGACCGCCTATGCCGGGGTGCTTATGTGATGTTTCTATTTCAGCCATTCCGAGTAGGCCCATTGTATACCCTGCAAAAGGGTCACCTGCGCCTGAATACCCTTCAGGTTGGCCAGGCTATCGAGATCTCGCACAAAGTCTCCCTCCAGGGCGGGTGGAAGCCGCAGGTGCGCCAGTTGACGGAGGACTTGGATCTCGCAGACTAAAAGGCCGTGGTCCTTATATGACAACAGGTTGTTCGGCGACGGTCTTTCCGACGACAAGATACGCTGCATGTTGCGCATGACGCGAATGCTTTTGTACCGATTGCCATCAGAGCCTTTCTGCCCCCTTCTCCCAAATGTATCTCGGAGGTACCGTACTGCCCCAAATGACACCAATATGCCGGGTGTAAGTCCCACGAAGCCAAAGACGAGCTCTTGACTTTTCAGGAGAGCGTCGATACCGCTCATCGCAACTTCAACGTCAACCTTTGTCTTCTGGATAATTATAAGCAAAGTTCGGACTAGGTCTCCACGAACGGCTCCACTGAATGGGTGTCGCAGGTTCTTCTCGTACGCGCGGAGGACTGGCGTGACGTCTCCCTCTCGAACCCTGGCTCGAATCTCTGCCACCTGTGACTCCGATATTGAAGATGTCCCTAGTGCAGCGTCAGGCTTGTCAAGGGCAAAGTCGATCACCATTCGTTCCAAGCTCTCTTTATCGGCCTTGAGGCTATCCTGGCTCATAATGGCGATTTCGCTGGATGAATCGTGGCGTATCGTCCCGATGACCTTGCGAACAGGCTCGACGACCCAGTTGAACCAGAAATCACGGACCGTTACACCGAAGTCTCGTACCCAATCTAGAATCTCTTGTCTCCTGTTGACGAAGATGCGTAGGATCGTGGTGGATGACAGTAACAGGGCTGTTGCTGGTAGCCAATACCGGACGAGTCTGGACGGCCGCCCGTTCTCTGCCACAAGTCTTCTCGTCTCCTCGATGTGGTCCGGCAAATGGGATGCAAGCAAGCCCTGTAGTCGTCTGGCCACAACAGCAGGGCGGGTCGCTTCGTCTTCCTCGGCCTGAATGGATAGTTCCGGGTCCTCCTCCACCCCAGCGAAGACCTTATCTTCAAAGTCGGGAACTCCGACCTCCAGTGCACGAACATCCTTGAGTACCATATCCATGAGGGCGACACTTCGTTCAACGACGCCTTTCCATTCTTGATTGTTCGACATGATGATGTCGCTTTTACCATCGTCGCTGCCGTTGCCCCCAAACGCAAGCCCCTCATCAATGAGCACACCAAGGCCGCTCGCGATCATCTCCCGAAGCTTCTTTAGCTGAGCCTGCTTCTTGCGTGCCTCGGACTGGCAGAGGGCAACTGGGGACATGACTCTTTGCTGAACATCAGCCAGTGACTTCTCTCGTATACTCTCGCGGACGATGGCATAGAACCGGCGCCATTGGTGTGACAACCCGGCTTGTAAAGAATTGGTGCTTGCTCCAGCATCCGACCCAGTACTGGTGCTGCTGCTTGTGTACCGCTGCAGCCGAGCCTTGCTGTCCTGGTAGACATCCGTAGACCAAGTCCATAGTCGAATAGGGAATGTCTGAGCCATGTAGAGACTGGTATAAGTTGGGGACGACAGTATGTCATCCCAATACCAGATATGGTCACTTATGGGGGTCATCTGGTCTAGTAGCGTGTCCAGAATAATCCCATATACCCGAACCGTGGCCTTGCTGACCAATAGCCACTCGAGCTCTGCTTCATACTGGTTTGGTGCCACCTGAGACAGCTGTTCTGACGACAGGTTGGACTGGGATATCAAAAAGTGAACATGTTGTCGGGAAAGGATGGCCTGTGATCCATTATTTGCTGATAACGCCTTGATGAGCCTCAATAATTCTTTGACACGGGGCGTGTCCAGGTCTAGGGAAGACTGTAAAGCCAACCCCTGAGGAGCTATCAGGTGGGAAAATGGAATCCGGTCCAGCTGCGTGTCCAACCGCCGTACTTGGCTAAAAAGCGCATATTAGCTTTAGTAGAAAAGCAGATTTGGTACTTATTCAAGGAGATAATGTCACCCTGAACTGAAATAAGCACATCTTGGGTAATTATGCGATTTTTGTTCCCTAGCAAACCGCTTGGCCGCACTTGGGTGGTTTGGATTTTGGATGGCAAGAAAACAGGCTAAGACTCACTCGGCCACAACAGACATCTTGTCCTGCGGTGGTTGATGATATTCGGAAGTGCTGTCAGTGTTCAGTGTTGGCTGCTGCAATCACATCATCTGGAGCGATATGCCAAAGGGCCTGATCAATCCGGGCCTATTGACGGAACGATTCGCAGTGGGAATAAGCACTGATTCAGTGGGTTTTCCTGTGCATTCCCCATGGAATAGTCGCTCAGTCCACTGGGTTATGCAAATTATTATCTCAGCCGCTTGGAGCAAGGCTGAGGGGCGCTGTATCGGGTGCCGACGTGCAGGATTAACCTCCGCAAGAGAGAGGTCTGGTGCATGTGGTCGGTCGGTCGATGTTTACTTTCAGCGATAAATAGGTAGTGAGGTCACGAGGAAAGAAGCTATGACCTTGTCTGCTGCCAGCTGGGGCTTGCAGCTGCGGAGCTTCACAGGCTGACAGGTAACTGCCCTGTAGCAGTGTGAAGTAAACTTATTATTATATTAACAATTGATGTAAACCAATTGATTTGTATAAACAGCTGGCCTAAGCAATCATCCAGGAGTTAATGAGTAATAGGTAGTACCTTAGAACAATCACATGAAAGTGGTGTTTGAACGGCTGCATGTTGTTATTTGGTCTCCCGTTGCGAGTCAGCAGCAACCGGGCTGAACACAATGCCAAAGACAACCTACCTACTGGAATCTACAGGCGCTATTCTAGTGCATTCAGGCTCCCCCTTGAGCCCTGTAGTCGCGGGTGCTACAGCAGCAACAGCGCTGGACGATGGTGCTAGAGGTTTAATGTTGAGTGAGGGCTGTACTTTCCACAGCGACCTCGATGCTCCACGTCCCTTCCCGGTCCAACACCCAGTCACCTGCCCGCGAACACCGGCGATTCTCTTAGTCAAGCTCACCGTTCCCGTCATCGCATTGCTGGCGATACCATCTCCCTCGTCCACAGCAAGTGCACGGCTACTGACATCCACCAAAATACTGCGTAGTCGACAGAAGAACGACCGATACTTATCAACATCCCATCTGCCCGCCCTGTCACCTCGTCATAACTGTCACTCCTGTGCTAGTACGAAGCAAGTTAGGCGATTCTTTACAGACGGCGCCAAGTCTACCGGTTCCAACTCCCACCACAACTGACGACGACCACGACGACGACCACGACGACGACACGCCGTTGCCTGTGAATATATAGTCCTGAGATCGCGTCGGCATCCCGTCTCCTCAAGAGGATCAACCGATCTCACACATATCATTGTGCCGTCCACGACGAGCATCAACCTCTCAACATGTCAGGCAACAGAAACTACGACTTTCTAGTACGTCCTCCTTGCCTTCCACGTCCACCGACCTCATGTGGGCCCTTTGACTGCTTGCCAGGCAGCCGTGGACATCCCACCGGGACCGCTCTTCTACTCTCCTGTCGAATCTAATGTCACGATTCTGAATGTATAACTGACCGTGTCTCTACCGGTACAGATCAAGCTACTCCTAATCGGCGACTCGGGCGTTGGCAAATCATGCTGCCTACTGCGATTCAGTGAAGACTCCTTCACGCCGTCCTTCATCACCACCATCGGCATCGATTTCAAGATCCGCACGATTGAGCTGGATGGCAAGCGTGTGAAGCTGCAGATCTGGGACACGGCTGGGCAGGAGCGATTCCGAACTATCACGACGGCTTATTATCGCGGCGCGATGGGCATCCTCTTGGTATACGATGTCACAGATCAAAGGTCTTTCGAAAGTAAGGAATCCCCCGGCTGCCTTGATACGTCTTTAAGCCTGGGCAGATGGCGGTTGGCAGGCTTGAGTGAGCTGGGCTATCACGAGGGCCTACACTTGTCGTTGCCCTCAGCCCTACCTATACTGATTTGACTGCTTAGACATCCGCACATGGTTCGCAAACGTAGAGCAACATGCCACCGAGGGCGTCAACAAGATCTTGATCGGCAACAAGTGCGACTGGGAAGAGAAGCGTGTGGTCTCAACAGAACAGGGCGAGGCGCTAGCTCGGGAACTGAACATCCCGTTCCTCGAAGTCTCCGCAAAGAGCAACATCAACATCGACAAGGCCTTCTATAACCTGGCGGCTGACATCAAGAAGCGTATCATCGACACTTCCAAGAATGAGCCTGCGGCATCGTCCGGCGTCAATGTCTCGCAAGGAGAAGGCAGTGGCGGTCTTGGGAAGTGCTGTTAAGGAAGCTGAGTTCAGAGAGCAGGCGACCCAATACTGGGTGAGGCGAGCCAAACAATACCTGAGCCGCTGGCTGGAGTCGGTCATGCTGGGCTGGACGACAGGACTTTTGTGTGTTATCAAGCGTGTGGTACGATAGACCAAGGATATGATTTACGGAGACGCCCAAGGCCCCGCTGTCGACGCTGCGGTATCACTCGGGGGGGGCAGCACTTCATCGCCTTAGGAGTGAACCACACCGACAGACAGGGAGCAGAAACCGAGGATGCTGCTCCGGCGAGACCGTTCGAAGCACACGGAGGGAAACAAACGCGCGACGCCTCTGTGGGAAAGAATGGGCACGATTCCTTTGGGCGGAGTTTGGTTGATAGGGAGTCTAATACACCTTTTCCAGTCATCGGGTTTTTCCTCTACTGTCTTAGCAGTTACGAGAGTCTTGATATCACTGTGCAGCCTTTTGACATGCATGGGGAGTGAGATTGGTATCAGTGTCTGTTTGCACAACTATGGTACACCTTCACTCGTACACTCACCACAGCACCGTAGCATTGACGATCCTAGTCTCCTCCCAGCCGCCCTCGCCCTCGGCGTCACCCATCCGCAGCCTCAGCTCGCGGCGGTGCCAGGTGCGCACGAACCGGTGCGCCTCGGCGTCGTCGGTGAAGGCCACGATGAACCGCGGATAGCGTCTGTACCTGTCCTCGCGCTCCTTCTGCTCGGCGGCTTCCACAGCGGCGCCCTCGTCGTCCACCTGCCGTCCGAACAGCTCCCAGCTGTGCGGATCCACGCCGGTGGGCAGGACGTCTGACTTTGGGTCCTGGTCGCGCAGCCGGAGTACGCTCTTGCCGAAGGGGATTATGCCGCGCTGGAGGTCCGTGACGCGCCACGGCAGGTTGCGGTCGCGGCCGTCGTCGCTGATGGCGCGGCGCACCACGTCGGCGGCGACGCGGCCGCCCTCGACGCCCAGCAGGACGAGGGACCGCGAGCCGACCCGCCGCGCCAGCTGGTCTGCGAACGCGCCGCCCCGGTCTAGTTCCTCCACCATCGAGTGCGCGAGCCCGTAGTCGCCGAAGCCGCCGCCGTACATCTCGTTGTTGTCTGCGCTGCCGGGCGAGACGGCCTGCTCCCCTGCTGAAATCCGCAGGGCGAGGCGGTAGCGCTGTGAGGGCGGGACGAGCGTGAAGGACTTGAGTGTGGATAGGATGTCCTCGCCGCGATCAGTGCGCAGGCCTCGCGGAACTGGCTGTCGCTTTTCAGAGTGTTTCTTGTGGTGCGCGCCTGGGACGTGGCTCTTGCCCAGCTGCCAGAGTCGCTCCACCTCGTCACGGTAGTAGACGGCGGCTTCGGGACTGTCGAAGAGGATGAAGTAGTGGCCGAGGGGCTCGAGAGTGTCGGGGTCGCGGGCTTGGATGACTGTGGGTGGTTTCGTTAGTATAAAGAGGTGTTGTAGCTTACTTAGGGCCTGGGGGTAGGCAGGAGAGAGGGACAGAGAGAGAAGGAAGGACGGAAGGTAAGGTAGAGGTGTAGCTAGGATAGCTTTGGCTCACCTTTCAGAATACCGCTCACCCATCCCTCGACGTGCTTCCCCTTCGGACCCAGACGCAGGAAGTCGCTCTCGAGGAGGTGTTTGCTGGCGGCCGACAGGATCAGGATGGCCTTCGCGCGCAGGGCAGTAGTATCCCATTCCACCGCCCCCGCTGACTTGTTCTCCTCATTCTGCAGCCCTTCAATGGGAAACCCGTCGTGCAAGGGTATGCGTTGCGGCTCCTCGAAGAGCTGCGATAGCCGGCTGCTAGTAGACGCGCCACCGGGCTGCTTGGCTTCCTCTGGGAACAACTGCTCGAACAATGACGGCTTGTCCTTCTTCTGATTCTTGTTCTCCTCGTTCTGCTTCTGCTGATCTGGGAGTCGCGGACTCTCCTCTGTGGCGGACGCCGGCGGCGAATGTGACTGTGACTGCGGTTGTTGCGACTGGGATTCGTCTTGCAGTCGGCTGCTGCTGCTACCGTGCAGCAGCGCTGTAGGTGGTGCTGAACGCCATGCTGCAGCTACCGATCGCGAGAGTGGCCGCTGGAGCTGTCGGAGGAGCATGAGGCGGCGAGGTGTGATGCTCGGCGCATTGCATGTGTTGTTGTGGAACTGCAGCTGGGACTTGAGAAAGTTCTCAGGGAAGCTCTTTCTGGCAGCAGTTGGCAGCTGCACAGTGTTTGAGGCAAACCCACGTATTTTTGGCGCAACATCGCACTGTCCGTTCACTCACACAATTCTCGCAACTTTCACATTTGGAATAAGCACTGGGATAAGCCGTCTCCCACTGGCGTGCTTATCCCGTCTCGACATATCGCACTGCCGGCCGTCAAAGTAGTCAATTCGCAAGCCGTGGCATACTCACCTACCCACCTGATTATTCCAGTGATTTTTTCACTGGAATAGGCACGAACGACGTACTTATACCATTTTTTACATTTCGCCACTTTGAGACAGCCATGAGGAACGAATTCAAAATCCGGCCGCAGACCCAAGATGCTGCGGCAGGTAGTAACAAAAACCCGAACCACAAGAACGCTGCGAAGGTCTTCATACATCCCTCGACCTTTGCTCAAGCTGGGTTCACTGCCGGTCACATATGCGTTCTCGAGGCTGATGGAGGTATTCGGCGAGATGCAGTGGCCTGGCCCCTGCCAGATAAGAACGTCGCCAACAACATAGCGTCGATAAGTCGTGTTCTCAAGGATACGGGTGGTTTAGAGTACAATCAGATGGTGCGACTATTCCCGGGAGAGGCAGTGCCAGAGGCCCAGGTCGTCGTTATGAGGGAAACAACGGGCCCTGGTGCTACACCTCTCATGGCCTCCGAACAAACTCGTTGGGAGCATCATCTCGCACATAAGCTTGGTACGTTTAGCCGCTCTGGTGGCTATAAACAGCTCTAATGGTATGCAGAGGTTGCCGAGTACATCTTGCCAGGGATCTATTTTGACGACATCGTTCTGGAGGGAGTGAGACGCTCTTATATTGTGGAATCCGTCAACGGAGGGACCAAAGGCGTGGCAAAGTACACCCATGGGTGCACAACTATCGACTTCTTCGATAATGAGGCGAAAGAAGTCGGTGGCAAGCTCAGACTGGGCCATATCCCGGCTTTACAACCCCAAATGGATCAGCTGAACAACTTTCTCGATGACTACGACGTCGACTTTGACGGATACACTAGACCGCTGTTTTCCTGTGGTATAGTCATCTATGGAAGCCACGGCACCGGAAAGACCATGCTTCTGGACCGTATTGCTGCTACGAATTGGGGCAGAGTCGTCCGAATTGGCCGCAAAGAGAAGCCCGCAACAATACAAATCCATTTTAAGACCGCCCTTGAACAGCGGACACCGACTATAGTCTTGATTGACGACATCACAGAACTAATTGGGAAGGACATCGCAAATCGGACCAGTTTCATTGACGCTATAGGAGATGGTCTGGACGCTTTAGCTAGCAGAGCCCGGGAACAGAATAGACGGCCTAATGTGTTCGTGGTTGCGACCTGCTTGGACTATCTGACCGACATCCCATACAATCTCCAGCGTGAAGGTCGATTCAAGACGCATATTGGCCTTCCCATTCCCGATGCGCAGGGACGGAAAGAGATTATTCGCTCCTTTGCACCCACGTTCCCCCCTGACTCCTTCGAACAATGGATATCGGACCTCGGTGATCGGACGCACGCCTATACAGGAGCAGATCTAGGTGATGTGCTCTGCAGCGCTACGCAAGCGTGGAAGAGAAGGGTGCCTCGTCGTTCGAAAGAGGAGCCTCTGCTATGGGAGGACGTACGAAAGGGCCTCCAGGAAGTCCGCCCTTCTGCCATGCATGACATTGATCTCAAGCCACCCACTATACGCTGGAGCGATATTGGTGGATACGAGGATGTCAAGGCAGCTCTCCAGGAAGTTCTCCAGCCTCGCAGGGACGCGCAGGAGAATCTGTCCGACCTAACGAAGGGTATACTCCTCTACGGCCCCCCAGGTTGCTCCAAGACTATGACAGCACAGGCTATGGCCACGGAATCCGGGTTCAATTTCTTCGCCGTCAAGGGAGGCGAGATGTTGAACATGTACGTCGGCGAAACAGAACGCTCGATACGCAACCTCTTCAAGAGAGCACGCGAGGCCAGCCCCAGCATCATATTCTTCGACGAGATCGACTCTATAGCAGGATCACGGTCTGGCTCCGGGGGTGCTACAAGCGGCGGAGGCGTCCAGGCCCTGACGACACTACTCAACGAAATGGACGGGTTCGAGCAGATAGGGGACGTGTTTGTCCTCGCAGCCACCAACAAGCCAGACACGCTGGATCCGGCCCTGATACGACCCGGCAGATTCGACGAGCTCATATACGTGCCGCTGCCCGACCACAAGGCACGGGAGGCTATAATAGCAAACAAGGCGAAGAAACTGGCTTTCACGGGGGATATCGACGTCACGGAGCTGGCTAGACAGACGGAGGGCTATTCAGGGGCCGAAGTTGCGAGTATATGCGGCAAGGCATTCAGGGGCATCAGACACGACGTGCGTGGTTCTGAAATGGATATACTGCAGGCTGCCATAAGGAGGACCCCGAAACGCGTGTCTAGGGACCTTTTGGACCACTTTAGGGACTGGCATGAGAAATTCGCTCAATAGGAAAAATGATATAAGCACCGGTTTGGTAATTACACCGGAAAATTGCCCCGAATAATCAGTAAATAGGTGATCATGCCGCAACTCGTTGTCGACTTGTTGCCGCACCCTCCGAATTTTCTACATTCTGCTGTACTATGGTTGCATCCACGATGGAAATCAGCTATCAGTACTAGGCGTCGGTTTTCAAACTACAACCTAAGTAAAGAAGCTGTTGTAGATTGGAGGCCTCTAAGTTGCGCGTATGAAGCTGTCAAGCGTATGGGTTGCAGCCCAGAGCCAAACAGATAGGGGTAGATGGTCAGCTCTGTCGTTCTCTGCCCCACCCCCTCTTCTTAGTGACATTTACATTGGGCCGAGGCTTCTGGGGAGCTCTGTTGAGTGTCATCGTTCATTTAACAGTAGCTTGATATGCTACCTCTTCTGTGCAGCGCCCGCCACGAATACTGTCAAAATGGCCGAACACGTCTCCGTTTTGCGCACACCACCTGAATGCTTCGAAAACATGCCGGACTGGCCCTATCAGCCACATTACCTCCAACATGGAAACCTCCGCATGGCTTACGTGGACGAGAGGAACGCAGGCAGTGGCAACTCTGGGGACGAAGAAGAAGTCTTCCTCTGCATCCACGGGCAACCAACCTGGTCTTACCTGTACCGACGCATGATACCCGTCTTTCTCAACCACTCCACACAACCGGGCGCTCGTCCCGCCCGCCGTGTCATAGCACCGGACCTCTTCGGGTTCGGCCGCAGCGATAAACCTACAGACGAGAGTCAGTACACTTTCAGTTTCCACCACACCGCCCTGCTGCACCTCATCGAGACTCTCGACTTGTGCAATATCACATTAGTGGTGCAAGACTGGGGCGGGATTCTGGGCTTAACGCTCCCACTCGCCTTTCCGTGGCGTTTCAAACGGTTCATCGTCATGAACACTTCTTTGGCAACCGGCCTGCAGCCGCCTTCGAAAGGGTTTCTGGAATGGAGGGCGTACAGCAATCGCACGCCAGATATGAATATTGCCGCGCTGTTGAAACGGGGATGTCCACATCTAAGCCGGGCGGAAGCGGAGGCATATAATGCTCCGTTTCCCAACAAGGACTATAAGTCGGGCGTGCGACGTTTTCCCAATCTCCTCATCGTTGATCCAAGCATGGACGGTGCCGAGGTGTCGCAGAAGAGTGTGGATATGTACTCCACGTCGGAGCAGTGGAAGGGAGAAGATGTCTTCATGGCTTGTGGGATGCGGGATATGGTCCTTGGCAGTTCCGCCATGAAGAGTCTGTCGCGCATGTGGAGGAATGGGTGCCGCTACATGGAGGTCCAGGAAGCAGGGCATTTCGTCCAGTTATGGGGAGAGGAGATTGCGAGGAAAGCGATCGAGGTATTCGAGCGGAAGGAGGGTGTAGAGGGCGTCAGTACTGTCCAGCCGAGAGCCTCGCGGCTGTGATGAGGGTGGTCTAGACAGAAGAGGGTGGCGTTTTGGCCCGCCCATGCGTAGATGGGACTGTATACGGTCAAAAGCAACCGTTCCTGAAAAATGACTAGGTGTGGGCGGCTTTGGAGTCTTCGGCACCGGCTGCGAGTTGTTGCTTCCGCGACATGGCGGTCCCTGAAGAGTATGACTGCTGCAGCGTATGGGCCTGCGATCCTGCGCAGAGTATGGTGGCGGTCGTTGACATATGCCATGGAATAATTGGGCAAACGAGCCTCTGCTTACGAGGTGGTGTCGAAGATGAGCATCTACAGTAAGTAGGTCGCTACGCAGAGGGGTCTCTCCATTCGGAATCATACTGTCTGGATCTCCGTCCACGGATCCTGAAATCCCTCATTTCAATAGACGGAACCAGACACCTGGGATGGAACTCTCGTCTTTGAGGAAGGTACCCTCGAAGCACCAGGCAGAATGGGGTTGGTAGATTGCTAACGACGGCTGTACCGTGTACCGAACCCAAAGCCAAGCATGACACGCCCTCCAAGCAAAGCGATAGGAAGACGCAGGTCTGCATGATTGAGGCAGAGGTTCGCGACTTGAAGGTGCGCTTATTACGCATCGAAACACTTTGTCTCGGTTCTGGTTTTGCGTATGTCGATCTGGCTTCGACGTGGCTTGACTCGCTGTGACGGGTGGTGAGTCCGTCGCACGACATGCAGACTGCCTATAAGCCCACCGTGGCCTCACTCCAGATTCTATTCCCAGCCACCAAGTACGTCAAGTAAACACCAGCACCGACAGAGAACCGAGACTCGGATAACTACCAGACGAGAGAGTACGAGAACCACCAGCAAAAGATCATGGGCGCCGCAGAGTATGGCGCCGGAGAGGTTCCCGCCGGAGAGGTTGACTTGGCGGGACAGCTGGGATTCGTCGTCGTTGCAGCGACGGTATTGGGGGCCGTTATTGCCACGCCGGGGGCATTAGTGGCCTCGGCGTCGGTCTCTTGCATTGCGCTCTATCTCCTGGCTAGAGAGCTCAACGACACTTGAGAGTCCAGGTTCCCTGAGAACAACGAGTGGTGTAGTATACCAAGACATAAATGAGTACCATTGGCAGGAAGAGAAGAAGGAGGAGGAGGAGGCGGAGGTTGCCGAGTACAAAAGACGGAGACCGTGATGTCTGACAGGAGGTCCTTAAGGGACGACGTCTCTCCAAGGAGCACAAACCTCAGTCTATCGGCAGGGTTTATATACCATAGTATTCACACAACTAGGTCGTCGATGCTTCTGTGATTCCCTTGATGCCGTCTGCGCGGCCGTCTGCCACCATTTATGCCGTTGCTAAAAAGTGGCAGTCGCGGGGCTTTTTAGCAGGTTCGATGCCTCGTTCCTGCCAAAGTATGTTGTGAATCAGCTGGACACCCAAACCAGATCCGTGTCCCGGGCCCGGCCCGCGCCGGAGGCACGCGGAATTCAGGAGATTCAGACATTCCAAAGGCAAAACTTGCCGCCGCTATTGAGGGCGCTCCTTTGGCCCGAGGAAAGCTGCGGCAGGGGAGCACGAACTCAGTGTATCGGCAGGGTTTGTATGCTATAATATTCAAACAAGTAGCAAGCACATACTCGAGGCAATACCAAGCTGCACATGTCTTGTCTTACCAAGCGATGGACCAGAGACGTTGCGAGCAAAAAAAGGAAAAAGGAAAGAACCGTCTAGAAGAGCAGGCAACCAAAAATGAAATAATGATTTCGCCCGGACTTGAACCGGAGACCTTCAGTGTGTTAGACTGACGTGATAACCCTGTGATTTGTTAGTAAGACTAGAAGACTGTCGTGATAAGGGGGATAAACGCACAACTACACCACGAAACCATCTGATTTGATGGAGGGCCGTTTTTTTGAGCAATTATATACTACGTGTGGGTGGCAGCTAGGGTTTGTCATGCAAGCTAATGGACTTGATACCCACTCCAGGGGGCCCCGGGCATCCGAGGCCCGATGCGGTGTGGAGTCTGGCCGAACTAGGTATGGACTGGTCCTTGTTCAAGACAAAGGGTGTGAACCTCCAAAGGCTGCCCGAGTCGGCCAGGGGATGGGGCAGCGAGCCGAACTTTCTTCAACGACAGCGGCGCTGCCGAATACACGTACGATCAAGATCCAGGGCAAGGACAGATGCGGCCAGCAGCTTAGAGACCGCTACAACCACTTCATAAACATAGAGAAGTGCAATATCGGACTCTTCGTCGTCATCCCCATGTCCCCGGGTCCCTCTTTGCTAGTGAACTTCCATAGAGGCTATCAGCATACCAGTATACAACTTCAACGGTATGCGTAGCGCCCTGGGTCCGCACGAACTGCTTTTCGGGGAAGGAGACCAGACCAGCACAAGCTAAGTATTCTCACAGCAGTGCTCTAGGCTGGACTCACTTTGGATACGACGACTACGGTACCATAGATCAAGATCGATATGGTTCACACCCCAAAAATGAAGAGATAGTGATCTCATTGTGGGACGAAGGCCAACAAACCTACAAGAGGAGGGAGTTGCAGTAGGCAGTAGATGACACTGACTGGCAACGCGTGTTCCGTAATAGCTCTCGGGCATCAAGACCGGAAGTCCTCTATTTGAATTCCCCAGAAGCTTCAATTGTCGACAAATTGCGAGGTTTGGCCAGGGCACCTCATGTCTAAGCACCACGATGAACAGGCTGGCTCAGTACACTTGAGCAACCGACCATTTGGTGACGGCCCGGCCAGTCGCTGGACCAAATCACAGAGGTCAGTGCCGTGCAGAAAGGGATATCAATGGATGCCAGCATGTTCTGCAATGATAGGCTCATGTTCTGTTGCCAACCGTCAACGGACCAGGAATTTCAACGTGGTTTCTTTGTGCTCGATGATTATCTGGGCAACTCGGGTATTGCTAGGATCGCCCACATCATGAGTGAGAGTGCTCTCGGCTGAGAAAGTAAGCATCTTCAGAAGATGGCGGCGCATGGGATATTTGCTCGTCCCGGTACTTCTGCTCGTCCCTAACAGTATTATGGGGGGTTGCACAGCATAGACACGTATCCTGTAGATGCTCAGCACGAGCGGTAGTGCACTTGGCACCAATGAAGACCGCTTGGTTATCAGCCAACGGGCGACACAGCCGAATCATCAGATGTTTGAGGCGCGCATGAGCAGGTTCTCCAAGACGGATGTTTGCAGATTCAATAAGTCGCGACCAATCTCAAGATGCTACGCGTTCAATCTGGGTCGCTGTCGGGCGACAGCAAGTGCCACTGCTTTATCATATGTCGCGCGTATATGCTGTGTCTCCCAGGCTGCATGATAGGCGGGTTTGAGGCAATGACGACAGCAGGGCGGAAGTGTCAATATGGGCACGGTGCATCTTCCTGAGGTTATCCTTCTTGATAAAGGCGTTGATACTCGGCGCTGGCGGAATCTGTGTTCTTCTCCAATCGCTACTAGAGGATCGTGAAGAGCAACATGCAAGGCCCTGCCTCTTCCACATGGTTTAACGAACGACGTGCGGATGATGGAAATCGACCAAGTCAGCGAAAGCAAAGCCAACACCGGCTCGGGGGTCCAGCTGACATGCGCCGTACAGACACCACCGCGACGCCTGTTGGCTCTGCTCTGTGCCACGCATCAGACTGGCTTGTCCCTAGGGAACTCAATATCGTGAGAGGCCGATTGCGACTGGGCCAAAGATGTCACGAGGGTCTCATGAGGGATCAATCGCCCTCAGCACAGCATGATGGCGCTACCTAGCTTGTCTAGCCAGCCGGCTGCTTGCCCAACTCAACAATGAGGAACAGACAGATGCCCAGAAGACCAAGACAGCCACTCAGCGTCGACGCTCTCATGCTATTCCAGGGGCTGCGAGCGCCGAGGGATTCAGGTAGGATCCAGAGTGCCAGGATGCCAACCTGCACTTCCTCCTTCTTACTTGGGTGGCCCAGAACTCCAGCATTGGATGAAAGGAGGCATTCGCTTATTTATTATTAGGAAGGGGGCTGATGATCCCAGGACAATCGACGCTCCAGGCGGATGCGATGGCGCAGGGGATATTACTGATGATAATCCGGCAATCCCAATATGTGACATTTATCAACGCCCAAGTGATCGCCAATGGGTACAGGGAATAAGCTGACATCCATATGTTGCCAAGTTGCCAATGCCGGACAAGACTGGAGAAAGACGGTTAGATGCTCGGAAGCAGCCGTGGTCAGGTGGACCAGCTATGGTCAAAATCTGGGGAGCTGGTTGGCCTCTGTTTCCCGATGACAGGTGGTGACAGGAGGATGCTGGCAGAAAGAAGGGCTGGAGAAGGATGATGGCTGTTGGCTGCGGGAATGTTGGATGTTGGTGTGGGGACACGGTCAAGAGGGAAGCACGACGAAACTCAAACCGCCACGAGTCCCGCAACTAAAGAATCCTTGTCCACGACCCCCCAAATTGCGGTCAAGCAGTCGAGTGTGTCTCTGTCTGCCGGTGACATCATTGTCTCGGGCCAAAAATGGGACTGCTCTTTTCGGACCCCTGATCCAGTCCGTCGAATGGCACCTGCAGTGATGATGGCATTCTCCTCTGGCCACGCACATCACACCTCCTGACCTCATGTTTGCTCGGTGGCTGATGGGCTATGGCTGCTTCCGCTGTCATATCCCGCAGTGCCCGTCTACCCGCCCCCCTGGCTCCATCCATCACGATCCCTAATCCCCCTTATTCCCACTGCATACTTTAAGCATGAGACCCCCAAACCCACACCGTCGGCAGTCCATCCTTCGGTCTGTTCCCCGACTTTGCAGTTGACAACTTGACACTTCGATTCCGACTTTAACCTCAACCCCCGTCAACTCACCTCGCCTCAACCATTAATACCAACACACAAACACCACTACTTCCAACAACCCGTCATCAGAATACGAGCAAGTCCCATCGGCATCGCGGTCATTCCCGCCACCAACTCGCTCATCCCACCAATCACACATACCACACCAAACCGCCCCAAGATGCCTCTCTCGCCACCCGACCCGCGCAAGTACCTGCCATCGAGGGCGCACCCCGACCACCGCAGCCAGCGCAAGGAGCTCGAGAAGAAGCACCCGTTCGGCTACACCGAGCCCATCCTACTCGGCCTGCTCGGGCTGGGCCTGGCCTGGAACATCGAGCACCAGGTCAAGCACCACGAGGAGCGCAAGGACAAGGAAGAAGAAGAACGCCTGAAGCGCGAGGACCGCGAACGGCGGCGGAGGGAGAAACAGCGCGGCGGAGGTGGAGGAGGTGGTGGTGGATCGTCGTCGCGGCGCGGGGATAGCGTGGGAGGCGGCAGCAGCGAGATGCGGAGCGATACTCGTGATCGTGATCGTGCTGGCAGCAGCGCCCGCGGCGGATCGGGGTCGAGGGATGACGCGCGCGAGTTCCGCAGCTCGAGACACCAGTCGGTGGGCGGCCAGCGGTCCGATCTGCGATATGTTGAGAGACAACAACCCCCGCCCCCGCGGCGCGAGGAGCGCCATGTGGACGACCGCTACGAGGACCGGTACGACGACCGCGTCCCTCTCGGCAGGGGCCGTCGCGACTCCTGGTGATGTGGACTTGGCATCGTCAGTCTCTTTTTTCAGCGGCGTTTGTTTGGACAGGAGCGACAGCGGAATCATACAAGAACAGCGTGCGAGGCGTACAGCGGACAGTACTCAACAGCGTTATATCTTACATTACAGTCGCACGGCGCAATGGTTTCTCGGCGGCTACTCGAAGGACTACTTTCATCAAACATCGGGGCAGACAACAAGCATAAATTCAAAGAAACGAAAGATGTTTTGATGTTCACGAGATATGAAGGGTGTCGGTGTTTGGATCGAATATTCAGGGATTCAGCTGTATCATATATCCACAGTTCACAGGCTTTATTCACATGGCTGCCACCGTAAACATCTAAACCTATGTACAAACTCCAAGTCTTCAACCCCCGGTTTCGTGATCCGCGTGTATCTCATGATTCCTCCTTTCCTGTATGTGTCCAAATCACGCCTCGGCAAGCGTCTTCTCCGCCGCCTCCACCAGAATATCGAAATGCGGCTTGACGTGGTGCTCCCTCACCAAGACCGCCGTCGGGTTGTGTCGGATGGCAAACGTGCCACCCACCACCGTGCTCGACAGGAAGATCCTGCCGTCCGCCAACACCCTCTCATACATCTTCTTCGTAAGCTCATTCTGCTCATCCAAGCTCGCACCCTCCCCACGTCCCCTCATCTTAAACGCCGTCAGCGCGAACACGGGCCCGGCAACAATCTCAAACAAGTCCGACCTCTCCCTCACCATGGCGGCGAAGCCCTCGGCCAGCGCGACGCGGTCGCGAATGTGGGACCGCAGCCCGGCGATGCCGTACGAGCGGATGACGAACCAGACTGTTAAGCAAAATAGAGTCAGTACCGTAATTACTCCTTCTTTGACGAGAAACAAAAGAGTCGGAAAGCGTGTGTGTCTCGGGAGCAAGGGCTCTCTCTTGACACAGGCTAGGAGAAGAGGAAATTCGCCCCTGAAACAAGGCCATATGGGGCAGGGTAATTAGAGACGTCGAAAATGAATGTACATACCCTTGAGGGAGCGGAAGCGGCGGCCGAAGGGGATCTGCCAGTCGCGGTAGTCGGTCACGAGGCCGCTGTCGGTGGCGGCGTTCTGTAAGATGGGCAGCGTGACGGACAGCGCGTCGGTCAGGTCGCGCCGCGAGCGCACGAACAGCACGCTGCAGTCGAAGTTCACCAAAAGCCACTTATGAAGGTTCGTGTTGAAGCTGTGGAAGCGGTCGAAGTGCGTCGTGAGTACCGTGTTGTACTCCGGGCACACGAGCGAGGAGCCGGCGTAGGCTGCGTCTACGCTGGAAGGGGTGGGGGTTAGGTCAGTCGGTGGTCCAGTCTTATCTCTTCACGTCTGGGCTAGGGGTGATGTCTGGGAGCCATGCACTCTCGACTTGGAAATCCTCGAGAGCGCGTGGTCGCACAAGCTGCCCCGACAGAAGTACGATAGGGGCGTGGAAAACAGGAAACTCGGGATCACCTACTGCACCCAGATCTCCCCCTTCTGCCCCGGCGGCGCCAGCTCCGCCAGCACCTCCGCGATTCCCGCCATGTCGTCGACGGCACACACATCGGTGGTACCCATCGTAGCCGTGAGGTAGAATGGCTCGAGCCCGCGCCCGCGCAGCGCCTCGATAGTCTCGCGGAGCCCCTTGCCCGTCATGGCATAGCCATCCTCAGCCCGCACAGAGACCGCGCGGTGCCGCACACCGGCGATTTGCGCCGCCTTCTTGGTCGCGCTGTGCGTGGCCGTGGATCCCAGCGCGACAAGTCGCCCGCGCCGCAGCGCTATGGCATCCTCGCGCTCGTCCTCGTCGGTGATTTGCGCGGTTGCTTCCCGGAGGTACTTGTCGCGTGCGGCCACCATGACTGTGGCGATGGCTTCGGACGTCGTGCCGTGTATCACGCCGCCGCCGTTGGTGGGGCCTGTTGAGAGGAAGCAGGGCGGCAGGTTGAAGGCGCGGGCTATCCAGTCCAGGACTGTGTGCATGCGAGGAGCATGTCAACATGTTGGTCTCGAAGACGGATGAACTACCCATGTGTCTCACAATGATATCACGAGGGAGGGGGCAACGTGGCTCATTTGAGAAATAGGCTAGGGATCTTGAAAGGGGATGTTATGATACGTACCTATGGTTTCCAGCTCCGTCACGGCCGGACTGCAAATCCAGTTGAAGGCCGCCCCTGTGAAGGCCGTCGACCACATCTCGCCCAGCATGCCTGGGTAGCTGCTAGATGACGGAAACCAAGCCAGGAAGTTGGGGGATTGCCTGTGCGCGTGCCGCCGTCAGCCTTTCGCTTCTCTAGTATGAGACTGAGAGACATTGCGCGAACCAGTGCGTGATGCCGGGCATGATCTTGGCTTCGATATCCTTCTGGATATCGGCCCACGGCTCGCCCTCCTGCGGTGCCTCTTCCGGCAGCAGCTTTCTCAGGTAGCCCGGCTCCACAGTGGGTGTGACCCGGCGATCCTCGATGGTCTCATAGTAGATGATGACTAGGAAAGGGGGTGAGCGATTGGCCTAGCAAGTGGTATAGCTCCAGGCTGTTGGTGGTTTGGGACTCACTCTGGTCGAGAGACGAAATGGCCGCTTCTCGGAATTGCTGCGAATCCATCTTTTCCCCTCTTTCCCACAATGCCTCACTCTCTAAACCTCGTCTTGTAGCTCCAAGAACTGTAACAATGAGAACTGATCAGACAATGAGCACCGCTTATATTGCAAGGACTCTCTCGAGATTTGAATGATTGTTATTCCGAGAATACGGTCCTACTGCCAGGTGAGATAGGGTTCCCGCTATCTGTGACGAGCCGATCCACTGGGCCGCCGTCTTCCCAACTGCCGTCTTCTTGCTAGTCTACCTAATGCAATAGTGTGGGGCTGGCATACCATCATCGGAAGGCGCAACGCAATCACTTTCGTGTCGAACTCAACTTCGCAGCCAACCTGCCCTCGCTATGTACTACTCGCCACCAACGCTGGAGAAGGCTGACGTTCTCCGGGATGTCAGCCTCCGGCAATCCCTTAGCCTTGAGAACACTGTTCCAGAACAGTATGTCCGATCGTCCATTGCCATCTCCTCAGATCGTGTCTCAGGTGTCTTGACCATGCTCGCTGGTATCAGAAATGTGGCGGCTGATAAATGCCAGCACAATACACGATAAGTCTTTACCTGTATCTACTCCATGACCTCTAGAGATATCGGGCCTCATCCCTCGCTTTGTGCCATCCCTGGAGAGTTCGCGCAGGGCTTAGCCGGCCACCAGTGTCGTGGATAATCGTTGCAGCAGCGGTCCATGTGAAGGAGTCAAAGTCCCGGAGTGATACGGGAAGGACGAAAAGAAGTCTTTAAGATCCGTTCCGAATGGGAAAAGCTGACACCAGCTCGTGGGACTCGCCCAGAGCCGCAAAGCCACGAGACGCCAGCTTCGGCCCCCGATAACGTTGGTTGCGTTACACGAGAAAGATCCGAGGCTTAAGACCTAGAAGAGGGAAAGAGTCAGGTCGCACAGACCCATAGCTGGCGTCCCCTTGGGGCCGACCCGTCGTGCTTCTCGATTGTGAACAACTCCCAACTTCCGTTGATGGTCGCGGAAGTGACCAATCAGCTGCATAACTCTGTATCACATCGGAAGGACGTGGACTGACGAAGAATGCTGATACACACCAATCACAAATATGTTCGCGAAGGTTGGTGCATTTGGAGTGATACTCAGCCACTCACTCCGGAGTCCGGACTACAGGCTGGAAATACTACCAACTGGAAGAGCAAATATCCACTCGCCCTGTGAGACTGTTCACAATATGAGGCAATACTTCGAGGTTGCGAGTCATCAGGCGTTACATATGGAACCCTACTAAGACCAGGGGGGAGGCGTTATATCGACGACTATGTATTCTTCCAACCACACAGTGGCGTCACCTTCAGATGGCTTTGATTTCTCTCAAACTCTTCGACCGCAAGGGAAGAGCCAGACCTAAATACCCTGGAATACAACAAAATCAAAGCCCCCGTGCTGTACGCTAAGTGTGACTTTCCTCGGCATATTTTCCATGCTCCTCCGGTGGGGTCACTCGACGGCACCGCGCCTACAATGGGCGTACTCGGATATTTGATTTGGTAAGTGTAGCTGCAGGAAGGCCGGAAATGTAAGTGGCAATACTGTGGTCTCGAATAGTCTGCAGGTCCACAAGGTCTATTGTGCATTAATAGCGTATAACTATATCCAAGCCGTATCGAGAAGCACATAGTCCATCAATTTATTTTATCATTAACGTCTTCGACCGCAAACAAAGCGCCAAACCCGGGCACCCCATATAGAAAACCAAACTAAGATACCCCAAAGAAAAAGCCAAACCCAGATACCCCAAAGAGAAAGCCAAACCATGCTCGAGACACCTTATTCCCTCCTTTAACCACCACCCCCCCCCCTTCGAGTTGAATGCAAGTTCATATATCCTGACATTGGGACTTGTGCATGGACGCCTACTTCTTGGAAGATTTCTTAACAAGATGTATGGTATCAAAGACATTCTCATACGCATCCAAGACAAAGGCAGTGTAGTGGAGGCGCTTGTCTTTGGGACTCTCGTGTTCGACCTCTCTGTCATTGTGAAACCGACTGTCAGTAAGTGTCTCAGTTTAGAGGACAGGGTATTCATTATATACTTCATAGCGATTGTGGCTGCATTTGGATAATTAATATCATCGATGTTATCCTGGACAACCTTTGCGAATTTTTCCTGAATGGCGCTCGAAGGGATTGTCAGGAAGCATCCCGTGAACAAAGGAACCATTCGTGTAAATATACATGGCCTCCGCGCCTGATTAGTACTGTGCCTCTCTGCAGAACAACATACTATTTACCCTCCCCCCCCAATATGGTTGGCCTTCTGACAGGGATGCCCTCCGGCCGGTCCCACTCTGTCGTCTTATTGACAATAGCGACCGCAATGGGGAAGATACCCCCATTGTAAGCCTTGTTAACATGCGTGAACGCCTTGAGGCGGGACACGAAATAGGCCACCATTTCGGTATACAGTATGGATTGGCGATGGGACTTCTTCGGGATGGGCAGCTTTGCAGTGAGATATGGACTGTGACGAGCCGTCTAACCTATAAGGCTAAAGGGTTCTATAGGGTTTATGTTCTGAGGTAAGTCAACACAAAAGACGATAGAGGCTTCTGTCAACTAGAAGACACTCAGATGCTGGGGCTTGGTCTGAACTGGGTTCACTGAATAGTCGAGTCGTCAGGAGATTTCTCCCACCTTAGGGTTGGCTAAGATGCTTAGATTGATCACTGAGGTAGAGACTGTCTATCTGTCTAGCTAGGAAATGTCCATCCTTATATATCCAATCTCTCCCTCACTGATGGGGTGGATATGTTGGATAACCTCGCTATATAAGCTATCCATCACGTGATGTCTTGATCACGTGACCTCGACGTTTCCTTAGCCCGTGCGTTCTCCCGGGTTCTTCCAGTTACTGTCCATCTTGTTGGGCCGGCCAGCGGGCCTCATTCCCTGTACGCCTCGTTGGTTCGTAACATGGACTTAGTAGCAGAACTAGGGATCTTGAAAAATCTAGCAAATGCTAGGGAAGTGAAAGGTCGGGAGTGAGCTCTGACAAGGTGGTGAGTGTGAAGGTACAACAACTATAATAAAATTTGCCTTCATGTGGCAGGACATGGCTCTTTACATCTCTCCTATTGAACCACCTTGTTCACTCTTCCAAGCAAGTTGAACAACATTGAAAGACCCGAGACTGTTGGTTGGACCCTCGGTTGGCTGACATGTCTATCTCCCACGTCCAAGTGAAAGGGATTGGCAAGCTGGTATCAATCCGAACGTAAGCGGACGGGGCCGGAAACGTTCGCGGAAGTACCAACTGGAAAAGAAGATGAAAAGCCGAAGGGACTTTTGAGATGTCAACATGTTGTTGTTGTAGCATTTTACGCCGGTGGGACTGCCGCGTAGCCGTGTCAATCAGGGGCTCCAAGAGGCCGCTCAGGCATGCTAGGCTAGGTTTTATATGTACACATACACTTCCTAGCTAGCAGTCACGTCCGTAAACAACCGCCGCATTGAAGCCGGATCATACCGTGTCCCCCCTCCTCCAGGTGGAGGGAAGTATCGGCTGAGGTACACGGCGTATCGCCAGGTACAAGCCTCGTAGAGCTATAATAGGTGCCGCGGCATGCCGCGATGGTTCTCACGCGCCCCGTAGGGCACCACAAAGAAAGATGAGATGTCAACATAAGCGAGACAGGGGACCAATTCGACTGTTGGTAAGATCATGCCGGGGTGCTTGTGGAGCCAACAGACCGCTTACCTCCCAATCCGGCTCTAACCATGACTACACAAAGAACCGGGCACGGATACCAATGACTATCTTACAGTAAAGTCCGACCTGTGCCGCCTCCTGGTACGAATAGAACTACCAACATTCTCGGATCCTACGTTGGTCGAAACTCGGCAGCCATTCAAGAGCTTCGTGACGGCGCAGCCTTTCTTCACTCTTCTACACACGTGGACTTGCCGCAAACGTCAAGACGATGGTACTATACGGGTTGCGATTGGTATGCTGCTACGCCGCGTTCTCGCGCCAACACGGCCATCCTTCCAATGCGAGTGGAGGCGAAGGCTTGCAAGACTGTGCGAAAGACATATAAACCCCAATAGTGCGTACTGTGTACAAGGACACTCCTGACTGATGAACCCTGTCAGTCCTGTCAGCCCTGTCAGCCCTGTCACATCCCGGGCCGCGTTGGTGCCATGGGGGGTTCCTTACCGCTGTATCCAACTGCCACTTCCACAGTGCCGTTCCAACCAACGGTGTAATCATCCGTCCTACCTAGACTCCAGCTCCGTACGTTCCTCACAGCTTCCGTACCTTCACCCACCGTTCTGCAAAGCTGTCCCCATCGCAGCCCGGCCACGCGAAGATGGCGAATGACCTAGCGAGCCTGAAAAGTGTCACATCTGACACTTGTCGCATCTATTCTGTCGACCGCCTTCTCCAGAATAGAGGCAACCGGTTCTTCGTCTACCTTGCCACGTATGTGTGCACACGCAACCGTGACGATACCATCAATTCCACTGACCAGCGTTGGCTTCAAGGGCAGGTGACGAGAGATTCGTCCTCAAAAATGTCACAGAACCTAGTTTCATCACCTATCAAGGCATTTTTCAGGATCTTCGCGGCTCCCAGTATCTACGTGTCCCATGCGACAAGGCCTCGGAGCAATCGATCTTCGTATATAGATACTTCAGCGACCATCTCCTCGATCTGGCTGAGGAGCAGCTGCCCCTCCCAACTACGAAGCGCATATTGAAAGACGCATTGCGTGGGCTTGCATATATGCACGACCGGGACATCGTACATACCTGTATAATGTTCAACCACCTGCCGTCATACTTACAAAAGCTAACAAGTTGTAGATATCAAACCGGACAATATCCTCATTCGGCGGAAGGACCTCAACAGTATTGCTGTAGAGGAAGTCCAGCTCGCCGACTTGGAAGACTCTGCACATGTATCCGTCGACTGCGCTATCTTTGGGAAGCAGGTGGGCAACTGGATGTGGCGTAGTCCCGAGGCACACGCATCGGGTCCCGTGGAAAAGCCCACTGACATGTTCTCCTTCGCTATTGTGGTGAGTCTGGGACAAGTCTCCCACACAACTCCTTCGCAGGTATAGACAGTGCTGATAATATGCATGCAGTGTATTTAGGCTGTACACCAAGATACCATATTCTTTATAAGCGAAGATAAGCTCGCGGAAGGCGAAGACGTGTTGTCTCGTGTACTGGAACGTCAGATATCCTACTTTGCCGATGCGGAGGGGTTCTCTGGGCTGATGCACCACCTCGGCGATAGTCTCCGGGTTGAGGATTTCAAAGTCGCTCTGGAATGCTCCAACGAAGACAATCCGCTCAAACCAGTAGCACTGTGGGGTCACGTTGATCCTGACCTGAGGGACCTTGTGGGACGGTTGACCAACTTTGATCCGGCCAAGCGGCTCACTGCGCGTGAGGCACTGGATCACAGGTGGTTCAGTGAAACCTAGATCCGCAGTCTACAAACATATAACCATCTCCTCTCTATGTGTCTAAGGGATGAGATGCCTCTTCGTGGCATGCGCCTTATTTCCGTGGAACCCAACAGGGGTGTTAGGATATGAGCTGGTATAGGTCTTTTTCAAGGATCTTGGCTTCCGCTGGGGCCCAGTCGAAGCTGCTGCTTGACTTGGCTTTCATGCCTGGCAACCCCAAGCGGATCACAGGAGTCAAAGGGCCTAGTCGAGTATGCTTCGTTTACCATTCAGCAACTTCTTGCTCCACCTGCCTTCACCGACTCGGTTTCGCTGGCACACCCTCAGAGCGAAACAATCTTCTCCGCCCGCGAGGACGACAATTCTCGCCGAAACCCCGAAACGCACATCACTCATCTCGGCGTCACTTCGACCTCCCAGCCATGCCACCTACGAACCGCGAGTCAGCATGCGATACACAACCAGGTTCAGCAGCGAGCTTCAGCGAAGCGTACCTCGTCGGAAAAGCACCTTGCTCAACCCACTTCCCACCCCCTGGGCCCGGCGGCCCGTCCAGCTCATTCAGCACCTTGAGGTCGAAGTTCAGGAACAAGCTGGCGAGCGTCTTCGAGCAGACGAACCTAAAAAGCGATGAGTGTAAGGGTCAGCACATGTCTCACTCAGAAAGTCCCTGAGGACTGTAGGATGTCTGGGACGACCTCCAGGGGATCTAATCCATCAGTATACGTACCAAGCGAGGTGCATGCCCGGGCATCTGCGGCTGGGACCGCCGAAACTACATCACCGAGGGGGACACTGGTCAGCTATCGGGACCGTGTGAGACGAGCAGCGGGCACGACGTATGTGGATGAATATGGAGGAGGACAAGAATGAGCTGCAGCACTTACGCCAGATTCCTGCCCTGCATATCATTTCTCCTCTCCTTACTCGCCTCCAACCACCTCTCCGGCCTAAAGCTATCCGTCTCGGCACCAAAGACTTCCTCGTTGCGGCCCAGCTGCCGGGGGTTCATTCCCACGGTGTACCCCTCGGGAATATAATACCCGTCAATCTCTACCCCTCCCCTCGGCACGGTGCGCGGGAGAGCAATGGCGACGTTTGGCCAGAGGCGCATGGCTTCGTGCATGCAGGCCTGCAAGTACAGGAGGCCAGCTGCGGCGTCGTACGATACCGGCTCGTCGCCTTTGGTTATGAGGCCTGAGGTTACGGCGGTGTCTAGTTCCGCTCTGAGCTGGGCGTAGGCGGACGGCGTTTGGCAGACGCCAATGATTACGGCGGACATGGTTTGGCTCATCGTGTCGATGCCGGCGCCTATGTTGGTCTTGGAGAGCTGGCTGCCCCAGTTCGCGCGGAAGTCGGGCTTTTCTTTTGCGAGACGGTGGAAGTCGGTGTGCATACATTCTGGTAACTCCTCCTGGCCGCCGGCATCGCGGGCTTTCTGGTGCGAGTCTATCTGGTTTCGGGCGAAATAGAAGACGGGGACTTTGGGCGCGGGGAGGAGGGACGCCATCCAGGGCATGAGCTTCTTTTCCACGGTGTTGAGCCAGGGGAGGAAACCTAGCCAGCCTACGTGCTGTGCGGAACGGCTATCATCAGTCGCAATTCGTCTCGACGTATGCCTGGGGCGGTTGACGTACCTCCCAATGTGCCCATATACTCTCCATGTGCCCACCATCACTCCCCGCCTCGACGGCGCCGAAGGGCTTCTTGAAAGTCACCTCGCACACGGTGTCCACGTTCAACAACTCGATTTCATGATAGAGATGCAAGGGTTTGCCAGCGAGGCCTTTGAGGCGTTGAAGCCAGCGGGCGATGTTGTTGTTGATTAGGCCTTCGTGCTTCTTGACGTTGGCTGTTGAGTAGATCGGGCCTGCGGTACGTTTCTAAACGGCAATGAGGTAGTGTATCAGTGGTTGACTTCCCTCGCCATCGCGTGACTGCGTTCGCAAGGCTGATATGATGGATGTGGATGCCTACCTGTACCCTCAATTTCTCAACATCAGTCTCGACAAGCAAATCCAACTTGTCCTACAAACCAACTCGTATCAGTATCACCTCACATCTCAAAAGCAGCCCAAGTACTCACCCAGCCCTCCTTCTGCGGCATCCCCACAGGCGCCTCATAATACCTACTTTTGACATACTTCGTCCCCGCCCCATACACGGTCTTGAAATACTCCGGGCTCGAGAAGATAACCTCGTCCGGCGTGATACGGACGACGCTTCCGTATCTCTTGTGGAGATCTAGGTCCAGGCGAGGGCGGCGGGTGTGCATGCATTGCCATGCGAGCCAGAGGGGTGCCAGGCTTGCGAGGAAAGGGCCAGGGACGCGGGAAAGCGGGTGCAGGAAGCGGGTGTAGAAGATGTAGGCTGCTAGGGCGAGGAGGGGGTAGTAGAGGTGCCACATGGTGGTGACGGTGCCGCGAGGAATGGCACGATGAGCACGCAGAAGTGAGCTTCAAATGGTTATGGTCTCGGTCTTTATGTGTTTGCCCAGCTGACGTGGTCTACACCAGGACCATGCTCCTACATATATATTCGAACGAAAGTTCCGAAGGATGCTTACGGATGTCCAGGATGGTAAGCAGTAGCGCCCTTCACACCCCCAATTATCTTGATGGGTAGGTACCAACACACCTGGTTTACGGCAGAGAATACATGGTTTATCATGGTACCAAAGATGAGTTCGGAGTCGACTCTCACTCAGCTGTGTGGGGAAGATCCAAAGCCTGTCAAGGAGGTCGTTGAACAGCCGACACCATGCGATCTATTCGAACGTAGCATGTGCCATGACGATTCGTGGTCATTCGTAAGATTGTCCTTCGCAACCATAGCGGACAGTATACCAGGTGAATGGGAGATGGTGTCAGGGGTTTCGTCTGGTGTAACCTGTTGGTGCTACATGTTGGTGCCGTCTATCGGCGACTGCTAACCAACATCAACCAACATACCCTCATTAACATCTTCGAAAGCACCTGGGACACAAATAACTTTCACCAAGAAGCACGCTGATCCGGCCATTAGAGTCGAAATCAAAGATCATCATGATGACCGGCTTCTCGTGGCGCCACATCCCGGCCATCCTCTCGGCGACTTCTATGTTCCTCGGCGGGCTCTTCCACGGCGTCGCCAAGGCCCGAGAGGCTCTACTCATTTACGGCATGTCGGAGGCAATCAGCAATTCGCGGGAGGCTCAGGTTGTCTATTACGGGCACACGATAAGGACAAGCACTCTGGGTCTCCTCGTTTTCGCCTTCTACCTTCAGGGCAATCTCGCTGCAGTCGACACGACGATGGCTATCATGGGAGCTCACTGCGGCATCGTCGATGTGCTTCTGCTTTGGTACTACGGGAACCACAACCGACGTATCAAGAAGTATACTCACATGCAGTAACTAAAAGGGACCTTATATCTTTTGAAAGGAGCACTCTACACAGACTTCTAGCGGCCAGATCTGGACATGGCGACTTTGCTAGATATCACGAACGTTTTGGGCATACAGACTCAAATAACCACTGCAGCTGCGATGAGAAGAAAACACCACAACACATTCTCTTTTGTAAGAGGCTTGGAAAAAACCGACTGCTGCCCAGGTACTCGCCTAGGACAGCCTGTTTACAATACTTGGGGGAGAGGAGCGCAGAATGGGCAAGGTTTGTTGAGAAGAACAAGTTCTTTTCATCAATCTGCCCCCGATAGATAGCTGTTCTTGAAGGACCAGATGGATGACCCCAAAGTCATACAGCCGCAACAACGGGAATGGGCTCGGGAGCGGGACTGACTGTACTTATTATCTTGATACCTCCACAACCCTGCGATGCAGAGGCTCTGGGAGGCGTGGTTTGCACTACTGAGGAGCGATCCCCCACGTTAAATACAATCAATCAATCAATCTACGGGAACCACAACAAGGTCCCCGTGAGGCTCTTGAATGTCCTGTTCATCGCCACGTGGGGGGTTGCGGGTATGACGGCTGGGTCGCCTCAATAGACTTGAGGTGTGCATTTGGGAGCTCCAGGGAGGTTGTATAAACCAGACACTGCTATTACCACAAGCTCCGAATCTACTCGATGGTCAATCGAGAATTGTGCACCAACAGCAGCAACAGAGCTGTGTTTCCTAGTCGCCGTTTTGCGTTTCCCGTTTCAAAAGAAAAATGTATCTCAATCTGCTTTGTATTCCCAATTGCCGCTTGAGGATCGTCAACAAACCTGGCGCGCTGCCTGCTGACGACTGAGAAGAGTTGATGAGCTGCATTTTCGTCTCACCGCCAATCCCACCACGGAATATATTCAGCTGGCAATATAAGCCGACATGGGACGAGTATTTGACCGTTGTAGCCGACCACTGCAGCAGGGTTAGCTTTCCTTGCTCACCTTGTTATTCCCCGGAGTCGACACATCACCTGTACCACAACGAAGCACACATCCTGATAATTATGCTCTTCGGCAGTCGGCTTGCTGTGGTTTCCTCAGTACTGGTGAGCACTATCGAGGCGATCAATATTCCTCCACGAACGGGTCACTACCGGTATCAAGTCGGGATCAACAAGCATGTCATTGAGCACCTCAACGCGAATGACCCTACGGCCTCCGGCAACGTCAGCCCATCGTTTCTGGCGACGATATTCTACCCCACAGCGGCATATTCCCATGGCGCCTCTACGCCGTATCTGAACCCTGGACTGGGGTCGCTGTATGAAGCGCGGTGGAACTTCACCCCTGGGCTGCTGGCGTCGCTCACCTCGACAGTCCAGAAAGACGCGCCCTTCTTGTCAGCTGGGGACCAGACGCTCTTTTCGACGTTGCTATTTGGGGGCGGCGGGGGTGGACATGCGACAGAGTGTTACACGATACTTGTCTCGGAGCTGGCTTCGCATGGCTATACCGTCGTCGGTCTTGACCACCCGTACGAGCAGCCCTTTGTGTGCTACCCTAATGGAACCGGTGTCTTCGGATGCCATTCAACTACAGTTGGACCACCCCGCTCATTGAAGAGGTCTACGCAATGCGCATGCAAGATACGGCCGTGTTTTTGGACCACCTGCCCAAGCTCGCGGAGGAGCTTGAGGCGCCCTTCAACACGAGCTACGTAGGGGCGTTCGGCGGCTCCTTGGGCGGCGCCGCTGCAGTCGGGTCGGCGTACGATGACGAGCGCATTCTCTCGGCCATCAACATGGATGGAACTTTCTTTGGAAGAGCCGCGGTTAGCACCAGCGACGCAGACGTACAAAAACCGACCCTTATGCTCGGGATGGAGGGACACACCGGCGTGAACGCTTCGTTGGATATCACGTGGGGAACCTTCCCACGCTGGCAAACGGACTACTTCAGGAAGATACTCGTGAAAGGGGCTACGCACAGGGACTTTAGCGACATCACCTTTTGGAAGACCGTTAGAGGATCGGTCAGGGATGCCGGGCCCATCAACGGGACACGTCAGGTCGAGACCATGAATGCGATCGTAAGAGCGTTCTTCGACTTCACGCTGCTGGGCATACCCTCGCCCGTCCTAGACGCGCCCTCTAAAGAATTTCCGGATCTAATCTTCCATGGGAGAAATAAACCTACGTGATAGGCGCGTTAAAGGGGGGTTCGGTTTTTTGATTTGATTTGATTTTATAAAGAAAGATAAACACACACTTTAAAAAAAAAACCTAGTCCTTAAAGCTTTAAATAATGCTTTTTATTTAACGTAAAGTTAGACTTTTTTATTTTAAAACGGCTTTATAACCGCTTTCGTCTCTATATTAACTATAACGGCGCGACGACGTATTTGCGAAAACATTTAATTGAGATGCTGTTACGGGGGAAAATCAGGATCGATGGAGAGACCATGACATATCAGTGGACTTGACGGGCCGCTATCTAATTCCCACACAACAAGCATATCGATGGATATTCACCCTACTGACCATGACCACATCGTTCAGTTTACATTTGCCTTGAGTAAGAAGTGTCTAATTTGACAGTACTGCTGGGTTGGTTCATAGCAGCCATTTTACCACTGTCATCGTCTCATCGATCAAGTCCTGTAATAAGCATAGACGGCAGCTTGTGACCGGTTTGCAGCTTCAACGGATGAAAGCAATAGCCACGATTCCATCTAAGGTTTTCCTGGTCACTCTTCGCGACTGTGGTGGTCCTAATTGTCTTCACCGGAAGTGCTTGAACGCGCCGTAAAGCCTCCGGCCATACTGACACGGTTAGAATCCTGTTCGACACTGGACTAAACCTAGCCAACATGACCTGACCATCGTAGGCACGCCAAGTAACCATTATGAGATATGCTTTCATATTATCAGTCCAAGCCTTTTCTCTTCTGCTAGGACTTCGCAGAGCCAGGGATCCATCAGCCAGTCGTCGCCAGCAGCGAAGCTACTCGGCTGGAGTGGTCGTCTCGGTAAAGGGCCGTAACCGAACAGCTTATGCAAAAGCATCTTCATCCCGGCAAACTAATGGCAGAGAAAAGGTACGTCAGACAAGATTTCCCGATGAGTTCAAGATATGACTTACACCAATCTTCTGCATGAATCCGTCGGCAAGCGCCAGCTTGCCTTGCAGCTCTTGGGCCTCGGCGTATGCCTTTGACCCCGCAGGCGAGTTTGAAAGCTCCCAGAGGCGGACACATGTCCTCTTAACGACACGGCATCAGCTCAAGTCTGACCAGGAGCGGGGTATCAGGATGGGCGCGACATGGTCCAATTACTCACAGGAACAAGATTAGGCAAGCCAGAGATGGCCTGAGAATAGCTGGTCAATGAACAGTCATTATGGCCCATACTGAATGGTAAACAGACGAAGCAAGAAAGGCAGAAGGACCGTCGTACTTACACCGGCCGCTCCACTGGCTATTGACGGGAGAAGGATGTCGATGAAACCACTGCACGATTGATTGACGGGTAAGCGAGTGCAATCCCGAAGTGACATCAGCTAAGGCGTTTCGTACTCGATGATCCGAAATTCCTGTTCTCGATTTTTCCTAGGATGCTTCACTTTGAAGTCTTCTGAATGCACCATCGCGTTGACCCGCGTTATCTTTCCGACAGATGCACACCTACCCATGTGAACGATTTCCAAGTTAGCGAGCGCTTTGCTTTCCCGAAGGCGGTCCTGAAGAGACAACGATAGACAGACGGAGAGAGAGAGTCATCATACGTCAATTTCACGCCGACGATGTTCGGGCTTCGCCGTACGACGTCCACAATGAGATCGCTGTCGAGATCAATCCCGCCTGAGACGGCGGGGAAGTTGTAGACGATGACGGGCAGAGCGCTGGCCTCAGCCACGTCGACGAAGAAGGCCCGCAGAGCCTCGCCTCGGTTTTCCTGCAGCGCGGCAGCGTAGAAGCCCGGTGGGATCACCATGACGAAGTCGGCGCCGGCAACGGCCGCCTGCCGGGCCAACTGCATCGTCTCCCGGGTGCTTGGTGCGCCGACGCCGGCTACGATGGGTACATATGGGAGCCCGGCTTCGTCTAAGGCCGCCCTGGTCGTCTTGATCAGGAGAGTGCGTTCTGATGGGGACAGATGCGCTGCCTCTCCAGCAGACCCGGCGACAACGGGGATCGTGCCTGCCGATGCCGTGAAATGGATGTGTTTGGACAGAGCCTTGAGATCCAGCTCCTCATCTTCGTCGAAGAACGTCGGGATGGGCGTGTAGATGCCCTGAGGCAGCAGACGCTGTGTTGCCATGCTCATGTTGAAGACACAGATACGATGACGGCTCCAGACGAGGTTCACCTATGCAGTGTCAACCCCAACGCATGTACGGATATACCTCTGGCAGACTGGTCAATACTCAATATACTGGAAAAAGCGCCGGAACCGTAGCCGATACCATCCTTGTTCTTGTGGCCTAGACATAGCGACATTCTTGAATACGACTGCAACTCCTACACCGGCATAGATTCCGGACGCTGATCTCAGGGGATGAGTGGTATAGCCGGAGTGTACCGACCCGCCTTTATCGCTGACTCGGCGCTTGATCGCGACATCCGGCGGCTTTGATTGGCTGGGTTGTCCCGTACATGATCGGGACTCGCTCAAGATGCCGCCGCCGATTCGCCGCCGCCGACGCCGAACCGCTGGCGCCGAGAGACCATCTGGAACCTCCAGCTGCACGAGGGGACCCAAGAGGGAGGGGAGGTATGCGGATGTTGAGAGGCAAAGTACGTACTAAGCGCCGAGGTATACAGAGTGCCGGACACTCGGTGTCCCCCGGTGGTACGATATAGAACACCAGTTTTGGGCCGTCCTGACAGGAAACTGAAACCATATAAGGATCCGAATCTTAGAGACTTCTTCCATGTTGGGACTGCATTGTTTGATCATTCTCTGCATCATATCTCGATCCTCCGAGTCATCATCGTCTATTCGGCAGAAGACGACAAACACCTCTGCAATTCCAGGACAGAGACAACGGGCTCGGTAAACAAGATGACATCCACGACTGTAGAAGAGACAAGGACCAAGCCAACTACGAGCGCGCCGCTCTCCACGAGGCTGGTCGCCCGGGAATCGAGTGAGGACGGCTCGGCACGTGAGTACCACACAGGATCGTACCCAGGGTATGGCGTTTGCTAACTCGAGGGGATTCGAGTCTACCCGGACTATCTGCCCTTTTACGACCCGCTCGAGAAAGTAGATGATCTTGGAAACTTCGAGCATGTCGATCCAGGCCACCGCGCCGACCCCGCGCTCCCCAACCTACTGGCCAACGCTACCCGCGTCGTTGACCTCTCGCCGCACGTGGGCACCGAGGTCGAGGGAGTCCAGCTTTCCCAATTGACGCCCGAGGGCCTCGACGAGCTCGCGCTGTACGCCGCTCAGCGTGGTGCCCTGGTCTTCCGGAATCAGGACTTCAGCGACATTGGCTTCGAGGCGCAGAAGAAGATCGTGCGGCACTTCGGCCCCTTGCACGTCCACGGCTGGGCGCCACACCCCGCTGCCGGGTCTTCTGAGCACATGATTATCTACGATCACAGGGAGTACGTTACACGCATTGAGTTGCAAGGAAGGAGTTCGCTGCGAAGAGAATACATGTACTGACGCGCTGATGGCTAGTGACCTGCGAGTTCGCAAGTCGTGGAAGGGCAGGAGTCCCGTTCAGTGGCATACTGACCAGTCGCCGGAGCCCCAGCCTCCGGGAACGACGTTCATCTGCATGCTCGAGTCGCCGCCTACCGCTGGTGGCGACACGCTCGTGAGCTCGAGCGTAGCAAGTTACAAGGGCCTCTCGCCGCGCTTCCGCAAGCGACTCGAGGGTTTGACGGCGGTCCACTCCAACGACGACGGCGTGACGCAGGAGCTGCGCAACAACGGCACCGGCGCGGTCATGCGCCGCCAGCAGCTCGTGCAGGAGCACCCGGTCGTCATTGTCCACCCGGTGACGGGCGAGAAGGCGCTCTACGTCAACCCCGTCTACACGAAGCGCATCGTCGGCTTCGACGACGAGGAGTCCGACTACCTCCTACGCTTCCTCTTCGACCACATTGCCAAGCGCCAGGATTTCCAGTGCCGCATACGCTACGAGGCCGGCACCGTCCTCGTCTGGGACCAGCGCGTCACGAACCACTCCCAGACCCTTGACTACCCTGCCGGTGACAGGCGGCATGCCTTCCGCCTCACGCCGCTCGCCAACAAGCCCATTCCCGCCAAGGTGGAGGAGGATGATGGCGAGTGCGCCAAGGATCACGCGAGAGTTCAGCTGGGCCTTTGCTAGTCCAGGCGGCATGAAGAGTTGATGCGGGCGTATCGTTGACGGACCGATGATGCATTGGGATTAAGTGAACATTAATTAATATGATCCTCAGAGACAGATCTGAGCTATATGTAAGAGACTCTTAATTGTTCTCGCAGCGAGCCATTGGTATCAGAATGTAAACAGGACCTCGTCCGCAAACACGGGCTGCTGCCAATACAACTCTTTCCACTCAGACCATGACGCTTGAATATCACCAAAGCCCCCGTGGACGTCGTCAAATGCTGCTTGTTCTTCCGGTGCGCTGCCGTTCTGCCTGTGCCGCTCGTGATCCGGAGGCATTGGGGAACAAGCCCTACTCCCAACGTCTGTCTGACCGCTTGATGCTGGATCTGCCACCGGGAATTCTTGCGTGACTTGCCCCGCTTCCGTTCCGACGGTTGCCACGTCTTTCAGCCCGGAGCCACAGCTTGGGGCCGTTGCTGGGTTCGGCGCCGGCGGATCGAGCACCTCCGTACCAGTCCCGTGGCGGCGCGGCTGCTGCAGGCGCAGGGAAGACTCGAAGAACGTCAGGATAGTCTGCGCATTCGGCCAATACCTCGCGAGCTCCCGCAGCGACAACAGCGCCGAGTCGTACCGCCTCAGAGCCGAGATGGCGAGCACGGGGTTGGACAAGCGGACTTCGATGTTCAGCTGGATGAGCGCTGTGAACAGGCAGTTGACGCTCGACGACCACAGATGCCGAAGCTCGTCACGCTCGCACAGATCTCGAAATATGGACTGGATTGCGGCGGCCGCGGTGATGCAGATGTCCGAGTCCTCGCGCAACGCGTGCTCGTCGAGCTGCGTACGATGGATCAGGATCAAGACCATGTTGTATACGAGCTGCAGATTGGCCGTCCAGAGGTCGGTCGTAGGGCTTGCGTGAAGCTGAAGCGACGGAGAGAGCCGGAGAGACCAGTTCGCCAGCGCGTTGTCCATTTCCTGGATCAGCGCGTGGCGGCGCTCGGTTGTGGCCGCGATGCGAAACCGCTCACGCAGGATTCTCGAGACAATCGTGCAGAGCTCGTTAAGCTGCATCACGTAGTCGACACGACAATTCTCGCCACAGTCTTGGAAGTCGGATGCCCGGAGACGCTGGACGTCCGAGTCCTCTAGATGGATCGACAGCGGTCTGCCGTATTGCAACGAAACGAGCACGTCACATTGAAACAGCAGCCACCACACCCTCCTCCACATCCTCTTATTGTGCGGCACGAGCGTGCTGTCTTCGGCGTTTCTGTACATGCCAAGGCCTTTTGCCGTCGTCACTGCTATGCCCAGCCAGAACCACGCATTCGCCGAGACGTCTTCGGGACCCTCGCTGTGCCACGTGAGCAGCAGCGCCGCCTGAACGACGGTGTCCCGATTGGCTTCGAATCTGGCGTCGAAGAGACTCTTCGCCCGCCGGTAGAACATGGTCTTCAAGACTTCGTGGTCCGGCTGCGGCAGGGATGCGTGAGCGCCAACCAGCAGGATGGCATGGAGGAGGAGCAGCGATGGGGGATTCTGGGGATCGCGGGCCCGATACTGCTTCATGAAAAGGACCTCATCGACAACGGGAAACCCCGGGTTGACACGCGTGAAATAGGCATCAAGAAGTCGATCGACCACATCCTTGGCGGGTAGCTGGAATGCCTCCGCCGAGAGGTCAACGTCGGGCCGAGCGATGCGATTCGCGGGGAAGTGGAAGACGCTGGCCGTCCGCGCACCGAACTGCTGCTGGACGAGGAAATTGAGGTTGGACACGTCGGCGCCTACGTACGTAAGTCTCGCATCCTTGTCGATGGGCCGGATCGTGAGTTCTGGCTGATCAATGAACTCCACAAGATGCCACCCAGCCGAGCTCGGGCTCAAGGGGGCAGTAGCCGGGCTCACGGGGACGCCAGCCAGGCTGGCCGGAGGAGTACGCGCATGTGTCGGCGTCGCAGTGAGGGCGGCGACCGGGCTTGGCTCGGGCTCGGGCGGACGCGCCGAGCGTCGTTTGCGCTTTTCATGACGCCGACAGCCCTCTCGCAAGCCGTTGCGACAGTTGGAGCATGGGAAGCCAACTTCTTGCGCATCGCAGCGCACCTTTCTCAGATGACATGCGTTGCAAGCCGTTCGTCCTGGTCGCCGTCAGCTGCCCGACACTACAGCGGATAGGTGTTCTTCCATAGCATACCGGCTTGCGACCGAGTCACTCGTTGCATGCTCCGTACCGTACCGACGGGTCATTGCTGGGGATTGAACTGTCTCTAGGCCAGCGATACGTCCGAACCCTGTTGACTTCTACCGGACATGATCAAATGCCCACTTGTAGGGTAGCCTACTTACTCCTCTTACCAATTCATTCTGGTCATATCAACCGTCTCCATCTTCGGCGTTTCGGCGCGAACTCCTATCTCTGGGGTTCAGGGGTTCAGCACCGGCGCACTAAGGCGGCACTCCAGGAGGGTGGGCTAGCTTGGGGCTGATGCCTTCGCTTCGCCGAATCCATGCCGCATCGCGAGCCCGAGCATGCAGTAGGATTTCATACAAGAAAAGAGGATGTGCGTCAGGTATTTCTGACCCGAGCCAGAGAAGCACTAGTTGTCCGCGATGGATGAATTCGACCTTGTCATCACCAACGGTGTCTGCGTCACAGCGACAGACGTCGCGCCGCTCGACGTCGCCGTGAAAGATGAGAAGATCGTCCGTTTGGCGCCGTCGGGGTCGCTCAAGGCATCCCGTACCAAGCGGCTGATCGATGCGGAGGGTGGTTTCGTGACGGTATGATTGTACACAGCTGGCAGCATGATTCGATGTCGAGTGAACCGTACAGCTAACTGGCATTTAGCCCGGCGGCGTAGATTGCCAGTATGTGGCGGCATCGTGCGCTTGGAAGGAAAATCGGCAGTGAAGGCCGAACTGACAACCTGGTCTCATAGTGTGCATCTACAAGAGCCCAGCATGTTCGGCAAGGGATCCTCCGCAGACACGTACGAGACTGGCACGCGCTCCGCCATCGCTGGCGGGACGACCACGGTAGTAGCTTTCGCGCCGCAACAGAAGAGCCTCGATTCGGTGCTGACAGCGCTCGCGAACACTCACGAGCTGGCGCGGGACAACAGCTACTGCGACTATGGTTTCCACCTGCTGGTGGCGAACCCTTGCGCCCGAGCCCTCTCCGAGTTTCAACAGCTTGCCAGCACAGAGGGCGTGACGTCGCTCAAGATTTACATGACGTATGAAGCGCTGCAGCTGCGCGACAACGAGATCCTGAGCGTCCTGCTCGAGGCGCGCCGGAACTCCATCCTCACCATGATCCACGCCGAGAACGGTGACGTGCTGGCATGGCTCACGGAGCAGCTCGAGGCTGCCAAGCTATTCGCGCCCAAGTACCACGGGCACTCGCATGCGCCGATCCTCGAGTCCGAGGCGACCAATCGTGCTATCGCGCTGAGTTCGCTCGTCGCCGACACCCCGATCCTGCTCGTCCACGTCAGCGAGCCGGCAGCGGCGCTGCGGATCCGGGCGGCGCAGACGGCAGGCCAGCCCATCTTCGCCGAGACATGCCCCCAGTACCTGTTCCTGACGCGTGACGACCTGGACCAGCCGGGCTTCGAGGGTGCCAAGTGCGTATGCGCGCCTCCACCGCGGGATGCCGAGGATCAGAAGGCCATCTGGCGCGGCTTGCGGAACGGCACGTTCGCCCTCCTGAGCTCGGATCACTGCCCATTCCGATTCGACGATGCCGAGACGGGCAAGAAGACGTGCCTGTCCGAGGAGTATCCCGTCGGCAGGTTCCGCCACATTCCCAACGGGATCCCCGGTATCGAGACGCGGTTGCCACTAGCCTTCTCGGCGCGCAAGATGGAGATGACCAAGTTTGTCGAGGTGACGTCGACGAACGCGGCCAAGCTGTACGGCCTGTACCCGAGAAAAGGCAGCCTGATCCCGGGCGTGTCCGACGCCGACCTGGTCGTGTGGTATCCCGACGGCGCGCTGGGGGACATCACGTTGACCAATGACATTCTGCACCACGATGTAGACTACACGCCGTACGAGGGGCGGAAGCTACAGAACTGGCCGCGTTTCACCATACTGCGCGGCAGAGTAATGTGGGATAGAGATGGAGGAGGGGTTGTGGGGGACAAGAGCTACGGCGAATTCTTGAAGCGCCAGAAGAGCACCCTAAACGCGATTTGGGACACGGTGCAGGAAGAAGGTCCTTTTGATCTGGAGAAGCTGTAGGCTGGGCAGACATGAACGAGGCGTCCCTAGTCTATCCAGATGATGCCGGCGCCGGATATGAGGTGTAGATGACTTTACGGTACACTCAGCCCTCATAAGTCTCCGTCTGGCATGCCTCTATCAGTCTTTGGATCTCAATCCTACATTCATATTGATGGAATAAGCACCACAGAATAAGCAGGTTTGATCCAATTAGCCATTCTCTAAACTTATTCCACCACGATTATTCCACTTCCGAGGAATACACCCCTCGGGTGCCGAACAAGGGGGTACGGAGACTTTTGGAAGTTCAGTGTATCAAGAGTTCATGATTATCACCAGGGCTCCATGATGTGTTCATACCGTTTTAAGTCAGGTATATCTCAGCAGAGACAGCGCGCCAAAGTGTCTAGCACTGGGCTGGGAAGAGTAATTTGCGTAACTTGCCGAAGTTGCGGGTATTGTTGACGAGCCACGTGTGTACGAGGCGAATGCATTCAAGATCTATGAAAAAGTGGTTACATGATTGTAAAATATTCCGAGGTTGGTTGGCTGAAATGGAAATCAGTGTACATGAATTTATGTGGACTTCTAGAAGGGAAGACATAATTCTAAAAAAAACAACGTTCTATCCAAAGTTGATATTGTAAGAGCTCAGTGTACCAGAAGACTGGCGCTTTAAGCTGCGTCAAAGAGTAAATCCCATTAAAATTACAATACGCGAAATACCACAAGACACTTCGAGTCAAGTGGAAGAATCGCCAGCTGAGATGCGAGGCCGAAGCCTATTCGTATCCGTCTACAACGTGTATCTGAAAAAGGGCGAATTCTCTCCCATCTTAGAGAGCTCCTCATCCGTGTATTTCCCTTGAATCTCTTCAAGCGGGATCGCATCCTTCTTGCGGTTCGCAGCTCTGAGGCAGTACCAGTTGGCGATGCAAGCACCGTATCCCCCGACAGCCACCAGGACGATGAGAATGACAAACGCAGTGGTATATGTCGGAGCCTCGGATCCAATGAAGATGTTGGAACCGATCGTGCCGCCTGCAAGCTGGGCCCAGGTTGATTGCCACCCCATCGCCGCGGCGCGCTTGGTGGGATTCCGCACATTGCTCCCGAGCCAGGATCCAACGGCTGGCGCTTGCATGTTGAACCCTGCGACAACTAGGAACAGCGCAAAGTACGACAGGCCGGCGACGCCCTTGTAATGGAGCGACGGCCACAGTATAATAATGCCAATGGTGCCCACTGTGTAGCTGATGATCAGGGATCGTGCTCGGCACTGGTACTTGTCCGAATATATCGAGATGGCGAGCACGCAAAAAAATGCGAACACGTAGGGAGGTGCCGTCAGAGCTTGGGCTTTAACGGATGAGTAGCCGAGCGCCTTGACCATCTGCAGATAGAGTTTAGTATAGGAGAGGGATGGCAAGGGTCGCTGATCACCCCAGTAGATTTGGCACGACTTACAGTTGCCAGGGTGTAGTTGACAGAGTATGTCGGGACTGAACCCCCAAATGCCAACAGTGACGCGATCATGTATGTCTTCCAGTCCTTGACAGCTTCAAAGAACGTGCTCCATTGGAACGAATTGTCTGGAGGAACGGGACCGTCCTTGTACCGGACGCGGAGCTTAAGGTAACGCATCTCTTCGGGTGTGAACCAGGACGACTCGAACCTCCACGGGAAGTCGGGACACAGCCAGAAGCCGAGGAGGCCGAAGAAGACGGTGATGGCGCCTTCGATGATGAAGAGGTCTGGTAGCAAATTCGAGTCAGTAATTACTCCTTGCAGATGTTTGCCAAAAAATGAGTCGTAATGCGTGTCTCGGGAGCAAAGCTCTTACTTAACACATGCTAGAAGAGGAAATTTGTGCCCAGGACATGGCCAAATGGGGAATTAAGACTCGAAAATGTACATACACTGCCATTGCTTGAGCCCCAGATGGCCCTGCAACCCTCCGACCGCGTAGGCTAGCAGTCCGCCGAATGCCCCGGACAGCATTGCGGCACTGTACCACATGGCACACCGAGTCTGTAACTCAGTCGCTATGTACCACGTCGACAGGGTGTAAAAGCAGCCTTGGAAAAGACCAGCCTCGAAGACTCCGAGCAGCACGCGAGCGGCGCTGTAGTCACCATAGCTCTTGACCCAGGCACTGCCCAAGGTGACAGCACCCCACAAGACGACTAGCACTATAGAGGGGATGAGCCAACATCCGTCGCCGGAGATCATCTTCATGGGGACTCACTCGACAGCCACAAGCGAGCGCCGAATCGCCGCAAGCACATGTTGGACGGCGCCTCGAGGAGCGCATAGGTGATGAAGAACCAAGTGAGGGCCAGGTTGAACTGGTGCGAGGTCATGTTCGTGTCCTCGAGGAAGGTGTAGACCTTGACGTTTCCGGCGTTCGCTTTGTCGAGGGAGTTGAGCAGATAGAAGATGATGAGCATGGGCAGGACCCGGAGGTCGAGCTTACGCAGGACGCTCTTCCAAGCCTTTGGGTCGGCAGCATATCTGGCCTTCATATGAAGATACTCGTCGTACTCGGACGCGTGAGTTTCGTCGACGAGGAAGGTGACGCCCGGGACGGCTTTCTCCGGGTCCCCGGGCAGCGTCGGCAGCGTCGCGTCGAGCGCGACGGTCTTGTCGATCGAGTCGGTTGACATGTCGTCCCCAGCATGAGCAACTTGAGCAGGAGAAAGAGTGACTCCAACCTCTGGCTCGACATCTTCGCAAGCCTCGTCGCCACAGGTTATTATACCGTACCTATCTTTGCTGTTACCACCCTCTCCCGATCGTCCACGGCACCGAGCCCATCGCCGCCAGCCTCTGGGTCTATCTAGACTGTGGATCCATGCTGATAATGCTAAGTCAGGGCCCCGTATCAAACGCCGCGACCATAACTTGCACGCCAGGCCTTAACCTGGTTTCGGCGCTTTCTTATCGCTGTCGCCGTCTTTCAGATAAGAAACCGCCGAGGGGCCAACTTGAAGACCTGGCGAATGATAGGAGACATCGGCCAGCCAGCGCGGCGAGGTATTACTCCAGCTACCTCGAGGGATGGGGCGCCAGTCGGGATAGACAGCGACGCTCCACCGGGATGGTATAGCCAAAGCCACCCAGCCGAGCCAGCTGAGCCAGTCAGTCGGGGGAAACCATATCCGTAGCAAGATGGAAATATCTCAGAGAATCTCGGCGAGGCTACCGAACTGTCGCTCAATTCCTAGCCCTGACCCAGACTTCAATAGGAGATTGTGCAGCAGACCTGTTTTTCCTAGTTTCCCTTTGAACTTTCCTAGTTTCCTCTACAAGCTTATCAGCTCGTCCTGGTTTCCTCTATGGGAGGGATGGACCTACGTGACACGCGCGTCAAAGGGGGTGTATTAGTCATGACATGAAGATGCACCAAACCCTGAATTTATAGCACTACGGCTGCTAGGCAGAGAAAGAAATGTGGAATTAATGGCTATCGGCTATTACCGAATGGAATACTGAAGTTTCTTCCATTGGTTAACACAACTGAACGGAGTACTCAAATTTCCTCCACCTATATGTGGCGGCCGATTGATTGATTGATTGATTGTATTTATCGTGGGTGCAGTCCCTCCATAGGGCAAACCACGCCTCCCAGAGCCATTGCATCGCGAGGTTGTAGAGGTGTCAGTCTAGATACATTCAGATCCGCGCACGAGCCTATCCTCGCTATAGCGGTACCAACCTGGAGTGACCAGATGGTTTTAGTCAATACCCAAGCACAATTCCGTCAGAAAAACCTCCTGTTCAGTGACAAAGCGAAATGTGGCGGCCGATGAGAACAACCTTCGAAGCCTTCTCACGAGCAGCCTCCTTACAAGCAGCGGCCTTCTCTTGAGCAGCTTCCTTCTTCGCAGCCTTCTCCTGCTCCCACTGCTTCTGCGCCTCAATCTTCTCCAGCTTCCGAAGCTCAGCGCCCTGCTGCAGGCCCTTCTTGATCTTCTCCTCGAAGCCCTTCTTCGCGGCAACGGTGGTGAACTCCTTCTCCTTGGCAGCTGAGTAAAACCCACCTGCACCGGCACCGAACGCCTCGATCAGGCCCGCGTGGTCCATGTATTTGGGCAGGTTGAGGATGTAGTACAAGACTGACTTGCACTTTCCCGCGCTGATGTTCTCGGACAGATAGGCGGCGAGCTCCTGCTTAGCGATAAGGTTCAGGCACCGGATCACATGAGCAGGAGGGCTCTTAGCGGCCGTCGGGGCTCGCGAGACCTTGCGGTGCTGGAGGAGCAGGCCCTGCGCCTTCATGGCCTCCGGCGTGAATTGCTTGCGCGCACTGCAGACGGGGCATTCTTCATCCAGACGATTGAAGACCACGTGGCTGTGGCCTACTTCCTCACAGTGTTGGCGGAAGAGACAGATCGGCTCGCGGGTGTCGGGGACGACATCTTCGCCACCGCACTTGAAGGCTCGGAGGGTGTTATTGGGGCACATGGCTGCTGTGGAGTCGTGGAGTGAGTTGGGAAGATGTGATTGGTTTTGGCTGAGAAGGGATTATAAGCTTTTGTGTGCTTGGAAGTAGCTGGCTGGTGATGGGTTGGTTGATGAGTGGATGAAGAACGGATAACCACAGTGAGGACTGTGATTTATATATTCTCCCATAAGCTGAGTTCCAGGCTGCCTCACACAACACCATTGTGTTCGGACAATCCAACAGAATCATTATTTGCTGGATGAGACAATGAGGGAGAGGTTTGGCTCAGGCGAGCTGTCTTTGTGGCTAAGTGGTCGAGATGAAGGCTTCACTGGCCAGCCCCAGAGCTTCAAAGAACGGCGGTGAAGTGCGGTTATTGTCTGCCTTCCATGGAAGCTTCCATTGCAATAGATCTAAAATAATCCTTCAGTAAAGGAGGCGCATCTCGAGGCATCAAGGCATGGGCCCATTCAAAGGAATATCGTCGTTGTAGACCAACTCCCTGATGACACTTCCGTTAGACAATCCACTGGGCTCAAACATGGGGATGGGGACAGAGGCATACCCGCTAACTACTTTTCCCGCCAATCCGCATTCACCATGACCTAGCTTTACCTCCAGCATCGTCGGGCGACTGGCCTTAGCCCCTGGTGTAACGCTAGAGCCATGAATACCCCTTATGTCATGTCTCGAGAAGGTCATCCCCTTGTCATCTGAGCATCGGGCCTTCCAGAGCTCCCAAGTTGGCGCCAGGCTGCCTCGAATGCGTGACAGCTGATTTCAGACCCAGTACATGGCTGCGAGTGTCGGTACTGGCTGGATTTCGAAGAAAATGGGCCCGCAGGTGCTTTGAAGGAGTTTTGAATGGGTTCTTGAAAAAGTCGAGTTTGCTCTAGTAGGGCCTTGGTTCGGCCTGCACGAGATGTTAAAGAATTCGGTCGTCGTTGAATTTGGCCTCGGATCTGTATTCTGCGTCGAGGAATCTTTTCGCCGAGTTTGGCTTGCTATTTGTCTTATTTCCGTTACTGATGGTGTCAACAGAGCTTCTGCTATTGGCGGTGCTTGCCTCTGATGCTCCCAGATTGCTGTTGCTGCTGCTTCTGCCACTGGTGGTGAGACTTTCGTCGAGAACATCTAACTGAGCCAGCGGTGATCTGCCTATCGTGTCATTTCTGATGTTCCCCCGAAGCGGTTTCGTTTACACCGTGCCCTTGGTAGGATGACGGCTGAGTTGAGGAATGCGTCCCCTGGCCATACTGATACACTGCTTCCACTTGCCTTGCCACATCCTCATTCATCTCTTCTCGGCGCTGCAGACGGTCATTCATGGCGCGTCGCTGTAACTCATCGTGGAGTGCGTGATCTTCACTTGTATCTGTCGTCGTCTTCTTCTTCCTAGCGAAGATAACTAGATTCATCGCCGACGCTTTTGTGTCAGACGTGACATATCCGAAGGCCTCCTGGTGCGCCAGGAAGGCATCTGTCTCCTCTAGCACGTCCTGGCCCAAGATCATGTCATAGGGGCAGTCACGCATTACGTGGAATTCGATCTCGACGTCTTGCTGTATCGCACCCAACGGGCTACCCCTCGCGTTGGCATGAGCGAAAGACCATCGCGCCGTGATCGAGCCCTCCGTCTTGTCGACACTGCCGTCCGCGAACTGGAGCAGCCGCCGATCGAGCATGTCCATCTTGGCCACCGCCCAACCCTGGCGCTGGACATAGTCCCACGAAAGCAGGTTTGGCTCTGAGCCAGAGTCCGGCAAGGCCCAGACCAGCGAGTGCCACTCGGAGTCGAGCGTCCCGCGCACGCGCTGGCTCGGCACCCCAAGCAGATTCATCCGCAGTACTGACAGCGCGCTGAGAGGCCTTGGGATTCGAGCCAGCCGCTCCTTGAAGTGGGACATCGTCTTTGTCTCCATGAGAAAGCCATTGCCGAGTACGAGGTCGTAGACAAAACCGCCGAGAACGTGGAAGACAATGCGCCAACCATCACTCCCACCAGTGCCATTCCTCGCTGAGTTTGAGAAGTGCCAAGCAGCCTCGACAGTACCACATGTCTGGATCTGCTTCCCGTTCGCCATCCGAAGCAGCTTCCGCTCGTCGCCACTCCGGTGCTGCACTTTGAGCCCGAGTCTGGTAGCGAAAGAGGCTGCGATTATGTTATACTCGGCGCCGGTATCGGAATGGCGTGTGTTACTCGGTTGTTAATCCGACCATGGACCACGAGAATCCCTGGCCGCCTATACTGCAGACGAGCTGCTCGTTTTCCCATTTCTTCCTGGTGAACTTTTCGTACTTCGGCCTCGACCTTCAGTCTGACCACAGCCCGCCGCTCATGGTACTTTGTCCACTCCCCGTCGTCACTCAATAGTCCGTACGCTTGTTGAACTCTCCGGACTTCTGCTAGCATCTGCGCTTTTCGACTGGCTTCCTGCACCCTGTCTGGGTGGCATTCGAAGATCAACCTGCGATGTGCCGAACGAATTTCCCGTAATTGCGCATCTTCGCTTACACCAAGCACCTTGTAAGGATCAGGTGGAAGACCGGCCATGGCAGGCAAGTGGCGACGCTGAATGGCGCGAGGAGTTCAGCGATTCGGAAAGCAGAGGATCTGCAACGGAGTCCCCTCAGTGTTGAAGGCCTTCAGCTGGGCTTTGAGGGTTTTGTATTTCTCATGCTGCATAGCCCCCAACCACCCCCTCCGCACTGCCACGAAGGCGCGCCAGCTTCCATGCATGAGGCGCTGAATGTGGCCATTAGCGTCCACTCAAACGACTGCGACGTCTATTTCTTCAAGAAGCGCAGGGTTCCCCCTTATAAAGACTCTAGACTGCAGCCCCCTCGTTCACTCCAAGGTCTTCGGTAGGTAGCCATGTTAAGCTCCAAGTATTCGGGCTACGCCACATTCTCCGAGTTCATCGCCTCCGACCCCGAGCTGTCGATATACCGGTCATTTGTGGCTCTGAGCTCCCGCAGTCTGCTGTACCAGCAGTCTGAGCTCCTGCTGTTGGAGCACAAGCTCAAAGAACTGGACGACGCTGACACCAAGAGCAGCGCCGATCTCGACGTGCTCCTCTCCGCAAAATGCTGGGAGACATTCGCGGCCAAGGCGGCCGCGGGAAAGCCGCACGAGTTAAAGAGGATGGAGACGATCAAAGAACTGCAAACCAAGCTGAAAGACTATCGTGAGTCTTTGACAGATATGCCAGGGGATCAAAGGAAGGGGCTAACGAAGAAGCCCAGATGAGACGCTTCTCCTCCAGAAACACGTATTAGGACTACCCAAGCCCCAGAAGCGTGCATTCGGCGCTTTCCAAGGCCTTTTTGATGACGAGCGTCCGTTTGTTGGGTACGGGCACGACCTGTTGAAGCCAGAGGGAGATTTCGTCGCCTTACAACCGTCGTCTGATCAGGATTTTCTAACTGTATCATTACAAAATCTGGCTGGAAAGCTATTCCCCATATGCTCATACCCAACCCTCTCCGTTGCCGCCACTTCCAGCTGACTCGATGCCAATAAGGGGGCGAGGCACGAAACCACGGAAGAGATCAAGTACTACTCCGCCAAACGCGTATCGCGGCTTGCCACGATATTGACCGTGGTACTAGCATCGCTGCTCATAAATGGCGCCATCGTGCTCCTGTACGTTGTCGCTGATCAGCACGTACGGCTTGGCATGGTCGCTATCTTCACGAATCTGTTTGGGGCAACTCTGGCAGTGCTGACGGATGGGAAAAGGACTGACATCATCCTGGCCACTGCGGCGTGTGCTGCCGTGATGGTGGTGTTCGTATCGTCAAGTTAGGTGCGAGGTGCTTAGTCTTCGGCTACCGGGGTATCATCCATTGGAAGGTGATGGTTCTCGAAGGTGATGATTCGTAGTTGGCTCTACCGGCCTACTCAGGTGGCTGTTGAGATCGGATACGCGCGCACGAATGCTTCGATTTCGCATGTATTGATGGCAACCGGCAGAGCAACCTCTCAGCTCGGCGTGCCGCAGCATTTGAAGTAGCCTCACACGCGCTCAAAGATCGTGCGTCTGTCTCCTGACAGGTGGGAACTGAGTCCAGGGGCAGATCGCCGCCGTGATCCGCTCACTGCTTCTACGCGATGCCCATGTATAGATAATGCTTCCTGTTCAAGTCCCACATCTCACCGATGGCCTGCCGGATGGCTGAAGTTCTTGACGACGACCGGCGCGGGCACCACAATGGTCGACTTCTGCTCCTTGCCGTAGCGTATGAACATGTACCCTTCGGCATCGTCCAACTCAGGGGGACATGCGGGCGTCTCCTCTTCCAACCAGCTATGATCATTCGCCTCCTCTCCGTTATGCGATGTATTGCGCATGATTGGAAGCTTGAAATCCGGCAAGATTATGGCGGGCTCGTCAACCGATGAGAGCGGGTACATCTGATGGGACGACCGGTAACCGCCGCGGTCGTTGAAAGTCTGCGTCTTGCGTCGTCCGAACCAGTGGTTATTTGAGGATCCACCGACCGAGCCGAGGAGTTTGGGGAAGATGCGTGAGAAGATTGGGCGAAGTGCCGGGAGACAGGCGCAGATGATGGCGAGGTTCGCTTCGACGTTGGACCAGATCGACAGGTTGATGCCGGTCACCGATTCATCTCTTGCGTTGGGCAACTCGTGGATGACTACGAGTCGCATTGCGGACGCAACACAGACACTGGACGTACTTGCGTTAGCTGGCTGGCTCTGATGCCATGAATCAGCCGGATGGCCACTTACACGCCGCCGATCGTGAACGGGACCAACAGGGCAACACGCTGGCTCCGGGGGAGCCGGAGTTTGAGGATCAATGGGACGGGGAGCAAATAAACCAGGATGTCTAACACGATATTGATGATTGACGTGATGAACAGGAAAAGGGGTTTATTTATGCATCTGTTATCCCCAATTGTGTTCATCTGCCACGAGACCTCGACGGGGATGCAAGCCAAGACATCACCGAAGAATAGGACGAGTCCGAATAGAGTCATAATGACCAGGAGCACCTTGCAAAGCCGCACAACGCCTCTGACTGTCCAGATGCGCAGGTAGGATGTGATGATGGACATCTTGATCAAGGCAGAAGAGAGCCCCCAGATGGCTGGAGAAATCCACATTGCCTATTGACTTTAGTACCATCATCAAAGGAGATGGGACCCCATCACTGACCTGCCTAATGTGAAGCTGGTCCTCGACAGACAAGCTGGGGAACGGCTTGCCAAAACCTATCACGACCGCTGGTAGAGTTCAGCAACAGCTTCACCGCACGGTGTATTCATATGACCCACCGATCATGTTCGCGACGTATGTCACGATTGCTAAAACCTGGTTTAAAGCGTCAGACATTTGACTGGCAGCGAGGAAGAAACACAGGACGGTGCTTGAGACCTACCATGGCAGCAATACATAGCCAATCGTCAGCTCCCGCATTTCTGACGAGAAACAGGCGAACATGAAGACGCAATGCGACGGCCAGTATGGCGAGACCAATGAGAGGCGTCACCGCATAGACAAAAGGAAGGGCTTTCTCGGAGATCGCCATTCTTCCACAGGGAACGCGGCGGTCCGCTTCACACGCAGATCCGAAAAGCCCCGGAGAGAAGATCTACAAGGACGGACTCAAAAAGTTGAGAGGAAGCGGCTGCTGTTATCAGGCCGTATCCGCTCCTGTCAACTCTGCGTCGGATCGTCTGATATGTCGTCACAGCCTACAGGCGGATGGCGAGCCGCGGCCCTAGATCGACTTATTAGCAGCAGCCGCCGGCGTTATTGAACGAGAGTCTAGACCGCAAGAAAAAGGCGAGCCTGACACAAGACGTACAGGAGACCGGCGCCTGTAAAATCATCGTCAACCCTGCTTCCAACGTTCTAACCTAGTGGCTAGGCAAACCAAGGCGGCGGGACACTGCGCGTGGTTTCAAGGATACACCTCAGGGAAAAGATGAAGCTAGTAAGAAGCGACCGATGTGATCGGCGATTTTGGTCCCATTCAAGGGATTTTACCCTCGAGCTGGAGACCGGCTACCTACACGCGTCCTACATCACCTCGTGCCCCAGAGCTGAGCGGTCTATTACACCTTCATCAACGGGCCAGGAAGATGCAACGACCGGTAGCTCTCGAAACCGGGTCGTAGAAGACCTTATGGATCTGACCGGGGCTCATTAAGTACCCCAATGAAGAATGCAAGTAGATCCGATGAAGGTAAAACCAGACAGATACCCGGGGGAAATGCTATGGAGATAGCGGCAGAAACCGGTCAGTCGGAATCCGCGTGAGCGCCGCCTAGCTCGGGACTAACAAGCCGACCAGATCGATAGTGTCTTCTTCTAGTCTCTGGCTAGTACCTTGCATTTCACTCAAAGTCAGGGGCCATGAGTGATAAATGAATCGTCGATGCCTGCAGCAGCGGCTTGTGCTGGTAAACATCAACAACCCAGACACCAGGGACTGTGGGGGAGCGGCTTGGCTGCCCGCTCAGCAGCAAATGGCTCACCATCTAGACATACGCCAGAGCATCGCGATGGCATTCGCGTAAAGAGAGTGTATGGTTTTCCGCCGTCCGTGGATAGGGGGATTTGTGGCCGTTTGAAAGACGGCGTTTCCCAAGTTATGATCGATCCAGTAGGTGAGCTTCTGGCCCTTCGCACTCACCAGCTCGTCATGATCTCCAACAAGACGCTATATTCTGAGACGACAGGGCTTGTCGTTATAAGCTGGGAGGATATTGTTTCCCGCGCCCTGGGGAATACGTACAAGAGGTTAAGGTGCGGTTGACAACTGAACAAACGCGAGCATACTGGCCAGCCGACCTGGCCAATGTAAATCGGCTCATGACATACATCATCTAGACTAATCTACATTTATTCGTCTATGCTCCTTAACGCCATGAGCGTGAGGTAGCTGTGCAACACCGATCAAATGCTCGCTCGTCGAGGTGCCATGGTCCTCCGAAGGGCTTTCTTTGCCTCAATTTCCTCAACCAGAGGAAGGAAACCCTCTTTCCTCAAGCGGGCAAGGAACTCCTTACCATAACTGTATCCCAGTTCGTAGATTTCGTCGAACTTCCCGAAGTCCAACGTTCCATAGTCATCAATAGGCGGACGCATGTATATGCATCCCGGCATTGTTTTGGCTCGCTCGAGCGCGTCGACACTGGAGACATAGGCTAGCCGGGCCTGGATTTCGGCTAGTGTAGGAGGATTTGGAATACTCGAGAAAGGGTTCCATCGGTTGGCGAACGCCCACATGCCCGACAGCGAATCGCCGTAGTCCTGAGCCGTGTTGTCATCAAGGGCTCCTACGTCGATGGCGAATATGATATCGGCCCCAAGGGACTTCATATGCGACACAGTCAGGTTGTCGATGTACCCGCCGTCTAGCAACATGCTACCCTCGTCGCAGAGAGGCGGCAGAAGGCCAGCCAGTGACATGGATGCCCGAACGTACCGCCAAGCATACCCGCTTGTGTGGATCTCGCCTCTGCTCTTGCTGATATTTGTGGTGTTGCAGTAGTATTCCAACCAGAAGTCCTCAATCTGGTGTTTTCCGAAGGTTTTGAATATCCCGCGATTGAACTCGTGACCAGTCGTATATGATGCGGACGGATAAGTCAGGTCCAGAGCGAAGCGCCACATGCTCGCCATCCTACCAGAAAATTTCTTCGCTAACCCAAACATAGGCACCACGTCAGCATATCGAGCATAGAGTCCTCCAATGAAGGAGCCGATCGACGTGCCGCCAACAATATCAATGGGGATTCCGGCTTCTTCCATGGCCTTTATGATGCCGATCTGTACAATCCCCCGGGCACCGCCACCGCCCAGGACAAGACCAATGGATCTGCCACAAAGTCTCCTGGCCAGCCTTTGAAAATCCCCTTTATAGGGGGCATCGGGAGAGTAGTATGGCCTTTGGCGGATCCTGCGAGTCGTATACTTTTGTATCTCAGCCTGCAATATTTGCACACGTTCCTTCAAGGTCGGGCCGCCCTTCCTCGCGGGCGGATGGACAGGCATGGCGCTTGCGCCGAAAGACATCTGCATGTGGTGATGGCCGCCATTGATCCAAACGCGGTTTCTCAACCAAGATCTGGTCAATCCTGGAGGCGAGTATCGATCGGCGTGAAGTAGGACTAAAGTCTTGCGGGCGGTGGACTTCATACCCAGCATGAACCGCTCGTACTCGCCAATCTCGGGAGAACCTTCTGCCAGGCCAACAAGCAGGATACAATCTGCCTGTGTGATGCAGGTTTGTGTCCATGGAGAGGTTACACTTGTGTCTGCCCAGGAGAGTCAGCATCGGCTTGATGAGAGAGTCAAACGAGGGGAAAGTTGTTGATTCCGATCAGGAAAAAATTAGAGTATGTTTAAGCCTTCATAGACGGCGCTCGGGTTAAATTTGTTCATCATAAGGATAAGGGAAGAAATCGTCAAAAAGTAAGAGGCTTACCTGCAACGTAGACAACCAGTCCGTACTTCTCTTCCAGGTCAGCAAGATAATGAGCCAACTTCAACTTTCCCATCTTGTTGAAAGCGTGCTTGCCAAGATGACCGAGGATTGCGGACTGGTTCAGGGATGTGGCGCCGTTTGGTGTGCCGACCTGCGTGAGAGCATTCATCAGGCGGTTTCCGAACTCGACTACCGGGATGCCGGCCCTGACAGGCAGGATTGCAACTGTCCGTATGTTGAGCGTTGATGAGCCTCGGTTGATCGAAGCGCCGGTCGTGGGATCCTTTCCTGCGAGGCTAGCTGGATTGTCGACTAGAAGTCGCATCCTCGAGGCAATAATCTTTGAGATTTTGATTGTGATGTTGGGGTGCTCCTGAGCCAGACTGTTGAATAGAGTCCGAGGGAATTTGACGAGCTCTGTGTCGCGGATGGCATGCAAGGTTCCGGACCGCGCAGACTCAGTCATGACCTCCAATTCTCCGACACTGTCCCCCTGACCAAACTCAGCACGAACATTCATCCCGCCATCCCGTCGATCTTCAACCAACCGTAGCCGCCCGTTGAGAACAAGATATATGGCCTCGCTTTCTTCGTCCTTATTGAACAACACCTGGCCAGCATTGACCTGAACCCACTCGAGAGCGAAGTCGATGTGCAGCAACAGCCTTGGGAGTAGGTAGGTTAGACGTTTGGCCATGGTCAGAAGCACTATTGGATACCGTTCCACGATCTTCTCCACCGTCGCTCTGGGAATGAAACCGACGTAGACATCGGTCTTCGCCACCACGTCAATGAAAGACCGGTATGACGAAACCGTACCAATGTAGCCTGCGACGCCGCCGGGCTTCACAAGCCCAACACGACGGCGATTGGTGCTGCCATTTCGTTTGCCCTCTGGCACGCTCTTGGGTTGGTCAGAGTTCCTTGGTAAAGTGAAGTTGGAAGACGATTCTGCTCTGTGCATAGCATTGGTGGAGGTCCTGCTTGCCGAGCTCAGAATCTCGCTGCCGGGATCTTCAGAGGGAACACAGATATCAAGGAAGCCGTCAATCACGTAGTACAAGCCTGGACTCCGCTCGCCTTGCTCAACCAGAACTGATCCTTCATGGAAGAAGACGATTTCAACATCGTTTTTCATTTCCGTGGCCAAAAACTGCGCACTGGGAGTGCCCGGAATGGAGACACCGCCAGAAGTCATCGATTCAGCGTCCCAATCAGCCGACCCGTCAAACGGATCCATGAAACCAAACGCATTGTTGCTGCTGAACATCGCTTTCGGCTTTCTTTGGTCATAAGACACCAGTCTCGGAGACCCTTCTGTAGACTCCGGTCCTCTCGACGATGTCCCTCCAGAGCTCATTCCCAAGGTCTTGAATACGCATTCTAATATGGAAACACGAAATATGTTGTCCTCGTCCACAGATTCCCGAGGGTCAATGGACAGCCGAGCCCGACCTTGTGTGGCAAATGGATTGAAGCTTCGTTGTGCCAAGGGAGTGCCATCTTCCTGGACAAGTGACTCTGGCGATGGCTGCCACGGCTGCGTGAGAGGTATCTCCAGTGTACCGGACGGTCGACCCCCGCCACTTCGAGCCATATGGACATTAGCCAAAAGGTCTCCGGGGCTCGGAGTATGTATTGATAGACGCTCGTGAGGGGGTACAATTGTTGATGCCACTACAGATTTCTGTCGATGTCGAGACATTGCGTGTAACGCGGCATCCTTGCGTAGACTCGTCGATGATCGGCGACGGCGGCCCGTGTTTGACGTATTGTGCAAAGCGATCCCCTTGCCAGATTCATCTTCTCCCGACCTCTCCCTTTCTTGCTTGAATTTTTCTTTCAGACGCTCTAAAGCATCGCCCCGGAGAACGTTCGGCAGTTGACAGGTGGTGAACTTCATCATCTTCTTTTCCGTGTGAAGTACTTCGTTGGTCAGTCCGAGATAATTGTACGCTGTGGCGAGAGTCACGCGCTGGAATCTCGACAGAATCACATGAACGATGTGAGCGGTGGCTTTTGGATAAACCTTAATTAGTCTGCGGAAAGCACTCGCCGGTATGATTGCGATGGTGGTATCCCCTGTAGCTCTGGCGATAATATCAGGGTGGACAGAGGTCGCGGTCCGTTTCACCGATGGACGCAAAGGAGGCCGAGGCATAGAAGACTCGTCCAGAGAGATAGGCGGTATCTTGGGCAAGGAGGTTGCGCCGCCAGGGGAGGCAGGACTTATTACCTCAGGTTCCTCGACATATGTAGGCTTCCTTTTCGAGCCATCACGTACACTTGACTGGGGCAAAATAGTGCTATCGTGACTGGCGAGACCGGCGGTAGACGGCATACGTGGACGGCTTCTTCCGCCATTGACTGCGCGTGATTGGGATAGATCCTCGTTGTCCTCGGATGGCACACCGAGTTGCACATCCTCTGTGAACAAGGACATGATTGAAAACAGTGAGGACATGGGGTTGCCATTCCTAACCTCAGTCAGGAGCTGGTACCGTTGCTGACCCGTATGAGTGTTGTCATCATCATCATCATCATCATCAGTAAAGAACGATTCCACAGAAGACCCAGGCGCCACGCTTTGCCCGTAAGCCTGATTGCGTTGAGAGGATTTGACGAAGATTTCGACAAGTCCATCTACCACGAGACAGAAGCCTTTCTCGTCCTCCAGGTTGAGGGTCTCGCCAGCGATAAGCTTCCGAGTTTGCATACTCCTAGTCAATTCATGGAAGACGGGGCGTTCTAGGTATCCGAAGATTTTGATGGCGCTGAGGAATTCATCGAGATAATTGGAGAGACCAGGCTTTGTGTCCTGGTCATGGGTTTCAGGAAACATATCCAACTCTGGCTCTTTGCGCTGCGGTTCGGGTGGCAGGCGTGAGTACATGTTCAGGTACCGATATCTCACGATCCACGTTACCCCAGAGAACATGAGGAACAAGATCAGGGCCCTTCATCTGCGATCAGTATATTGGCATTTCGGAGGAGTAGATGAGACTGCCTTACAGTGTGGTAGCATTCATCGTCACCGTCCAGCTTGTCGAGAAGAGTGCGAACAGCAGTGTTGGCACAGAGATGGTGGTAAGCTTCAAACTCCAGTATATGATGGTGCTGACAATATGCAGTATGAACAGAATAAGCCGGGCGATGAGGCCAAGCCATGAAGACGAACCCTCGACGCGGGCGACATCCTGAGCCTGAGTCAAGGCAGATGCCACCGCAGTCGTGGAGCTGTTCATGATGTTAGAGACAGCCTGCGAGATGGCTGCTGTTGTGCCACTGGTCGCGTTGGAAGACTCCATGCTGTGTGCCCTGACGTCTCGCTTCTTGGTGGAATGATTATCACGGCTTCGCTTCGACTGGAAAGGGAGGCATGATTCATCCTCCTCGTGAATCGGGTTGATAGCCGGGTCTGGATGAGTACCAGAGGGGTTGCGGCGCGCCAGACATTGGGGGCTGGCTGGAGATGCAAGCTGTTGCGAAAGGAAGGAGAGTTTTGATGCAGGGAAGAAAGCTCCGAGACATGCGCGGTTGGGACCACGCCCAGGTTTTCGAGTTTTGACCCTGCAGTGGAGCCTGGCCCAAGCTCTCCTCCATGATCCGTCCTCGGCCACAGCCTTCTGTGGCAATTGTCAATTGAAGCAGCTGCTAAGCCACACAGCCAGCGGAAGTGAGTCCAACTTTTGGCGGGGTTAACAACACCCCACGTAAACCTTAAGATTTCGATGCTTAAATTTCACTCCAGCTGGATGCTCGTCTCTGATTGTGACTCCTCCAACTTCAAGAACAAATCCACGAGTGCTCCCCGACCCAGCAATCGCACCACCATTTCCGCATCGCCGCGTTCGCGTCGAAAGTATCCTTCGCATTTACAGACAGAGGAAATCCGCGCATTTGGGAACGGAAGCGCCTGAAGCATACCTCTCCGCCTAAGCGCGACCCCGGGCCATCAGTCGCCCATCTTCGATTTTGTCCCACACTACATACCACTCAAGACAACCACAACCGCAACCGCCCAGCATGTCGTTAACCAACTGTCGGTTTTACGAGGAGAAATATCCTGAGATCGATAGCTTCGTCAGTGAGTAGCACCATCCAGTACTGCCGACACTTTCCATACAATATAATTGCTGACGTCGGGTCTTTCAGTGGTGAATGTTAAGCAGGTGAGTCGAAGGCACATGTCGCTTCCGCATGGCGCCTAACATCAGTCAGATCGCCGACATGGGAGCCTACGTCAAACTCCTCGAATACGACAACATCGACGGCATGATCCTACTGTCGGAGCTTTCCAGACGTCGTATCCGAAGTATCCAGAAGCTCATTCGCGTTGGTCGTAACGAGGTTGTCGTGGTCCTGAGAGTCGACAAGGAGAAGGGTTAGTGCAGTAGGCATACAGTTTCTGCATGATGCGGCGGGCTGATATGTTTTAGGATATATCGATCTCTCGAAGCGCCGTGTTTCTCCCGAGGATATCGTCAAGTGCGAGGAACGGTACAACAAGAGCAAGATGGTCCATTCGATTATGAGACACGTCGCGGAAAAAACCCAGACGCCGATCGAGACGCTATACGAAAACATAGCTTGGCCCTTGAACAAGAAGTTCGGTCACTCGATTGACGCTTTCAAGCTCTCCATAACGTGAGGACTTTCCTCCCCTCGGTGCTTGCTGTTTTGGCGCTTACATGACTTACGCAGCAATCCGGAGGTGTGGAACGACATCACATTTACCAGTGACCCTGTCGCAGAGGAGCTCAAGTCGTACATCGGCAAGCGCCTCACCCCCCAGCCTACGAAAGTACGCGCCGATATCGAGGTCACCTGCTTCGAATACGAGGGAATCGATGCTGTGAAGGCCGCCCTGAGAACAGCCGAGGCAAGAAGCACTGAGGACATCCAAGTGAAGGTGAGGCTCGTATCGCCACCTCTCTACGTATTGACGAGCACGTGCCTGGATAAGAATGTCGGTATCGCGATACTGGAGGAGGCCATTGTGGATGTTCGCAAGAGCATCACGGGCACGGGCGGTAACCTGGTCGTCAAGATGGAACCTAAGGCGGTCACAGACTCGGACGACGCGGAGCTACAGGCACTCATGGAGAAGCGAGAACGCGAGAATGCCGAAGTCAGCGGAGACGAAAGTGTTAGCGAGAGCGACGACAACAACCCCGATACTGTGTAAGACGGCTCTTGATCCGTTCTTTCGAGTACGGCACGGAGGTGTACGGCTAGGGTCAATCATATGGGATTTCCCATTTACGGGGAACAAAAATACCTAGCGTGCGTACAAGGCACTGTTTACGGGGGAATGAGAGACTACTCGATGAGAAAGCGCAACTATGTTTCTTGAAGCGAATCTCGCCACCTTGATAGGGGGACATCACTGCAGGGGGAGAACTACAGGGCTTTGGTCCGGCTGGAAAAGTCTACAGTGAAGCAAAGTGACCAGGAAGTATTCTGGCATGATGCAGGTGTCCTCTCTTCCGTAGTGCTGTATGAACAAATCAACTTTCTCACAGTGATATCAGTCTACTGCGGTGTTTTCTACGATTTGAATGCTGAGTAGATCATTAATGGCCTTATGAATGTCTAAAAAGTTCGAGGTACGGTCTGTTGGTATGTTGTATCGGGCAGCAATGCTCACCCATAAGGAGGGATTGCATATCGCATTATCGAGTAAAAGCTTGCAGCTCTCTGGTGGGGCACGGGAAAGCTTCAAGCCCCAGCAAGCTTCTGATCTGAGCTCGACTTCAAGCCTGTGCAACCTGACATCTTCACGACACTCTCTTCAGGCACAGCTGGGGGAGTCATGCTTCATGGCGCTCCGGTCGATATGGACCAAGGTCAAACATGAACGGGGTCGCATCGGTAGATTCGGCTTCTACCTCTTCACATTCGCGACATGGATTCCCGTGGCCACCTCGTTCAATGACTACGTCGCCGAGCTGACGTGGATCAACGGCCCCTCCATGTACCCGTTCCTGAACGCCGAGAAGGACCAGACGACTCGCAAGGACGTTGTGCTCACCGTGAAGCACAATGCGCAGTACGGGCTGAAGCACGGCATGATCGTCACTTTCTGGTATGTTTTGCGCCTTTCCTCCAGGCCATAAATCAATACTAGAACAGACTGCTGACACGCGCTCGCGCACCCACAGGAACCCGTCCGATCCCGAGGTCATCACGGTCAAGCGAGTCGTCGGAGTTGCAGGCGATATCATCAGGACGAGAAACCCGTACCCCGTGCCCACCGCCAGGGTACCGCCCGGGCACGTCTGGGTCGAGGGCGACGGGGGCGAGCGTGACAGCAGGGACAGCAACACGTATGGACCGATAGCCACGGGCCTGATCATTGGGAAGGTCACGCATGTCATATGGCCGTTACATAGATTTGGCAAGGTGCGGTGGCAGGAATATGCCGACAAGATCCGGAATCAATAATAACGACCTCACCTCAATGGGGGATTCGCATGCAACTCACTGCGGCTCTGCTGCGCTCCATCGTGATTGGATGTTCTGGCCCTGTGTAGACGCCCTGGCTGCCTGGCACCTTAACCAGCAGGCAACGAGTGTCTTACCTTATCCATAAGGTAGTCATATAAAGAGACATTCTCAAGTACATAATTAAATCCGGCCAATGGCGGCGGCGTGTTCGTGAATGTGCTGTAGGCAGCTGGCTGCTATGTCGGGCCTTAGTCAGCTAGTGCTCGCTGATTGGTGGATGCGCACGGGTCACCAAGCATACCTTAAGGTTAGATATGTACCATGTACGTCAGCCGCGCTAGAATCTTAAAGGTAGGCCGAAAAAATCCAATGTCTCGCTGCAGGTCCAAAACACGCGCGTTTTGATGCAGAGGCACCATCTACAGTCACTGTCTTCGGGCGCATCGCAGTGAGACACACGACGCAACCCATTCAATTGGGCGCGACCTTAGGTGATGTCCCTCGACCCCCGGGTTGCCGACTTATCAACTTCTACACCACCATATAAAACGTCCGACCGACCCGTCACTTCAACGGCTTTTCTCGAATACGATGGACTTTCCGAGCATACAACCTCCGTTTCGGATATCAGTTGCACAGGCCAGTCCCATCGACCGAAGATGACCCAAGACGATGGCGAGTCCGAAGGGCGTCCCCCCTATGTCCACGTGAGTGCGTTCAAGTCGTAGGTAGAGATCGCTCCCGCTGACGTCCATTGCGCAGTCGATGATCGCCGGTGGGATTGGTGGGACCACTGGAGATATGTTGATGCACTCCCTCGATACCGTCAAGACCCGACAACAAGGAGACCCTCACTTCCCGCCCAAGTACACGTCGCTGGGCTCATCCTACTACAAGATATGGCGGCAGGAAGGCATTCGACGCGGACTGTACGGAGGATGGCTCCCGGCTATGATGGGCTCGTTTCCAGGCACCGTGATGTTCTTCGGTACATATGAATGGAGCAAGCGGCATATGCTGGATTACGGGATACAGTCTCATGTTTCCTATTTGACAGCCGGTACGTGGAGTAGACAGCACTCAGTTGAAGATGAAGCTGGCTGACCGAACCTACCAGGCTTCCTTGGTGACTTGGCTGCGTCCATTGTCTATGTCCCTTCGGAGGTTCTCAAAACGCGTCTACAACTCCAGGGCCGTCACAACAACCCCTTCTTTAAATCTGGTTACAACTATCGTGGAACGATCGATGCCGCGAGAACTATCGTACGGACCGAGGGCCTCTCTGAGCTATTTTCCGGATATAGGGCGACGATCTATCGAGATCTCCCATTTTCGGCCCTGCAGTTCATGTTTTACGAGCAATTCCAAAGTTGGGCACGAGACTGGAAGGAAAGCCGCGAGATCGGTGTGCCGTTGGAGCTGGCCACAGGAGCTGCAGGTGGAGGCTTGGCTGGTGTCATGACCTGTCCTCTGGATGTGGTCAAGACTAGGCTTCAAACTCAGATCGACCCAGTCCCAGTGGTCAACAAGCCAACAGACCGCGCGACGACAGGTGCCAAGGCTGGACTCAAAGAAACTCACTCGAAGCAAGGGACAACTCTTTCCCCACCCACACAACAGAAACGTCCCATATCAACATCATCACCATCAACCACTTTACCTCGGCCAGGAGCAATTCCATTAGACGAAGGCTCCATCTTCAAAGGCTTAAAACTAATATATAGAACAGAAGGCATCAGCGGCTGGTTCAGGGGAGTTGGTCCGCGTTTTGTATGGACTAGTGTTCAGAGTGGCTGTATGTTGTTTCTGTACCAGACCATTTTGCGGCGATTGGAAACACTTATGCCTTTGGAGAGACCTGATATGTCTGCGTGAGGCTGATAGACGTCTGCAGTCGGGACAGCACCGTGTACAACTTGTGTAACATGAAGCATTTACATGGCGTTTAAGGATTACGTAGACCACGTGGAAACAATAGACAGCTGGTACATAGGCAGACATCTCAAATCGATTCCTCTCAATCTGATTGTAGGCTGTCAAGCAGCTTCTATTGAGCGAAGGCCAGCAGTGGCAGAAATTCGTGCGTGGAGTACTCCTTTTTCTGAGGAGGGTCTCGAGGTTATTCTTATAAGCTATATAAGCACTTTCCGGATGGATATTCTTCCAGGCCCAATATTCGACATGAGCTTTGAACCTCAATCGTATGATGCCTGGATCTGCGCAGCTGCTGTCAATTCAACCAACGCCTTTAAAACCGACTTATGGCCACAAGTGACTTCTAACTGAGTCCGAAATGGATGCGCATGCTCTGGAAATATGTCGCCCCCACTGCCTGTGCCGTCAAAGGCTGCGATCCACGCCCTCCGCGGGATCGCTCTCGGCACCTCCTGTGCGATAGGCGTCATCGTCGAAGACCGAAGGCGACGAATCTGCACACTGCGAACCGCTATTGCGAATAAACAAAAGCTCAAGTCGTCGCGACAGTATCATGGCACCTTGGAATCCGTTACACTGCAGCAACTGGACGATCCAACCATACTCGGCGGTGACGACTTGCACTGGCATCAGAGACAAGAAAGGATCAGCCATCGTCGCGAGTCCCAGGCCGCGAGCCCTCCTTCTCGATCCAACCGAGGCCAAGCGGTTCGTCCACTTGATCATGATCACCCGGAGCCTGCGAAACGTCCAGAGCCAAAAGATGTACCCGAACTCCCTGCGCAGAAACCCGATCCACCACCGCCATCCCAGAGAACCAAACCTTCTACTTCTTCTCGGCTGGCGGTGCCGCCACCGTTGCCTTCCGTTCCAACGACTGCCAAGATTCCAAATATCAGCGCTGGCGCATCGTGGCACTCGACAGGACCATCCACACCGCGACGGCGACCGAAAACTGTCGAAGCATTGATAGCAGAGATCGCTGGAATACTGGACAGCAATGACGAGCAGAGGCTGGATCGAGCTCTTACCCTGTTTCTCGGCGCGTCTCGCACAAATCTCTTCGCACGGCCTACGGAGGATTGGCTTGAACTCTCAGCCAGGCTCTCGAAAGAATGCCAAGCAAAGGACAGATGGGAGACCGCGAGTAGCATACTGGCTGCTGCTGTCAGTGCTGGTGCCCTTCAGGAAACACAGTACTACGCCCATGACCCTATACCGATCATCAATCACTGCCTTCGACAAGCAGATCCAGAGACTCCTTGCTCTCGGGAAGCCGTCACACTCGCTGCGAAGCTGTTCCTAGCAACGTTTAGAGAAAAACCCCAATTACATGTCGATCAGATCGAACATCTCGGACGGCGATTGATAACACAGGCTCTATTGGTCCGGGAAGCCGGGGTCGCTCACAATGCTTACTGGAGAGTACTGGGACTCCTCGACGACGACACAGTAGGATTCACTGGGTGGGCTATTCAAGAGCTCTTTCGGTTCCAAGATCACAAGAACGTGATCAAGTTCTTTCTCCTGAACTTCTCAAAGACGACACCAGACGTGACATCTTTGAACATGACCCTGCCTCTTGTGGTTGAGTCTGTCGAGGCTCTGAAAGGTTGGAAAGCGAGTCAGGTGTTACGTGCCTATGCACGGGTGGAATACGGCGGGTTGAGAACTGCGTTGATCATGAAGCTCTTGCAGGCCCACTGGCGTCGTCACGAAAACTTCGCAATGTCACAGTCACTCTTCGAAGAAGCCGTATCGCTCGGACTACTAGACAGGATCGACTACCCGCAGGAATTCTACCGTGTCATGGTCGACATCTCTGTCAAGGCAAATGAGACAGTTATGGCGCGATCTTATTATGAAGAGCTCATTCATAAATACCCTAGATCGAGGTACGACGGCGCCGCGCTTGAATCTCTTGCTTTAATCCAAGCCAAGGCCGGCGATTGGGACGGGGTATCTGAAAGCCTGATGCATCTAAATCTTCAAAGTCGCGACGAGCAGTGCACCAAGGTATTCGTCATGGTTTTGAAGTTTTTTGCGGACAATCACTCGGTTGCCGACGTTCGAGATTTCGTGCACGTGTGTACGAGCGAGCGTGGTATACCGATGCATCGCTACATTGTCTCCCTGGTTGCAAGAAAATACGGCGATTGCCATGACATACCTGGGTTCATATCTTGGCTGGAATATTGCGGCAAGGCAGGATTTGCTTTGGATTCGAGTTTCTGCAACTCCATCTTACAAGTGTGTCGCTCGAGATGGAACCTTTCATTCGACGAGCTGAGCGCACTCTTGTCGAAGATGCGTCTGCTAAGTCCGGGGTGCTCCGACGCTGTTACACAGAGGATCATGAGCCAAGCAGCGATCAAGGAAGGCCGATCGACGGCTGGATGGACTGGAGGTCACCGTGTCCGCTCTCGAGTCACCTCTGTCAACAGGCTATCATACCTGGGGAGGTCCACAGACCAGCGAGATGTTTACGAGGCCATGAATCAAGAGCTGAGCAGCGGGAATCCTACAGGCGCAATTTTGATATACAAGCGAGCGATTCGGTTCGCTATGCCGTTCTCCAGCCATTGTCTTCGTTTGGCAGTGTCGGCAGCTTTGCGGCGGCCCGGAAGCGGCTCTGGCTCTGCTCTTACGCTCATCCATAGCGCACATCAGCAGGGTCACGATGTCGGTCCGGCAGTCTCGGCTCTCATACGAGCCCGGATTGACCAGCTCCAGGCTCGAGCAGAGGAGGTGATCCTTCACATGCAGAACTTGATTACTCGGTTCGAAGCACTGCAAATCGTCATCGATCCAGCGGTATTGACTCACATGGCGTTTGTCTGCGTCAAACTAGGCCAGCAGGATAAAGCAGTTGCATTGTGCACGCTTGCAAGAGACCGGATCGGATCGACAAACCTTTGCTTCTCAAAGCAGAGCTTTCGCACCCTGGCCATGGCCTACTCGCAAACACTTGACACCGCGGGAATGAAGAAGCTCATTGAAGATCTCCTCGTGAGTGACTTGTCGTCTGACAAGACGGTGCTGTCACATTTGCGATCAGTTTCGCGGCAGGTGCACAAGCTAGACCATAACAACACCGTCGTGGCGATGCTGAATATCATTCAGCGCGGCATTAACAAGGTGAAACAATTACGCGCCGCTACTCGCGAAGGAGGGAAGATCATCTCCGAGGAGACCCTGCGGATCATGGGTGATGCGCTCGCTGAGATGCAAGCCAACCAGTCAACGCATCGACGGAACAGTACCAAGGGCGAAGAGCCACCCGAAGCCGTGGTATCGAATGATGCCCCTAGGCCTCTGGTCGCCGTTGCTTAGATATGTATCAAGTTTTGTATATACCTAGAAGAAATATGTTCAGTATATTGTGTCCCACGAGCACGCTGGCTGTACTAGATACGATATGATTACCTTCGTTCGCGATATGTTCGTGTCACTATCGTTTTTGAACGATTCCATACATCAACATCGAGATATGGACGCGCTTGACTCGTATATTCAGCTGAATGGCTTCACTTGCTCCCTTCCCTGGTTGATCCCTTGTTTTCTATCACTTACTAAGACGCAGGTTGCTAACACGAGTTGATACGCGCTCGTTCATCTCCACAAGCTCGCCCTTTCCATACCCACCCATAGTACATACAGACTCGTTCCAACAGGCTTCACTGAGAAGTTCCGCGAGCTATCACCATCCAAGCTACACGAGGCCTTGAGACCCAAGAAAGGTCGGTCCATCAACTAGGTTAGGGATATGGCTTCGCAAGAGGGTAGATATATACCCACTGCTCGCAACCGTCGCAACGACAACTGGGAGGAAGCTGTCGCAGAAGAGCAGGAGCGCAATGTGCATTCGTAAATTGCTTGGAGGCGGATTTGGGCTTGGCGTGGTGGGTTGGATGATGTGGCGGGGGTATTCGGAAGGGTGGGCCAGCAGTAGAAAATTCGCTTATAGGGGCAATATCAGCCGACGGATCAGTGAATCCTTGGAAGGTTTTCGGTGTGACGGGCCGAAAGAAAAAGAGACGTAAAAGAGGTTTCAACCGCCAGAGGAATCGAACCGCTGTGCCTAAGGATATAGAATGAGAATATTCCGCTATTCGCTAGGCCGTACCAACCCGGCTACTAGACAAACCTGATAAACTCGTATATATATCCTGTGCCATTGGGGTGAGGAATAGGGGGCTATGTGGCTGTTAGAAAAACCTTCTGTAATTACCTCATCCCATGTGAGCTTGGCTTGCGAGTTTGTTCTATGTATGGATGTGGATAGACGGATCGATGGATCGATGGCTATTAGCAGCGAGCGTCCGTTATATCGACTGTATTTCCAGGCCAAGCGATTGACCACGAGGCATTGTCGTAGTAGTTCTGGTACGGCAGTGGGCGGTTTCAACGTTCCCAGGAAGATTTGACGAAAGACGGATGGCCAGAGCGCGTGGGTGGTAGACATGTCATGTCATGTTGTTCTTCCACTGCTTGGACTCCGGGCATGAACTCGGTATGATTGATATCCCGAACTGGTTAACTTATACCGAGGCTTAGTTAGACCCAGTGTGTGCCTGGCACTTTTGATCGTTTCCGAGGGCACCTGCATATCCCCGGCAGCCTGCGGGGAGAGAGAGCACTTTTGCTGGTTGAGGAGGGCCAAAAGGAAAAAGAAAAAGAAAGTTAGCCGCTAGAGGAATCGAACCGCTGTGCCTAGTAATACCTTCTAAGAATGCTTTGTAAGAATATTCCGCTAGGCCGTACCGACCCGGCTACCGAACAAACCTGATGAACTGGTATATATAGCCTGTACCGTCGTGGGTGCAGAGAGAAACGGGTGGACATGTGTAAAAAGTGCGCAAGGTGGCGTAACTCAATACGAAAAGAGAAAGGGGGAGAGAGTTTAGGTGAGGAGGGCCGAAATCGTAGACTCCCCGCTTCTAGCCTAGAGCGGGATCATGGCTGAGGATACGTTCGCTCCCCAGCCAGACTTGAAACCGACCAGATACGCCGCTGCTGGTCCTCTCAGAGGCAAGTGGCCGCTGCACTTCATCAGCACTGCGAGAGTGTTCGCCAGAGCCAAGAGTATCTTCGAGAGCGCTGCCCCCAGTAGCCAGCCGCTGCCCGGGAGCCGGGGACTCTAGCCCACGGGGCCTATGTGTTAAATGGAGTGTCCTGTGGTGGCACGCACTTGATGGCGACGAGGGGTGTGCGATTGTGTTCTTGGCAGTATCTTTGGGCATTGTCGTTGCCCGTTCTTACAAATCGTAGTTCCTTGCAACATGGTCTGCCTGGGCGCGGAACAGTAGTCACAGTTCACGGAATACATGATGAGAGTGCGCATGGAGGATGAGCAGTTGAAACGCCAGGAGTGAATGCCCCGGTTTCTTGGTGTTGCATGACTCCATGTTCAGGTGGCCTGACATGTAAGTGAGGGTTAGGACTGTCCGTCAGATAAACTCCTAAGTAATACGATGTCTATGGCACTGGCACGTGTCTACACATAGCAGCCCGGGGACCACCTCGAGTCTGAACTGAACGAGCTGGCGAACCGAGACACCTGACTCGAGGACAGGAAATTATATACGAAAGACTGGGTGAGTAGCGTCCCCTATCACCGCCTTCAAGGGTCTTCACAGAGGTAGTTTCTGACTCTGGACACTGCAGTGGTCGCTCAGCGAAGATGACGCGGTAGCATCCGTGCTGCCGCTGTGCTCTTCGTCGCGCTTTACATCATCCAGTCCGACAGTATGCGACTGGGGCTGATCGTCGTCTTCTCGGCGTGCTTCTCCCTGGCGCCGGCACTGATGACGAACGCGCGGACCATCGAGGTGTTTGCCGCGACTGCAGCGTGAGTAAGTACCTTTCTGATATTTATCAGCTCCTCCTTCTTTGCACTTCTTGTCTCTAGGAAATCAACTTCCTAGAGACATGAAGGTAAGGCGGGTTGGAGTTGGAGACATCTTGCCGAACCAAAAGTGGACGCGGTTGTAGATTTGCGGCCGTCAACGTCGTCTTCCTGACCAGCAACCCGACTTGTACGCTCGAGGGAGCGACTTCGTAAAAAGGAGTAGGCCCCAGGCTGCGTACGGGAGCGTCTGTGAGTGTTGCGTCAAGGTGCCTATGGACGGGATACAACCACTAGGCAAGGGGACGGTCGATTGTGGTATTATATAGCCGACTTGGAGGAAGATCCACGAAGGCTCAAACGAAAATACAAAAAGCTCATCAGGGCGTTTGGAGCATCGACCTCAGCAGCTGTAATAGACCACATCTAAGTTCGCAAACATCCATAGACAGTTGCGTCTTACTGTGTATCCAGCCAGCGGCCCAGGCAAGAGACAAACGACTCCCACCTACGAAAAACCAGCCCGAGGAGCAGGTTTTCACAAGGGAAGGAAATTCGTGTAACGGTATATCAGATTTGCGGCGCTGGGGCGCCAGCCACCTGGGCGACTCACTGTCAGAATCCAGTTCATTGCCCAATCAAGAGACATCGTCTCTCAACATGAAACTCTTATAAGTCCAAGACTGAAAGTCAGATACCCAGATTGCCTGGCTACCGATAAGTCATGGGCGAGGTGGCGGGATACTATAATAGTAAGTCGACACCGAAACATCCATCGAACCATTAGATGCAGGAAAGTAATGGTATTTGAGAGCCGGAAGCCGTTCCGATGTCCTGGACTCATGGTGACGATGACTCTTCGTGCCTGCAAGGACAACACATCTTGCGGGTCATACCAATCGCGTCAGACCCATCAATACCAATCTCAAAAGAGGTTCTCATACGGTGCCTCTGCCTGTGGTTCATGGCTGACCAGGTAAAGGAGTCCGAGCAAGCGCCGTCGACCACAGAGCCTCCATACAAACGGCTCACGATCTCAACCGTGCATGGCCACTAGCTGATATTGACAAAGAGGGACTCACTCTTTCTTGGCCACGCGTTCAGGTCGGTGGTAGACCTAGCCTTCTCATGAGTCGCGCCCTCCTCGTACCTAGAAGGCTGATGGAGGAGCCCATGGCGCTTCGGCTCGTTCCTACCTAACTCTTAGAGAGCGTCCCAGCGCAATGCCACCCAGGGGAAGCCTAACGTTTGAGGTTATCCCCAACCTAGGTACCCTCGCCGTGGATGGATTCCCGTGATCACCGCTAGGATTGCAGTGCCGGAGCCAGAGCCCCGAGATCGGTTTAGCGCAAGAAGAATATCGGCAGGATATCGTGATGGCTTCATTGATTTTGAGGGGCCGCGAGCCACCTTTTGCTGATCTGCCGGGCTAGATCGCGACTTAGGTCGCGAGGTAGTGCAGCTTTTCCGCGCCGTCCCTTTCTAGACAGATTCGGCTATGCTCCAAAAGCAGAAAAGCAGTCGCTATATTTGCCGAATTCGGAATACCGTATGTAAGCTGTGGGCCGTCACGCACGCTGCCTCAAGGAGCATACCCAGCTAGGTGACTGCACGTCTCTGTTACAATGTGCGCTACCGTAACGCGACGGTTTATCTCGAAGGGGCTCTCGAAGACGCTGTGACGCAGACCCAGCTTGAGGAGAAATCGTGAAACAGCCAGCGAGGTCGAAACCCCATACAGTAGCCACCATTCCTGACTTACCTTATCCCTGATCCCCCCAACCGCCAGTCTGCGCTGAGATGGTGAATAGGAAAGTTTAGAAAGCCTTCATGAAGCCTGAACCTCGCATGGAGGTCCACCGCGAAACTAGTAAAGATCTCACCGTAGCATCCCACTTATCAGGTATTGTATATGAAGCACCGGAGAGGCACGCACTTGCTTGCCGTGTAGACAGGTGGGACGGAGATGATCTGCCCTGACCTGCAGCTTAAACAGCCGCCATATCCACGTGGCTATGGAGGGATATAGGCATTGCTTTTCCCTCTTCCATTCTCCTCGCGAACTTCCATACCGGCCGGGTCCCTGCCTTACTCTATCGACGGTTTGGGAGTTCAAGATGCAGCCTCAACTACCAGCCGAGGCCGAAGGGACCGCTGCTGGTATCCTGATCTACTCCATCATATGCTTGATATGTAGCTCCCTTCTGATATGGCTAGTATGGGCTCATCATGAAAGAGATAGTTGTGAGTATTCGGTCGATCCTCCCTTCGAGAACCTTCGTTGATCAAGAACATCTTAGTTGTGGCATTCTTCTCGTACTTCACGTTTCTCAGCACGAGCGCCAGCATAATTCAACAGTGCCATACGATCGCTATGTGGAGAGATATCGCGACGGCGCAGTATTACCACGGCATCAAGAATGTTGGCAGCTCGGAAATTGCCATTTGTGGGCTCGCAATGGGAATGGACCGTTACCTCTTCTATATCCGTCAGTTGCACGATACCGTTACAGGGGACAAGGCAAAGCTGACTGGGAAGACTGCAGAATTCTATGCTTACAATGTAGAGGCACTCCTGGCCCTTTTCTGGTATGTATCCGCGTCCTGTCTCGTCAATGTTCCAGGCTAACGTGAATACTGTCAGGGCTGGCGCGCTTGCGCAATCGATATACGGTCTCACGGATCTCGACGTCTATAAGCGTGTCAGATGGGCAACTCAAGTACTCATGAAAGCGGTTGCGGTTCTTCTGCCTGTTCTGTTGATGTGTCTCCTTCAACTCGACGCGGTACGCCGATCTTTCGCGGCTTTCCTGTTGGTGGCCGACGCTTGCAGTACGTAGGAAGGACCTGATCCCAACCGGATGTTTGGCTAACGCAGGTACAGTGATGTCTTGTCTTGGACTTGGCGGTATCTTTATGCTGGCAATTCTGGGGAGATATATACATTCACGGCGCAAGTTATTGTCGTGGAATGTACCGTACGGTAAATCGTCAGGGACCCGAGGGACGCGACAAGGGATGTCCGGCAATCCATTGCAGACAGACCAACGGAAGAGCATCTATGACCGGTGGCTTCTGGTGCGCTTCACCTTCGCATTTCTCATGCTGGCTTGCTTTGACTTGAGTGTCGTTATCTTCCAGCTGGCATCGGTCAGGCACACGACCAGGGAAGCCCTCGGCGATGCACCCAATTTGTCCGGCGAAATAGCGCGGACTACCTTCGTGTCGTTCGTGCCTGGTGTATCAGCAAGTGTACTTGTATTTATTGTATTTGGCACCAGTCGACCGTTCCGCGAACGCATGTACAAGACGTTTGTTCCAAGACCGTTTCGGAGGACAAGATCGGAGGACAAAGCTTGGGCTTCAACGGTACTTCCCATACGCGGCGGACACACGGTCATCCGAGACGCGGCCGCTCCAACGGATGTCAAGCTTCAGGAGCTCCGGCTGGGAAAATGCAAGAGCCTGCATTCTGTTGACGGATGGCCGTGGTTCGATTCCACAACCCCGGGGCTGATAGAAGACCAGAGAGTAATAAGAGCCGAAGTGTAGCGGAGATTCCCCTGGTATTGTGCAAATAGGTACCTCATCGCCACATGATGCGTTGGTGGCGCTAGATGCATGTAGATAGAGCCAGGCAGACAGCAATGGACACTCAGTACGTTACTTGACTCTACCAGCCGCGAAAGGTCGGGTTGGACCGGTGCTGAGAACACGGGGCGGCACGGCTCAAATGAAAGGGACAACAATGGGGAGCACATTGGTCGCGCGACATTCGGGATAGGACGGTTCTTGGTGTTGGAGCATGTGATGGTGAAGAGTTGCTGATATGACAGAACCGGCGGCAGCGGTTTGAGTTGGGACTCGACGCCCCCTACTTGATGAATAAAGCCAACTCATCGAGGCAGGACCTAAGTCATGAGCTTCGAAGTGGGTTTCCATCCTGAGCATAGCCGAGTGCTCAGTGATGTTGAAATTGGTCGGCATCGAGCAGCGAAGGTTGTTTCGACGTCGGTTCATGGTCTGTGCACTCTCAGCTGTTCACCTGCTCCCACCTGCAACGACCAGACCCGGGACTCGGGAGCAATTGAATGGAGGGGCAGTAACCCTTGCAAAAACATATATATTGGCGGGGTTGACGTAAAAAGAAGTTAAGCAGAAGCAGTGAATGCCAGGTGAATCCCACCATCTAAACGGGAAAAGGACATAATCAACTGTGATTTCCATGTAGGAGGTATCTACTACAAGTCAATGTAGTTATGTCCGCAACAGCACCCTGATGTCCAAGGTCGAAACAAGACATCGGACTTCAATGTTATTGGTATAATTGAGGGGAGTCCCCACCTCACGCACATGTAGCCAACAGTTTTTCTGATGAGATGAGGTACTTCAGGCCCAAGCAAATCTGGCTGGCGAGGCAGGTATAGGCCACTACCCCTCCTCGGGAAATGACATTGTGGAAGCTCGAGCATCCCGCCGGACCCCGCCAACCCGCCAACTTGCTGCTGCCTCCAAATTCCTCAGCAACCAGGCCGGCCCAGCCAAGCTCAGCCCACGTCTCATTCTCTACTCCTCCTCCTCCCACTCAAGAACATACCGACTCCCTCTTCCTCACCTACCTCGAACACCCTTACGAACCAGACTTTGAATGTGAGTACCCCGTTGTGTATATTGTTACGACACCCTGTTCCAATCCCGCCTCACCCTTGACGGGAAGCGTGATTTGCGCAAAGCTACCCCACCATCCCACCATCATTTCCTCCAGACTGAGGTCTGAGGCATATTCTTTTCCTTGGGCATGCCCTGAAGCAGCCAGTCGGCCAGCAGGTAGCCAGCCAGCACGAATTGAGCGAATTTAATACCTATATACACCTGCTCTCGTTCGAATATGTCGAATCCCCATCTCTATTGTTGCACTTCATTCAGTCAGACAATGCAAACTAACGTCCATTCCGAGTCAGACCAGATCCCCATAAACATCTCAACATGGCTATCAAGAAGATCCACGCCCGCTCCGTCTACGACTCTCGTGGCAACCCCACCGTCGAAGTCGATGTAGTGACCGAGACTGGCCTCCACCGTGCCATTGTCCCCTCGGGAGCTTCCACCGGTGCGTACAGTTGCGATGCCGAGACGAGACGAAACTCGCTAATATGTCGTTGTAGGTCAGCACGAGGCCTGCGAGCTCCGCGACGGTGACAAGTCCAAGTGGGGAGGCAAGGGTGTCACCAAGGCCGTCGCCAACGTCAACAATGTCATCGCGGCCGCAGTCATCGAAAGGGCTCTCGACGTCAAGGACCAGAGCGCCGTCGACAAGTTCCTCAACGAGCTCGACGGAACAGTCAACAAGACCAAGCTGGGTGCCAATGCTATCTTGGGCGTCAGTATGGCCATTGCAAAGGCCGGCGCTGCTGAGAAGGGCGTGCCGCTTTACGCTCACATCTCCGACCTCGCTGGCACCAAGAAGCCCTATGTCCTACCCGTTCCCTTCATGAACGTTCTCAACGGCGGTTCGCACGCTGGTGGTCGATTGGCCTTCCAGGAGTTCATGATCGTCCCTTCTGACGCGCCCTCCTTCACCGAAGCCATGCGCCACGGTGCCGAGGTTTACCAGAAGCTGAAGAGCCTCGCCAAGAAGAAGTACGGCCAGTCTGCCGGCAACGTCGGAGACGAGGGTGGTGTTGCTCCCGATATTCAGACTGCTACTGAGGCTCTCGACCTCATTACCGAGGCCATTGATGAGGCTGGATACACTGGCAAGATGAACATCGCTATGGATGTTGCCTCCAGCGAGTTCTACAAGGAGGATGCCAAGAAGTACGATCTCGACTTCAAGAACCCCGACAGCGATCCCACCAAGTGGATCACCTACGAGGAGTTGGCTGCTCAGTACAGCGACCTCTGCAAGAAGTACCCCATTGTCAGCATTGAGGACCCCTTTGCCGAAGATGACTGGGAGGCCTGGAGCTACTTCTACAAGAGCCAGGGGTCTGATTGCCAGATCGTTGGTGACGACTTGACCGTCACGAACCCCATCCGTATCAAGAAAGCTATTGAGCTCAAGGCTTGCAACGCTCTGCTTCTCAAGGTCAACCAGATCGGTACCCTAACCGAGTCTATCCAGGCCGCCAAGGACTCTTACGCCGCTGGCTGGGGTGTCATGGTCTCTCACCGCTCTGGAGAGACCGAAGATGTCACCATTGCCGACGTTGTCGTTGGTATCCGAGCTGGTCAGATCAAGACCGGTGCCCCTGCCCGTTCCGAGCGTCTTGCCAAGCTCAACCAGATCCTTCGCATTGAGGAGGAACTCGGAAGCAACGCCACCTTTGCTGGCACGAGCTTCCGCACGGCGGTAAACATGTAATCATTGCAACGTCGGATAACCACACATTAAAACGACATGCCATGATCACGATCGGGATGACTCGGGGAATGGCTCGGACAAAAAAGGCTACATAGACTGAATGGCCCCTACTCCAAAAATGAAACATTGGTACAAAACTTGAGCTTCTCGTGTCGTGTCTACTGCTGGTGACTGATAAGAAGATGCAGCGGGCCTTTCCGCTATGTCGTCGGTTGGACACCAACTGATAGCCGGATGGGGCCGATGCTTGGGACGTCGGCGTTGGAGGAGTTGAAGTGGGAGGTGGCATACAAGGTGGAAATAGATGCTGGAGGTACGAGATTCGTGGTAGGTACGAGGGACATAACCCAGGTGCGCCTGAAGGCATGGTCAGTTGCGCCGGCTGCGGCGTCGGGATGCATAGGGAGATGGTAATGGACTCGAGATCAGACATACAAGATGGGTCGGACCTCGGTAAGGTGAACCGGGAGGCTTGAAATGGTATCGAGCTAGGATCAATCACGGCAATTCAAGCAGGCCGTCGAAGAGCCCGGTGACCTGCAGACGATTAATGAAGCCCCCAGGCGGTGATTCCGCTCGTGTACCCGAGATCATTTTTCGAACTACCTGTCAGGCACCAGTCACTGCCAGTACCGACACCTTGGCTAACGTTTGCTTGGTAAGAGAAGTTGCCTCTTTACATAACTTCAAGATCATGTTGCACCATAGCACACTGGGAGTTGAAACCACTGCTGGATACAATAATTTGGCGACCTCGGGAGGTCAACGGATGATGAGGTGCAAGGCCATGAAGGGCTCGTTGATGAACTATCCTAATGCCTGAAGGGCTACATCGGCCTGAGGCTGAGAGAATAAACTGCATAATCACCTTGATCAAGTGCATGTCCAAGTTCTTCAAACCACTTGAGCGAGTGGCATAGACAAGACGCACTGGATTGTAACAGAAGCAAACGACAGTGCACAGCACTCTAGGAGGTGCCTTCGAACAGCAGACGCCCAGTCCCTTGAAGCCAAGAGTACATTGCGGCATATCACCAGACCCATTTGTCGGCGAAGAAGGGATTACCTGCTCACCAGTTAGTTGAGCTCTGCCGATCAATGCAAAATGATTGAGGAGTTCGTGTTCCGAATCAGAAGTCCGTTTAATACATTTCAGGTCAGAGACCCGATGATATAAGAGGTACCAGAAAAAAGTAAAGTATGGAGTATCATCATGTGAAGGGGGGCGTAGGGTGGGCTGGAGTAGATTGGAGAGCATACCTTGGGGATTCAGAGCGCCTGCGTCGAAGGCATCATATCAGGTGCTGCCTCGAGCTCTTGGCCACTGGATGATCAGTAGACGTACAAAGTCTTGACTCTAGAAATAGCATGCTCCCGACAGTGATTTGCGACTGAGAGAGGACGAGCTGGTTTTCGAGGAGCATGTCGAAGGGAAGAATTCGAAAACTGCCAGGCACTTTTCTTCTTTGTATGAGATTTGGCTTGGCGGGCCCGGCAGAACCACGGCTCCGTTCTGGCTGTCTGGGAAGCCGTGGGGCAAAGCTTGGACCACCAGAGGGCAGGCGCAATCGACACACAAACCTCAACACCACTTTTCTCGCTAAAATTTGTGCGATCTTCCCCAAAATCCTCACCCACGATCTCAACGACCTTCCGAGCACTCCTCTCCCAACCACCATAGTCGACAACCGAATCCGCCAACATGGGTCGTCTTCACTCCAACGGAAAGGGTATCTCAGCCTCCGCGCTGCCCTACTCGCGCGCGCCCCCGGCATGGCTCAAGACCACCCCCTCCCAGGTCGAGGAGCAGATCTGCAGACTTGCGCGAAAGGGTACGACGATATCCCCACGATGTACAACCAGCAGCCGACTAATACACTACCATCGCAGGTGCCAGCCCTTCGCAGATCGGTGTCATTCTCCGTGACTCGCACGGTATTGCCCAGGTCCGGTTCGTTACCGGTGAGGAACAACTCCAAAAAGAAAAGATGCCATATGGAATGACTGCTGACCCTCGACATCAGGTAACAAGATTCTGCGAATCCTGAAGTCAAACGGTACGACATGAGTCCAGCCCCACCGAACGATGCGAACCATACAATCCTGCGGTCGATCCGGGACATAGTTGCTCTACCTTCACCGGAGAGCATGCCCATGCGACTTGCTCATACACAACACGCACTCTGAGTGCTATACTGCCACTGTTGGTCGAGGCTAACGGTGTGATTTTGCTAGGCGTCGCGCCCGAAATGCCCGAGGATCTATACGTGAGTTCTTGCTGCCCTTTGATATCCCTCGATTCTGCTGCTGTCCGACAGGACCTACACCGCTTGAGCACAATCCAGAAATACCGAATACTCGCCATTCCGTCTTGGAAGCAATTGCTGACATGAGATGCCATAGATGTTGATCAAGAAGGCCGTCTCCGTCCGCAAGCACCTCGAGCGCAACCGCAAGGACAAGGACGCCAAGTTCCGCCTGATTCTGATCGAGTCGCGAATCCACCGTCTCGGCCGCTACTACAAGACCGTCGGTGTCCTGCCCCCCACCTGGAAGTACGAGAGTGCTACCGCCAGCACCATTGTCGCATAAGCCTGAGGAGGTACCAAGCGAGGGATGGTTGGTCACGGAGTTTGTGGAAAAGGTATTGCCGCTTCTGGGGCAGCCGAAAGTACTGGGCTTCTAGTCACATAAGATTAGATGAGCAGCCACAATCAGTAGATGAATAAGATCGCTGCATCAATGGGTTTCCATTGATCCTGACCTAAAGCTGTGGTATCATCGCCAAGAACGTGATCCGATGCTAACTCTATGGAATCTTCGTGATGATGAGATCCGTGAATGCATTGCGGGAGATATAACATCTCCCAAGTAGCTCTTGCCTGTTCCAAATAGCAAATGCTGGGGTATCATCGTGAAAGAGACTTGTCTTGCGAAATCGGCTCTGAAAATCTGCAACGTCGAAAACCCCAAACCCTCGGTTCGCCGGGAGACCAGAACTCTGCATGAATCATAGCCACTCCCACCGTTCGTCAACTTTTTGTCGCCCCACTCCAGTTCTGCCCGCTTCCAGTCCATGCCTAGACCTCCTTCACGTCTGCGTCTCGATGTCCTTAGATCGCTCCATCAGGAACTCCGCCAGTGCTCGCAGGGGGTCCTTCGGTCTAGTGTAGTAGATCAAATGTCAGCAATGTGTGCAAGCGACTAGACAATAGAATGAACTCACTGCTCCTTCGCGATCTTCTTCATCCCGTCCAGCACGTGAGTCGTGACCTTCGAGTTCAGATACTGTCGCACCGGCGCCCCATGAGGCGGGGCCTCCAGAGGCATCGTGAAGCCCGTGTCCGGGTGCAATGAGGTAGCTCGCGACGAGCTGTTCGCGTTGAAGTTGTCCATTGTGTTGCTGGGTGCGGCGCCGAAGTTCGTCCCGTTGGCTGTAGAAGACATGGCTGCGGCTGCCGTTGATGATGTATTCCGAAGGGATGTACCAGTCTGGGTAGCCGTAGACGGAAACTGGCTGGTTGCCCCGTTTGGCGCGGTTGCGCTGCTTGATGGCTGCGCGCTCGTGCTTGGGAAGTTTGTACACTTTTCGGCGCTCTTCCATTAGCCAAAGCTTCCACGCGTTGAGCGGTCGTTTGGGAACGTGTTCTTGTTTGTTCATGGATTGTGTGTATCAGTGGGGGAAAGCGTGTAGGGGGTTTCTGTACTCTGTGGTCAACTGGCTTACTTGAGCGTCGGTCATTGTGGCATCCTGCTGATGAGCAACTCCGTTAAGCATTCCGAACGAGCCTGAGGTAGCGCCAGGTTGGCCATAGGCCGGGAGAGGGACAGGCGTGTTCGGGGTCTGATCAGCCATCTTGTCAGCGAAGAATGAGGTCGGCGACAGGAATAAGTTCGGCGACAGGGTCGAGTTCAGAGCAAAGGGTGATCTGGCAAGAAGAATAGGATCATAGAGAGCAGAGGAAATGGTGGTTTGGGAGAGAAGAGATGGTGTTTTGCAAGTCTGGCAGTTTGCAAAAGGCAGGAGAGGTAGAAGAGCTCCTACGTGGGGGGTGGGGTCAAATATGCCGACACCGACTGGGGAATTAAATGCCTGAGGTACATCGTAGCGTAAGATTTATGCAGATATGATCCAAGCTCCTCTGTCTAGCAGGTGGCTTGCGTGCAGAAACTGGAGCACCAGCCACATCCATCTGGCCTGATAAGAGATAATCCTGATAAGGTGCTGCGTGAAGGCACGCAAGCCAGCTGCGCTAGACAGCCCGGAGCGCATCTGCATAAAGTATGTAGTACTCGGTAGATCAATGCGTCAGACATGCCCGCTTTTCTGGCGCGCTGTCTCGTGATAGCGCGTCGCCCATTGCAGCCCTTGCCGATTCCTCACCCGCGCCTACTGTTGGAGCGTGATCCCTATGTGCCGTACTAGGTAAGTAATTTATGAAGTCATGTGTTCCATTTCCCTCTTCCGTGCAAAATCAGCAATTGTATGAATGGCTTGTTTCTGGGCGCATGATAATGGACCGTTTCATCACCAAGATTAAGCCCTCTGATGCCCGCCGATCAACTTCGTCAGGTAACCAGCCTGCGGAGGCCGCTGCAAGCGAGCAGCCCCCCACAAAGAAAGTGAAGAGGGAGCAGACTCAGGACAGCGGTGAGGACTCGGATCAAGACCGACTGGGCATCTTCTCGCTGAAGCCACTGCCTAAGGGTATACGTAGAGAAGATACTACAGCTTCTGGATTCGATGACGGCACGCCAGAAGGGTCTGACGCTGAGGATACACATCAACCTCGCCCGACTGCTATTGAGAGCTCTCTGCCCGAAGTCAAGCCAGACAAAGAAGCTCTCGAAGAGTATGCTACTTTCAAGGCATCACAAGAGGACAATGCAGACACTGCTACAGCAAGGCTTGATTCGAGGAAGTGGGTGAGAGGCAAGAGCTCTCTCTATGTCGATGCCTTCAACCTAGCTCTTGGTACTGTGCTCGATGAGGAATCCCACCTGTTCGACGAGAAAGAAAGAGCCATTTTCGACCAGTGGAATCATCTCGATTATGAAGCTCAATTCTTGTACGTAACGATTTGTAGTCGCTGCTGAAGGTCCAAGTCTAATCTTTTCTGGCTAGATATGTGCGCCTGTTTCTAAGGAAGACATCTTCATGGCATCGAATTGCTCGTCTGGGTTACCACAATGACATAACCGATATAGAGGCCGCCGTCAAAGAACTACAAGAGAGTCGGGATTTACCAACCACGTCTTCCCCACCGCGTTCAGACCAAGAGTTTCCGGAACCTGGGCTTGACACGTTCATTCAAGAACAGTGTGTGTTTGAGGATACTTTCACCTTCGCAGATGCCTCGGAAAACTTTATCGACAGTGTAGAGGAGGCTGTGTCACTCTTAAGCCTCGATGAGCTCAAAGTGCTGGCCAAAGATGCTAAGGTCCAGGGCAAGAACAAGGCAGGTCTTGCAAAGGCCATCTGCAAAATGAGCAGTCAGCAAGCTGGGCTCTTCTCCTTGGGGCTTCAGAGGTCTGATACGAACGGCTCTATCGACTCCCCCGGGAAGGGTACTCCTGAAGTGGAGTCACCTGGTCCAGGTACCGGAGAGGATTCAAACAGAAGAAAGCATTTTCTCGACAGGATCCTGGCCATCACTGGCCCTAGCACCAGGCTCTCCCTGCCTGTCTTCAGACTGTTCGAGAGGGTCCACCTTGTCTTCTACAGGTCTACGGAGTGGACAGAGAAATCTCTGACCACAATTATCCTTGCTAAGATCTCACGGCGCAACTTTCCTCAGTATATCGTTAGCAGGTCGGCCAACATTTTTGCTTCGAGGCAACAGCTGTTGGAGTTCGAGACTGCGATGAGGTCGGAATTTGCCGTGGACAACATTCTCGAGTTCAACGGCCCTGCCACAGAGGCAGGTTTCCGAAAGGTTACGGACGCGTTTGAGCAGATATATCCAAGGTGGCAGACCTTACTCCAGGAAGAACGAGAGAAAGAGGAGAGGATCTACGAATCCGGAGAGGGGGCGTATCTGAGACGGCTGAATCCAGCACACTCATACACCCGGATCCTCCACAAGGCTGCTTGTGTCTTCGGTCGGCTGAAGGAGCATCAGCGGGAACACAGCTTGTTGACCGAATTGCTTGACCAGCGGCTTTTCCACCTAGCGCGTCGAGGATCATGGTATCAACGCAAGGCCCTTCTCGAAGAACACTATATGCATGCGCTAGAACCAGATCCTGCTTACAGTAACGTGGAGACGCAGAAGATGCACTGGAAACAGATTGCAGTGACTACCTGCGAGACCGCATTAGAGGACCGCGATTGTCACCTGATCTATCACTATGACATACAGAAACGTCTCGTGAAACTCGAGAAGCAGCTCAAAATCCCAAAACGCCTACAGCATGACTTCGGCCATGTGCGATTGAAGAAGCCAGAAGAGCACTATGCCGAAGGCATCCAGCTGAAGAAAGACGACATTGTGGGGAAGAAAGGACGAGGGCCTAGTACCAGGACGATATGGGTCGACGAGGCAGAAGGAGGTGGTGAATGCAGTGTCGAAGCCATGTGTCTGAGTTGGTACAGAGGTCAGGGGTGGAAAGGATACCATGCCGAGGGCGGCATCATACGCACGCTCTTCGCCTATCTCTTCTTCGACATTCTCTTCCTCTACATACCCAACGTCTTTCAGACAGCTTACCAGGTGTGCCCCCTAGATCTGCACACGGATGCCTTCTACCCCACCCGGGCATCTGAAATCAACCATCGCCTCGTCGAGATCGCCAACGGCGGTGCGGCAAAGCTCATCGAGGAAGTCGACCATCGGGAGCGAGAGAATCGGACCTGCGCCGTCGGCCTCAACTGGGACTACGAGCTGGAAGATCTGCTCGAGCTGTCCAACAGCTTCGATGGAGCGGCGCTCGCTGCAGTGTGCAAAGTCATGGCGCAGGAGTACGGACAAAGAGGAGGCGGTATACCCGACCTGATACTGTGGAGGACGGAGCCGACCAAGGAGTGCATGTTCTCCGAGGTCAAGAGCGCGAATGATCGGCTGAGCGATACGCAGCGACTCTGGATCCATGTTCTCACGGGAGCAGGTGTCAAGGTTGCGTTGTGTAACGCCGTAGCGAAGGAGGTCCGAGAAGTCTAGCTGGACGTTGTTGCTTGCTACAACTCCTTCGACGACAGCTGTGTCGTTGATTGGTATGGCTTTTGAGTAAGCCCCCGACGAACATTGGTAGGCTTTCACTGTAGGAGGGAGACATGGAACCACCAACGATCACTGCCAAAACCTGACCTATATCTGGCGACATCATCGGACGGTCTCAGGGCGCTTGAGAAGGGCGTGCAGATACCTAAAACACTCTGTCTTTACAGACGAACAGCGTCCACCGTTAATCCGACCACCAATGAAGCTGTGTAGTCACAACATGCGACCACGGTTCATACATCGACATCGACATCATCGCTAAGGTCGCATCATTTCCTCTCCAGGACTTGCCGAAAACCAGCCCATCTCAGCATCAAGGATAACAGGCTTCGAGCCACGAGGCTGCCGCCACCCCACGAAATGAGATGGCCACCAGCAGCTCATCAGAGTCATCACCAGTACGGCCTGGTTGTCAGCAAAGGCACTTTCGCAGTAATGCAGCGCATGGATTCCACGTGAGAGAAGCACCGGCGAAAGTTCGAAGGCGCCTAAAATTAGATAATTTCCGACGCACACACTCAACCAGGGAAGGTCATCCTGCCTTCCTCCTTCCTGTTAACTTGATAAGATATGTGAAACGGCCGAGATTCGCGACAGCTGTTGAATGGGAGCCGGAGATACACACCGGAAGATCTCCAGTGGTGCAGAGACGCACAGGGCATCTGACCCACCAAGAAGACAGATGATCAATCTCTGTACGCTGAAGAACAATCAACAGAATCGATCAACATCTGTGTATTAAACAAGTAGTTACCTAACCATGCAACACACCCTCGTGAGCCACTAAAACGTGCTAGAAATAAAGCCTTTAATACATATATATTGTGGTATTTTAAATCTGTTTTAATAGTAGGATAGCACGTGCTTATAAATAATTTTTAAAGGCTTTAAATCGCTTAAAAACATTTAAAACATTTACAAAATAAGCTTTTTTACTACTTATAAAGATTTAAACCTGTTAAAAAAATACTTAGTATTTTTCTTATTTAAAAGCTTTACTAAATTGTTCACAATTATATCTTTTTGTGAGATTTTAGAAGGGTCACAAGCCTTTAGGGTGTGAGTGGTCGCTGCAAACATTGTTATCATTCTCAAGTATGCTTGACACGGCTAATCTACAGCTAAATACTATACTGCACCATGCCAGGGTGGATCCACTGGTCCCCTGGCAGCCCCCTAGCGGGTACTGCACCTAAAAGCACTATATCTAGAATCCAATATCTGACAATTAGGTATATAAAACGTCGTTAAATTTTTGAGGCCTTATTTAAAATAAAACCTTAAAATTCATTTAAACATTTAAGGCTTTTCTATTATAATTAAAAGTAATTAAGTCTTTTTACGCTTAATATTTTAAAATAAGTTATTATAAAAACCCTACTATAAATAGGTGCATTAGCTGATTAAAGTGCGGTTAAATAAGTAAGATAAAAAAGTGCTATTGTATAATAAATACAGCTGTTTTAGTTCGTTAAATAAATAACCTATATATAATAACACATTTAACTTTTCAACGACTCGTTTTAAAATTATGATTGACGGTAAAATAATGAAGGATTTTTTAGAATGAATTATAAATGACTTATTTAGTATAACCGTAAGTTCTATATACTCGTAAATATAAAGTAAAAGTTATTATATTTTGCCGGTTTCTTAATTAACATTTAAAGTAAACAGCTTAAATTTATAACTTTTGTTTTGTAAATCTCGTAGTAAAAACTATGTATAAAAACTTCTTTATTAAATTTCAAGTAAAAAACCAAGTAAAAAAAATACTTATCAAACCGAACGTTTGTACTTATTATAAAAGTAGTATAAATATAATATAATCAAGGATATTATAAGAGATCATTCTAAACAAGAAACTGAAAGTAAAAACATTTTACGCGGTTTAAAAAAGCGTATAAATAACTTATATAAAGAAAAGCTTTAACTGAGTTTTAAAAGTGTATAAGCGAGTTTAAAAACGGTTGATTTGATTAACCGCCGTAAAAAGGCGTTATTATAAATAATAAACGTGGTAACGTAGAAAAAAGCGTGTTAATAGCGTTAAAAAGCGCCGATTAAAGCGAGAGAAAAAAGCTAGAAACCCCGTAAATAACTTTATCAAAGCTTATAAAAGTAAATATATATAAATAAAAAATCTATGAGAATCCGTATGCGGAAGTATTGGTGGTACGTTCGTTCTTGGTTATTTGTAACTACCTGTCGCAGACAGATTTATACTTAAGTATAGTTACAACGCGTCCAGCTAGCGTAGCGCTGGAGCTGTGGAGCAACGGTCGCTGATTGTTGAATGGAAGCCGGAGATAGACACCAGAAGATCTCCAGTAGGGCAGAGACGCACAGGCATCTGACCCACCAAAAAGACAGATGATCAATCTCTGCACGCAGAGCAGAACAATCAATAGAATCAATCAACATCCGTGTATTCAATACTAATCGACCGTTCCAAGGACACTAGGACCATCACAAACCCACCTAGTCCGCGCACAGACCACATGTAGCCACACCACCTGCACCACTCCATCCAATAACATTCGTATAAAGGCTACGAAGATTAAAACTTTAATTAACGTAAGGTTTTTTTTGGAAACAAGCTTGTATACCGCTTATTTATATAAAAACCCGATTATTATTTGTTCGATTTTATTATAAATTAAAACGTTTTGAGCTTTATAAAAGCTCGTAAAGCCTTTTAATATATATATGTAACTAACTAGTTAAAAGCCGTATTGAATATTAAAGTTTAATATCTAATTGCATAATTACTTAATATCAAAATAGCTTAAAAATATATCTTTAAAAGTTTATATAAAGGTACTTAAATACAATTTTTATTATAACTAGACGTTTTAAATACATTGTAATATATTACATTTTTAAAAGTTTAACAAGTACTTTGTTTAAACTTATAATATTTAACAACGAGAAATAAAGTACTTAAAGCCGTAAAAAGGTCGTTAAATTAAAATAAACAAATAAATAAGAACGAATTAAAAGCTTATAACTTATTATATAATAAAAAGAAAGATGTTTTAGAACAGGCTTGAACAATCAATCATAATACTTGAGTATTGAGTCAAGGTCATAATGTTGCTGATAGTTGGATTGGGAGGTCTAGCTGGACTCGCAGGTCTGGCTAAGTGACCTCACAATACGGTATCTAATCTCTTATTTAATCATGCATGTGGGTTTGATATGGATGGTTTGAATGTAGAATCGCATGGATCTAACAGATATTTAATTTTAATTTTATTATCATTATTTTTAACGGTATTTAATTATATTAATAAGAAGATGTTAATAATACATATAAAGCTAGCTAGTCTAACCTTATATAAGGTTGTTTTAACGATTTATTCAAAAAAAGTAAATGTAAAGCTTAACGTAGATGACAAGGGAGCGGCAATTACAAGCAAACGGCAACTTTTTACCAGCCACCTAACCTTGTCATCAAGGCTCCTAATTGATCAACCAACAATAATGTCATTGCGTTATAGTGAATCAGACTTACAGCTTGCTGTCCAAGCTAAACAATGCGACCCTCATATTACCATTGGCAAGCTTTCTAAGACTTTCCACATCCCATATAATACCTTAAAGGCTAGAATCGCCGGCCAACCATTATGACGCAATAGCATGCCCAATGCTTTGAAACTTACAGTTTCCGATGAGAATACCATTCTTTTCTTTATTCTCGACCTGGATACGCAAGTATTTCTACCCCAGCACAGTTATGTTGAAGATATAGCAAATCAATTATTGGCAGCACGTAGGGCTGGATGCGTTAAAAAGAACTGGACACGGAACTTCATTAAACGCACACCAGGCCTCTTGACGCGTTTTCATCGGAGGATAGACTACCAGAGGGCCTTGAACAAAGATCCAGATGTGTATCGCGCGTGATTTTGCTAAGCTGTGACGGCAATCACAAAACATGGTATTTAAGACGCGGATATTTATAACTTCAATGAGACTGGGTTTATGATGGGTATTGTTGGGTCTAGCATGGTCGTTACAAGTGCCAAAAGACGTGACAGGCCTAAACAAGCTCAGTAAAGCAACAGGGAATGGTCTATAGTAATCTCTACTATCAATGCTGATGGTTGGGTAGTCCCGCTATTCATCATTTTACAGGGCAAAACCCACCTTGCGTCATGGTATCTTGACACGACATTACCACGTGATTAGAAGGTGGCTGTGTCTAACAACGGGTGGACTACGAATGAGCTTAGTTTGAAATAGATTCAACATTTTGACAAGTATACCAGACCGCGTGTGACGTTCTAATACGGTACAGGTATGTCTGAATGAGACAGAGCCCTGGAGCCCGTGGAACGTCAGGTATATCTACCACCATAGAATATTCAGTTGCCATCCTGAATATTCCACATCCTTTTGTGGGGAGCTTAGCCAATTGGTGTGGTGGTCAATTGCTATTCTGTGACACCGCGTATGAATGCCGGTAAACGCCTCCTCATCTGAGATAGCCATAAAAGCCACCATTCCCAGTGTCACGGTGAGCATACTGGGGAGCTGAGACATGGCCTGCAGCAAGCAGCTATTACTCTATTGACGAGAATATCAAGACTAGAGAGGAAAGGAAGAGAGAGAGAGATAGGTACAGCGGGAGGTTGCCCCTCTGAAGGGATTCTCTGGTCAGATCCTTCCCTTATTGGGATGTATCGGCTTGTCATGTGGGAATGTCTGTGCAGGCCGTCACACCCAGGTCTTTGAGAATTATTGTCAGAACAATGGCATCATTACCCTTTGTATGTCTGCCCACTCATTACACAGGCTCCAGCCTTTAGATATCAGCTGTTTTAACCCACTCAAATGAGCTTACGGTCGCATGATTAAGGATCTCATCCGGCGTCATATAACCCATGTTTCAAAGGAGGACTTCCTTACAGCGTTTTGTGAAGCACATAACGCTGTTATGGCGCCAAGAAATATTTGAGCAGGTTTCAGTGCTACTAGGCTTGTTTCTTTTGACCCAGAAAGTATCGTTTTGAAGCTGGATGCTGTCACTGTCCTACGAACACCGTCGCTAGACACTAATCTGCCACCCACTACATAGACTCCAAAGACGCCTACTACTATTAATAAAGCGGTAAACTAATCGGTTTATATCCGAAATTGAGTCAGAAACCACTAGAAAAACTCACTTACTTCAATAATTGATATGTTAAGCTCGTTTTTAAAGGCTATATATAGCCTTATGCACAAAGTCGCTTTGATTGATTTCCGGGTCCGCGAGCTAGAGGAGGCCAATCACATACTAAATAAATATCAGAGAACAAAAAACAAATGTCTAATAAAAAAAGGAATATTTTTTGTTAAAAATACAGTAAGTCTTTAAGCTGTAAAGAATGATAGTGAGCTGGTAAGACAGGAAATACGTGAAGGTAATCGTTGTCCAAGGAGGGCGGCAGCGCATGAGCAACATTATGGTATTTGCGGCAACACTTGCTATAATGCGCGAACTTGTACAATAAAGATAGAAACATCTGAAGAAGAAAAATCCAATTAATGGGATTGAATTAAATGCGTTGTGATCGAGTTATTTGACATGTTGGTTGGAAGGTTAGTAAGAAGTTGCCGTTCGCTTGTAATTGCCGCTTGCTTGTCATCTATGTTATATCTAAAGTATTTTTACCGGTGTATAAACGTTGTTAATATCTTAGCGCAACGTATGTAATTAAAAGGCTTTATTTCTCCTACTTCTTTAATAAAAGTATAAATAATCTTTTAATTTAACGCTTTGGCTGACGTTGCGCTAGTCTGGCCTAGTCAACATAGCCGGAAAGGTACCGCCAGGGTGTGCTACCGTACTATGAACACTACCTCTGGGAGAGATGTGCGCAGCACACTAGTAAAAGTGGGCAATACAGCCACTAGTGGTCACCTGACCACGCAACAGGTTCGCCCTCGGAGAATAATCGTCGCCCCGAAATACGTTTCGATTGGGACCGCCTAGGATCTCTCGGCTAAGACTGGGTTACGTCCCACTATAGGTGCAGGATATTTGTCTACACGGTAATGCTCCTATGGATCATGGCGGCAGCAGGCTCGCAGCGAAAGGGCAAAGGCAGGACAAGTCCTTGACGGCTGGCGGCGGGCTGGGGTTTCTTCAGGCCGCAGCAACGGTCAAAGCAAGCTACTGCGGCTCTCGTGAGTCGTCACATCACCAGGGCGCTCACGGGTGCAGGTGCCGCGCCCGGGTAGAGTGGAGAGTGCGAGGGAGGGAGTGTGCAAATGGAAGTGCCGCTTCGGTGTAATCTACTTCTCGCGGTCGGCGCAAGGCGTCCAGCGACTCCGGTCTGCCTTGGATGATGTCGGGTACCTAAGGTTATTCAGAGGCCTCATGCCAGGTCTTTTCGCCTGCGGCTTACGCGGCGTTTCTGTCGACAGACCGTGACGTTAGGCCAGCAGATTTTTATTATTTCGTGTCACCCGTGTCACCCAAGACCTGTACGTATTTATGTGGGTGCCCGGGTTCACTTGAGCCTCTCCTCTGATGGCGATCCCCGGTCTCATGGGCGTGCGATGCATGCACTCACTCTACGACAGCACGCTGTGCCTATGATACCGCGTACATTGGAGAATGTTGTTGTCCATATTGTTGTTGATATGTGTGTGCGTGTTGCTTGGCCCGCGGAAGGGAACGGCCAGGCCACCTCGACGGCGAGCATCCGGCAGCGCGGCGGCCAAGCAAAGGAGCAAGATAACTAACTACCTGCCTACCTACCTATCTACTGGTCGCTCACCGCCAATGTCCAATATTCTCGTTCATATGAGCCAGCACCAGAACTAGAAGAGGGCAAACGAAGAACACGCCCGTCCCAGCCAGGTGTTCGTTCGTTCGTCGCCCGGGCTGCCTGCCTGTGCCTGCCCTGCCCCGCCTGTCTGCCAACTTGGAAATCGCCCTCCAGCGCATTATCCCCCCAAAGGAGGTCGTGGGCGCTTAACCGCCGTGCGGCAGCAGCCAATAGCCAATAGCAGGGTCACGACGGGGGTTCATTGGAGGTCGCAGACTCGCAGTTATGCACGACACGAGCACCACACTGCAAAACGGGCGCCGCCTGTGGTTGGCTCACGAGGCACAGCCAGCCCGCAGCAGATAGGCGCTTAGGCTTGTTCCATGTCCTCTTTTCACCAGGCTTGGAAAGGGTAGGGGAAAGGGGGCAAAATTACCTAGGTTTTGGGTTTTGTGACATGCGCTCCCTGCCAACTCCAAGCTCTTTTGCCCGCCACCCCCGGGCGCTCCCCTGCGCAGGTGATCCGCGATGCAGTTTCCCAGGATTCTGGGAATGGGGGATTGGGGACGGGCCAATCAGTGGAGCTGGGGTTGGTTCAATGGGTACTTCTACTGGAGGTTTGTACACTTTTCGTCCTCATCTTTCGCGATTAAATGACGGCGAGGTGGCATATGTCTGTCTAGTGTCTACCTGTCATTCAGTGTCAAATAATACTCGAAGAGGACAGGGGTAATAAGAATCACTGTCATGGCGGGAGGGAATATGGAATATTGCACCCGTGGGGGCCATCTACAGACCCATTCGATACCCCTACCATCTCTCTCTATCTCTACAACAAAATACGAAGTACAAAAGAGCAAAACGTGAATTCCCCGGCGGCAGCTCTTGGCTCTTTTTATTATCATGTTTCAAGATCAAGTGTTGCGATGGATGATAGTCGACCGGGGTTCTACCGGGGAGAGGGGGGTTTGCTCTCCTGCGGGCAGTCTCGCGTGGTCACAAAAATAAAGCAAAATACCTAAATATCTGATACCTTTCCATGTGCGTGAGAGCGAGGGGGACGGCCCCTCCGCCACCTGCTGGACAGGTGGGCGAATGAGCGTGAAAGTGGAGAGGCCACCAACGACGCCTGCCTGCCGGTCTGCCTGCGGCCAACGAGAGACCAGACGTAGACCGAGAAAAACATTGACAGCGTTCTCAAATCACAATATTGGGGCTTTTCCCCAACCACCCGGCCGCAGTAATGGTCGCGTTTAGGTGCAGATGTCGGGTGGCTCGTGGGCCATAACAAATAAACACACGGACAGAAGTTGGCGTCGGTGAGGCGCGATGGCAGCACAAGAGAGATAAATTGTTGGTAACACGGGAAAGATTGTTGTCGTGGGGCTGCGAAGAGCTGTCAAGTGTTGTTTAGAATAGGTAGGTATGTTGGCTACACGAATCATCATCCATCGCCGCGTCCCAGCCATTCGGTTCTGGGCTCCCACCCAACCCGAGCCCATGGTACTACCTACTCCCTCCGTCTGCCTCCTTGACACCGAACATCTCGTGATGTTCCATTTCCTCCCTTGTGTTCCAAGAACTGCAATCCGAATAATGATGTGAATGAATAATCCCAGAATTTATCCTCCCTTGGTATCGCTTTGCAAAAGCAGCCTCCGTCCAGCACAGTGGAACGGGGGCGGTTTTGCGACGCCGCCCAGCAACGCCTGTTTGACTCCGTTGAAATTCGCCGGAACCCCTTACGCTTCTTGTGATGGTGGTAGTAATAAAGCCATGACGTAAATTCGTGTCCATCGCTCTCTTTTGGTGATTTGGCGTGTCGTCTCTAGTGGCCCCGCTTGGTGTTGGGCAGTGGTGGTATGATGCTGAGGGTTATTGTGTTGGTGAACATTGTCGTAGTGAATAGTATGAACAAATGAAAGGTAGATCAGTGCTGGCGGGTTGCCCTGGTTTGAGGAGCAGGCAAGGGTGAGAAGACTTTAGTTGATTCGGAGGTTGAGATTTGAGGTGGGCAATGGTGATCATGATCAGCTGGTCGATGGTCTATGCCGAGTTGGATCGTGTTGCTGCTGGCGGTGCTTCCGCTTTTGGACAGTTCGAGTGCGTTCTCCTCCTCTTGCCCTTCGGCGCTGGGTTCATCCTTGGCGTGTAGGTGACTGTCCTTGTGACAACTTCCCGGATATGCCGCACGCTCTTCCCCGTCGACTTTTGCGCTCTGCTGTCCTGCGCATACCGGGACTTCAGCGCTGCCTCCCAGTCGAATGGTGACCGTACTGATCTGGCGCTGAATGGTGATCTTGCTGTAGCGCTGAGAGGCGTGTCCAAGTGGGATATCGCAGGGGACGGTGGGATGTTTAGGCAGGGGAACGATGTTGCCCCCGTGGGCGGCGCAGACATGGGGTGAGTTGGGTAGGGGCTCGATGTAACAGCAGCCGGTGACTTGTGACTCCCACATTTGCAAGAGCAGTCTGTCTGTTCGCTGCTTGCGGTTGATGGTACTGAATCATGTGCTGAGGAGTCGTCCTCGGGCGTGACAGTGCCTGAATCTGATCGCTTCTCAGGCACGATAGGCGAGGGTACTGACATGGCCTTGAGGAAATCCATGTATGCCATAGGCGGGGTGATGGGGGTTCTTTCGCCGCCCGGATATTCCTCCTTAACGAACGCCGGCACTGCAGAGAGGGGTGTCCTGGCTGATAGAGCAGATAGCTCGGAGGGGAACGTCGCGGTGACGGGAGTTGTCAACTGCGCGAGCTTTGGCTTGGTAGTAGGGGCCATGGTGACGTAGTTTCCTGGTGGTAGCTGAGTAGAGTTCAAGTCAAGTGAATGACTCTAGAGGGCGGGCAGGAAAACGGGATGTCAGGAAGCCTACAGGCTGCTCAGAGAAGTCGCCGTGGGGAAGCAAGAGTCGGCACCTGGGGAAGGTGGTGAAGGTGAGAGGGAGCAGTGGTTATAATATGTGACTCTGGAGGGCCAGGGCAGGGGTCTGCCTGTGCTTGGTGTGCTGTGTCGGCGTGGGGAGTGGCCAAGACTAGGTATGAAACGAAGGGCGCCAAATAGGAAGCCAAGCTACTTCCCGCTAGAAAGACGCGAAGCGATGTGACAGATGCCGAATCCAATGGGATAGGTGTGGCCCCACGAGGTATTGGCAGAGGTCCGGGGGTGAGCAGGCTCAGACCGCGAGGCCGAATGTGTTTATCGTCCGTCGGCGCGCGCGCTATGGCGGTGGGGTACCGGTACTGTGTACTGTAGATATTCGCAGCGGGGTACGGCCTGACTGTGAAGGTGGTGGGTGGAGTGGAGGAACCGGTTGGCGCGAAGGGGGTCAAATCAAGTCGACGATGGCGGCAAGTGGTGGGCGTGTAAGTTGGAGAACGAGGACACGGGATTGGCTGCGTGAGCGGCAGGGCAGGTTGCAGCGAGACCTCTCTCAGCGCTCACTCGAGCACCCTTAGAAGAAGAAGAAGAAGAAGAAGAAGAAGAAGAAGACGATGGTGATGATTTGTGTCTGCGTATCTCGTGCTGAGACTTGCTTCAGTCTTGGGACTCTCTACCAAAGAACAAGGACAGGATCCTCGATATCGTGTTCGAATAGGGTAGGTATAAGCTGTCACGGCTGGGTAGCCCTTGTGAAGTTGTGAGCAGGTAAGCTGGGCGACAAAAGGTACTGAGAACCGAGGTAGGATCTGGCACTTGATTCGTCGGTATGCCTTGTGATACCTGTACTGGGTACTTCAGTTAAGCGCCGGGACTATACCCAATCTATAATTAGCAGCCGCTCATCTCGACCTTTGATTTGACGTTCCAACCTCCAGGTCGACCAGCCTCCACCACTCAGATTCAAGCTCACCTTTCAGCTCCAAAACCACCGTTTTCTTCAGCGGCAAGGCACCTCGTCGAGAGAAAAAAGAAATGCCCGTGTTCCGATCGGCTCTACGGCTGATGATTCGGCTGAACCGGGAGCTGACGAATAGCTGAGAGATGGAGATGAGGATGTGACGACCGCGAGGTAGCCGGGAGACAGTAGCCGGTAGCTGAAGGGCAGGGTATGGGGTATGTGTTGCTTCACGCGGATGGCCACGAATCACGATATCTGCAGTGAGTGCTGTGAGGCGGTGGTGGGACTTGGCGAGGTCTGTCTTACTCAGATGATGATATCAAATCCGAATCATCACGACAATCCGAGTTATGCGGGCCTTGCCATATATGCGTCTCGACTCTTCTATTGTTGCCATCACGCAAGCGCTTCTCTACAACTCCCACTTGTGTCCTTCTTCTTTCAGCGCGCGGCTCACCAAACCTGTCTGCCTCAATCGCTACTGACCTTACACAATGAGAGGATGACTTTGTTCATCGCCAGCGAGACACAGGCCATAAGGGGCGAGTCCGCCTGGTGGGAGCGCGCGCGACATGACGCACGACATCCATCGACCTTTCCCGAGCTGCTGTTGGTCCACGAGATCTATACCAGGCGTGCCTATGTGGCTAGTATCGACATTTACCACACAGAAACCATCGACCCTACGTTTTGAGACTGCGCAGCGCGCGCCTGTGGGAGCAGGAGTTTATCGGCAGCCAGAAGAGAGGCCCATCATCCCGTCGAGTTAGGATGCGAGATGAGAAAAAGACACGAGTGTCTCTCTTCTTCATTCTGAACGCCTTCCTGTTGCTGTAGCAGCTCCTCTGCCAATACGCCGGCGTGCTGGAGCCGCCGCCGTACTCACCTAAGCGCCGACGAAGCTTGCAAGGATTTACGCCAACTGCCTACCACAAGCTCAGTTGATTAGTCGGCTTTGCGCTTAAGGATGGCCTTTATCCGATGATTGCTGGAAAAGCCGCCATCGTTGTCCTCCTGCAGGAGGGTGTGTGGGCCAGACCACGCGACATCAAGGATTTGTTCCACCTGGTAGAACCATCGAGGACATTTTCCATGAGCAGAACATGGGTAGAACACCGTGTCAGAGGTATTTGGCCACGAGAATCCCCATTGGCAGCGGTCTGGGGTCAGCGCTGGCTACTCCGGACAGCTCCTGCATGAGAGGGTGTTGGCCAAGGTTTGTCAACTCCTACGGAATCGCGGCAAAGCTTAACATACAACACGCAACGCACAGCGCCGCGAGAGAAGTTATCGCGGCTTCGATAACCACCATGGCGGGAACGAGCCCATTCCCCATGATATCAGATGGTCGCTCTCCGCGGGAAGACGAAATCCCTACGGTCCCAGGAATTATTCTAACGCCTGGAGCCGGAGCTCGAAAGGTTGAGCCCTGTCCTAAGCACCTCAAAAGATGGTCCTGTTACTGGTTCCATCCCGACGTCTACGCCATGCTGCCGCTGGGTGATTCGACTCGACCGTAACGGACCGGGCCCCGAAGACTATCGACAGGCAACATCGGCGTTGTTGACCGGAAAAGGACAGGGTGGTGTATGGGCTCGCAACAGATGGGGCTCACGACCGCCTACGGATTCATATCCATGCCTTTTCCAAGCACGGCGTGCATCTAAAACGTGTGCTTAAGCGCGCTGGGATGGGAGTAAACCCAGCTCAGTGGTTGAGTTGCTCCGTCCGCCGCGGCAAGCATCTAATAATGAAATGCGACGACCCAGTGGGATGGTCTTGTAGCCTGTGTGTTGGTTCCACCGGATGGCATTGACTTTGTCTATGTGATGCTCATGGCTCTCCTTCGGTGGCTATGTCGATCCCTACCTGGGTGTTTGGCTTGCCTTGGAGTCATGGCTGCCCACAGGACGACATCGACATCCAGGATTCGCCCGGGACAGGTTTTCACCTATGCTCCCTTTTCAGCTTCGTCCGGCCATCAAACCCGGGAGTTATTGCACGATGGCTTTCGATCACATGCATCACACCTGCTCGAGGTGGCATCCTGGCTCGAACCATGAGCGTATTGGCGTAACACCGTACAGCGAACTGCCCATTGGCACGACAACTCATCACGTTCATCCTCGCTAAGATCCGGAACACAACTAACCCCGGAGAACCGTAGGAGCGCATACCATGATTGATCTCACCGGAGTCTTCTATGAAGCGAGTCTAGCGTCTCGGCCGGCTCTCGCCACCAACAGGATCGGCTCTCGTCGATACACTGAACCCTCACAAGTCTCCGTACACCACCCGTCCAGCAACTAACGGTATATTCATCGAATTGGAATAGGCACAGTTGAATAAGCATTAGAAGTGGCGTATCAAACCAAAGCTGCTTATTCCTGTCTGCTCATTCAAGTATCTCCAAAAATTGTTGTGTGATCTGGTATTCCCCAACCATGGCACGCACCGAGACTTATGAGGGCTGAGTGTTCCTCTTCGATGGCCCTCTAACGTTCCCCTAGGCACAGGGGGGCCGGGGCGTTCCTTCGACATGTATAGGTAGGCATTGTATTCACTGCCCCCAGGCCTTCCTGATTCTCCTCTTGCAGTACGCAGGCGATAAGGATTTAATCCACTCTTCCGCAGTTGCTCCAGCCTACTCCCCCGACCCAGACCAGGAACGCGAACACCTGAGGCACTCAGGGGCTAGGCCTCAGGTCTCTCGTACCAAAGACATAATGGCGCGCGCATGATAAGGTGATTGAAGCCAAATATGAAATGATATGCAGGTGCAGCATTACCTAATAGTGACCGCTTGCTCTTCTGGTCTTCAGCTGGTCCCTTGGGATCGCTCTACGCGTGTCTCCTGACGGAGCCACCCTAGGATGTGGACCGGGTGAACATGGCAGAACTCTGCGCGTTGCCATTCGTAATAATGACATGGATGAGGATAGTGAATACAGATTATGTGTCCAGTCTCTGACTGTGATTTGGTCCTTGACGCACCTCAACTCGCAATGTCCGTCTCCATTCACACCCGGCCACAGTGTGAGTCAGGCGTTTGGAAACTACAATGTGCTATGCCATCTATTGAATGCATTTAGCTGCACAAGTAGGAAATTCAGTTGGCCTCGTCTCATAATGTACTTGGGCAATCATCTTACGAACCAGCATCGTGTGAACCTCACTACCTGGAGCTAAGACCCAATAGATTATGAGACAGGGCATATATTCAGTAATTCAAATGAGATCACCGCGAGCGAGATGATTGCCGATGGTTTGTTCATTTTTATTCTTCTTCTGCTCGTTCAACGGGGTCCTCATTCATCAAGTAGGGGGCTTGTGTATGTTGGCTGGCGCCATCTGTACACAGTCCCGGCTACGTCCACACTCCAGCGACCACCATGGAAGGCAATCTAACACTACGAAGCACATCAAGATTAATGCATCGTTACAGCCAGAGACCGCAGAGCTACTGTTGTCTTGCGTGACCGTCATGTCCAGACGAGGGTGCTCATTAGACCGAAGTGGCGATGGCATCATACTCTCCGAGGCAGAGACGACGGTATCCCTCTGCTGTGTAGGCGTCACTGGGTCACTCGCCTGTGCAGGCTGCGGGCCATGGTTCGATACCTTGAAGGCGCGCCTCGTGACATATGCCAGTTGTTTAGGAGAGGCATACGAAGTCGCACGTGTCGGTAATGCCAAACCGATCACATATGTAAAGCCCAATAATTCTTGTGGCAGTATATGCTTTCTTCCGGTCAATGACGTCTATTCAGTCCCCAGTTACGGTGGTGCCTCCTCGCTAGCTTGACTTCTGTATATTGGTGTTGAGTGTGTCCGCCTAGCAGAGTGAAAAAGATAGGGGTATATTGAATGCCTCGTCTTTTTGAACCCCTCGATTTATGCGGGACCTAGCACACCCCTTTATATGCACACCAGTCGCTTT